TCATCCAATAGCAATCTCTTTAATTAATCTTGCCGGTTTTGCCGGATAATGTAGGACCCCGGCCATGTTCGGGATGCCACCTTAGTTACCACAACACCGCATTCCGGATAATACAGGTGTGCATCCCCCTAAACAGGATGAATGCAGCCTTTTTCGGCCCCTAGCAGTTTATAGTACACGAACAGCCCAAAAAGGCAAGTACATGCAGTCATTGTTAGCTTGTATGCCGTCATTTGACAAAGAGCGCCGCAAATAAGCCGCGAAGTCTCCGGATTCGGCGCACTTACCATACCCAGTACGGCCGAACAAAAACACACACCTGTCTTATCAGGAACGATTGCCAGTCCACCTGCCGCTTCTTCCAAAAAAATTCCCTCAATTGCATATCTTATTTTTTTTTCAGCGCCGAAAATCTCTCAGCCGTATATAAACCGGTGGATTGGCAATTTCTTAACTTAGAGGTTTTTTTGGTACCTTTACTTGTTTCCCGTTTGTGTAGTGTAATAACTTCTGTTAGCATTTAGTTACAGCTAGCTTAATACAGAAACGGAACAATTAAACATGTCTGACGCTACCGAACCTAAGGTCGAAAAGGTCGACAAGGTCCAATCCGACGACGAGGATGAGGATATTGATCAATTGATCATGGATTTACAATCCAACCATGGACTCGATGAAGCTGAATCTGATGATGAGGCCGAACAGGGTTCTTTCAAGGCTGTTCCTGAAGAGTTGTTGAAAACTGACCCAACCACTGGTCTTACTTCTGATGAAGTTTCCAAGAGAAGAAAGAAGTTTGGTCTTAACCAGATGGCTGAAGAGAAGGAGAACTGTGGTGTTGAAGTTCATCATGTTCTTTGTTGGTCCTATTCAATTCGTTATGGAAGCCGCTGCCGTTTTGGCTGCTGGTTTGGAGGACTGGGTCGATTTCGGTGTCATTTGTGCTCTTTTGTTGTTGAACGCCTTTGTTGGTTTCGTGCAAGAATACCAAGCTGGTTCCATTGTGGATGAGTTGAAGAAGACTTTGGCTAACACTGCTTTTGTTATCAGAGATGGTACTCTCGTTGAGGTTCAAGCCAACGAGATTGTTCCTGGTGATGTTCTTCAATTGGAAGACGGTACTGTTATTCCAGCTGATGGTAGAATTGTTTCTGAGGACTGTTTGTTGCAAGTTGACCAGTCCGCCATTACTGGTGAATCGTTGGCTGTTGACAAGAGACACGGTGACTCCACCTACTCTTCTTCTACCGTCAAGACTGGTGAAGCTTTCATGATTGTTACTGCCACTGGTGACTCTACTTTCGTCGGTAGAGCCGCTGCTTTGGTTAACAAGGCCGGAGCTGGTACTGGTCACTTTACTGAAGTGTTGAACAGTATTGGTACCACCTTGTTGGTGTTGGTCATTGTCACCCTCTTGGTTGTGTGGGTTGCTTGTTTCTACCGTACCGTTAAGATTGTTGCAATCTTGAGATACACCTTGGCTATCACCATTATTGGTGTCCCAGTTGGTTTGCCCGCTGTCGTTACCACTACCATGGCTGTCGGTGCTGCTTACTTGGCTAAGAAGCAAGCTATTGTGCAAAAGTTGTCTGCTATTGAGTCCCTTGCTGGTGTCGAAATCTTGTGTTCCGACAAGACCGGTACCTTGACCAAGAACAAATTGTCTCTTCACGAGCCATACACTGTTGAAGGTGTTGAGGCTGATGACTTGATGTTGACTGCTTGTTTGGCTGCTTCTAGAAAGAAGAAGGGTTTGGATGCTATTGACAAGGCTTTCCTTAAGTCTTTGATTAACTACCCAAGAGCTAAGGCTGCTTTGACCAAGTACAAGGTTATTGAGTTCCAGCCTTTCGACCCTGTCTCTAAGAAGGTTACTGCTATTGTCGAATCCCCAGAGGGTGAGAGAATTATCTGTGTCAAGGGTGCTCCTTTGTTCGTCTTGAAGACTGTCGAGGATGACCACCCAATCCCTGAAGATGTCCACGAAAACTACCAAAACACTGTCGCTGAATTTGCTTCCAGAGGTTTCAGATCTTTGGGTGTTGCTAGAAAGAGAGGTGAAGGTCACTGGGAAATTCTTGGTATTATGCCTTGTATGGATCCTCCAAGAGATGACACTGCTGCCACTGTGAACGAAGCCCGTCGTTTGGGTTTGAGAGTTAAGATGTTAACTGGTGATGCCGTTGGTATTGCTAAGGAAACTTGTCGTCAATTGGGTCTTGGTACTAACATTTACGATGCTGACAGATTGGGTTTGTCCGGCGGTGGTGACATGGCTGGTTCCGAGATTGCTGACTTCGTTGAAAACGCTGATGGTTTCGCTGAAGTGTTCCCTCAACACAAGTACAACGCTGTTGAGATCTTGCAATCCAGAGGTTACTTGGTTGCTATGACTGGTGATGGTGTCAATGATGCCCCATCTTTGAAGAAGGCTGACACTGGTATTGCTGTCGAAGGTGCTACCGATGCCGCTCGTTCTGCCGCTGATATTGTTTTCCTTGCCCCAGGTCTTTCTGCTATTATTGATGCTTTGAAGACTTCCCGTCAAATTTTCCACAGAATGTACGCCTACGTGGTGTACCGTATTGCTTTGTCTTTGCACTTGGAAATTTTCTTGGGATTGTGGATTGCCATCTTGAACAAATCTTTGAACATTGACTTGGTTGTGTTTATTGCCATTTTTGCTGATGTTGCTACCTTGGCTATTGCTTACGACAATGCTCCTTACGACCCTGCTCCAGTCAAGTGGAACACTCCAAGATTGTGGGGTATGTCCATTATCCTTGGTATAATTTTGGCTGTTGGTACTTGGATTACTTTGACTTCCATGTTCGTTAAGAAGGGGTGGTATTGTTCAAAACTTTGGTGGTCTTGACGGTATCCTTTTCTTGCAAATCTCTTTGACTGAGAACTGGTTGATTTTTCGTCACCAGAGCCAATGGTCCTTTCTGGTCCTCGATTCCATCTTGGCAATTGGGTGGTGCCGTCCTTATCGTTGATATCATCGCCACCTGTTTCACCTTGTTCGGCTGGTGGTCTCAAAACTGGACTGACATCGTTACCGTTGTCAGAGGTCTGGATCTGGTCCTTCTGGTGTCTTCTGTGTCATGGGTGGTACTTACTACTTGATGTCTGAATCCGAAGGATTCGACAACTTGTGTAACGGTAGACCAAGAAAGCCACAACAAGACAGAAGAACTGTCGAGGACTTCTTGATGTCGATGCAAAGAGTATCTACTCAACACGAGAAGTCAACATAATCTCCTCCTTAGAGTCGAGTTATCATTTTCCACGAGTATTGAAACATGATGTTGGGTTTTGGTTACCCAGCACGTGTGTTGGGAAAATGGTATTACTTTGCTCCATGATTCCCATTCCCGTCATTTAAGTTTTTTTTAATATTTAATTTCGTATTATAGCAATGATAGATAGTAACAATTTGGTGTAGAAACTACTGATGGTAGTGTAAAAGGACTACAAGTCCTTTGAATTATCGTATTAACTTTATTGTGTATTAACTAATTGAGCGCCCATGCATCGGAAGTACGCAACTTCTTTATGTGGTTCGGTGTCTAATCGTCTTGAAATGTTCAAAGATTGAGGATGACTTATTTTGCAACAATTTTTTGAAGTCTGGCGCAATGTTCGGGTCTTCTTCGTATGCTCGTCCAAACCCAGCCTCTAAAACGCTCAGCCAGGTAGCCCTATAAGTGTCTGGGACGGATGGTAATGCTTCTAGTTTGTCATCGTAAATAAGTAGTTCGTTCAAAGCTCGAATATCATTTATGACCAATTCGACGTTGGAAATATTGTTCGATGAAATGAAGTCCAGGATCTCGTTGATGTTGACCAGGCCCATATTACTTGTTGGATACATGGCCTGGACTGGGTTCACGTTGGGGGAGGGTGGTTGGAATGCAGCAGGGTATGTCTTGGATGCAACGAATCTCCAAATTACCGACACAAGCGAGTCGATAAACTCGGTATCTAGTTCAGAATCAGTAAACCATGGTCCACCAGTAACTTCAATGGAAGGCTGTAAGTTGTAGAGCATGTAAATTTTCCTAGTAGGGTGCTTGACCGACTTGATGGATTTAATGTACCGCTGATTCTCCAAAGACTTGAGACATCTAGCCACGATATGTTGATGCAAATTTGTTTTCGCCTTGATGGTCTTGGTCCATATTCCTTCTCGACCCGAAGCCTCGATATATGAATAAATCATCGCTTCGTCATCACTCATCGAGGTGAACTTCGATGCCTCCACAATGCTGATTGCCTGGAATCGCAATTCTCCACCTTCTTTAACCAATTTGACATACTTGGAAGTCATGAGCTCCTGTACGAGCTCCAAAAGCTCTGTTAAGTCGCTTGTTTGAAGTAATTCTTGAAGTGCTTCTTGCGAGTAGAGCTTATCCGGCAGGGCCATCATCTTGTCATGCAAGGTCTGGGCACGTTCGGAGACCGGCATTGTCATTAGATTGTTGAGTGGTGGTTCTGCTGTTTACGGTATGCTTTTTTTTTGCACCAGGTATGCTACTTTTGTTTTATGGTCCGAATCAACAAGTTTGTAGGTGATGAGATTTTTTTATTTTTGTGTCACATTTCGCAGCTCTGAGACTGGAGACGAGAGCAACTCTCCACCACTCCAAACCTCGCTATGAGCGACCTTGACGATGAGTTGAACAACCCCAAAGATACTAAGACCATCAGGTTCAAAAAGCTTGCGCCTGGGGTCAGAAAGCAGACTTCAAGGAAACCAAAATTGAGTTTTGATGACGAAAACGAAGAGGATGCTGGCATAAAACAGGCAACAAAAGTTCCGAAACCTGGTTTCAAAGGAGGTAGCGCACCTGTTACAGTTGTAGGTGAAGCAGGATTGAAACTGAGCTACACCAGAAAGATTTCTGCTGACGAAAATGCTGAAAGTCAACCGTCAGTCGACACACCAAAAGTCAAATCTACGAACAAAAATGAAGAAATTCACCCAAGCATCACCAGAAATATTGACCCGTTAACGGGCTTACCAATTGACAGCGAGGACCATCAAAAAGATGTAAAACAGGAGGAATCTTCACACCCCTCAAATATTCATTCCATACATTCTTTCAAAGCAGACACAGAAAATATTCCTATACACGACGACGACGAGGAGGAGATAGAAGATGGGAAAAATGAGCTTATAATGACACTCGATGATGCTTTTGTAGAAGATGGCCCACTAGGTTTATCGGGAGAACCTGCACCTTTCACTGTGGACGCAAACATGTACGACCTCGAATTGGGATCACCGGCACCTTCAGAAACAATATCCAATGGGGAGAATGAACTTTCTGGAAAATCAAATGTTTTACGTGAAAAACCACCAGATTTGCAGCTGCAAATCGACGCATTAAGACAGTCAATTGCCACCCTCAAAACCGATCAATCACAGGCTGAAAAGGATTTTTCAGAAGTAAAGGCACAACTTGACCAAATCTCTGATCAAAAGTCCAAACTCGCCGATACATTAAAAGATATATAGACAATATTCACTTATGGTATAGTCACGGCCGTGTCACGTGCCAGATTGTCCACCGCGGTTAGAGAAAAATTACTCAATTGGTGAGTCATTACCGTAACTGAGTATATAAAACCTGGTTGCAAACCACGTTCCCCAGTTGTTGAACCGTTCAGAGTTATTTAGAAACTCGCTCTCTTCCAGTTATGTTCAAAAGTTTGTTCAAATCTAGCTCAAGGAATTTCACCATGTCACCAACTGTTTCTTCGGCTTCTCCTCGTCACTTGAAGAGCATGTTAGATGTCAACCACCAGGAATTGACCGCTCTTGTTGATAACGCCGCCAAGTTCAAGGCAAATCTCAAGGCTGGCGTGAATGCTCGTGAATATCATCAAAAACTTTTGGGAAAATTAGTTGCTATGTTATTTTCCAAAAGATCAACCAGAACCAGAGTCAGTACTGAAGGTGCTGCTGCTTTCTTTGGTGCCCAACCAATGTTTCTTGGTAAGGACGACATTCAATTGGGCGTAAACGAGTCTATTTATGATACAACAAAGGTGATTTCTTCAATGGTATCTTGTATCTTTGCCAGAGTGAATAAGCATAGTGAAATTTTGGAACTCTGCAAGCACTCAGATGTCCCTATTATCAATGCCTTGTGTGACAAGTACCATCCATTGCAGGCAATTGCCGATATTTTGGCCATCAAGGAAGCTTTTGGTACTACTCAAGGATTGAAATTGACCTGGATTGGTGATGCGAACAATGTCATCAACGACTTGGCCATAGCAGCTCTCAAGTCGGGAATTTCTGTATCTGTGGTGACACCTTCAGATATAAGCTTTGACAGCGATATCAAGCAAGAGGCTGAAAAGTTGGCTGAAGCTTCTGGACTTAAATTCGAGACCCTGCACGATCCAATTTCAGCATTGAATTCTGCTAATATAGTCGTTACCGATACATGGATATCTATGGGTGAAGAGGCTCAGAAACAAGCCAAATTGAAGCAGTTTGCAGGGTTTCAGATCAGCCAGGAAATGATCAAAAAAAGCAATATTGCTTCGAATTGGAAATTTATGCATTGTCTTCCTCGTCATCCCGAAGAAGTTGCAGACGACGTTTTTTACAGCGACAACTCAATTGTGTTCCCCGAGGCGGAAAACCGTCTCTATGCTGCCATTTCTGTGCTCGATGCGTTTGTGGTCAATAGGGGTAAAATCATCTAGTTTGTACCACTGCTTATAAAGCTTTGCCACAAACACACGGGAACACAAATGTATATATTGGGCAAATTTACAAACGCAAATCAACTTACTTTCTGTTATTTTTTTGACTATCATGGTAAACTTTAATTTTATCAAGTCTGGAATCCTACCAGTCGCTCTTGGTGCATCTTTTGCTGTAGCTGCTACGGCACCCCAATTTTTGTCCAATCCAAAGGAGATTGTCGCCATTGCTGACTTTCCTTATGGTTTTGATAAACTGGTGGATGGAAACATCGTTTTCACTGCCAAAAGATGGCGGTCCTGTTCATGTCCATGTAGACATCACAGGTTTACCCTCTGAAGATTCCTTAACCTACCATGTCCACGAAGGAAGTGTTCCATCTGATGGTGACTGTGAAGCTATTGGACCCATTTTGGACCCTTTTGCGGGACAAGAAGTTTGTGGAGCCGATCCTGCTCAATGCAAGATTGGTGATTTATCTGGAAAGCACAATGAGATTACCGGCGAAATTTTTGAGCAAAAGTATGTGGATTCGTTTTTGTCGTTGGACGCAAAAGCACCAGCTTCCATTCTTGGGAAGTCAATTGCTTTCCACCATTCCAACGGAACCAAGTTTGCTTGTTCAAACATTGAAGCTGCCGCCAAGGTGAGACTTGCCAGTCTCAAAGAAGAATACTTGGGAAGCGGTAACGACGACCTCGCATTTCTCGAGGAGATTGACGGACCTTTGGAGACTCTGACACCATCGGTGGAGGAATCCAAGGAACCTGTTATTGCAGCCATGAGATCGGTTCTGTGGGAACATGCCAATGCCACTAAATTTCAAAATGTGTCGGCATCTGCCGACTGGAATTGCACCCACGATGAAGAAGACACCCCAGCCGTCAAGACGAGTATCTGTGAAGACTCTTCCGCGACTAGGAGTGTCTCTTTGATGTCGTTGCTTTCTTTGCTTGCATTCCTCATCTAATGACTGTTGTCATCATTCTTCACCCATAGCTCAAACCTGCCAACAGCCTAAATAGTCAATAACAGATCAAGTACCTTACTCTTCTTGTCGCTGACTCTTCGTTGTCGCTTCCTCTTTCAACTGTCGCTTGCTACCCTTTTCGTCTCGTTTTCGCAGCCGCCAAGTGCCGCGCACCGAATGTGGCTCAAGATACCGAGAATTGTGGCCCACGAAGTAAATTCTCCGTTCTGGAATAGAGAGTCGCTGTCAGGTCCAGTCAGTAGAATCATAAAACTTCACTTTCTAGAGACATTGGTTTATAGATACGAGCTTTTGAAATCGAACCAACATACTCCGTTTACCCCAATTGAGAGGGGTACTGTATACAGCTAATCTATATAAGTAATCAAAGTCCCCCCACTTACCATCATTCAGCATGACTACTGTATACGTTTCTGGTGCCACGGGTTTCATTGCCCAACACGTTGTAAAGCAATTGCTCTCCAAAGGATACAAGGTGATTGGATCTGTCAGATCCACTGAGAAAGGAGACGACTTGGTAAAGAATTTCGGCTCGGACTTCAAGTATGAAGTTGTGGCTGATGTGGGGGTTCCAGGTGCGTTTGATGAATCGTTGAAAAAGCACCCAGAGGTCAGTGTTTTCCTCCATACTGCCTCTCCGTTTCATTTCAATGCGAAGGATGTTGAGAAGGATTTACTTCTTCCTGCTACTGAAGGAACCAAAAACGCATTGAAAGCAATCAAGAACCACGGTCCTCAAATCAAGAGGGTGGTAGTCACATCGTCATACGCTGCTGTGGGTGATGCTTCTCATGAGGAAGATCCAAACCATGTTAACACGGAGGAATCTTGGAACGAAATATCATGGGAAGGTGCTTTAAAGGACGTGAGGCAAGGGTATCGAGGATCGAAAACTTTTGCGGAAAGAGCCGCCTGGCAATTCGTTAAAGGATGAAAAACCAACTTTCGTTTTATCCACCGTTAATCCAGTTCTTGTTTTTGGTCCACAAGCGTTTGACTCTGCCGTTAAAGACACCCTCAACACTTCATCGGAAGTCATCAACAACTTTTTCAAGTTGAAGTCGTCCGATCCTGTGCCCTCCGCTAACGGTCGTTTCATAGACGTAAGGGACGTGGCGAGGGCTCATTTGGTTGCATTCGAGAAGGACAGTGCCAAAAACCAACGGTTGGTCATGACTGCAGGCGACTTTTCTGGTCAAGAGATTGCCGATATCATTCACAAAAACTTTGCTGAAGCCAGTAAAGATGTGCCAGTGGGCAAGCCAGGTACTGGCCCACAATTGAGGACCAACATGTCCAAGAGTAATTTTTCAAAGACTGAAAATATCTTGGGATTCAAGTACATTGATTTGGAAAAGAGCGTTATTGACTCTGTCCAGCAGGTGATTAAAAAAAAAGCTTAGGCTCGAAATTTTAGTTCATCAAAGTACATCAAACAAGCGTACAACTATCAAACATATCAGGCAACGCTAAATACGTCAAATAGCTTCGTGCGATCCAATGCATACACTGCATTGAACAGTTTCTTATTCCGTTCTATTAATAATTTTCATGAGCCACCTATTGAGCCCCCGTGGCGGCTGCAGGATATTCGCGTAGGTATCGCATCGGTATCTCATCGGTATCGCATCGGTATATTATTCAGAGCCTAGCGGAAGTCCGCGATACAGAAATGCGAAGAGTCTGATGAGGATGCATTGCATTTGGTTAGACGATCTCACTACAGCCACACCTCCACATTCACACCCCTAACTTCTCGGCACACCCTTGCATAGTGGCTTATTTATAGTTTAGGCTCGCACTACTTAATTAGAAAATGTTTGTGATTCTTGGGCTGTGCTGAACAAAGTACGGCATACAGCCCAGCATTGCTGCAAGATTTTCCCAATGCGGCGGTGGTTGCGTCAATATGACAGTTGCTAGATTGCGCCAAAGATATGGCTCGTAATGTCGCCTGGTTGTAGAATTTTTTATCTCGTGCTACTCTTATCTTGTCTGTAAAAGCGGTTGTTTACCATCATGAAGGGAACTATTCGTAACATAAACTTACCAGGTGTGGTGAAGACGAAGAAACGGGTTTTCATAATTGGCATAATCGTGTTTTTGAACTTGGCCATTCTTCTCAGTATTCATCCACACGCAGTCACCTCCAGCAAGGCTGTCACCTCGGTAGGAAACCATATCTCGGCCTATTCTCCGTTTAGGCTGAAAACTCCCATATCAGAGAAAGCTGGTGGCCGTGAAGAATCACAAGCAGCAATTATATTTCCTCTGTATTTTGAGCATGCCGAAGACGAATTAGCATACTATTACAAGACATTTCTCAAGCAAGAGAAGACCAATAATGATCTCAAATTCATCAAACATAGTGGACCGTCGGCACCTATTGTTCAAGATGTTGCACCAGAAAACTTAAGCACAAATCAGTTTGATGTTTTTGACTTTGCTGAAGGCGGAAAGAAGTGCTCACCTCTTCGTAAGAATATAACCGTTCAAGTGAGCAAACTGCAGAGATTTGATGAGCTTTTGCCCATTGCTCACACATATATCGAACAGAGGAAACGAGATCCAGCTCTTGCGGAACTCGATGGGTTCATCAAAGAAGATATTCACGAACAGATTCTGTCCAATAAGCTCAACAGGCATTGGTACAAACTCGCAGGATCATCTGTGTGGCTCAAGGAATATGGAGTCCATTTTATGGTGTCTCGTGTGATGTATAGTCCACAAGGAAGCAAGAGACGTTCACCATTAAGTTTGACCTATGCACAAATTTTCGATGAAAAATGGAACGAAATCCATAATGGAGAACTTGTGTTCCCTTATAGAGGCTCAGGATCTGACGAAGAAGTGGAATATACCAAGATGCAATTTCCTTCTTTCCTCCCAGTACCATTCTTTCACGACTTCAAATATCAAGGCAAACGGTTTTATGGTGCCGAAGACCCTCGCTTGTTACTTGTTAAAGATGAAGACGGCCACGATGAACCTCTCATGGTATACAACTCCCACCACCGCAAAATCGTGGACCGTCAACTTGCCGACGAAACTCATATGAACGTGACTTTAGACAGTTACAGACTGATGTTCATGGCTTGGCCATTTCGTTCTCAAAAAGGAAAAGACGTTATCATGGGTCTTGAGGATCCCAGGTATTCAGACACCACATACATCAAGGCTGTAGAGCTTCGACTTGACACCAAAGAGAGAATCAAGACACAAAAGAACTGGACACCATTCATTAGTGAAGTCGACAGGAATCAATTGTATGATGAAAACATCTACTTTGTTTACAGATGGGATCAGCTAGAGGTATTAAGATGTCCTCTCACCAAGTTCACGAAGGAGGGTATGTCTGCTTGCCGTCACGTTTACAGAAAGGAAAAGAACCCAAGCTCACAAGTGGGTCCATTTAGAGGTGGTACTCAAATGTTGAGTTTGAGAAGTATCATGCCAAGCTTAAAGTTGCCAAAAGACAAGGAAGTGTGGATTGGTTTTGCCAGAGCACATCTCAAGAACTGTGGATGTGGAAGAAGTATGTATAGGCCCAACTTGGCGGTGATAACGAGAGTGAAAGGACAGTTTCATGTGAGCCATGTTGGAGGATTTACTTCCTTGAATGTAGCATCACAAGGATGGGGAATTGCCAAATACCAATGTGGACCTAGAGATGCAAATGTACTTATTCCCAATGGTTTATCGAGCTGGATAGCAGAAAAGGGCAAGGAGGATACTTTAACCGTTACCCTTTCAGTCGCTGATGAGTCCGTGGAGATGGTGCATGTAAAGGGATTACTTAACAAATTGTTCGAAGAGACCTCGATCATCGAGACTGGGCAAGATATCCCCAATGACAACACGGTGTTGGAATGTGGAGTGAAAGCATCGAACGACTTTTGTAAAGCTTATGGCATTGCTCAAATTGATCTTGGAACCTTGGATCCAAAGTCTCCTTTACAGCCCAAGAAACCAGCAGCATCTAGAAGTAACGACGAAAAAGAAGCAAACAAGTCGGGCACAAAAGAATCTAAAAAGTCGTCGTGGTTTAATTTAGGTTTGTTGTAAAATTAATAAATTAATTAGTATAGAGCTTCCCCAGATTCTCGCGCTCATCGCACTGAAAAATTTAAGTCAACACCATATATACCAATGACAGATTGCGTTATACGATCACCACGCATCGATGAGTTAGAGCACTACGGTCCTGTAACTGCACTCAGAAACCATAATAAGATCCTCTTTTGTGGCTGCGGCCCTATACTAAAGGTTTTCGACATAAGCTCATCGCATCCTCAACTTGTCTTTCAACAAAAAGTACTTTCACGCAACAAAATACATACCATAGCGATCACTGACGATGGAAAGCAATTATTCGCAGGTGGTGGAAGATCATTTGTTATCATTGATATCGAAAATATCCTCAAAGGAGAGAACAATGTATTCAAAGAGAAGGCAATTGATGAATGGATCGTTAGTGGTGAGTTCCTCAATCAGAACACGTTGTTAATACTTACAGCACACAATACCGTGTATGAGATTAACACACAATCATTTGAGCTGAAGAACACCATGGATTGTGGTGAAAAATCGATTCTTTATAGTGGAACCATTCGCATAGATACCAAAGGTCGAGTGCTCATTGGGGCTGGAACTGTGATGGAAGGAGTGATACTATGGGACTATAAGACAGGCAAAATCTTACACAATCTCACAGAACATGAGGGTTCGATTTTCGGAATAAAAATTGACCCCTCTGGAAAGTTTGCAGTTTCTTGCTCAGATGATCGTTCTATCAAACTCTACGACGTTCAACTGGGTAACATTTTAGCCACAGGCTGGGGCCATGGATCTCGGATTTGGGGCCTTGAGTTTTTCTCTGTTGGTGAAACACTTCATGTTTTTAGCCACGGAGAAGATACGACGGCTCGTCTTTGGAAATATCAACTAGGAAACACTTCCTTGGATCAGGTTCATATATGGGAAAATTGCCATTCAGGAAAACACATTTGGTCTGGATGTGTGTCTATGGAGTCAAGTGCTTGTATCACAGGTGGTGCTGATGGAAGAGTACGATTACTTGACATGGTTCCTTACCTATCCAAATCAACACTCCACTATAGCCTTGAAGATATTGCAGGGTACACTGGAGTACATTTCGAAAAAAATGAAATTATCAAGCAGTTTTTTGAACTTGAAGATGGTTTAGTGTCTATTACATCACATGGAACGATATTCTCATACTCATACTCGTCCCACAATTGGCGAGAAATAAAGTTGACATCAGATGAAAAACAAAAGTTCATGAACTTTTCTATCATGAGAGGCTTTAAAGATGCTGGTACGGTAGCTATTACCACTCGCGTGGGCGACATTCTTCTTCTTCAGTTTCAGAGCATCAATGAAACCCCCACCAAAATCTGGATCGAAGACGAATATCTTCAGTCGAGCAAAGTCACAAACTTGTTGAGTTTTGGTTGTAATGGTCAATATTATTTATTGACAGACTGCCCAAACCCCAAAACACCTTTCGTTCTTCGAGAGTTCCACCTTAGCTCTGGAGAATTCAGACTCAAGAGCACCACTTGCTTAAGTCAACCTCAGCAAACCAGCTTCACCACAACTTGCATGGTTGTTGATAGCGTTAATAACTGGCTCATTTTGGCCTCTCGTTATGTTACTATCGCAATCTACGACCTTGGCTCTACTGAGAACCAACCCACTCCACTTTCAGCTATCTTCAAGAAAATTACCTCTGGTGATACGATTACCTCATTATCAACTTTAATGGCTGCGAAAAATTGTTCAACTTTACTTCTCACCGTTAGAGACGGAGCATATGCAACAATCACATTAAGAAAAGACAACACACTCACCTACGACATTGACCTTGAAAACAAGCTTTCCAGAGGCTTTATCGAAGGTGGCTTTTTCGACGGCGACAACTTGATAGTATATGGATTCAAATCATCGTCATTTTTTATCTGGAATGAAACACAACAATTGGAATTAATGAGTGTTGCATGCGGAGGAGCACACAGGCAATGGGAGCTCTACAGAAACGAGTCCGAATACAAGTTCGTATACATGAATAAGTCTACCATCTATTTTGCTGATGCCTCAAAGAGATTTGAAAATAACGGTGTCTTAGTTGACGGAACTCATGGAAGAGAAATTCGGGATATTGCTGTTTCAAAGTGGGAATCCGGAAACAACTATCGAGATGTAATCACAGCATCTGAAGACACAACCTTACGATACGGTAGATTGTTCCCCAATGGTAAAGTTCATGTCTATTGGACATTGAACAAACATGTTTCCGGGCTTCAGAAAGTCAAGTTTATCGACAGCAATCTTGTAGGAAGTTGCGCTGCCAATGAAGAATTCATTGTCTGGAAACTTTCAGGCACAAAGATTCCTAGCATCGCAGACTTTGCAGTCTTACCAACTGAACATAAGAACCCTGATCTTCGTATCATGGATTTCGACTCTATTGAGGTCGATGGAGAGCTCTTGATTGCAACAGTTTATTCAGACTCTCAAATAAAGGTGTGGAAATTTGATGAAAAACCTCAAAAATTCACTCTCGTTCTCGAAGGAACATACACCACTTGTTGCTTGCTTCACGTTAAGTTTCTTCGAGTAGCAGGAAACATCTTCCTCACTACAGCTGCTACAGATGGTCATTTGGCAATTTGGAAAATGCCCAACTTGTCAAACAAAGCAAATTTACCGGCTCCCATTGATCAAGCAACAAATTCACCAGAATTCTATTAAAGGTTTGGCATTTGAAGAGGTCACCGGCGATCATTATCGGGTCTTCACAGGTGGTGATGACAACTCTTTGATTGTTTCGGATCTCAAATTTGGATCTGAGGAGATTTCGTTATCGCTGTTAGATTTCCAAGAATCAGCAGCATCCTCAACAATAACCTCAGTGACTCTTATTGGAACTGCCAAAGTAATGACAGTTTCTGTGGACCAGATAGTGAGACTCTGGAGCTTTGAATCAGACAAGTTGGTGTGCATCTCGGAAACTTATACCACTATTGCTGATACTGGCTGTTCAGAAGCGACGGAAATCGGAAACCTGTTGATGCTTCTTGTGGGCGGATCGGGACTCAGCACTTTTAAAGTTTCAAATTAATTTACGATTCAAGCTAATATATACGTGCATTAAGTGCGTCTAATCTAAGGTTTGTAGTAAATTATAATTCCAACAAACGCAAGTTGAAAACTGTGTCGTTGATAACTTGTTCTTCATCAATGATAGGACTCGTTGAACTTCCGAATGGCTCAATTGGTCTCTTTGTACATTTCAACAACATCTCTTCATTCTCCTTCAAGATGTTCTCGAAACCTATGGTATCCTTCGACACCTTGTATTCAACCTTGACGTCATCTGTGGTGTTCAAGCCAGCCTTCTTTCTCAATCTTTGAATACGGTTGATCAACTCTCTGGCCAAGCCTTCATTTTGCAATTCAGGGTACATGTTGACATCCAAGATGATGAGAATGTCTTGCTGGGATCTAGACTCATGTCCACTAGCTGCCAGAGCAGCTGGTAATCCTCTTTGAACTTGCAAATCTTCGGTGACTAATTCAATTCCGTCGACGGTCAATTTACCAGATTTAGCAAAAGCCTTGACTTCGTCTGAACTTACCGATGGTAAAGCAGCCTTGACCTTCTTGGCATCCTTCTTCAATTTCTTACCAAGAACTGGCCAGTCAGCCACCACGGTATATTCGACACCATACTTTTCCTCATCGGAGGAGATTACAATGTCTCTGACATTCAATTCCTCGATGATATAGTCTTTCAAAGATTCAACATCGCTCAAGTAGTCAGGGTCAGAGTGTAAGATGACAAGTTCCTTCAAAGGAGTCTTCAAAGAGATCATCTTCTTTTCTCTGATGTTTCTTCCCAAATCAATAACCTTTTGCATTCTGCCAACAGCGGTCTCAATCTTCTCATCAAAAAGTTCCTTTCTTTCAGTAGGGTACGACATGAAGTGAATGGACCTGGTATCTTTCTCCTTAGGGTTGACACTCAAAGAGATCAAATCTTCTTCGGTGAAGTAAACCTTAAGTCGTTGGTAAATACCATCGGCAAGGAAAGGAGTGAAAGGAGCCATTGCACGAGACAAGGTGAGTAAAGCCTCCGACAAAGTGTTGAGTGCAACTCTTGTGTCTTCCTTGTCTCCACTCAAACCCTTGAGACGTCTACGGTTGAACCGAATGTACCAGTTAGTCAAGTCGTCAATCAAGGACAACAACTTGGGAACAACGGTGTATAACCTGTAAGCCTGCATCTCTTTGTGAATGAATGCAATTAAGGATTGAAGAGATGCCATTAACCATTTGTCCATTACGTTGGTTGAGAACAATTTCGAGTTGTAGACAAACTTCTCACCATTGTCTTTCTGGTAAATGTTGGCAGCATCATTAAAGAACTTGAAGGAGTTATACCAAGGTAATAAGACACTTGAGACCACCTCTCTCACACCTTCTTCCTTGAACTTCAAGGTTTCAGCTCTAGCAACGGGTGACTTGATCATATACAATCTCAATGCGTCGGCACCGTACTCCTTCAAGACTATATTAGGGTCTGGGTAGTTTTTCAATCTCTTAGACATTTTCTTACCATCAGCAGCCAGCACAATACCGGTGACAATGACGTTTTGGTAAGGGGCAGTATTGAACAAGTGTGTACCCAAGACAGTCAAGGTATAGAACCAACCTCTTGTTTGATCCAAACCTTCAGAGATGAAGTTGGCGGGGAATGAGTTCATGAAAAGTTCCTTATTCTCAAAAGGATAATGTCTCGAAGCGTAAGGCATTGAACCGGACTCAAACCAACAATCAAACACCTCTTCAACTCTCTTCAAGTTGCCCTTACCTTGCTTGGAGGGAATGGTAACATCATCGATACTGTCTCTGTGGATATCAGTGATATCATCTCTTCCAGATAATTCCCTCAATTCTTCAATAGAGCCAACGCAAACGATTTCTTCAAAGTCGTCACTAACCCAGAGTGGAATTGGAGTACCCCAGTATCTGTTTCTGGAAACATTCCAATCTCTAGCGTTGGAAATCCAGTTGGAAAACCGCTTTTCCTTGATGTTGGATGGCACCCAGTTTGTCCTCTCGACATTCTTCAACATATCTGGGACAATATCAGTCACACGAACAAACCAAGCTGGCACAGCTCTGTACAAAAGAGGTGTATCAGATCTCCAACAGAATGGGTACGAGTGCTTGATTTGGGTGTTCATCAAAATTCTTCCATCTTCTGTCAATCTTTTGATGATGAGCTTGTCTGCATCCTTGACATACACACCATGGAAATCAGAAACTTCAGCAGTGAAGCGACCATTGTCATCCACTGGATTGGGTGGAGTTCTCTTCTCGTTGATAACACCAGCGTTAGCGGCAGCATTGAAATCTTCCTCACCAAATGCTGGAGATTGATGGACAATACCAGTACCAGAGTCTGCAGTAACGTAGTCTGCACCAATAACCTGGAAGCCATGGTCCTTAAAGCTGTCGTAAAAGTAGTTGAAAAGTGGCTTATACTTGAGTCCAACTAAGTCTTTACCTTTGATTTTCTCCACGACCTTATACTTGGCGGCAGCAGGCTTCTTGTAGACGGCATTTAACAAAGACTCCAACAAAATGAAATGCTTCTGCTTCTCTTCATCAAAGATTTTGACGTACTCAAAGTCAGGATTAACACACAACGCGATGTTAGAAGGCAATGTCCAAGGGGTGGTGGTCCATGCAATCAACCAAGTGTTCTCATCGTCGATAAGAGGAAAAGATACGGTGACTGCAGGATCATTGACATCTTTATAGTTTTGCTGAGCTTCAAAATTGGACAAAGGGGTAGTCAAACCAGTAGAGTATGGCATGACACGCAATCCTTTGTAGACAGCATCCTTCTTGTACAACTCTTTGAAAGCCCACCACACAGATTCCATAAACTCTGGGTACAAAGTCTTGTAATCGTTATCCATATCGATCCACCTTCCAATTCTTGTCACAGTTCTGCGCCATTCATCGGCGTATCTCATCACAATCGCCCTACACTCAGCATTGTATTTGTCAATACCCATCTTCATGACATCGTGTTTACCGGTAATACCCAACTTTTTGTCAATCTCGTACTCGATAGGTAACCCATGAGTATCCCATCCAAATCTTCTCACCACATGGTGTCCATTCATTGTAGCATACCTTGGAATGATATCTTTCACTGTAGAAGCCAAAAGATGTCCATAGTGAGGTGTACCAGTAGCAAAAGGAGGACCGTCAAAGAATGCAAAAGGTGGAAAATCTTTTGTCAATTCCAAGGAACGTTGAAAAGCATCCACCTCATTCCACTGGTCAATAACCTTTTCTTCTTCCCTAGGGAAGCTAAAATGACCCAGTTCTTCAGCCATTACTAACCAAAAGTTGTTTGTGGAAGTCCAAGTCAGACGATTATAACTTGTCTGGCGGTGACTAATTGAAAAAATTTGCAGCAGATGCAGTACCGCACTAAATAATCTCAGCATATCGGCACCATAGATTGAACGGCGCGAAGGTGACTCGACCGTAGCTATGCTTAATGAGTCAATTATTTAGGCACTGAATGATTACGATAGCACAATTCCAGAACTGCTTTCATGCGTGTTTTGGGGCAACGACCGTTAAGGCGCCAAGACGTCTAGCCATCGCATTATCTGGTGGTGTGGATTCGATGTGTTTGGCTTATCTTCTTTCTCAGTACAAGCAGGTGTACGAGCCAAGCTTGGAGCTCCATTCTATAACCATAGACCATGGATACAGGTCTGATTCGGAAATTGAGGCCCAGAAAGTTGCGCAAGTGGTGCAAAACTGGGGTATATTACCGTCGGTCTCTCGTTTGAAATATAGTTGCAACCCTGCAAAAATTTCCAATTTCGAAGAAGTAGCCCGTACGATGCGGTACGCCGAGTTCGAAAGATTTTGCCGTGGAAATAACATTGAAGGACTTTTGGTGGCACACAACTTGGACGACCAAATTGAAACTTTTATCCAACGGCTCCGTCAGAATTCGTCAATATTTGGACTTGCAGGCTTAAAGAGAGCTACCACACTTCCAGTTGCAACTAATGAGCCGAATGAGAGACCAATTCCTCTCTTTAGGCCTCTTTTGCAATTTCCAAAGTCTGAATTGATCAGCACTTGCATTGCGAATAAGATACAGTGGTTCGAAGACTCAACAAACCAAGACGCTAATTTGACTGAGCGCAACTTCTGGCGCTCCGAACTAAAGAAACCCGATGACGAGTCAGTTATTAATCGAGATCAGTTCTTGCAAACTTTTCTGGAAGTGGAAACTGTGGTCAACGAGCTTCGAAAGAAGGTTAAAGCGCTCAAACTTCATGTTTTTGGTACCGAGGAATGCGAATATGCTCGTAACGGAACATTGAGCTTTCAGATTCAGTACTCAGTACTTTCCAACCTTTCTGCTATGGTATTCAGTCGTTTTCTTTTTCAAATATTGCATCCTATATCTGCGTCTCGCGATTACCACTGGATGTACGCAAAGCTAGAACGGCATGCTGTACCAAGAATCATGAAGCATTTTGTTGTATCTCAGAACAGAGTAGCATTGCGCCTAACATATCTCAATATTCTATGGAATATTGAACGAATTGAAGATACCTTACATTTCCATTTTGAAAGGCAGCCTATACCTCAGAATGAGTATGCTCATATATCAACCAGCATAAATCCAGACGGAAAGAGTACACTTTTTGACAATAGATTCTGGATAAGACTAAAGATTGCTACTAAGAACAAAGTCAGTGTGGAACCTTATGATCCAAAAAGACATAAAAAAATCATTCGTCAAGCCTTTCCTGAATTGAAGAAGTTTTCCAACTTATCGAAATCCCTTAAACTGACCCCAATTGTTATTGCACAAGATATTATGGCAGTTCCGGTTCTCGATAAGGTCAAGGCGAACATTCCAGCTGACGTGGAAGTGCAACTAAAAGCTAACTTATTTACGAACTCGTAAGTGTTCAAACAGAAAGGTTGCGAAGCTTACAAAGTTATTACCAGTGTAATTGCAATTCTCTTATATACAACTCGACCCACTGTAAATAGCAAAAACCGGAACGAAACCATCCTGTAGTTGAAATACGAATTCCACACATCTATGGCTTTACTCTTTTGAGTCGGCTGCAAAAGAATCTAAATGCGGTCCTGTCAACTCTCCAGCCTGTATACAGGAAAACCAAACTTGTTTAAATTTTGTCCATCATTAACACTAACGGGTGTAGACGCCACCGAATAACGCCTGCCACTACATATAGGCAATTAATACATCATAATCACATCTCGAGTATTGCCGCAGGATGTTCACTCCCCACCAAATCAACTCGTCCACTCCAAGGACTCAAAAACGTTCTCGGCATGGTGGCCGACTGAGTCAATTGCTTCGTGTTTCTCATCAACAAGTCAAGTTGGACGTGGATATAGAACGCAAAAGTGTTTCCGGAGTGACAGATATTGCAATAGTACCGTCATCAAACTCGTTACGTACGATTAAACTCGATTGTCGTGAGATGAAAATCTCCAGCATCACCGTCAACAAGCGCAAGGTCAATTATATCCATCAAGACCTTTTGTATATTAACAACCCCGAAGAATTCGAAAGTAAGGTGAACTCGTCATCGATAGATCTCTTTGACTTGTACTCAAATGAGTTGACCATCCATCAGCACCATCTAATCAGACAAAAACTCAACTACTTATTCGGCGATGTCAACTTTGATCCTCGAGAACCATCAACCGAAGTTCAGAACGGAAACACCGAGGAGCTAAAGATATTATTGCCAGAAAATTTCAAGTTTGAACAAACAGACCGCTATAATAGTCCTGAAGTGCACCACCACGACTCTGGCACTCCAATGCATCTAAGAAAATCCACATTCAGCTCAGATTACAGTCCAATCATGGTAAGGATCAAATATACCTTGAAGAACCCTCAGAATGGTTTGAAATTTGTATCTGGAGATCACTTGGACGTCAAAAAATGGCATGTGTACACAACAAATTCAGAGTTCAACATATCGACATCATCCTGGGTTCCGTGCATAGATAACCTCTGGGATAAGTGCTCCTGGACCATAGAATTGGACATTCCCCGGAGCACGAAAGAGTTCGAAAATAGAACCCTAGAATCTAATAATCATGAAGCAAATGGTGATGATGACAATGCAATGAACAAGGATGAAGAAGAAAATGAAAAAGAACAAGAAGATGGAGACGATGAGAATAGTAATGAAGAAAACGAAAACATGCATGACATTAATAACAACTTGGATGATGATGAGTATCTTGATATGGTTGTGTGTGCCGGCGACATAGACAACTACAAAGAATTACCACATCCATCAAAGCGAGACAGAAAGCTAGTCTCGTGGTCCATATTCAACCCGATCAGCGCTCATCATGTTGGCTGGTGTCTCGGACCATTTCAATCTTACACAGTGTCGAGCGATTCCAATGATGTCGTTTTAGACGATGATTTTGGGGCCGCTGGGGCTGAAGTGGAAAGAGACTCAACAAATGCTCCTTTGACAATATATGCCCTTCAGGATGATTTAGAGGATGCAAAGAACACATCCGCAATCATACGTGGTGCCTTGGATTTCTTCCTGCGAGAGTTTGGATCGTTTCCCTTCACATCTTATGCTGTGACATTTGTACACGATTTGCCAATTGAGGTGAACAACTTTGCAGGACTCAGCGTGATTAGTGACACAATGCTCTTTCCCGCCGATATCATTGAGCCCATGTTCACCAATACAGAAATATTAATCGATACGCTCGCGGAACAGTGGTCTGGAATTAATATTACTCCCCAACAGTTCGGCGATTTCTGGGTGACTATTGGTATTTCCAAGTTCATGTCCCTCAGCTACATTCGGCATCTTATGGGACAAAATGAGTACAGGTTTAGAATCAAGATCAAAAAGGCACAAGTAGCTGATGAGGACGTTGGCAAGAAGCCCTTGGCTTATCAATTTTACCAGTATCCTTTATCTACTTCAGATTTATCTTTTGTTTCATTAAAAGCTCCTGTCGTCTTATACATTTTGGACAAGAGAATGACCAAAACAGACAAGTCCTTCGGGCTTTCCAGAGTGCTTCCAAAAATTTTCCTTCAGGCAATGTCTGGTGATTTACAAAATAGCACCTTGTCTACATTACACTTCCAGTACGTCTGCGAGAAAGTGAATCGCAACAAGCTCGAGTCTTTTTTTAAGCAGTGGGTCTTCAATGCTGGTGTACCACTTTTCCTGGTTGCTCAACGGTTTAACAAGAAAAGGTCAATCATTGAAATGCAAATTCGTCAAATACAACTGCAAATTATTCGAAAATCAAAACCCAACTCCAACAACTTTATGGAAGACAGCATAGCCTACCTCGATGATGAACCTTCATTTTTGGTGCAGCCTGTATTTACCGGTCCCATGACAATAAGGATTCACGAAGCAAACGGTACTCCATATGAGCATATCATTGATCTCAAACATGAAACGTCAAAGCTTGACATCCAGTATAATACTAAATTTAGAAGGATGAAGAAGAAAACGGGAGACGAGGTGCACGAGACTGTTTCTTCATTCAAACAACTTGGTGATATCTTACAAACCAAAGCTGAGATGGAGGAGTGGAACTTGGTAGAGTGGATCAAGGATGAAGAAGATCCACTGTTCAATGACGCATTTGAGTGGTTAAGAGTGGATGCAGACTTCGAATGGATTTCCAAGATGAGTGTGAAGCAACCGGACTATATGTTTGCTTCGCAGCTTCAATATGATCGCGACGTTGAGGCTCAGTATGAGGCCGTCAGATATTTCGCCACGAGAGACAAACCGAACCGCAACTACTGTACCGTCCTCACTAGGACTGTTATGGATAGCAGATATTACTACGGTGTCAGAATTGCAGCTGCTCGTGCATTGGCTGGCTTTTCAAAAACCAATAACTTGTTTATTGGTCTTGAATATCTAATGAAGATTTTCAAGACGCTCTATTGCTTTCCAGAAAGTAATGTTCCCAAAACGAACGATTTCAACGATTTAGCAAGCTATTTCCTTAAGAAGGAAATGATATCGATATTTGCTACCATTCGTGATGATGATGGCAATTCACCCACCGAAGTTAAGCGCTTCCTTTTAAGCTTGTTGAAGTATAATGACAACTCCAACAACGATTATCAGGATGGGTTTTACGTTGCTGCTTTGATCAAAGCATTGACGAGCTGTATCATCATAACTGGTGATCTTCGAGACATTCCGGATGTTTTCGACAACTCAAAACAGAAATTTGTCGACGACGCTCTTGTCGAGATCAATCGTCTCCACAAACTAGATGAGTGGGTACCTTCGTACCATAACATGATATCTGTAGTTTGCTTGCAACTGAAGGTCCAGCTTGCTGTGCACGGCTATTATGAGTTGCCTTTTGAGGATTTACTTCCTTATACGTTGGGCAAATTCCCACTTGATGTGCGTGTTGAAGCTTTCAGAGGGCTTTTCCTCCTTGGAGGGCTAAGAAATGCTGCCGTCATGAAATACTTTTTGACAACTTGTTTGCTCACCAGGGAAAACTCCAGGTTTAAGCGCGGCCTAGTCGAAGCATTATGTTCTGCGGTGGCTTCCGTGGCTACGGGACCCGCCCCATCCACCTTGGATGATCCTGAGTTCAATTTCTATCAGGCACTTGAAGGTGAACGTCTGAAAATTGGAACCAACAAGACAAACATGATGATAATCGATGACGGGATGGACCTGGCCAGCTCGCGCAAGGAAATGTTTGCGAAATCTTCAATAGAGGGTGCAATTGATCTCTTGCGGGCCAAGTTTGCGCAAGGTGAAGGATTGAAGAACACTTTATGGGAATTGCTTCACAATTCTCTTTTGAGCCTTTATGAGCGCCGAAGAATATTCAACTTGTGCCAAATTCTTTACGAGGAGAAGGATCAATTTTTGGTCAGATTACCCGTGCACAATGTACCTCTTGAAGACTTTAATAAGAAGATTGTGGCCAAGTACATTGGCGATAATACCGTGGTCATCAAGAGGGAAGGAAGATTCAAGATTCAATTGGCACGTCTGATAAGTGTGGAGCACTCTGACAAGAAAAAAAGAAGACACTCTGCAGTTGAAAACGATGACGAACTTGAAGATAATAAGTCTCGTGAAAAACGACCTATTTTACGATTCACAACCAAGCCTAAACCTGAAGAGGTTCCAACTCCTGTACAAGTAGAAGAGGTGGTTCCTGAGCTCCAAAGAATAGGTTTAGTTGCTGTTGAAGGCACCCTGGTTAACATCAAACTTTCGTCAAGGACGCTTCGTAGTTTGGCGAAAGTTAGGTCTGCCCCTGCTCCTGTTGCGAATACCCCATCAGTGGTATCAACTTATCACCCAGTTACATTGAAATTCGAGCGAGAAGTCTCCAGAAGGATTATACATCACTTTGTAAATGGTGCTTCGAACAAGAGATATGTCAAGATTTTCACTAAGGAGGGCCGTGCAGAAGTATCATCCAAACCATACACGAAATCGACAGGTGGAAAAGCTACAGAGTCACAAGACGAGAAACATGAAATTGCTGTATCAGAAACTACTGTCAATGAAGAAGCTGGAACTGAACAAGAGCGAGAAGAGCCATCAACTAAGACACCAGACGACGGAAAAGTTGAGAAGCCAGACAATCAAGACCAGAAATCAGATGAAGAAAAAGGTCAGAATCTAGATGAAGGTGAAACTCAAAAATCAAATGAACTTAAGGCTCAGAAACCAGACGAGCAAACCAATGAAGCAGACGAAGTTAAAGGTCCGAAACCAGAAGAACATGCTGTTACTGAGCCAGATCGGTCAGAGAAACCCGCTCTTGAGAGCAAACCTTTGAGCAGGTCGGTGAGTCCCTTTGATACTGGGCCAGCCCAAACTAAAGGTTATCGTAAGAAGAAGAAAGAGGTATACATTCATAATGGAAGTCCGAGTCCCGCTACGAATTCGGATGAAAATAACTCGAAGAGCGGATCCGATAAGGTAGAAGAGACTAAATCATCTGGTACCGAAAACGGAGAAAAACTGGCTCCTAAGCCTAAACTTAAGCTCAAGTTGAGCCTCAAAAAATAATCAATTGACCAAACGGAGCCGAAGTTACTCCTCATAGATCATAGAATAACGAAGACATGACGAAGAATATTGTAGAATTAGTTCACTTCAGTAGGTCCCAGTGGTCCTGTACATCGCACAATAACCACACAGGTGCAATGGGTGTGGCTGGTGAAGTTGGGAATCTCTAAGCATACAGCTCTGGTCCTAGCATGTCCTACATTCCTCCATATAGCATTCCCAAATCCAGTGCTACCACTTCAACCACAAACACCAATACAACCTCTGAATCTGTTAGCAAAGTGGCTCAAGATAATAAGATTGTTAAACCTGATATACCACCTGATAATGGAATACAAACTCAACTATTAAGAGGTATGTTGGGCACTTCCGAGTCTCCCAGGCTACAAAGCGGCTCGCCAGGAGTATCAGATGCTGCTCCGGCAGTTGTGACTGTGGAAGACAAAGGACAATTTAAAACAGCGACCGACAGCGGAACGAAGGACTTGGTCAGTTTGTTTGACAAGTTTGATGTGAGCAAAGAGATAGGAGAGGACAGCAAGGACGACGAAGAGAACAAGGAAAACGACAGGCAAGACAAAGAGAGCAACAAAGACAACAAAGAGGACGATAAAGAGCACACGGAAATGGAACCGGCTTTGGATACTGTTGCCTCTGAGGGAAAAGACGAAACCACAATTGACGAAGATCCTACAGCTCTCAACCGACCGGGTATATCTTCGATTGGCTCTGATGACGATGAATCCACACACGAAAAAGCAGAGGAAAAGAATGAGTCAGAAGACAAAAACGAGCACCTGACGCCAGGGACCACCAGTAATACGCCCCCATTGATGGTTCAAAAGGCTCTGGCCATGACAATACAACCATATGATCCCTTTTCAAGCACAGCGAGCCCAGACCCAGAACAGGCTCAGCAGAAAGACTTATCTGACATAACGGGCGCCATAGAGCAAACTTCCATTAAAGAATTCGAGTTACCGAAAGAAACACTTGATAACGAGTTGCTGTCTGATGTGGCAGCCGAAAGCAACAAAGCTGGCAATGAAGCATCGGGCCCGGAGGAGGAGCATCGCATGTCTTCAACCAACGGAGTGGATGCTAATGAGCAGTATAAGCAGTCGCATAAACCATTTGATTTTGACCAATTTTTAGTGCATTTACGCAAGAAGTCGGCCGATCCAATAGTCCGATTCATTCGTTCCTTCTTGCTCAATTTCAACCGCCAAGCTCACGCATTATCTTACGAGCAGAAAATCAAGATCATTTCCGACTTCAAACAATTCATGAACGAGAAATTTGCATTATATGAACCCTTTTCATCTATGGACACGATAGACCTAGAAAATTCAAGAGAAGGATTGGAAAAATTGATTATGAACAGACTATACGACTTGACTTTTCCTCCAAATGTTGCAAAGTCTCTTGGTAACCGCGAGGCCGAGTCCACGTACAAAGACTTGGAAGAAGATGAAGAATTTGCTCGTCAGCTAGAAAAGTTTAGCTGGGTCAATGGCTCACATTTGGACATTGATCTAGAGAGTCTTTCACGACTTCGAACGCAAGTTTCTGACGATGATTCTAACTTTTTGGACTACGCTATTCAGGAACTCAACAAGATCAATGATTATAGAGCTCCACGAGATAAGATAATTTGCATTCTCAATTCATGCAAAATCATTTTCAGTTTCCTTAAAGTGAACAAACAAGAGACGAGTGCCGATTCATTTATTCCATTATTGATTCTAGTGATCATTAAAGCAAAGACTAGCCATTTCATCAGCAACATACGGTATATTGAAAATTATCGAGGTGAAGAATGGCTCTCGCACGGAGAAACCAGCTATTACCTCTCGTCGGTGCAGGGAGCGGTGGGTTTTATCTCTAAATTGGACTTTGAGCAACTCAAGATTGACAAGAAGGAATACGATGCACATCTTGAAGCCTGGCAAGCGGAAGAAACGAGGCTAAACAAGCAAAAACTGGCTACTACTAAACCCAAGGCTAGCCTTGAGACACGATTGCAACAGCCAAGGCCACAGCATGCTGCTCAAAATACTCAAACATCACCAAGTCAGAGCTTCTCACCTTCTTCGGTTCTTCTTACTAGTGCGGAAATGGTGTCGAAGTCAATATCTAATTTTTTGTCGCCGTCACCCACAGAGGAACCACAAGTGGCTCAAAGAAGACAGCGTGAACTGAATCACCAAGCAGAACCACCCATTGACCCAGAAACCATGAAATCCATCTACGACAATTTGACGGAAATTTTCCCCAACATAGACTCCACGGTTCTCAAAGACTTGATAGTGATCAAAAAAGGCAATCAAGACGAATGCGTAGAAGCATGTTTACAATTGGTCAACGAGGTCTGATTACTGAAATTTGACATGGTGAAAAATCATTATCAAACTCAATAGGGAAATCGGATCCCTCGCATCGATATGCCCAATCGGGCAAAACCAAGAGAGCCCATGATATATATAAAGAAGGTTGAAGTGATGATATTCCAGTTAAGGATACAACCCAAAACCACTCCAACAAGTCAAACAATCATTTCATCATGCCAATGTTATACAAGCCAGCTGCTGAGGGTAAGGCCGTCAGACCTCCTCAAATTCCTTCCCCAGGAAACAACTCTTTCTTAGGTGACACATTCACATCTGATGCTCCAAAGGAACAACAAATGTCTTGTGGATTCTACAAGCAGGAAAAGGGTGAACCATTGGTCTACACTTACACTTATGATGAGATGAAGGTCATTTTGGAAGTCGAAGGAGAATACACCATCACCGACGAGACTGGATACCTGGTTTCCGTATCGCCTGGAGATGTGTTTTACTTCAAGAAGGGAACCACTATCACTTTCAAAACCACTGGTTACGGTCTTGCTTTCTTTACTGGCTTGAGACCAAATGGAGAGGCCTAAGTTATTGACTAGATTATCACAATAGTAAAATTATCTGCCCTCTGCCAAATGTAGCAATTGAAGAAGAAGTTCTGATACACTTGGTGATACTTGAGCCATCTAAGAATTGCTTCTTATTTTCTCCTTTGTAGTTGCAAACATCTGCTTTACCTGTTCCAGAAGTGTTGCGAATGTGGTGGAACATTTATTTTCGCGAATCGGTTATTTCGTGATCCACTCTACTTCACATTACCTTCGAAATGCCAATTGACTATTCCAAGTGGGACCACATCGAGATTTCTGATGACTCCGACATTGAAGTACACCCCAATGTTGATAAGAACTCATTTATAAAGTGGAAACAAAGAGATATTCACGAAAAAAGACAGCAACGGAATGTAGAGATCAAGTCTATTTTGGTCCAGTCGACCATGTATGTTAAGCTCAACGAAAGAGTTGATTATCTCTTAGAGAATTGCAACGATGAAGAGCTTTTGGATACCAAGGTGGTCATTGACAAGCTTAATCTGAAGTTCGACAAGCTGGAACGGTTTGACTACGAACGACTCATTAAGGAACAAGGTTCGAGTCTCAGGAAGGGATTGAAGGACCTCACTTTCGATAAAGAAGAGATTGGAAACACGCCCCCATACAATGAGATGGTTGAAGATTTATTCACACAGGTGAAAGAAGATCACAAAGATGCCGAAACCGATGCCTCCAAATTGCGGTCATATATTTCGGAACACAGACAGAAAATTGACGATGTTTTGTCGAAGCTGTCAACTAAACTAGACGACCTCTTGTACCAGAAATCATTGTTGATCACTAACGATGATTTACATACTGGTTTTGACCGCTCGTTCATGAATAAAGATGATGAGACCAAGCCAGAACCTAAGAAAGTAAAGGAAACAACCATTGAGACATTAAATAGTCCTCTGGTACAATCTCAAGAGGTTCTGCATCAAACAAGTTCAAACCACGAGAAATCTGAAAAAGAACTCCTCGATGAGTTGAAGGTTTTGCCAGAAACTGAAAAGTTTTCCGTCATAAAATCAGATAATTTGGATGAAAGTGCTAAATACTTGCTCCATGACCCTCACATATGTACAGAGCAGCAAAAGGATGCATTGCTCATGACAGCTTTCGACTCCCAATTGCAAGGAGACGAAAGTAGAACAAGACAGATCATACACCAATCATTACTTCTTCAATACATTGCCCAGTTGGCAGGACCAAGACCCACCAAGGACCTGATCATCAAAGCCATAAAGTTGTTCATCAGCAAAATCAAAGATTCAAGTGCCCCAGCCAGAGGTGCTTTCTTACAGGACTTTGAGAATACCTTCAAGCATATCGTCCAACGGTGCGAGGTACTCAAACAAGAACAAAGCAGTGGTGAACGTGGAGAAGCACTTATTCAATTGAAATCTCTTGATGATGACAAAGAACTCCTGGTCAATCTTCCTCAAGAAGACACACCAGAGTTTGAAATCTTCTCTACCCAGCTTCCGAAAGAAATGCAAGAAGCTGTCAAGGAAGGGTCCTTGGATAGAGTCAACGAAGTGTTTGCAACATTACCTTTGGAAGAAGGTGAAAGAATTCTCGAGGTGTTCAATGAGTGTGGTGTAATAGGCTTAAGTGGTTACTTGCTGGATGAAAATGAATTCCAGGAACTACAAAAGCAGTACAACGAGAACATGGATCTCAAGCCAACGGAAGCTGTTGAAGATACAGTGGACTAGTTAATTTTCCGGCTTACATTTGATCAGCTTGAATATATGCTCATCTCAAGAATAGAAATGCTTTACATTTTAGCTCTACGATTCGCCTGTAGCAGCCTTACAAATGTTCTACTGCTTACTCAATTTTGCCAATGTGTCGGAAAGAACCTTCAGCTGAGGTGAACTGATATCATATCCTTTCTTGGTCTGGAGCTGGGCCAAAAGAGTAGAAACCTGGGTGGAAGGTATCGACAGAGAAGTCGGTGCATATTCAGAAACATTGGAGGCCAAATTATACGGTGTTGCCTGCTGGTATGGAAGAGGTTGCTGTAGTGGTTGTTGTTGCAGTTGCTGAAGTGGATGCTGAGGTGGATGTTGAAATGGTTGCTGAGGTTGTTGTTGTAATGGTTGTTGGAGTGGTTGTTGGAGTGGTTGTTGGAGTGGTTGTTGGAGTGGTTGTTGGAGTGGTTGTTGGAGTGGTTGTTGGAGTGGTTGTTGGAGTGGTTGTTGGAGTGGTAGTTGGAGTGGTTGTTGGAGTGGTTGTTGGAGTGGTTGTTGGAGTGGTTGTTGGAGTGGTTGTTGGAGTGGTTGTTGGAGTGGTTGTTGGAGTGGTTGTTGGAGTGGTAGTTGTGGTTGTTGCGGTTGTTGCTGTTGTTGTTGCAAAAACATTATCATCTGTTGCATTGTCGTTGGATCTAAATTTTGCAATGCCTGCAACAACTGAGTTTGCCCCGAGGGTTGCACCTGGTTAAAGTTCTGATACGGAGTAGTAGCCACCGGAATATTAGAGTTCACGCTCGGTGGTGGAGCATACTGCCCCTGCGGAGGAGCGCCGAATGGTTGCACGGAAGGTTTTTGGATGGTGGGGTTATATTGGAAACCTGGAGTTCCATTCTGATATGTTTGATGATGGTATTGATTTGGCTGTGAATAACCAACATTTGCATGCTGATTCCCAATTGGTGGACCCTGAGGTGCTTGAGGTTGCTGAGCTTGGTTGTTAATTTTAGGAGTAGGAGAATAAGACTTTTGACGAGGACTGTAAGTAGTCGGTCCATACATGTCAGCAAACAGGGATTTGTGACCTTTCAGATCTCCAGAGCGAAGCAGAGCTGCATTTCTGGAACTTCTAACTCTTGAAGTCGTGTCATTTCCTCCTCTATCCTTTTTGATGCTTTGGTATATTGTTTGTGGTGCTGGTTGTGGTGCGGCCTGTGGTGCTGGTTCCGAAGCTGGTTCTGAAGCTGGTTCTGGCGCTGGCTCTGGCTCGACTGTGGTAGACTTTGAGGATGAGTTTTGAATGACTTCTACTGCCACAGTAGGTTCAATACCTGCGTATTCGTCGAACCTTATTCCATCGTCATTGGTCTTCTCAAATACTTGTAAGTCCACAGCATGTTCTTTAACAATACATGCACTCCGAACACCAGAATATGCAACCTCACTGATAAGTTCGCTCAAGTCCTCATCTTCAATATCTTCCACCTGGAAAGTAATACCGGTTTCGATAAATAGTTGCTTCAACTTCGCAGTATTGTGACCTGACGACTCGTTCGTAACAAATATTTGACATTGAATCGGGCCATCATTTGTTTTTTGTTGCTTCAATTCCACATCTTGCTCTTTCACATCTACTTTTTGTCTTTTCATGCCTGGGGGTGTTTCCTCTACCGAACGTTCACGACCGCGAGCTGCTTCCAGATACTTTTTCCCTGGGAACGCGGGCGTCGCATTTAGTCTCCAATATCTTCCAAACAAAGGAACATCATGCTCCCCTTTAATTGCTTCTTTGCAATCAGCTTCATTATGAAAGTGAATAAATGCAAATAAGGAACGATTAGTTACCTCATGCAATTTTCCGTACTGACTGAATATTCGGTAAAGGTCTTTTGCACTTACTGTCGCAGGAAGATTGCCAACAAACAACCGGATGTCACCCAGTGGTCGATGAATAGACGAAGTGTAGGATTCTTGGTGTTTGAGAAATTCATTGTACGCTAGTTCTTCATCCGCAGACATGGGTATGGTTAAATTAGGTCTCCGGCAATATTCATTGTAGGGAATTAAGGGAATGGTATGGTTCCATAACAATGCTGGTTCGTTGAATGAATAGATTTGGTCGTAATTCATTCGGTCAATTTTTTCAGGTGTGAGGCCTGCAACAAGCTTTACTTTACTTCTCACCAACTCGCCCAAAATTGTCTTTTTTTGATCAAGCTCACTAAGAGCCTGGAATTCTTTACTTTTCACTAATTTACTTCGCATCACCGCTTCATAAGCTGCGCGAAACTGGATATGGGGATCAACGTCTATTCGAGAAAATTCAGGTGGGATAATCGGTCTAGGAGGTAATCCAGAGCCGGAAAAAGGCAAACGTACAACTGGTAAAGTGGCTTCAGGATCATACGAATCGTCATATTTTTCGTCGGCATTTGCTTGGATGTGGTTATTTTGCGGTTCGCGGATCACACTCTTTTCACCATCGTTAATAGTGTTATCGGCGCTTATTTGCGTACTTGTAAATGCAGTTTCCGGATCATAATCATCGTCAGAATCAGATCCGGAGTTTGCTAACAATTCTGATGATTCTTTTGCAGTTTTGTAACTTTCTAAACGTAGTTCGACTTCATCTATTTTCATGTCATTTGCTTCAGGATCAACGCTTTCTGTCAAAGGAGCATCCTTGCTGGTAGACTCGCTCGCTATATGAACTTTGTGCTTACCGCCGTTATCTATACTTTGTGGCGTACCCTCCATATGCTGCACCATAACGAGCCGAGAAAAAAAAATATGTATTCGTACGGCATATAACATCAAGCGAAGTACTTTGACCCCCCCCCCCGCGTAGCGTGGAGGGCGCCAATTGTGCGAGCGGAGTATTCGATGCAACATGCAGTGCTCCGGTGCGGCGCGTCGACTACTAAAAGGTACTGTGGTCCTGAAATTTTCCACTTCGGAAAAACCATGTCGTTGAATCTTGCTATAGTCGGAACGGGAATTTTTGCTACTGATAAGCATCTTCCAACAATTGCCAACATCAAGGAGTTGACTCCTTCTGCCTGCTACAACAGAACCAAATCTAAGGCTGAAACCTTTGCTGAGAAGGCAGGGATCAAACAGGAAAATGTGTTCAATTCTTTGGAAGAGGTTTTCGAATCGAAGCTGGTTGATGCCGTAGATGCCCTTTTGCCTGTACAGTACAACTTGGATGCTGTGAAGCTTGCGGTCCAACACAACAAGCCTATTTGTCTCGAGAAACCAATAGCTGCAAACTTGCAACAAGCTAGAGAAATTGTCAAGCTTTCTTCCGGTTCGTCGACTCCAATCGCCATTTTGGAACAATGGTCATTCTTGACGGTGATTAAGACCCTCAAAGAGGAAATTTTACCAAAAATTGGCGACATTGCTTCGTTCACTTACCACTCTACTGGAGCATGGAACGACAACAACAAATACTTGGCCACTGGCTGGAGACAGAACCCAGAACACATTGGTGGGTTCTTGAGTGATGGTGGTGTGCATCAATTGGCTTTGTTGACCGATGTTTTGGGAGAAGTTGATACTGTCTCTGGTTTCACCAAACAGTTGAGAAAAGAGAGTGGAGCCGATGACATCTTGTACTCTACTTTCAAGATGAAGTCTGGAGTCATTGGAAACTTTACTTATGGCTCTGCCTTCGGTGCTGCCGACAAGACGTTGAGATTCACCATAATGGGAACCAAGGGTTCTGTCATTTACGACTTTTCTCCATCGTTGCCCAAGCCAACTCTCAGCTACCAAGTCGGTGAGTCTTCCCAACGTACTACTGAAAAAGAGGTTATTGAGGTGGACGAGATCGACAACATGAAAGCCGAGTTCGTGAACTTTGCTGAAGCTGTGTTGAGTAAGGAAAAGTCCAAGATCGTTGTTCCTCCTGCCAAGGCTTTCCACCATTTGGCAGTTATAGCTGCTGCTCTTGAAAGTTCGAGCAAAAACGGTACCGCTGTAAAGGTAGAGGAGCCATGAATTAAATGCTATTGAGATAAAAATATTCACAATTCATCCTTTGCGTATTGCAATGCTGTAGAAACCACATCCTCCCAAGTCGAAGCAACATTGTTGGTATCAATGTCAATAACTATATCAGAGACGACCAGGATTGCAGATTCGAGAGCTGACAGGATCGACGACGACGAGATCGATGAAATTGACGAAATTGACGAAATTGACAGAGCAGAAAGCAGTGTCAGAGTAGATGACAATAAGGTCTCAACGATTGGCGAGGATATCGCTGCTGTGTCCATTTTTGAAGCCGAGTAATCAAAGTTCATGTTGGGCAAAAACCATGAGAATACTCGGAACACCTTCATGATGGTCCAGAAGAGCAATCTAACTGGTAACCTGAAAATTCTTCTCCATAAGATCCATGCGCTGCAAAGTAAGAGGAACCCAATACTAATATAGATCCGCTTTTTGTCCTGTTTATCTTGCTTTTCAATAAAACGAACAATGTTTTTGGACTTTTCCAAAGTTGCGGTCAAGTCAGACAACTTGAAACTCAATTGGGCAATGTCCTGGGTTTGTTGGTCCAAGTTGTCTATATTTAGACCCGTCTGTACGACGGAAGAAGCCATCATCTGCCTCGTCGACTGTAAAGCAGCCGTTATCGACTTATTATGAGCAAAGATCTGGTCGTCTACGGTTTCCTTAGTTTTAGTTGTGCTTCGTCCAGCGAATAACTGTTCCCTCGCCTCTGTATGGTCAGGTGATTTTGGTCTGGGGGCATACTTGTCGATGCGTGCCTGGTGGATTATTTCCCGTTCACGAGCACTGGATAATAGTTGGCTTTCTCTCAATCTTACTCGCAAGTGACCAAGTTTTTGTTGGTAGGCGAGGTAATCTTCCTTATAAAAGTCATAGTTTCCACTTGAGTTGAGTTCTGCCTTTAATATGTCCAAAAGATCTCGATAATTGTTGAGAGTTTGTTGAACTCGGCGGGTAATTTTTGTTCTTCTGGATTCAATTGAACCTTCGTAATCATCATCAGTAACTGCAATGCTGGCTATTTGAGAAAATGCTTCATTCTGAAGTACCTGTAAGCCATGGAAACACCTTTCGATGTCGCCTGGTCGTAGTATGTCGGATGCTATCATTGGGTCTGAGTTAGTTCCCAAAAGCAAATTTCCTGTGTGAATCTCGAATCTGAAACCAATTTGAAATATCCTGCGCGCTATTCCTGTATGGCATTATCGCGAGTAACTCCAAGAACTAAACCATATATCAATAATTTAGGGTAGAAGATAACTCGCACCAAATAAGCAATGTCTGACTTCCACAATACCAAACGCCCATTTGACCTCGCAGCATCTCTCGAAGAACAGCAACGACTCAGAGATGAAAGAAAGCGGTCCAAAAACGGATATACAGGCTTCGATAAGAATACTCCTCCCCATTTACAATTCATTAAAAGACCCCTTGTAACCGTCAACAAAGATCCACCTTCGCCGTTGAGGTTGAAAATCATGTCCTACAACACTTTGGCTCAGTCATTGGTCCGACGTACTCTCTTTCCCACAAGTGGAAACGCATTAAAATGGGCCACCAGATCGAAGGTTTTAACCAGCGAATTGAAATATTACGACGCAGACATAATGTGCTTGCAAGAGGTTGACGAAGTTCAATTCGAATCCTATTGGAAAGAAAAGCTCAAGGAGCTAGGTTACGAATACAAATTTGAGCGAGCATACACGAAGAGACATGGCATTGTCATTGCGTTCAAGCCACAATTGGTGAGCAGTACTTATTCAAGGGTTATCAACTATGATAGAGAAGATGCCGGCTTCCTTAGTTCGCAGACAACCACAGACAATCTTGGCCTTGTAACTTGCTTGAGCTTCACCAAAGAAACACGAGAAAAATACCCTCAATTGAAGTCTGGAATTGTAATCGCTACTACCCACCTCTTCTGGCATCCCATGGGAACATATGAAAGAGCCAGACAAAGCTTTCTCTTGATGCTGAGAACAATCCAGTTTGCTATGATGTTGGGTGGCTCACCAAATTCCTTTTATCATTTTATGGCTGGTGACTTCAATACCCAGCCCTTTGACTTTCCATACTTGGCTATGACGTCGAGTAAGCCTTTGTCGAGACAAGTTGGGGAGCCTGAAGCGGTCCTTGCTAAATCTTTGGGAACAGTTATTGATGATGAAGAGGAAGAAGAAGAGGAAGCGGATGGTCAAACAAGAAGCGCTCCACAATCTGCTCCCACCGAAAACCAACTCAGCACCATTGACGAACTTAAAACTTTGTACGATGAGATGCCATTCAATGCTATTTCGTTATATTCAATAGGTTACGAGCTGGTAGATCCAGCCAACAGTGGAATCGACAATGCCGATCACGAGCCATATTTTTCCAACTGGGCCCACGCCTGGAGGGGCTTATTGGACTATATCTTCGTTTTGGCCCCCAGAATCAACCAAAGACAACCCGATGTGCGCGAGCGTTTAGTTGAGGATCAAGGTGTGAAGCTCATTAGTCTTCTTCGTTTACCCAGAAAGCAGGAGATGGGGTCTGAACCATCGGGACAGCCAAGAACTGGACAATATCCATCCGATCATTTGTGTTTGATGGCCGAAGTAGAATTAAGCTGATAAGTCAATCATTTGTGATACCAAATCTTCTAATGGCCCGTAATCCTTTCTTTCTATCAAGTTGAACTCCTTGCTAAAAAGCACATAGTGCTTCAAGCTAGTGTTCAAATGACTTTGTAAACCCAACTCAGAGATTTCATGGAAATGATGACAATAGATGTGAGCGTAAATACGGAACATGCGCTTGAAGATGGTTTTGACCAACATGGGGAACTGTTGCGGGAACGGAGCACCGATCTTTGAGGGGAAGATATTGTCGTTATCGAAAAAATTTTGAATCCAGTTCATCAAATGTTCGATATAGTCGGCGGCTGGTAACGAAACAGGCTTTTTAGGCAGCGAGCTGCCATTCATTGCGGGGTTGGTTTCTTGCCATAGGTACTCGTATTCATCTGTGGCTGTCATTCTAGGACAAGTTTGTGGCGAGCAAAACTCTGTAATAGCACCATATAGCATGTTTATCTGGTTGTAAAAATCTACCACATGAACCGCTAGCCATTCATTAACCTCTTCGTCTTGAGGAAGTTTTACTGCTTGGATCAATGCATTATCAGAACCCAATGTTTGCTCAGCATAGTTTCGAATATCCTTGTGTGTGGATACGGTTTGGCCATTATTGTTCAAGTTGATGGTCTGGTACTGTTGTGGGGAGTTGGGATTGGTGTTACTTTGGTTCAATTCGTATGGGTCTAATCTTGGAGTCGAAGGAAAAGCTGAACTCGATACCGGTTGAGGACTTGAAATGGGAGACGTCAGCTTCAACTTGAACCCACGGGTTGACCGCAACGAGTGCGTGTTGAAATTTTGAAAGAAGGACATGATGTGAAGCAACTAGAGATTGCAGCACGCAGAATATATACCGATCGACTTGTGTTTACAATATCGGCCGCATTGGGTAATTGGAGCCACGTCACGTGAGCGAACAATTACAGAAGCAAGTGTTTAACTGCCGCCGAATCCACAAAGTCGAAGGTCAAGGGAATTAAATCAAATGGTTGTTTTTCTTCGTCTGGAGGAGTCTGGTGTTTTTGGGCTCTTTGGAGCCTGGAATAGTATGATTTTTGTGACACGATCTGGATGGTAGTGTACTGGGTGGAAATTCGGTTCTGCAAGTGTAGAAGCTTGGAAGCGATATGCAGGTCCACAGATAATTTGGGCTGAGTAACTCCAGTGTGTTTCAGTGGGTTGAATTCCATGATTTCCTTGATCCCCTGAACGAGCCAATTGTAGTTGATTCTGAAAAAGTTTCTGCCAAAAGGGGAGAAGACTAGTGGAACTATGTGTTCTAGGTTGAGTATTGTAGCCACTAGCAGGTAGTGAAGAGCATCAAGCAAACTTTCGATAGGAAGGAACATATGGCTCGTGTTATAATGAATACTTAGCTCAACCTTTGTGAGCTTGCATATGGAGTCCCGGCTATTGTTGAAGAAAGAACTCAATTCTGTGGTTATAGGTGGAAATATTTCACATTGAGGGTGCAACGAAATAGTGCAATTTCCATCCTCTTCAATGAACAAATGTGGCTTGTACTTGCACTGGGCCCAGAACTTGGCACTCTCCAACGCGTGTCCCAAACAATCGACCAAGTCTCCGTAATCGCCACTTCTAAGTAAAATGTTGTTGAGATGAAGTTTAATTTCAACCTGCTATCAGTACAAATTCCCCAGAAAACAGCTTCATACTTACCACAAATGAGCTACTAGGTATTTTAAGCTGTCCTAGCCTATTCTCGCCTTCCAATCGATATCCAAACGAAAACTGGTCATTATGGCATTGAAGGGTGATCATGTTTGCAACCATTTTCTGGCGCGCGCGCAGTTTTATGTCAAATTACGATTCCAAGGTCATCTCTGTAGCATACAATAATAGGGATTCTTGGTTACTGTAGTGTCTCCCAGCAGCATTGACGTGTATCCTTTGGTAGAGCTGGAGACTATGGCCACTCCTCAAAGCTTCAAGACTCTTCAAGGTGTAGTTGTGCTTTCTTCGTTGTGCAGAGTTCCCACAATAGCACAACTAAAAAGCCTTCCGCTGGAGAGATCAAGGTACTTGGCACTCTACAAGCGCTTCTACAGGCTAAGAATGTTTGTGGGACAGAATCAGTGGAAATTGGACCATTATTGCCGCATTCTCCGACGAAGGTTTCAGAGAGAAGATTTCAACGAAAGAAGATCAGTGGTTTTGGCGGCCGCTGATCCGTCATCTGAGAGTCCAATTCCCACATTGGACAGCGATGGGATCTTGAATCGTCTCGTCAATACTTTGGCTTTTGTTCACAATTCTACAGTACATCTTCCAAGTGCCGCAGATGAGAAGCGACCTTTATACTTTGAAGATCTCAAGGTACCTCAAAGAATGGAGGCTAAAATTATAGGAACCATTCTTGAAATGGATAGGTCACAGGATCCCCGTATCAAGCATGATCCTCATTATAAATGGATCACTGATATTACATCCACTCTTGCATCAATTGATCCTGAAATTCCGCCCAAGCAATTTCCCAAAAAGTTTCCCTCCAGTCCAGGTATGCTAATTGGTATGCGTACACATGAAATAACGTTAATGGGACTCAACGAGACAGTGCAATTGTGCTTATAAATTCTTGCTGTTTGAAATGTCTCCACTCGAGTCCGCGCACAATTTCATCAAATCAGTTCTCAACTTATCAAAACCAAAATTATGGGTTGGTTACCATTTGGCAAGTCTTCCTCGGAAAAGGGCCCAGCACCTACTCAAGTAGAACAAAGGAGTCATCAACCGTTGAATTTGGACCCGCAATCTGATATTTCACACACTTTGAACCAGTTGGATGAAGCCAGCAATGGACCTATTAAGCTCCAAAAAATGACTGCCGAAACCAAAAAAGCCAATGACAAAATGGTGGGAGAGTTCGTTGCCGAGAGACCTGCTAACATGTTCATCATTGACGGCGAAAAGTACAAAGACGAAAGTATAATTTGCACCAACAATGAAACCGGGGGCAAAACTTGCTTGAAGTTACGTTACAACTCGATTGAATTGTTCAAGCAAATGCAAAAGTTGGAATACTTTTGCTCGTTGCCTGATGATATCAACGCCACCTACTTTGAATGTCGAAAGATCAAATAGGATGGTCGGATTTACGCACAATTTTATGGCATTAATTAAAACGAATTTCGGCTCTTAAATGTTGTAGCAACGTCTGCTAAATACAAGGCTATAATTGTATTCAGTTGTATTTAGTGTATTTAGTTGTATTCATACTATCCTTGTGATTGCGTTTGATTGAATGATTTCATGTAACATATCACTGTATCGCTACCATCATAAGTGGTTCAAAGTATTATTAGAGTTTTGGGTACTGCCAGGCACTATAATGCACTTTGGCTACTCCATGATATGCTGTAGTTTATTATAATGCAAAAATCTATCCCATACGTCACTTCATTCTTCGGTTCCGAGAGTCGGACATGCTTGGTCACCGTGAACTTAAATCCAACAGAAAGCTATATCCAACCTCTTTCCACGTCTAGCCACATCTAGCAGCACAAAAGCACCTTAGACCATAAACGATTCTCCGCAACCGCAGGTTCCCTTAGAATTTGGATTCTTGAAAATGAACCTGGAGCTCAATTTATCATCCAACCATTCCATTTCCGACCCAACAATGGAGAAAAGAGCTTTCGAGTCGATCACCACCTTGACACCATCCTGCTCCACTACCTCGTCGAACTTACCGGGTTCGGAGACATACTCCAAGTGGTATGTCAATCCAGAGCAACCTCTGTTCTTGACCCCAATTCTGATCAACTTGGGCTCTGGCTGGTCAAGTAGTCCTTTCAAATGCTCTATTGCGCTGGGACTTAACGTTATAAGAGCCTTGCGGGGCCTCAATGTACGTCTTGGCTTCTTCTTAGTGTGGGTCGATGTAGGGTCTGTTGTAGATGATGCTGTAGATACTTTTGGAACTTCGTTGACTTTTGGTAAAGTGGGTTCTGGGATCACGATTGTCGACTTGTCATTACTACTGCTGTGTTCTTGTTTTGCCAAATCTTCTGAATCAGTCGACTTCATCTTTGGAAGCTGTTTGCTGTCGAAACGAGACGCCCTGGATCTTCTCAATGGCGGTGTACTTTGGTCTTGTGGTATGCTAAGTGAATGTTTGGCCCATTTTGAAGAAGACGAAGTTGAATCATCGGTGTTTCCGTACTTTAAACCAGAATAAAACCCAGGTTTTGATGAAGTTGTGGAGTGAACCGTTTGCATGAATCTCTTCCCAGCCAGTCCAGTCTCATTTGACAAGTAGCGACGACACGCATTTTGTCCATTTATTAATATTTTTCTCGATAACATATTTATATCGAGGTAATAAGAATCTAAAAGTGTACAACCACTATTATAATTAATGTCTATTTGTAAGAAAAGGTCACGAGGGTCGCACTTGTAAGCAGCACTTTCGCAGTGATGATTGGTGGAGAATCAGGAGCCGATCGCGGGAACTGAAATGCAGGAATCGTTGTGCAGGAGAAGACGATCTTTAGATCTATCTCGTGTAGAGACCAATAGAGCCCTTTATTACACCTTTATTACATCAAAAACTTAAACTCACACTAAACTTAACTCCTCTCTTTTTTAAATTGCTTTCGTCTCTTTCTTCAACCAATTGTACTCGACTGAATTTTTTGCGAACGACCCACTCAATTCGTTCCAAACCTGCTGGTGGTACGCATTGATCCAGGTTTTTTCGTTTTTCGTTAACATTGAAACGTCAATCAATTTTTTGCAGAACGGAACCTTTGTTACCGTCTCAAACTCCAAAAAGTTCTTGCCGTTGTAGCTGGTGCCACTTTCCTTGACAAACATGACATTCTCGATACGAATACCATACTCTCCCTCCTCGTAATATCCTGGTTCATTACTCAACAAATGTCCAGGTTTGAGGGTGGTAGTGGCAGCGTTAGGACGAGGTCCAATTCCAATAGGGCCCTCGTGAACGTTCAAATAAGCTCCTACGCCATGACCGGTACCATGACCATAGTCAAGTCCATACTGCCACAAATATTGTCTGGCAACTGCATCAACAGATGCTCCCGTAGTTCCTTCTGGAAACTTCAAACTCCCCAATGCAATGTTCCCCTTTAACACCAATGTATAGTTGCGTATTTCATCAGCAGATGGTTGTCCCATATGAACTGTTCTCGTGGTATCAGTAGTGCCCTCGAAGAATTGGGATCCCGAATCGTTCAAGTACATCTTCAGTGGATTTATGGTGGAGCAAGCTCCTTTTTCTGGCTTGTAGTGTATCACTGCTCCATTGGCACCCGTAGCACTGATAGTAGCAAATGACAACCCTACAAATCCATTCTCTTGTGACCTATAGTGGGTCAACTTCTCATCGGCCTCTATCTCATCAATAAGCTCTCCCTTGTTCATTTCATTTTCCAACCATGCAAAGAAACGACACAAAGCTCTTCCGTCCTTTGAATGGGCAGATTTGGCGCCTTCAAGCTCAGTGCTGTTCTTGATGGCTTTCAAGTCTTCCACAGGTGACCTGGTCGATTGTTTGGAAGCGCCGTCGAGAGTACGAACAATTTCCCAAGAAGCATATTGTGGTGTCAAGAGCGATTTATTGTCCAATTTGAGCTCGGAGCTCATGCGAGTTAATGATGGCCAAAATGCTTCGTATGGCTCAACCTTGATGTTGTTCGACTTCAAGACAGACTGGACCTTGGTATCGAAGCGGAAATTATCGGCAAAGAGAGTGACTTGGCGGTCGCTGGTGATAATCAAGTAGGCGTAGAACACAGGGTTGAACTCGATATCACTACCTCTCATATTCAAGAGCCAGGCAATTTCATCAAGAGCTGAAATAACAAGACCAGCTGCTTTTTGAGCAGTGATCTCTTCTATCACCTTGTCCAATTTAGACGATATACCTTCACCAGTGTACTTGTCGTCCAATACTTTTATGATATTCTCTGGAGGACTAGGCAAGTCTTCAAAATGCTTCCACAGTCGGTCTATCAAGTTGTCAGTTACTGGCACTAGCTCAACACGAGCTTTTTCGAAACGTGACAGCAGGGCAATCTTTGACGTGATTGCGGTGGATATCTTCTCGTACAAGGTGTATGTGATCAACTTTGGGTCAACACCGATTTTAGCAGTGGTTCCCGAATCCAAACTGGCTTGGATGGCCTGAAGAACCGTCCACTCTTCCCATGAGGGCTCACCCTTTGCTCCTTGCTTCAACAACTGCCAGTTGAAATCCAACTCATTGAGAGCCTGGTTGAAATAACGTCCATCAGTAGACAACGCAGCGGTTCCCTCAGGAACGTCATTCATACACATGAGGTCCCTTGTCACAATAGCCACTCCGGCGCTTCCTTGGAACCCGGATATAAAACTCCGTCTTTGGTCTTTTGCTGAAACATATTCCGAATGGTGCTCATCTTCCGAAGGAATAATATACACCGCCAAGTCATGTTTGGCCATCAAACGGCGTAAAGCTTCTAATCTCTTGGAAGTATTGGTCTCTTTTACCTCTGGCACACACAAACTGGCAGCATCAATAGTGAAAACTGAACCCTTTCTGGACCCTCCCGGCAGACCCAGACCGGAACCTCCACGCTTCAAATTTATCTGTTTTGCAAACCAGGATGATCTCCTGTTGCTCCTCGACAACAAGCCTGGCGAACAGGTACAGTTCGCACACTGAGCACGAGAGACTCTTCTGGTACTAATACTCATGGTGTTAATTGTAATGGTGGGAAAATAATTGAACCACCAGATAACGCAGGAGATCACGTGCGCTGCTGGCTAATTATGGGGGAGATGTAGTTGAAGAGTTTTGGAGAGAGGGAAGAGTAAAGTGATGTAAGGATATAGTAGTGACAGTACAGAGTGTCTACTACGTTTAGTTCAACTTTTTGGTTGCTTTCCGAAATTTTTCTTGCTTGTATTTTCTGCCGTCCTCGCTTGGTGACTTCTCGCGCAAGATTAGACAGTGAGAACGAAACCCGATGATATGGATGCCATTATAGAGGTAAGTAGCCATCATGATTCTGTTCTTCAAGTATACTAATACAGTCCATAGAAAGGCTCTACTCTACTAGAGATCCCGTGGAAGTTCAAAACTTACAAAAACTGCTTCAGCAAGTCCAGAGATCTCCACAAGGGTATCAGGTTGCACAAGAATTATTGAATGTATCTTCACCAACCTGTCGATTTTTTGGAGCTCTAACATTCTCTGTGGTTATTCACAATTCCAGAAATTTGACTGAAGATCAATTGTTGCAATTGGTGAACACCCTTGAGCATCATGTGGTGAAACTATTCACAGAATCCAGCACAGTCAATGGTTTTATCATTAAAAAGTTGCTATCCAATTTGCTGCTTTTGTTCATCCAGATCCATCAAAGCTACACAAACCCTTTGCTGTCTCTTGCACTGAAGTTTGGTGGCAGTTCGTCATTGTCAGATTCACAAATCAGTGTTCTACTAAACTTTTCGGCTATCATTGTTGAAGAACTCAGCAGAGAACAAACCTTGCATACTTCAGTCCACAAGAGAGTTTTTGAAAATCTTTTCCCCGAAACCGTTTCATTGTTATCTGTTGTTATTCAGCGTCGACCGCTCCTCGATTACCAGTGCCTTACTTGTCTAAATTCATGGGTGACTTACATTGTGGTTGCTGAGGACGGCTCTGAAATAAGATATACCCCAGAGATTACAGAGCCTGTTATACAATTCATTTTCACCTTTTTCGAGCCAGCATCTACATTCAGAAACGCATCCCAATTAAACGTTGAAACAGTGCACAAGGCCATCACAGTGATGTCTGAAATCTTCGATATCAACCCACGAATGCTAAGTCCTGCTTACCGTACTTCCTTTAGGCGGATATTGTTCGATAAAGATCAATGGGGTGCTAATATGATAGAAGATATCAACTCGCTCGACACAAGTGAGTACGTCGATGAAATCGGTACATTCACCAATTTGGTGGTTTCGTTCATTCTGGTGGATATGCTCCAGTTAGCAAGAACGCTATTATCTCCCGAAACCAGCTATACTCTCAAATTGCTCATGTTGCTTACAGACATCCCTGGTATACCCGCGGAGGATGAGCCTGTAAGTGGACAAATGTTGACTCTATGGGAAGATCTTGCCAACGTATTCATAGATGATTCGGAGACGTTTGAGTCAATGTTCAATCTGGAAACGAATCCTGTCTCAAAGGCTCATTTTGAATCAACCAGAAACGATATGTTTACATCCGTTTGTTTGATTTACTGGGAAGAAAATCAGGTTACCTTCGAGCGAGGTACTAGCTAATTCAGGTCCAGAATTCAATGCTTTCAGATCCAACGTTGCAGATTTCTTCATTGCAGTCTACTCACTTATCACGCTTCCATTTTTTGAGCAACTTCTGATCGATGTGGTGAACAATTTGCATAGCAGGAACGAACAAGACATACCGCTCAAGCTTGAAAGTACAATCTATTTGCTATACAAGATTGCAGACGACATGTCATTCTACGAAAACCAATGCAACGCATTACTTCCTAGCATCAATTCCATCTACAGTGGTGGTATCTTAGACATCCTAATGGGTATAGACCGGGCCTTAAAACCAACCTTTGTTCGTTTTCTTTCAGCAACCCAATTTTTCCTCAAGACATCACAAGGCACTCCATACTTGGGAAAGATACTTGACTTTTTGTTTCTGATCATATTCAGTGATGACTCGAATCTATCTTTAATTGCATCCCGGACCATTCTCACACTTTGCCAGGAATGTCGAGAAAACTTGACTGAATTTCTTCCCGTTTTGGAGGAGATTTTGGGAGAGATGCTCAAGTCCGAGAGTATTGACAACTTGATTCGTCAAAGGCTCTTCAACGCATACGTTAGTGTAGCGCAAATGTTGAAGAATCCAGAAACAATTGCAACCACACTCTTGAATCTTTTAAACGCCATACGGCATCAATTCACAGCTTTCATGGAGCTACACAAATCCTTGAATAGTGAACAAGAAGATTATGTGATATCTCTTCTTTCGTGTGTGAACGAAGTAGGAAAGGCTTGCCAACTTCCAGAAGAATTGGAAGATTTCTACACTGCAGAACAGGCTACTCAAGTTAACATGTACTGGGAATCAGATCCATTGACTATCAAGACACTCGTGCTTCAGATAGTTGAAGATTTTTCTAGGCACTTTCCTTCTCATGCTATTGTTACTGAGAAGTGTTGTCTCATCCTTCGAAGTGGTATTGGTGAACCCATCAACGGTCCGTTCCAGTTTCTGTTTGACCTGATATTGCTCTACATGATAGCCGCAATGGATAGGGAAGTCGCCAATGTTGTTCCTCACATCTTCGGTTTGCTTGAGAAATACGTACTGGTAAACTACAAGTCTTTGCCAACCGAGACACTAGAGGCCGTTATTCAGCGCATTTTCACATCTCATTTAGAGTTCATCAAAACTGAGCCTGATATGGTTCTGTCGTCAGTCCAGCTTTTTGCAACCATGCTTGAGAAATCTCCGTCATCGCTAGTCAAATTGGACACTTTCAAGCTGTCCGTTGTTCCACTTGCTCTTGATTCCTTAATAGCTCAAGAAACATTTATTCTCAAAGCTGCCTCGAAACTCTGGATTCACCTTCTAACGCTTCGAAGAGCGACAAAAGAAGATCAAGATTCAGTTCGGTATCTCATGACAAATTCGGGAGTAGGCCAAGTACTTACGCGAAACTTATTGTCGTCTTTCTTGAGCTCACCCAGATCTAATCTTGAATACTACTATCCTGTCTTTCGAAATTTGATTGGAAAATATCCGCTTGAGTTTAAGCAGTGGATGGCTGAACAGAATGCAGATCAGGCATTCATTAACAAATTAATGATTACCAGGGGCCAAAGGTCTGCAAATGAAGTTTTGAAAACACTATGGATGGATGTCAACCATTTAACCGATTACAACTCCAATTCATACTAAAACTGAATTTCGTATTAAAACATGTACATACACATAAAGTAGTTTATCTACAACATAGAATCAAGTTCCTGGCACAATTCATCGCACTCAGCAACGAAGTCAACATCAAAGAGACTCATCGTCTGATATCTGATCCGCACATTGCCATTGTAAGAATCCTGTCTTGCTCTTAATCTGAAATTAAACTCTTTCATAGTAATTGATTCCATGAGATCTGCAAATTCATTGCTTTCGTTCATATCTTGCTTCTCCTTCAAGTTTATGAGATCTCCAGCAGACATCCCAAATAGCTTTCTGGCTTCTTGATCGAACAACGTTGTCCAAAGCTGTCCTGTTTCATCAGTTATAGAGCAATTCAAGATATATCTGTGCAAGGGTTCTGGGAGAGTAATATTACATTTCTCACATCTCCATCCATCACTTTGCTCGAGGACTTTCCTGTTACATGTGTTTTCTTGTTGACCAGGAGCTTGAGAGTTTCCTGGTACAGTATTACTGCACGCTGGATAAGAAAAGTTGTCCGTCTTGAAATAGCTGATTGTGGCTTTGACACTGAAGAAATCAGGCTTTTCATGCATACCAAGGTTGTCCTCCTGGGCAGCGAGAATGGTTTTTCTGTTCTTGATGTAATTCTGATTTGGACCGGCCTCGACTTTCAAAGACTTGAAATTCTCATTCATTCCTTGATTGTCGTACCAACCCTTGAGTTGATAGGCTTCCGGGGTATCAGGATTTACCACCATTGATCCAGAGTGAGTCAAGGTGAGTGATCTTCCTCCGAAGTCTTGAACTTTACAACCCTTAAAAGCGATAACTGAACCCTCACTGGTGTTGAATTCGAGCGCAGTTTGGTTCCACAAACCGATATCAATGGCAAAGTTTGAATCATCCACGATAGTGATGTTTCTGCGATCAAACGCCTTACCAGTTGACTTTGCCGTGATCTGGAACACTGGGTTTGCAGTCTTCAAAACACCAATAACATCCACTACAGCGTTTACCTCAGCAGCCTGAATCTTGTCCAACTTGGTGAAGTTAAAGTGAAGCTTGGGCACATCAGATGTATCGAAACACTCGGTGATCACGGTATCCTTGTCGAGAGCTAATTCGTACGGGTGAGTCAAGTGAGAAAACTGAGGCTTAGCTTGTTGGATTCTGGCACGTTCCACAGTATAGACTTTACCCTCTTCCAATGTGTTGTAGAACTGTTCAGCGACGTCATTGAAGGCGGTGGCTCTGATCTCGTCAGACTCATCCAAAAAGTTGACATTAAACAACTTGCCTTCACCTCGCGCATTCGACCACTTTCTGATATCACCTTTGAATGATACTCTAGCCTTGATACGCCAATTGTTTTGGTAAGGAGACAACAGTTCGATGGGGTTGAACGTTTGACCCGCGGTAGATTGGCCACTCTTATGTTGGGATTTGACTGGTTTAGCAGGCGTTGGCTCCATTGAATTGGCACGCTGACCGGCGCTAGCGCCTTGTAATTGTAGAGCATCGTCCTCGGGGTGCTCAGCATAGTAAGCGTCACAAGAAACTACCGGGTTTGAGTGTTTGCTGCTTGTGGTGTGGATAATCTCACAGTCTGATACGATGATAATGTGTTTCTGAGTTGCCACCAAACTATATTTCTTGACAGTAATAACAGAGCCCTTGTGGAGGACCCGTTCGCCTCACAGTATGGCATGAGCTCAGCAGCGATCAACCCATGTAAAGAATATTGACCATCATTTAAAAGGATGCGAAACCGGTGAGGAGCCAGATCGCCACTATTTTCAAGAAGCTTAACATTTGAGACTTGGACTGTAAAGGGTTTGTTCTGGTAAAGATGTTGATCCTTCTTGGATAAGACGGCACGTAGAGCGCCTCCAGTAAGCCCCAAGTCAGATGGTGAGGTCATTATGAATACGCGTTAGGTTCACGCGGTTCAAAAGTTCGCGAAAGAGTGGTGAGAAGTGGCATGCAGGACACCAGCTATTGATGAGTTCGATCTATATTCATGGGGATCTATGTTTCGTACTACAACTTCGACTGCACGCTCACGGCGTTGAACAATTCGTCTCTTTCATTAAGCTTGACCGCTCCACTCCGCAATAATGCACGGGTAAGGTCATCGATGAGATCATCACAGTTTTCGATTCCGATACACAATCGGATCAAGTCTTCGGGAAAGTCCCGCTCTTCTCTTGTTTTGGCATCGATGGATGCGTGAGACATCTTACATGGCATCGATATGAGCGAATTGACACAACCAAAGGACACGGCAATCCCAAAAATTTCGGTGCTCTCCACTATCTTTTCTGACACTTTAATGCTACCAGTCTCGAAACTTAGCACTGCACCTGCTCCTTTGCACATACTGGCGTGCAAGTCGTACTGAGGGTGCGATTTTATACCTGGGTAACGAACCTTGAACCCAATATTGGCCAAAAACTCGGCGATTCTTACACAGTTCTGTTGCTGACGTTCGACTCTAACGGCCAATGTTCTCAAGCCTCGGGACAAGAGCCACGAGTCAAATGGAGACAATCCACAACCGGTGGAATTGATCACATAGTATATCTTTTCCGCCAAAGCTGCGCTTCTGGTGGCTAAAACTCCCGCCATGATATCATGGTGTCCATTAAGGTATTTGGTAGCCGATTCGTATTGGATATCAACACCGAAATCCAATGGAGTCATAAGCACAGGCGACATCATGGTATTATCGAAAACAACCACTATATCAGGGTTGATTTTATGTGCTTCTCTGGTGATGGTGCGAACATCACACACCTTGATGAGAGGATTGGTTGGACTTTCTAAAAAAATCATCTTGGTACCCGAGTGTATTTTCGATACAAGCAATTCTGTGTTTGTCGTGTCATAGTGGTGAACTTTCAAGTCACCTTTATTGTTCAAATATGTGAGCAATCGATGGGTTCCTCCATACAAATCATCACCTGCAATGACCTCGTCGCCAGGACTCAATAATCTGGTAATGACATCAAGGCATCCCATTCCGCTGGTCACCGCAAACGCATGGTTTGCTCTCATAATCTTGGCTATATGGTTCTGTAAATGGGTTCTAGTTGGGTTGCCGGATCGAGTATAGTCGTATTCACCCATATTCGAAAGCGAAGGTTGCTTGAAAGTGGCCGATTGGTATAGCGGCGCCACCGACGCATTGTACTGGTCCGTACTTTTGCTGAGAACAAGCTCTGTCTCGAGGTTGTATTTCCGGGGTGACATAGTTGAAGAACGAGATTATGACTCTGATGAGAAAATCAATCGCACCAGGTCACGTGCTCCACGATAAGGGTGGAGAAATAGAAGGTGAGGATGCATTGAAAATGCATTCGAAATCTACGAGCGACGAGATATGATAGAACAATTGTGATATATCTATTGAGCAGATTCTTATGTGTGTTTTCCACCTTTTGTTACCTTAACTTTTCTGTTTCTCCATCTTTCTCTTTGCATGCATTCTATTTAGTACAAGCCAATCTACAAGTCACTACGAGTGACCTTTCTGATATCGTGGGGTTCCTTGCTCAACAACACTTTGGGTCCCGAAAATGGCTCGCAAGAATCTCTTCCTGAAACAGGTCCAACATGCATTGGTTTACCCTCTTGCAAGTTCTTCAAGAGCTCAACGGTCTTCTCACCGGTCAAGTCCTCGGCGTAGTCGTCGTTCACTCCCATCATAGGTCCATTGACACAAGCTCCCAAGCATTCGACTTCCTCTAATGTGAACAAATTGTCTGGGGTGGTTTGACCAGGCTTTATTTTAAGATGGTTCTTTATAGCGTCCATAACCTCATCACTGCCACACAATTGGCATGGCGTAGTAGTGCAAACTTGAAGATGGTACTTGCCCATTGGCTTTCTGTTGTACATGGTATAGAATGTAGCCACTTCGTAGACTCTCATAGGAGGCATATCCAACATTTTAGCTACGTAGTTCATGACCGAAATGGCAGTGAATCCGTGCTGCCTTTGACCCAAGTCCAAAAGTGGCATGACTGCTGCCTTCTTGTATTGTGGTGGGTATTTGGCAATGATTTCCTTGGCCCTTTTCAAGTTGTCTGCATTGAACTCAAAAGGAATATCAGGATTGTCAACCTTGGTGTTTCTATGCACAGAAATAATGGATGAGAAACGCACAGGCGTCACTGGCCGGGCTGTACGAGCCGAAATCCGGGCTTGTTGCCATAATGTTTTTCTGAACATGACGGAGTACTGGTGGTTCCTAAACTTCATCGCGTAAACTGATTTAGGCGGAGGTGATTGGTTGGTTGTGTGCAGGAACCAAATGTGAGACTATTGCAACGATTTTAGAACTGAATGGAGTAGAGGAAGCGTTGCAAGAGATGAGAAGTGGACGTTTGGTTGTCACATTGAGAAAGCTCCTTCTTTAGAGCTATTTGGCCAAGAATCTTTTTTGATTGAAACTTTTACTTTTAATATTAGCAAAACTATTACACCTCTAGACTATTCCAGTTTCTCATCTACTCTCCATTCTCTCCTTGATTCTTTATCACTTACTTCTCCCTCTTTCTTTATTCTTCTTTACTTTCTTCTTCATCTCATCTTCTTCTTTCCTCCACTTATCGTCACGTGACTTCTTGGACTTGGGGAGTTGAGCACAGAGCAATTAATTGACAGTTCATCTATATTAATAACGTTGCATCGGGTGTTATAATCATAATAGAGCGACATCATAAGAGCTGGAAGTTGTTTTCTATAAGAATCAATTGCATAAGAGGTGATTATAGTCGTTGGATACCTCATATATCAATATTTCATTTTTCCTTCGGAACCACTAATAATCCATCCATCTCGAAATCCTCACAAATACACCTTAAATGGCTCCCCTAGAGACACCCAAGTCTCCATCGCGATCAACGCGAAATATAGACCCACCAAGAGTGGATGAGGCACCATCTTTACCGTCAATGTCTCCTCGAAGGCGAACGCAGAAACCCATATTCAGCGATAGATACATTCCCAACCGAACTGGAGTCGATCTTCAGGCTGCTTTCAGTCTTTCATCTCAGGAAGTTCTTCCAGATTTACGACGGCGAGGGGATGCGGACAATGAGATCCAAATCCGCAAAGAAGAAGAAGCCAATCGAACGTTCTCTACCGTGCTCAAGGCGGAATTGTTCGGCGACAATGTACCGATGGCAACTGCCAACTTGGCTTCCCCCAGAGCGAAAAAACCACCAAGTAGTAATAGTCTCAGTGATCCAGACTCATCAACTCCTTCCAATTCAGGGTCGGCACCTTCATCAAGTAACGGCCGAGATCGTACCCCGCCCCGTTCTGCCAATCACGACGACATAACAAGCACTCCGCGCCAATCTACCAACCTATTCACGTATCAATCACCCAAAAAGTCCCGTCCAATATCTCGTGATTTGCAAAATGAGCTCTACTCACTTTCTCCAGTACGACAAGATTCGCAGAAACTCTTACTTCTGCCACAAAAAAAGCCTAGAAACATTTCCAAAGTCCCCTACCGAGTGCTAGATGCGCCAGAACTACTGGACGACTTCTACCTCAATCTTGTCGACTGGGGTCAGCAGGATATATTGGCTGTTGGCCTAGGTGATAGTGTGTATCTCTGGGACGGTGCAACCCAGTCCGTGGACCGGTTGTGCAATCTTTCCAACAAGGATAAGGTAACCAGCATCAATTGGATTGGTTCTGGCACCCATCTTGCCATTGGCACTCTGCAAGGTCTTGTTGAAATTTGGGATGCAACAAAGATGAAATGCGTACGGACTATGACGGGCCACAGTCTTCGTGTGAGCTCGCTTTCGTGGAATGAGCATATCTTGTCTAGTGGTCTGAGAGACCGCAGCATACTCAATCGTGACGTACGAGTCGAGAGTCATTATATCAACAAGTTTGAGCATCACAAGCTGGAAGTTTGCGGGCTTCGATGGAATGTTGATGAGAACAAATTGGCATCGGGAGGAAATGACAACCGAGTTTTCGTATGGGATGGACTCAACACTACCCCAGTACATGAGTTTTCAGAGCATGTTGCTGCTGTGAAGGCACTTGCATGGTCTCCTCATCAAAGAGGAATCCTTGCTTCAGGTGGTGGAACTACCGACAAAACCATCAAGGTTTGGAACACTTTGACAGGGTCGAAAGTGCAAGATGTAAATACTGGTTCCCAAGTGTGTAATCTCATCTGGCTGCGTAGCCTGAATGAGTTGGTGTCTACCCATGGATATTCACGATATCAAATAGTTGTGTGGAAGTATCCGTCAATGCAACAGATAGCTCAATTGACTGGACATACAAGTCGAGTCCACTATCTCTCGCTTTCTCCTGATGGCGAGACCATTGTGACTGGTGCTGGTGATGAAACGCTTCGGTTTTGGAACGTTTTTGAGAAGAATCGCAATGATGAACCACCATCCTCGGTGTTGTTGGATGCGTTTAGTCAATTGAGATGAGGCCGGAAGAAGCTGAAGATACTACTGCGAGACTACTACTTTTCAAGTGGCTCTACAGGTGGTTACAGGTGGTTCTACGTGTTGCTTGAATACACTTTGGTGCCGCTCTGTATAGCTCTCTGCAATCGGTAAGTCTAGAAGTGCTCGGAAATTGTACACGAGCTCTCTTTTGCCCGGTGCCACTCTTATGTACGTTCTTAACTTGGTCCTGGACCAGCTACTGTATATTATGTGTACCAGAAATGTATACTACTATCGCCGTGCAGCCTCTTCTCGGTGCCGCTTACTGCCAAATCAGGATGGCTGCGGAACCCGACTGCATGTACTGATTACTCATGAGGCACCTTAAAAGGGCCGCTTTCGCACCCGCCGCCAAAAACATATAACCATCATGGCCGTTTCCAAAGACCTTTCCCATCACCTTTCCGAAGAAGCCCGTTCTCGTAAGAACTCGCCATTGAAGTCTGCTTTCAAATATTACAAGCAACCAGGAATGACCTTTTTGGGTGGAGGTTTACCTCGTAGTGACTATTTCCCATACTCCAAGGTGACGGCAGAAATTCCTTCTGCTCCGTTTGCGGAAGGTGTGGCTGCTCCCCTCACGGAGTCCAACAAAACTGTGCTCGAAGTCAACAAAGATGCAAGTTTGAATGGTGAAAATGAGATAGAACTTGCCCGTTCTTTACAATACGGTTACACCGAAGGTCAACCAGAACTTGTCGAGTTCTTGAAAGAACACACAAAGACTATCCATAAGGTGCCATATGATGACTGGTCTGTAATCTTGTCAATTGGAAACACCCAATCGTGGGATGCTACCTTAAGAACATTTGCTACTCGTGGTGACTCCATTCTTGTCGAAGAGTACTCGTTCAGTTCAGCATTGGAAACTGTCCACGCTCAGGGTATCAACACGATTCCAGTAGCTATGGATGCTGAGGGAATCTTGCCAGAAGCATTGGAGAAAATGTTGGATCAATGGGTTGGTCCTAAGCCAAAACTCTTGTACACTATTTCCACCGGTCAAAACCCTACAGGATCTTGTTTGAGTGCCGACCGTAGACGCGCTGTCTACAAGTTGGCTCAGAAACACGATTTTATCATTGTTGAGGATGAACCCTACTACTTTTTGCAAATGGAGACATACACCACCGATAAGGCCCAACGTGCTTCTAGACACGTTCACAGCCACGAGGAGTTTGTCAAAGCTTTGGTACCTTCTTTCCTTTCCATGGATACAGAAGGTAGAGTCATACGTCTTGATTCTGTTTCCAAGGTTTTGGCACCTGGTCTTAGACTCGGATGGATTGTTGGCCAGGAACGTCTTTTGGAAAGATTTGTGCGTCTTCACGAGGTATCGATTCAATGTCCTTCCGGCCTCAGTCTGTCGCTCATTAACTCGTTGTTGCAGAAATGGGGACAAAGCGGCTACATGGACTGGCTCATGGGTATCAGAAGTGAATATACCCACAATAGAGATGTTGCCATTGATGCCGTGAACGATTTCTTCCCCAAGGAAGTGACCAGCTTCATTCCTCCCGTTGCTGGTATGTTTTTCACCGTCACTTTCGATGCATCAAAGCATCCTAAATTCAAAGAGCTTGATGAAGATCCTCTTAAGGTCGAGACTGCAATTTACAACCAGGGCTTACTGCAGGGTTGTTTGATGATTCCTGGCTCGTGGTTCAAAGCCGATGGTACGTCTAACCCTCCCCAACCACCTCTTCCAGAGAACAAAGATGCTAAGAATTTGATCTTTTTCAGAGGTACTTATGCTGCGGTTGCGCTTGACGAGTTGCGCAGTGGGTTGGAGAAGTTTGCCAAAGGAGTCAGAGTAGAGTATGGTTTAGAATAGAGTATCGGAAAGAATATAATAGAAATCCAATTTCCGTAATGAACTGGTTTATAAACAAATTAATTTGAAAACCGATCAATGGACCTGAGTTCGCATCGCTTACCCCAGCTATCTTCAAATTCAAATCTCACTGCGCGAAGTTTATATTTAATGCATATATTGAAGCTTCCATGGCTAGGGCACAGAGGTATGTAAAGGTCAACTTGAAGGGAGCTCGCTACTAACACAGTGGACAATCGGAAAATTGAGTGTTTTGCAGTGTCGGTGAATTATGATGGCACAAGATTGGCTTCTGGTGGACTCGATGGAAATGTCAAAGTTTGGGACACAGGTTCAATTTCCGCCACATTGAAGGAAAATAATGAACCCAATACTGAGTCAGTGGGTCTCAGTAAGCCACTAAAGCGTCCTTTGTGTACTGTTAGTCGTCATAATGGAGCTGTAACATGTGTCAAATTCTCACCTGATGGTCGATACTTGGCTACTGGATCCGACGATAAAATTGTTTTAATATGGGAACGAGATCTACAAGCACGCCCCAAGCAATTTGGCGACACGGAAGCCGACCTTGAGCATTGGACGGTTCGAAAAAGACTCGTAGCTCACGATAATGACGTCCAAGATATGTGCTGGTCGCCCGATGGGTCATTGTTGGTGTCAGTAGGACTCGATAGACTGATTATAATTTGGAGCGGAGTTACGTTTGAGCGTATTAAGCGCTATGACATTCACCAGTCGATGGTAAAGGGAGTCGTATTTGATCCTGCTAACAAGTTTTTTGCAACTGCTTCCGACGATAGAAGCGTACGTATATTTCGCTACTACAGAAAGCAGAGTGAGAATAGCTACGAGTTTCAGATGGAGCATGTGGTGATGGAGCCATTTCGAAAATCTCCCTTGACATCTTACTTTCGGCGTATGACTTGGTCCCCGGATGGACAACATATTGCCGTACCCAATGCTACCAATGGTCCCGTAACATCTGTGGCAGTCATAAATCGAGGTGATTGGGGGACAGATCTCTCGTTAATTGGTCATGAAGCGCCTTGTGAGGTGTGTTCTTTTGCACCCAGACTTTTTAACACTGATGTTAAGAACGATAATAATTCAAATGTTTCAACTATATTGGCTACTGGTGGCCAGGATCGTACCCTAGCAATCTGGAGTACAGCTACAAGCAAGCCTTTGGTTGTGGCTCAGAATATTGTTCAAGATCCAATCACTGATATGTGTTGGTCGCCCACGGCTGATACATTATACGTTAGCTCGCTTGACGGGGCAATCACCTGTATTGTGTTCGACAAGAATGAACTAGGAATTGTCGCAGGAACAGACGTCAACTTGTCTCAATTGCATCGATATGGAGGAGATCGTGAATCGGCTATACTTCCAGAAACTGTTGAGCAGCTCCTTTTGGAAGAAAAGGCAACACCATTGACCGACAAGAAAAAGGTTCTCCCAGCTAATAATGTATTCTCTGGCCAGAGGATCACCCCTGAATCTACTGTGGCTACCTCTTCGACTCCCAAAAAGGATCTTGAAGCTGTTTCAACCAGACTAAACTTGCAGTCTCAGAAGGTGACCACAAAAGATGGAAAGAAAAGGGTCGCTCCTCTACTTGTTTCGTCGTCGAACAATGGCTCCACTTTACCCGCTACCACTCCTGTGCTCTCGTTGGATCGCAAAAGAAACACTAGGATTTCTCGACCCAATTACTCAATGCCAAGATTGGGAGTACAGTCTGCTATTCATGGTTTACGCTCCAGAAGCAACAAGTTGCATGAAGAGGCGCGGGATTTTGAAGATCAGGACAATGACAATGAGGACATGGCACTTGGAATAGAGGCTCTGACGGACAATCAGACAAACATATCTGCAGCATCTGTCAAACGACAAAAGAGCAAAATGAGACGCATTGTCAACGAACGAAGGTATCCATACTCACTACGTAACATCTCTCTGTTGCCAGAAGTCCTCTTCAATAATCATGGTGCGATGAATGCAAAAGTGAGTAAATTCGTTGGTCTTGGGTTTGAAGAATCTCACCAAAATCCTTCAGGTGAGTATCTTACGAGCAGTGCTATAGAAGTGCTAGACGACGAATTTTTCTTTGAGGTTGTTGTGAGAACATTTCAGGTAAATCGCATAGTTGACGGGGAAAAGGTCCAAGACTCGGTCACCATCGAAGTACGCAATGGTGCGTCTTGGCCACAAGATGATGAAAATCCCATTGAGGAGAACAATCGGGTAGACTTTCAGGACCCTACCATAGTAAGTGTGACTTCAAACTTGAACTTGAAGGACCGTTTGTTTCAACTCTATTACCCATTTAAGGTACAGCATGTTGTACCGCTCGTTGGACTGCAAGAGACCTTTATCTTGCTTGCTTCACTTCAAGGCACAGTTCATATAATATCGTATCCCTCAGGACGGAACATTTGTGCTCCAATAGAACTTGCAGAAACCATTCTTCTGGTTCAATTCAAAAACTGTCATTTGATGGTGCTTACGTGCTCCGGGTTGTTATATGTGTGGAAACTTATTAATGGCAAATTGCATGGCGTTATCACTCGAGTGTCGATAGCCACAATACTAAATTGCCAAGTTACACTTCCAGCAATTACTGGTGACAAACGGCCAAGAAAGAGTGCTGATGTGCCGCAAGTTACAACTCTGTCGATCAAGTGTCTCGAGCTTGGAGAAGACGGAATGCCTTATGTGCTTCTTGAAGATGATAGTACAGTCTACAAATACTGTGCAAACCTTATGGTTTGGACAAAAGTAGTAGAACCATGGTACTTCCATGTGGTCAATGAGATTGAAAATGTACCATTTTCCACTCGTGGATTTCTTCTTGTTAATGGGTTTAACAATTTCAAGAATTCCATCATTGCCGGATCTAACAAGCGCTATGTCTTTGATGAGAGCACTGAAACCTTACAAACTGTCATGAAGCAGCGATACCAAGAGCAACTAGACTTATAAATGCATTATTATATTTACAATTGTTGAGGCAGCTTTTTAGCAAGTACTGGCTTGGGTACCGCCTTTTCAAATGGAAACATAAACAAAAAAGTGAGCGACGACGCTACGGCGCCAGCAGCCATCATCCACACTGTCAAGCTAACACCTCCAGTGACAGTGAATGGAAGTGCTATTGACCATTCGAGTGCACGAGGAAGAATTCCTGGAGGAAAATAGAAGAGAACCACACTCCTGTACCATACTCTGAAAAACCAAATAGGAATCGATGTCAAAATAGCTATCAAGTATCCTGTAAATGTATTCACCTTTACTTTATCGAGATCAACTTCTTTTTGCAATTGTTCGATTTCTGCCACTAATTTGTCATGTTGACGATTCAATTTCGTCCATTTGGCATACTGATCTTGAGCACTGACAGCTCTTCTTTCCCCTGCCACGGTTCGAAGTTGGCTAGATTTTTGTGACATCGAGGCAAGTTTTGAATGGCCAAATTTCGGAGCTACTCTACAGTAAAGTACCCATGATATCGACTCTATAGACTGTTTCCCAACAGCACTTATGATCTGCTTGACTATCTGGATCACAAATATGAATAATAGCAAGGTATAGGGTTCCATCTTGATTAGCCTCAGTCGATCAAATTCAACCGCACTAATCTCGCGCTGGTCAAAAAATTCCTGTACACGGCGTGGGTGGCTATAGATTTGTGCGTTTTCAGTGGATGAGCTCAAGGAGTCCCCTCGGAGAACAGCACATAAAAACAGCATTTGGTGATCGATCTGATGTCTAGCGAACCGGAGGAGGACTATGTTCCATGGATACAACAATTCTGTGAGCTTTTTGGCCACGATTACTTCGTACTGGTGTCTCACGAATTTATAGAAGATGACTTCAATTTGACCGGTTTGTCTCTGCAAGTTCCCTACTACCGAGAGGCACTTTACACAATTCTTGACTACCAGGTCGATACCATGGAGGATAATGGAAGCGCTAGCAACAACAATGGCTCATCTGGCTCGCTGCCATCGAAAGCAGACCTCCCCAACAAGGCACTTCTTGCTCATAGTGCTGAGCTTCTATATGGGTTGATACATGCCCGCTACATCATTTCCAAGCAGGGACTCACGGCTATGGCTACCAAGTTTGAACGGAACGAATTTGGGTCGTGTCCTCGATATTACTGTGATGGAATGCATTTGATACCGGTCGGATCAACCGATGTTCCTGGCCAGGAAACTGTACGACTCTACTGTCCTTGCTGTAACGACATCTATTTACCACTGAACTCACGCTACTTGAACATAGACGGCGCTTTTTTCGGCACCACCTTCCCTGGGCTCCTCGTAAAGATGTTCCCGGAAATAGAAAACCAGTGTCGAATTCGCATTCAAAAGGCCAAGAAAGAAGACTTTGGTATCCGTTTATTTGGGTTCAAAATCAGCGAACTCAGCGCTAGCGGGCCAAGAATGAAATGGCTTAGGCAGCACCCAATACTGGAGGAAGAACAAAAAGAATTCGAGAATTGTCAATTCGGAATGCCATTGGAATATCGGGCTTCGTTGGCGGTGGATGAAGCGCCGGATTTGGATGAAGACGATGACAAAACAATGGCCAGCGAAAGCTAGAAAGTATGGAGGCTCGTGTAATGTGTATAGTAGAATAATTATCTAATGAGTGAGGTGTACAGGCTTTCCTGGCTCCCAGTCTCTGATTGCTTGCTGAATGTTGACCCAGTACTTGAGCTTGATAGCCTCCATCATCACCAGGTTCCAATTCAATGGCTCATGCTTGAGTAGATTGTTGATTGTCTCTTCACTGGCATGAATTCTTTCGTCGTTTTCTTGAGAAAGGGTATCCAAATCTGTTTCCAGAGTGGCCATTTCCAATTGCTCGTGTGCTTCAAGCACATTCATTAGCATCTCCTTGTATTCCAATGAAGATTCTGGCAGCGCCGTTTGGAACTGTGCGATAAGGTCTTTTGCTACTTCGTCTCTCGTGATATCTGGGTGCTCGGGGTGGTTCAATTCCACGATGTGAGCAATGCGGGAGTACGGGTTCTTCAATGTGGAGTAAGCCCGGTTTAAAAGAGCTGAAAACTTATCATCGGCCCGTTCGGTGCCATCACTATCCGACACATTTTTGTTTTCGTTCAAAACAGATGATCCCAAGATGATATCAGGGTGGTTCTCGCTCTGAAGAGTCCTGAACTCTCGTCTTAACGACTTTGTATCGACGAAAAATGATCCATTTGGAGGAGCTCCATGTGGAAAAGTCCGGGGTAGAAGGTCGAAATACGACTTGACAACTTTTTGATTGTTCCAAGTCCTTGTAGAGGAGTGGAATAGTGAAGCTGTGTCTCTCCTGGTTCCCAAGAGATTGCGTATGATAACAGTCTTACGGAACATTGCCGTTAGTCACTTTGGAATGCTGGGGATATTACAGGCAGGAGAGATCATCGCATTTGCGATGACGTAAGGTACAACTTGAAATACAATAGATTCAAGTTCTGCGCAAACCAAGCATGCTAGAGCTACTAGATGAAGAATCCACGACGGTAACACCCCAGGTTAGCAAGCCAGTGTTTCGTCAACGTAAAACCTTGGGAAAAAAGCGACAAAGAGATGATGATAAAAATGATATAGAAGAAACTAGTGGCAAAGAACCACCTGAAAATATGGCTTATGATGCTCTGGAGCGGAAACAACGCAAGTTTGGTACTCAAGAGGCTACCACAGTTCAGAAACAAGTGACAAAAGATGATAAAAGTGAAAAGAGTAAGAAAATTGAAGATGGTTCGGCCAAAGAAGACGAAGAAGACGAAGCTTACAAATCCGAAAAGAACGTTCAAAAGCTGAAATCTTTCGCTAAGGCACCCCCTGCTTCCATCAGGACCGTCACAATTACAGATTTCCAGCCAGATGTGTGCAAAGATTTTCTTCAAACCGGCTACTGTGGCTACGGCGATACTTGTAAGTTCCTTCACATTCGAGACGAACTGCGAGCCAAAGCTCCCATTCTGAAGGACTGGAAATTGGATGAAAAATCAGAACCAGAAACCATACCCTTTAAATGCGTTCTTTGCAAAAAGGACTATAAACGTCCTGTCAAGACTGAGTGCGGCCATATATTCTGTCAGTCCTGTTTTATGGACCGTTATAAACACAAAAAGCCCAATTGCTACATATGTGGACGAGATACAGGGGGTGTATGTACTCCGGTCCAGCAAAAGGAACTCGAAAAGCTTTTGGCTCCTCGATAGCCGATATTGCCGGAACCCTTCCTGTACAGGCCGGTATATGCTCCTGTAGATAAGCGGCATTTGTCACTGGATTCCAACCAGGCTTGCTTGACTTGCTTGCGTGGTTTACTGCCATAATGTCGCAGATTCAGGAGCAGCTCGAAGGCATACCCGGCTATGATATTTTCATGGACAAGTACAACGAATATGCCGAAGAACATTTCAATATGAAGAATCCGTTTGAAGATGAAGATGGTAATCGGCTACGGCTCCCGAAAGACTTTTGTACGAAGAAAGAGCACCAGTTATGGAGAAGAGTTCAGAAAGCAGCATGGCAGCATGATAAGTGCTTTTTGGGGCTGTGTGGAGTCGGCATGGACTGTGGGTTAGGGCTTGTACCGTTAGTGGTTTTCTTGATCCCTGGTTTGGGACCGTTGATTATGTATGGAATTCATGCTCGACTCATCCATATCGTTACCAACGAAATGCCGGTGCCAAATAAACTTGTTGCCAAGCTTGAATCGCAAATATTATTCGATTTGTTGATCTCACTTCCACCTTTAATAGGAGGATTTTTATCGTGGCTCAACGGATGTTCCACCCGAAATGCCTCCTTGTACTATAACTTTTTTACGCAATTGGCGAAAGAAAGAAAAGAAAACAAAACTGCCATGTATATTGGAACTACCAATAACCCACGAGAGCCTGATATACAGAGCCCTGCCATCGATTACACTTACGTCAATCCCCAGCCACAAAAAAAGAAACTAGGCCGCCAGAAGCAACAACAGGACATAGTCATAGGCCAGCAGCAGTCTGGTTGGGTTTAGCTTGCATATATATTTCACCTTTAATTCAACGTCCTGTATTTATCACCAACTACCCGCGCAGCCTGCAACAGAACACGCAACTCATGTTTGAACCTCCAGAAGGCATTGAAAAATGCAGGATCTGGGTCGATGGCTGTTTTGATTTCGCTCACCATGGTACGTACTATTCTGATGTTTAATTGTTTGGTATACTAACCTCAGGACACGCCGGAGCCATGCTTCAAGCTCGACTGCTCGGAGACAAACTCTACGTTGGAGTTCACACTGACGAAGAAATTCTCCATAATAAGGGACCAGTGGTGATGAAATTGGATGAGAGAGTCGCTGCCGTGACCGCTTGTAGGTGGGTAACCCAGGCCGTTCCTGGTGCTCCGTATGTCACTTCACCAGATGTCATGGACCAATACGGTTGTAAATACGTTGTTCATGGCGACGATATTACCTCTGATGCTAATGGTGAGGATTGTTACAAGGTGGTGAAAGACTTGGGTCGTTTTGTGGTGGTTAAAAGAACACCTAATATTCTGACCACTGACCTCGTGGGCCGCATGTTATTGATGAGCAAAAATCACCACTTTATACCAATTGTATCTGTCGAAAACCACCCGTTGTTCGAAGGAGATAACTTGACAAAGTACTCACGCTATGCCAGTGACGAGACTGGTAGGAAGCCTGGACCTGGTGTCTACTGTTACTTGACAGATGGAACCGTACGTGAGCTTGTCAAGCCTTCGTCTGCCACTGAGAAATCGTACAAATCGGCGGTTTACATCGATGGGGGTTTTGATCTCTTTCACTCGGGCCATATCACGGCTTTAAAGATGGTTAAAGAGCAAGCAGAAAAGGAAAACGCTGCAGTAATCGTTGGTATTCACGACGACCGTGCCACTAATGAGATCAAGGGTCTCAATTATCCCATCATGAACCTCTATGAACGTTCTCTTTGCGTGCTTCAGTGTCGTTACGTGGACGGCATCATCTTGGGAGCTCCTTACAGTCCCACGGAGCAGTTTTTGTCAAAGCTTCCAGCAAAGATCAATGCTGTTTACCATGGTCCTACTCCCTTAGAAGAAGATCCATACTCAGAAATTGAGCCCAGAGGTTTGCTTCGAACTATTCCAAGCCACAAGTACGACCACATGAACGCAGAATACATTGTCAACCGAGTCCTCAGTAACAAGAAAGCGTACGAAGACAGACAAAAGAAAAAGGGTTGGAAAGCCGAAATCGAAGCTACAATTCTCGCCAAGGAGTCTTATGCCAAGTAAGCATAAGAACTTAAATGCCAAATGAGCGTTATTTATTCGTTAGCCATGTACTCGTTACTAGCAGCTATATACTACTTTTATAATGCCTCTGCGAACAACGAATTGTCCAATTGATCGTTCAACATTCTCAAGTTCATTTCGTGCTGACTATGATTGGAATTACGTCTTGCAGACTTGCCAAACATGTGTACTGTTTCCCAATCTTTATCGTCTTCAAGTTCATCGCCTGGACGACCCCAATTGTAATTTCCTGCTCCCAGTTTCTTCACTTTAGTGGGATCAGTGTTCGCGTGTCCATTGTGTGTAAACCACTTGGCGTCACCAGCAGCCTCGTGGACAGTCCATTTTTTTGTTCTACTCATAATTTCAGTTGGGAATTGACGTTGATTCTCACCGCTTTTATATTGTGGGGAGACCACCAATTGTGGGGAACACGCCTCATGGAATGCGGCGCGGTCAGGTCACTATGGAAAAGTGAAGAATACGATAGCATTAGCCGATAATTCTAAGCCGATGAGCCGAAGCGTGTCAACAAATAACCTTCTATCACTTTCGGCCATTTCTGCTTCTTTTCTAGACCTCACTCCAGTCATTGCCAGAAAAATTATAAAGGGAAAATTTTCGGTGATTGCGCCTTGATCATACCACTCAAGAATTTCCAGAAACGAATGGATTCCTGGAACCACGTCTGGAAGTGCCAATGATTTTCTCATTGGTTGACCGACATTGTACCTCTCTGATAGTAGCTTTAATGCTTGCTTCGAGTCACTGTAGGTCTGTGCATTGTCTCCGAATACTTGCTCGCTTATATTGACCAATTCGGACAGCTTTGACTTTTCTTGATCAATGACAAAAAGTCGGCCATTTTCAATGTGTTTTTTGACTCTTTCAAGGGGATAGTAATTTCCACTGCAGACATCTAGAATCTCACCACCAAATTGTCCTTTGTACTTCATTTTTTGGCAGTCATCAATGTAATATCCAAGGTAATAGTAGCCCAAATCGAGCTCCTGGCACATTTGTAGCTCCCGTAAGCCAGATAATGTGCCTAATGATAGGTGAGCATAATCTGGGTCCCAAATAAAATAAACCGAGGAAACACCTGTAGGAAGAAAGTCCACCACAGAGATTGCAATCAACTTGTTGTCCAAGTAGTAGCACTCGTGAGTGGGACCCACGCGGCGATCTGTCATTGTGGATATCTCGGGCCATTGCTGAACCCAAGAATTGAGTGCTTTAAAATGCTGCTTAGTTCCTTCAACTTCTCTCTGCGGAAATGGGGTGTCACAAAGAAACCGTTTAAAGCTAGCTTGTGAAACGTCACTTTCCTTGTCATTATGCACTGCCATTTGGTACTTTTTGTACAATTGGTACTTTTCGTTCGTAAATGCTGCTGGTTCAAAATGGGTATGGAACCTTGAAGATGCCTTTTCGGCTTCAATGAGAGATTTCAACGAAAACTTTTTATTTGATTTGCCCTCCCCTTTCGGTTCCTCGCCAAGTTCGTCACTGATAGCTCTCACAAATCGATTCACTACCTGCCGATGCAGCTTTGCAACCTTCATCTGCTCCAAATTGGTTCGTATAGTATACAAGCGACAGCAGTTTCTGAGCAAATCTGGTTTATAAAGAAAGGTCCCCGATCGTCTGAAGCCCTTGTTCATCAATATATCATATTGTTGGCACGTCATTTGCTCTACAGACATTCCAATGGTGACGGAAGATGCAGGTTTATTCTTTTTCAGCCAACTTTCAAGGGCCCAATGGTCCTGTTTACTTCCCTTACAGTACCCACAATGGCGGTCCTCCATGTACATGGGCGCCAGCAAAATCAAAATATCATCATTCATCAAATACCTGAGGTAGACGTAGTCATAGTTCGTGCTGCAAACTGACAATTGTATTGGTGTACTGGTGTATATATTCATAATGATTTGCGACAGATTTATTATAGTAAGTTGCCATTTAAACGGCAACAACCATAATCAATAATCGTCGTCATATCTGTAACTTTATTCCAGCATCATTGCATCTGTACATATAGTGATCATCCATGAGCAGTCCGCAGCGCGTCAAGAAAGAAAATGGTAATTTTAAGTTAAAAAAAGACGAGTCCAATTCTCCTGGTGGCCAGGATCACGGATTGTTGTCGGATCCCGAGAGCTATTTGGAAGAAAATGAGTCGCTTGACATGAACCTTACTAGTGGTAATAAAAAAATATGGTTGGTGAAGCTTCCTAGGTACTTGGCATCGAAATGGTCAGATATCAATGCTCTCAGTGGCAAGGAATTGGCCAAGATTAAGATTAGACAAGGATCACCTGCTAATGGGGGCAAACTTCAAGTCAAGTTGGTCTTGCTGGATCAATCTGACGATTCTATTCCGCACGAATACGACGTTCCTATGCTCAATACTCAGGTGAAAAATTCGTACGTTTTCAGTGAAGAGAACTTGAGCAAATTTAAAGATAATAATGGAATAACCGAGGTTTTGAACATGCCCGATTTGCCCAAATTGCAACCTCTTAAGGAAGAATTGCAGTTTAAACAAGATATGGAGCTGGCTCTGGCCCCACGAGGACACTCGCTGTATTCCAATTCCACTACTGGGAACGATGCTGGTGAGAAATTTGTGCCAATTGTCAAGACCATCCCTAAGAAGACGAAACTTTCCGGTAAAATCTGCCACGATTGTCAAATTGTACCATCTAAAAACGACCGTCAGTACTCAAAGTTCCTCAATAGAAGGCAGAACATTCAGGTAGCGAAGCCTAGACCCCGTGTAACTCTTTTGAACGAAATCCCAGGTGTTCTTCAGTCGAACGCTGGTCCCTCGGTTCGTGGAGGCAATGCTTCGGTATTCTTAAAGACTACCACTGTACCTAGAAGCAAGATTGAAGGCAGAGCGGTGCGTATGCCTAGAAAGGATCTCTTGGATCTCTTGTTCCGGTTATTTGAGGAGTACGAATACTGGTCTATGAAAGGATTGAAAGAGAGAACGAGGCAGCCCGAGTCTTTTCTCAAGGAATGTCTTGATTCCATCGCGATCTTGATTAAGAAGGGGCCGTACACCTCCAAGTATAGTTTACGGCCTGAGTACAAGAAGTTGAGTGAAGCCGAAAGAGCAGCCGGTTTGAATGAGAACGATGGAAAAGACGAAGATGAAGATGATTTAGAGATGGAGGATGTGGTTTAACCTCTACACCTAGAAAATTTTCAAAATATGAAATATTATTATAGAACCTTACTCAATACATGACATACCAAACTCCCTTACAAGTTCTTGATCTCCAAGGTAGGAGGCAAGGATTGTTGCAACTTCTTAGCCTTGGCAGCGTCGTTGACAATCAAGGTGTATTGGTATCTGGAACCTCTAACCTTGAACTTGGTTTGTCTGAATTTCTTGCCGTTAGCATTGAGCTTCTTGTTAACCTTGACGGTAGCAGACTTGATGTCAGCTCTTCTGGCCAATTCGACGAATTCCTTGATGTCCTTGATTTCACGAGCCATGGTAGATACTTTGGTGATAATGGAGGGTGCGGTTTTCACCATGAAAATTTCTACGAGGCGCGGGGTTGGTGCCCTGGCTCGGTGCGTGTGATTTATGTCACGTGCCTCTCTTTTCTAGTAATTAACCGTTTAACGGCAGTAATCCACCTTCTGGTGGTATCATCGATCATCACATTAGCATGCTTGATGGTGGTGGTCTCCCTGATACCCACACCAACAATTCCAATTGGCCACACAACATTTCCAAGACTCATTTTCATATATGAATCGTTCGCATGGAACATATCGTTAATTTGGAGATAGTAGAGGGTAGTGGCCAATGATGTGAGTAAGTCTTTGTGTATGGTTCCAGTGCGTAGCTTGTAAAGTAATGGAACCATATCTCGTTTGGTTTCAATTAGGAGTTGTGCGCTTGGCTGCGAATCTGGTACCAGTTGCACTTCGTCATCCCAAGCGTATAACATGCTTTTTATGTACTTGCGGCACTGAGTGGCTATCTTATCTTGAAGATTTCCATCTGCTATTTCCTGTTTGTCGAATAGACTTGGTGTAGCTTCTTCTTTGGTCTGCTGCTGATTATATTGGTGTTGCGTGAGTTCATGCTTACGGTCAAAATCGGGACTTTTTTGGTCACTTGGCTCAATTTTGTCATTAACGTGTCCTTTGTCGTCTGTTCCTTCTTCTTTCTCTTCTCGCTCCCTGTTCTCCTCCCCCCTTTCTTTGTCCAACTGCTCGTCCTGTACGCCTGTCTTCACATGCTTCAGGTGCCTTTTGCGGGAGGATGAGTGTTGAGCAGCTTTTCGCTTGTGGCGGATTTCCTGAGCTAGTAGGTTTGAGAAATCCATTACTCTAGCACCAACTGCAACGTTTAGTCGCACGTAACTGACTATTTTGCTGTTGTGTGGGTGTTCGCGATAAGCTAACGACCCAAAAATTTGAAGCAACTGAGAAGCAAATCAGGATTGGCAATTTACACCATTTGAATTTTTAGGCATTTTTGTGACCACACCACCCATTGACACCATCCAAACAGTTGTTCTACTCATCTTCAATTGGTAATTAGCGTCTTTCAACGGTTTATTCGTTTGCATCCTCCATTTTAATCATTCTAGTTGCCGTCCTTTTGTCATGTCGGAACGAAGATCCTCCGATGGTAAGACAGAAGTGCGAGCCAGATTTACTGCTGAACCGGGGGCTCCCACGGGGAAACCCCAGGCATCTCCACTCTTGTCGTCAACTCCACCAACAGTTGCAAAGTCGTTGGTGAAATCATACCCGTACCTTTTGATCGTCAACAAAGCGTTGTCGATATTCACATGGACCAACGATGATTATTGGGTCAATTTGATCATAGTGTGCATGTACTCGCTCTTGGTGGTGTACTTTGAAAACATTATTACGTGGAGTGGGCATCTTGTTGTGGTGGCCATCTTGGCACTCTATGCTCTTTTGAACCACAAAATCACTCAGGAGACCAACCTGAAACCAACGTTGGACGACGTAGTACAGGCCCTTACCACCACCTGTATCAAGGCAGATATGTTGTTGGATCCAATTACATCGTTGGCGTTGTCGGCTCACGATATTAAACGGCTACTTTTCACCACCGTTTTCCTCACTCCACTCTACCTTATCGTTACACTTGTGGTGATTCCTCCCCGGACAATTTTGCTTGTGGTTGGGGTGTATTTATTGACATATCACTCTGTCTACATGAGAGTAACTCGTCGGATCATTTGGAAGCTCAAAATTGCTCGTCTCATTTGTTTCTACTTGACCGGCCTTGACTTCCAGAACCGTAACCACATTTTTGCAGCCGCTTTCGCCAAGGTGCAAAAGGGCAACACTAATAACGGCTTGGGTGATCCTAATAAGCCGGTACGGTTTGCCTATGTCGTTTACGAAAATCAGCGACGGTGGTTGGGTATAGGCTGGACCGCCAACCTTCTTTCATACGAAAGAGCACCTTGGACCGATGAATTCCTCAACGAGAGCCCTTCGGTAGATAAGTTTGAACTCCCAAGCCCAGACAATGACTACTCTTCTGGCTCTTCAGCAATGCCTATGGCTTCGGGTGCAACATGGAGATGGGTCGATAAGTCCTGGCGCCTCGACCTTACCAACGATGGTGCTATCACTTTAAACAAAAGATCAAAGACCACTGCTGATCCTGGCCCTGATGAAGGGTTCATTTACTATGACAATGTATGGAAAAAGCCATCTACAGAGGACTCGTACTCCAAGTATACTAGAAGAAGACGGTGGGTACGCACAGCCGAATTGACTTTTGCCAAAGCTGGAACTACAGAAAAGGAATCAGAGAAGTCAATTGATATTCCTCTTGAATCTTCTGACCAAAAATCAGGTAAAAAACTTCGGTTTGCCGAATCTGATGTCAGTATCACCAGTGAAGTCGACGACGATGCCATCCACGCCTCTCTCGAAGACGAAAAGTCTCCACTCGTCCAGGATAAGAAGAACGACTAGATGCCTAGTATTAGAGTTGCTTACGTACTGCTATCAACCTTATCATTGGTCCTCGATGTTCGCAATTTCAGTTGCGATCTCCAATCCTGTAGGAATCCTGTAGGCTCAACATTTGCGTAGCTGTGGTTTTCTAGTGAATTTCTAATTTGCTCTTATCGGCCCCTGCGCAACCTTAGTGCCATGCGCCTATGGTGCCATGGTGCCTAATCACCTTCAACCGGCACACCGGTTCCTGCAGCCGCTATCGCAGTCTCGGCGATCGCCGATACACCTGCAGGAACGTACCAGGCGATAAGGGTATAAAAAGATAACATACTCCCATCGAGTAATCAAGATTTACAATGTCTTTGGTCGCATCTTCATACGGAAAGGGAAACGTCAAGTTCTTAAAAGTCAAGAAAAATCCTAGCAATCCAAAAGAACAAGATATTCTTCAAGCAAATGTTCAGGTGTTATTAAGAGGAAATTTTGATATTTCATATACCAAAGCAGACAACTCACCAATTGTTCCAACTGATACCGTTAAGAATACTGTGTTGGTAGAGGCCAAGACCACCGATGTTTGGCCCATTGAGAGATTTGCGGCTCATTTAGCTAAGCATTTCATCAACAAGTACTCTCATGTTTCCGGAATCGAAATCACTATTCAGCAAGCTAGATGGACTCGTTTTGATGTCAATGGTAAGCCACATGCCCATTCTTTCCGCCACGATGGCCCAGAAACCAGAAACACTTATTTGAACTATGACAGATCGGGAAAGTTGGTGCTTGAATCGTCTATCAAGGACTTGACCGTGCTCAAATCGACTGGTTCTATGTTCTACGGTTACAACGTGTGTGACTACACCACCTTGAAGCCCACCAAGGACAGAATATTATCCACTTCCGTGGCTTCAACCTGGACTTTCGATCCTAAGAAAGTGTCTACTTTGGATGATGTTTTCAAGGCTGCTGACAAGGGCCTCTTCGACAACACCTACGACGCTGCTAGAAACACCACTCTTGAATTGTTCGCCTTGGAAAACTCTCCTTCAGTCCAAGCAACCATGTACAATATGTCCACCAAGATCCTCAAGTTGGTTCCTGAAGTGTCCAAGGTGGACTACGTTCTTCCTAACATCCATTTTGTTTTGTTCGACTTGAAGTGGAAGGGAATTGAGAGCAATGACGAGTTATTCTACCCATCTTCTGACCCCAACGGTTTGATCAAGTCCACTGTTGCCAGAGACGCCAACGCCAAGTTATAAGTATAGTAATGTAAGAATTGAGATATGAATTTGAAGAGTCTGTAGTCACTCAATCTGTTTTAATGACATTTAGCTATGTTCCATTATTCGATTTAGCTATGTTCCATATACTTTGTGATTTTAGCTGTATGTCATTACTCGATTTCAGCGATGCTCATCGCGAACTTTTCAACTATCATGAATGAACGAGGACGGATCTTGACTGCGATAGGGGTGACCGCGGCCACCACTGCTGTAATTATCGAGGCATTTCGTTACCTTTATAACTCCAGTCGTTCAAATATCACAAAAGTGGAGCCAAAAAAGACCATTTCAAGGAGCACTTACGACGAAGAACTTATTTTGGAACAACTAGCAAGAAACTATGCATTTTTGTCTCCTGAGGGTATGAGCAAGGTACGAGAGCAGCGTATAGTGGTTGTTGGTGCTGGAGGAGTCGGCTCATGGGTTGCTACTATGTTAGCTCGTTCGGGTGTGGGAGCGTTGAGAGTCGTAGACTTCGACCAAGTGTCCCTCAGTTCCTTGAACAGACATGCAGTTGCTACCATCTCCGATGTAGGAACTCCAAAGGTGGAGTGTCTCAAAACCCATTTGAAACAAATTGCCCCTTGGATTCATGTTGAAGGAATAAATCAGTTATGGAATTTAAAGTCAGCTGAAGAATTGATTTTCGGTGGAGATTTCCGGCCAACATATGTTGTCGACTGCATTGATAACATTGATACCAAGGTAGATTTGTTGGCATTCTGCCACGAAAAAGGACTCAAAGTGATCTCATCGGGTGGAGCTGCTTGCAAGTCAGACCCATCTCGCATTAATATCTCTGATATTTCAAAAACTGAAGAGGACCCATTGTCACGATCTGTGAGAGTACGACTCAAGAAGAGAGGAATCATCTCCGATATACCAGTGGTTTTCTCTGCGGAAAAACCCGACCCTAGGAAAGCACAGCTCCTTCCATTATCCGAGTCTGAAATTGAAAAGGGAGATGTCGATCAACTTTCAGCAATTCAGAACTTTCGAGTTCGGATTCTTCCCGTGTTGGGAACCATGCCGGGAATGTTCGGATTAACTCTCGCAACATACATCATCACGTCCGTCGCTGGCTATCCAATAGAACCAATTGAGGGAAAGAACCGCTACAAGATATATGATAGTCTTCTTCAAAGTTTGGCCGGCCAGCAGTCTCGTATAGGAGAGCCAGATCAAAGGGTTCCCATAGCATTAAGTGATGTAAGTTACATCTTGGAGGAGGTGTTCCATGGAAAGTCTCCAGTTTCGTTGTACTCCACCAAATTGACTCTTTCTCGATGGGATCCAAAAAAGCCGATTTCGTTTCAAAATGTTGTTGTTTTGACCAAGGAAGAGCAACGGTACCATGAAGATCATGTGTTGAAGGGTGGAGAAAAAGTTGAAGAATGCTACGACCTGGAAGTAATAGAGCGGGTTGAAAAGCGGTTCGAGGAAGAAAGATATTATAGCCAATACAGATAGCATAGAATGTACCGATATGCACTTCCACAAGCACATCATTTGACTCTAATGCTCTGTTCGCCTACCCGTTCGCCTACCTATTCATTTCCTCAATTTCGCAACCATCGGCCTGCATCCGCATACCGAATTCAAATATTCATTGCCACTTGACGCAAACGAACCATGTGGCGTATTCGACCATTTGTGCGAAACCCCGTCTTCGGGCGGTACGGAACCTCGGTTTTGAGGTCTCCTCGTAGTAACATATACATGAAGCGCTTCAATTCTACTCAAGCTAAACCACAGAAGAAGCCCAGCGGTATTAAAGCACTCATGAAAGAATATGGATACGCGGGATTGGGTGTTTATTTGGCCCTCACGGCCATTGATCTTCCCATATTCTACGTTTTGGTCCACTCTATGGGCCAAGAAGAGATTGAGTTCTATGAAAATAAAGTTAAACAAAAATTCGGCTACGGAGTGAGCGATGAAGAACTCAAAAAGAGACAAGAAATCAACAAGATTCATGAAGAAATGGAGTCCGACAATATTCCCAAGCCAAAAAATGAATCCTTATGGTCGACTCTTCGCAATCTGTTCTCGTGGACCGAGTTTGCTATAGCCTATGGTATTCATAAATCGTTCATTTTCGTTAGACTTCCCATCGCAGCTGCTATCACCCCGGGAATTGTGAAGACTTTAAGAAAGTGGGGCTTCCGTATTGGCACTGATAAACTTGCCACTACAGCAAACATTGCCAAGGAAGGCATCAAGGACTTTACTGCCGCCAATCCCAAGTTCGGCACCAGACCCAATGGTAAGAAGAGATGGTTTAGTTGGTTCTTTTGAAGTGGTACATTTCTAATAAATATATGTATATAGGTCTATTTTCAAATCCCCAAGAATGCTTTGCTCCGCTCATATACAAAAAATGAGCATGCCACCATGGGAATCACTTTCATGTATCCAATCGTCAATCCAACAAAATATCCTTTCAATCCACTCTCCCGGAAAATCAACCGAGTCGTTTCTTTAAACGAAAGAAATTGTCCCTGGTTGATTGCACCTCCCACCTGCATTCTTCTACGAATCACCTCAAATGGGTATGCCGCAGTTTGAGAACACATTCCTGCAAGTCCACCAGCTATCAACTGGGCATAGGCTCGGAGTGGTTTCCTTGAATCTCTCGAATTCACCTCGTTTTTGTTCGAGGATTTTCGAATTATATTGGAAGATTTGTCTGAAGATCCCAGAACAGCCCAGCTAGCCAAATAACGAGAACGGAAAATGTCATGAATGAGGTCATGAGTGAAGAATGATACCCCAGCGTATGGTATCATGCCAAGGATAGTGGGGGCGAAACCTCTATAAAAGTTCGAAATGGAAACGAGTGGTTGTGGAAGTGTATTTCTCATGAACTTTAACCATTTTGGATCATTGGCTCTCCTAGCTGGAATCTCAGCAAATATGTCTTGGATCGTACAGATAAGTTTACCACGACGAAGGGTCAAGTGGTTGTGGCCCCGTGTATGAACATGTTTTGTTTCGAATGCCATTCTTATTCTGATCAAATCCAATGGATAAGTCAAAAACACCGATCCCAACCCAGAAAGTGAACCGGTCATGAACCGACGAAATCCCGTCTCGTATGCATCATGTGGTATCAATATTGCTCTTATTTGCTCGTAACTCACAAATTTGATAGCAGCATATGGAAACATTCGTAATAAAGTTACTGAGTGTCCTTGAAAAAGGCCAAGAATTCCATCGTTTTTCCATATTGATTTCCCAGCCATGTAGAAGCCGGAGAACGTGCCTCGATACTTCAAAAAGTCTGGATTTGACGTTTGAAATAAAATCTTTATTCGATCAAGAGGAGCAATGAGGGTTTTGGCGGCACTGCCAGCCACTCCACCGGCTATTCCTGAGCGCACGATGTACTCCACCGATTGTTTGTCGATAATCTTCACCTTTTTTGAGTCCCCGTCATTGGTAGATGCTCTCTGTCGAATTAGACTGCCATCTAGTGACAGAGATATCGGTTTTTCTGACATTTTCCCGAGGCTAGAGTAGAATTTTTGACACTTCAAGGTATCCACTATATTCCCAAAACGTCAGGAAAGGATACTAGGGTCCTAGAATGCAATATTTTGTTGTTTAAAAACAGGCGGTAACTATGCGGTATGTGTGATTTAAGTTGTGATGTCGGCGGCGTGTTAGTTGGTGATGAGAATATGGGGTTGGCCCGTCCCCCTGCAGGACATTTTGTACGGAGTTGGTGTGGTTGGTCAGACGAGTTGAAGCATGAGCAGAGGTGATTGCGGTTGATTAATGGTCGGTATATTACATTTCACTATGTATTAGGTCAATTCAAAGATTTAAACTGCCTTTCGAGAGACTAAAGTGGCTTAGTGTCCTGGGCCATGAGGTCGATACCCGGAGGTTCTGTCTTTGTGGTAATTGGAAGGTGATCTACCTCTTACAATCAATGGGGGTGTTTCGATTGATGATAGAAGTATGGGCTGAATCTGAGAATCTTCGTCCTCGATGATTCCCAATAATTCGACGTGGAGAGTGAAGTATCGCGAATTGACCGAGGTTGATTTGATCCGAATCGAAGACGAAAATTGGATACGTTCAAAACGAGCGACTCTCGCTATCGAGTCACTTGGATAGTTCTTGAGCACGGAATTGTCTTTTAATGCATTCAAGTTGGCATTGTGATAGTATTCGGCTCGATCAAAGTAAAAGATTTTGTTCATGTTTTCAATTTTCCCATTGTTGCGCTTGTTGCAAGAAGCACGTACTGTAGAGTGATCTGGGAGGTTTCCAGGAACAGCTGGGTATATTGGTGGGGGGAATTGAGGGCCCTTGTCCCGCTTTGGAGTGTGTTGAATTAAACTGATAGAGACGTCATCGTCTGAACATTTAGCAACAAGTCTAATGGCAAAGTAGCTGATTTCAACCTTGTTTTCACCAACAGATGATCTTGACAGTTTCTCATACGTGTAGAATTTGTTGTGTAAAAAACGTTCGAAATCAAAGTTCTCGAATGTGAAACTGGAAACTAGGGTAAAGTAGTTTCTTTTGTAACCTATCCAGGTTCCAGTCTCCCCCATTTCGAATCCTCGATCTATACGTGCTCCTAGTATAGGATTCACATCCATGTCATTACTCTTGCAATATATGTCTTGGTGGTGTCTTGTCTCTGAAAACTGTGGTCCCACTTTGAAAAGGTCGCTAGAGCGTGGAGCAACTTTACGGCTGGTAGCTTCGAGAAGGTCTGCCTCATTGGCTTGTGCTAGCATTTCAAGGTGGTGGTGACTATGGTTGAGCTGGCTCAATGGGTGTTGCAACTGTTGTGCTAACGAATGTTGTGCCAATTGGTGTTGCGACAATTGACTTATTTGAGCGTTCAAATGGTCCTGATCATGGTGTACATGTGGATGGTGATGCTCTGCTAGCTGATGGGCGTGGTGCTGCTCTGCTAGTGTGTGTGAGTGGTGCTGGTGCAGCTGGTGATGGGCATGAGGCTGCAAATGGTGATCATGAGAAACATACGAATGAAGAGTATCCTCAACTTTCAAAGGAAGGTGGCCAACAGAATTGGCAGCCGCAACTGCCGCGGCCGTAGTAGCATCGTCGGGGATATGGTCGCCCAGTAAGTTCATTATTTTAGCAATTAAAGTCCAATGTTATTGATAGAAGCGTTGGCGATGACGAGAAAAATTTTTTCTAGAGTTAATGATAGCCAGCTTCTTGGTAAGAGTAGCCGTGTAAGTTGCTTTTATGATGGAGGTAATTTTGCAAGAATATGTGACCTTGATTGCAGCCTCAACCTGCAACCAAACGAAACCTAGTTTTGTGCTATGTTCCTTATCAAGAAATGAGGAGTTTGTGTAATTTTAAAAAGAGTGCGCGACGAAACCTGAGATAGTATTTGGAGAGAGAAAAAGCAAGAAGCGCCTTTATGGCCAAGTTGGTAAGGCACCTCACTAGTAATGAGGAGATCGTCAGTTCGAATCTGGCTGAAGGCATTTTTTTTATTTTTGAAATTTTTACCGGAGTAACAAATTTGAGGCTAAACAATGATGTTTATAGCTGACATCGGTCAGCTCGAGGGTTACAAGGGTCTCTTTATACTTAATTGGAGAAAGGGTATGAATGAGTGTTATTTGGCCTTGATATACCAAATGTGTAATATGCAGTATTGCAACCTTTTTCGCAGCCAACTCGAACCACAAACAGCTCTGCTTACCTCTATCACAAGAAACGGGAGTTTTTCAAGAGTTTAGAACCAGTGAGATAGTTGAAGAAGTACTTGTCACTTCAAATCTTTTTCAATTTTATTTTGTTACAAATTTTCACAATTTTGCAAAATGAGCTTAAATCTGGATCTCGACTCATTCCTTACCTGTCCAGGCTATGAAACTTTACCGGTTGAAGATGAACGTATTTTATCAGATGATGATATAGTCGAAATCTTCAACACAGTAGGAGATGTGTTCATCTTTCAGGGAGATAATGTGAGAAATGTGTACGATCTCTTCATGTCCCAACTAAACTCTCGCGCTAGCAGGTCTTCTTTTTACGTTGCTTTGACTACAATACATCGAGACTACGTTGGAACCTCTTCAAACTACAGGAAATGGCTCAAGGCAGCTTGCAAACAAGATGGGAGTGATGGGCCCGAAAGGATAATTAAAAACGAAAACATTAATACAGCTTGCAAGATGTACGTAACTGAAGTTGCCTTGTACCTCTTAATATGGGGAGAAGCCAGCAATATCAGATTCATGCCAGAATGCATTTGCTTCATTTACAAGTGCTGTCTCGACTACTATATGGCAGAGGACAGGATCACGATTGCAAAACCATTTCTTGACCACACGATTGTACCTTTGTTTGAATTCTTGAGGGAACAACAATACAAACTAAAAGACGGAAACTGGATTCGGAGAAGGCGGGACCATGCTCGTATCATAGGATACGACGATATGAATCTGTTTTTCTGGTATAATGAAAACCTCCAGAAATTAGTGGTCGATTCGGGCAGGCTCTATGATATGGCTGCACTGGACCGATACCCATGCTTTGACAAAATTGATTGGAACAAAGCTTTCTTCAAATCCTACAGGGAAGTACGCACCTGGTCTCACCTTTTGACCAACTTCAGTAGGGTATGGATTACACACTTGACAATGTTCTGGTACTTTACCAGTTGCAATTCACTCTCATTGTACACAAAAGAATACAGCCCAGAGTACGACAACACGCCTCCACCTCATGTTATTTGGTCAGTGGTTTCATTAGGTGGAGTATTAGCATCGACAATTGCCCTTGTGAGTTGCATGATGGAACTTAGATTCGTACCAAGAAAGTTTCCAGGAGCGCCATCTGTATTGGGAAGAAGTTTACTTCTCATGGCTCTTCTGGCCTTGAATCTTGGACCGTCCTTTTATCTTTTGTGGATATTGCCTGCTGATGTCTATTCAAGGTCGGGTCACCTAATAGGGATCATTCAGTTTGGGATTTCTGCTGCCACTTTCCTATACCTAGTGCTTGTTCCTCCCGCACAATACTTCTCTTGCATACTTCCATCCCAGCCCAATTCACATCATGCTTTTACTTCAGACTTCCAAAAACTCCCCACGAGAACCAAGGCAGTTTCTGCTTCACTATGGGTTCTGGTATTCACCTTGAAATTCTTGGAGTCGTATTTTTTCTTGACATTATCTGTCAAGGATCCAGTCAAGGTTCTATCCCATTTGAGAATGACTAGGTGTCATGGTGATTCCATATTGGGTACACTTTCGTGCCGTTATCAGCCCACAATAACGCTTGCGTTTATATTCGTCACTGATTTGGTACTTTTCTTCCTTGATACGTACTTGTGGTACGTTCTCTGCACTTGCATGCTTTCCATAGTAATTGCCATAAAGAATGGCAATTCTATATTTACGCTGTGGAAGTCGGTGTTTTCCCAGCTACCGGAAAGGTTGATATCCAAAACAGTCAACGTTGACAGCGTGGGAGACGCAATAGTGGCAGCCAGCCACATGTGGAATGCTATTGTGTACTCCATGTATCGAGACCACTTGATATCAGTTGACCAAGCCTCAGCATTAATGTATCAACTCCCCGATACGGACTTTGTTCAAAGTTCAGCTGATGTTAAGGCACCTATTAACTTCTTCAGTCACAATCATGCTATCCACTCGGATGAATACTTTCCTCAATTAGGTGAAGCAAAGAGACGAATCTCATATTTTGCACAATCGTTAAGTTCGCCTCTCTGTAACGCAGATTTCACCACAGACGCTTGTCCAGCATTCACCGTATTGATCCCACACTATTCAGAAAGTATACTTCTTAGCATCGAAGAGGTGATCAGAAGATCTAAGCAAACCCAGATCACCTTGCTTGACTACCTCAAGAGTTTACTGAGCTCGGACTGGACGAATTTCGTTCGAGACACTAGAGTCGCTGACGATGAAAAGTTCGGTTGTAGGTTTCCAATTCCTCTAACTTCGGAAGGTACAACAGACTATGATAATTTGCCTTATGAGTATTACGGTTTCAAATTCGCAGACCCGGAAAGTACTTTAAGAACAAGGATATGGGCATCCTTACGCTCTCAAACTTTATACCGAACAGTTTCCGGCTTCATGAATTATAGACATGCGCTTGCCGAATTATACAAAGCGGAGCACGAAGATTGCATCAACCACATTCATCATTTGACTTTTGAAGACGAATTGAAAGCACTCATAGAATCTAAATTTACATTGCTAGTGTCGATACAACGACACAGCAAATTCTCAGAGTCAGAAATGCAATCGTTCGAAATCATGGCTCAAAATTTCCCCACAATGAAAATATCAGTTCTCGAGGAGATCAAAGAGGGCGACAAACTGGTTCATTATTGCTCACTATTGGACTTGGCCAAAAAAGACGAAAGTAGCCAATATGGCAGAAAATTCAAAATCAGGCTTCCTGGGTATCCTATTTTGGGAGACGGCAAGTCTGACAATCAGAACACAAGTGCAGTGTTCTATCGAGGAGAGTACATTCAAGTCGTAGATTCCAACCAAGACAACTACTTGGAAGAATGTTTGAAAATCAAGTCAATGTTGTCTGAGTTTGAGGAGCTAAATTTGGCACCAGTAAGAGGAACATCCATGACCAGACCTCCAGTTGCAATTGTTGGCGCTCGAGAGTATATCTTTTCGGAGCAAGTTGGCGCCCTTGGAGATATCGCAGCAGGTAAAGAACAAACTTTCGGAACTATGTTTGGTCGAGCACTAGCTTTCATGGAAGGCAAGTTACATTATGGCCATCCCGATTTCGTAAACGGGATCTTCATGTGCACTAGAGGCGGACTTTCCAAGGCGCAACGTTCACTTCATTTGAATGAGGACATTTATGCTGGCATGAATGCAATTGCTCGTGGAGGAAGAATAAAGCATGCCGACTATTTTCAGTGTGGAAAAGGCCGTGATTTGGGGTTCAATACAATCTTGAACTTTACTAGCAAAATCGGGGCAGGCATGGCTGAACAAACGCTATCTCGTGAGCAGTTTTATTTTGGAACTCGGTTACCTACCGATCGCTTGTTTTCCTTCTTTTATGCACATGTTGGGTTTCACATTAACAATGTGCTCATAATACTCTCGATTCATTTATTCCTGATATTCCTCTTTAACATAGGAAGTCTTCGAAATGAGAGCATTGTCTGTGATACCACAAGTGGACTCACTGAGCCTACTCCCATAGGCTGTTACAATATCAAGCCAGCAATTGATTGGATCAGTCGCTACGTTCTTTCAGTCATAATATGTTTCTTTCTCTCGTTCACGCCATTGGTGATGCAAGAGTTTATTGAACGAGGAGTGTTGAAAACCGCTAAAAGAATCTTTTTCCACTTAATTTCACTTTCGCCGTTATTCGAAGTATTTGTTTGTCAAGTATACGCAAGTGCATTCGTGGATAATCGGTCGTATGGTGGTGCCAGATACATTAGCACTGGCAGAGGATATGCCATATCTCGAATTTCTTTCGCCACGCTTTATTCGAGGTACGCATCGTTATCAATTTATTGGGGCTCACGCTTAAGTTTGATAATCATCTTTGCGTGCAGCACAGTATGGCAGATATCCTTGTTGTGGTTTTGGATCACTTGCTTATCCTTGTGCCTTTCACCGTTCATTTTTAATCCACATCAATTTGACCGAACGGAGTTCTTCCTTGATTATAGAGAGTACCTTAGATGGCTTGGGAGAGGGAACTTTTCTCGATGCCGTAACTCTTGGGTCCGCCACGTTCGGTTTCAAATAATAAAGCTGACTGGGCTCAAAGGACCTGGAAGTAACGAGCTGGAAGACTTAGTTCACCCAATCTCCAAGTTCAGGTTCGCTATATGGAATTTGGCCAAGGCTATTCTCAACGTTTTGAGCTTCTTGGCTCCGTACATGTTCTTGAACTCACAAAATGGAGTAGCTGAGCCATCAAAAGTCAATCCTTTGATGCGGGTAGCTGTGATCGTTGCAATCCCACTAATCAGCAACATCATAATATTAGTTGTGCTCTTTGGTATCTCCATTCTTCTAGGATCTATGATAAGAAACAAGCGTTTCGCGGATACTATTGCAGCAGTTGCTCATATCTGGTCAATCTTGGCACATGTAATTGTCATCGAAATAACCTGGTACATCCATTCATGGAATCTTCCACGCAGTTTGGCGTGTATCTGTCTTGTGATCACCATTCAGCGGTACTTGATGAAGCTTGTGCTAAGTATGTGTATTTCCAAAGAGTCAGACAGGTTGGAAGCCAATTCTGCTTGGTGGTCAGGGCGATGGATTCAACACCATCTAGGATGGCACATCTTATCGCAGCCATTCCGAGAATTAGGATTGAAGTTAGTCGAGCTAAACTTCTTTGCATTTGACTTTCTTCTAGGGCATGTCTTGTTTTGCTGCTTGAGCACCATGCTCTTTATCCCGTATATTGGTCAATTACACTCGTTGATGATGTTTTGGTTTGTTCGTCACAACTCATTGAATGTGAGTGGAACACAGCACTTGCATAGTCGACAAAGGAAGCGCCAACGAAAACAGGCGTGGAGATATTTTTTCGTATTCATTGGAATCCTAGTGGGCATATCAGCATTACTTGTTGCTCCGTATCTTTTGAGAAAATACTGGGAATTCTTGGATAAGTCGATTCCTACCTTTGCGCAGCCATTGTTCCAGCCTAGCAACCAGGATCAAAATGATACAGGACCCAGAGCACCTTCGAGCTTCTGGAGCAAAAAACCACCTCCAGCAACATGGTCTACCATATGGTGAGACTCATTTGAAAAGTTTGGAGATTAAAGCATTCTGTAAGGGTTGGCAACTTTCATACTTTTAATTGAATGAGGTCAATCGTAGCTACTCAATAAGTGATTTCATTACAATTAATAGACACAAGCTCCAGGTAGCTGTACATGTTTATTCTTGAGGATCTTTACTTGTTTTCGACTTTATCTGATGTAGCGTCTTAGCAAATCAAGTACCTGGCTGTTTACAAAAAACGCGAAATCAACATTTCTTGATCCCAACCCCACAATCTTACACATATGAATCCGGCACATCGACAGCGAGTGTCGCGAAAACCTTCAAGGCAGGCGGGCCTAGGGCCTTCACCAGCAGTTCCACAAAATTCAAGGGCTCATTCTCCACCAAAAGCGGACTATTTAAAGCGATTTCAAGATCAACCGGATGCCAATGATGATTTGTTTTTTGAGGAAGTTGAGTACGACGATCATCTAGACGACGATTTCAAGACTCTCAAGATAAGTGATGTTGATAGGTGGCGTCAGGGCTTGAAAGAGGCCGGAGCCAAGACCCTGAGGCCAAATCTTCACCAATTTGTAGAAACCGAGGATGACTTTGATGACTTTCAGGACGAATTTGTCGACCGAAATGATCATGGGCTTGACTATGAGCTAGAGAACAAACGGGAAAATCATCAAAGGGCCCATGCTCAGAAAAAAGGAGGAATATCGCCAGCAACAAGGTCGTCCTCTTCTCCCATGCGGCGAGTCTCCCTCTCAGAATACTCAGAAAACACCAACGAGACAGACCTTACATCAGAACTAAATGGTGAGGAATTCGAAAACATCGATGACATTTTTGGCGACGAAGAAAGTGGTATTTATTCGAGTGGTGGTGGGCAACAAAATGACATCAGAGCCAAACAAAGGCTTTTGAAGCAGCAACAGCATCGGCAGGCAGAGGCTCAAAAGGAAGAAGAGGATCTCCTTAGGCAGTGGAAAGGACGTGAGGAGGTGAACACCTTGCGTATCAAGGATTTGAACCCGGTTGACTTGGACAAGGATGCATTGGAGAATGAGAGAACGATAAATTACGAATATACCAAGGACGACTTTGAGGACTTTGAAGATGGATTCGAACTTGAACCAGCGGTAAAGTTTCAACCTGGTACAATTACCAAGTTTGGCAAATTGCACGCCAAGATTTCGATGCCTGATGTCAGACAATCTTCCAAGGCTATATCTCAAAGCAAAAAGTACAAATCCACGATGGACTTGAATCATGAAATGAGACAGCCTTCAGCATTCAACAGCAGCAATCGTGTCATTAGCAAGTTAGACCGAATCCCATCTTTTTACCACAAACCCAAACCGGACCCAGCTCCAAAATCCAAGGAAGAAAAAGACGAGGCTCAGATCAATGATATTGAAAAGAAGAAGCAGCAGCTATTGAACAAGTATATGGAGTTCACCGTGAAGCAGAACAAGATATCAAGAAAGAATAGGCAGCAGGCAGAACGACCTCGGAATTCCAAAATTGGGTTGGTGAGGAATTTGAATGAAGTGCCAGTTACAACCGGTAATCACAGGATGAAGTATGATCCGGTGAAAAAGATGTGGGAAGGAAATAACATCGATCTTGTAAAGTTCGAAAAGATACGACAGAAGCCATCACGACCACTGTTGATTACAGCTAACGATTTCAAGTCGAACAACAAAGATAAAAAGATTCAAGGCAACATGATTTACGACGCCGATCAGATGAGATGGATCAACTTAGAGGAAGAAGAAGATGTGTTTGGAGAAGTGTCAGATTTGGTTACACCAGATGTTCGAGACCGAGGCGTAAGTACTTTTACTCAAAGGACGACCTCGACCAATTCCGCAGTTTCGGTTCCCTCTACCACCCAGGAACTGACGCGACAAGAAGAGTTTTATATTCCAATCAAAGTATTGGAGAAGTTTCGTAAAGAGGAGTCAAAGATACGAAAGAAAACTACTCATTGGTTCAACAAAGATGAAACATACAAACCCCATAAAAGTTCTGGCCATGACGATTTCCGTTGGGAGATCAGAAAAATGGTCATGGACACCGATTAAAAATGATACCCGTGTACCATATATAGTCAAAATAAAGACGCAATTTCAGTGAAGAGAGGTCTTGAGCATTGACCATACCGCCAGATTCAGGTACCAGAATGCAGACCCATGTGCAGCTTCGCGTCCGACAACATTGTAGAGTATGAGCATTGGTTAATAGCCCATTGCACGTAACTTCTTGGCGCCAAGTCGACATACCAAATAAAAAGTAGTTTGAATCGCATTTATGAACATTATCTTCTATATATTCAAAACTACCTCAATCAACGATGAGGATCATTTGAACAGGTTTTAGCCAAAAGTTAACTTAGGCAATAACGACCAATGATCCCACCACGACGAAAGCACCGACCAATAAGGATCTGGCAACAACGTCGACTGACAACTTGGCGCTTCCAGACTTCTTACCAGAGCTCGAGCTTGAAGAAGAAGAGCCCGAGTCAGAAGAAGAACCAGTTTGAGAGCCAGAATCGCTCGAACCGGTTGCGGTAATGCCAGTGTGGGAAGTGGTGCGGATGGCGCCAGACACAGTTCCAAGACCGGAAGTTCCAGCAGACTTCAAGTAACTCGAACATGAAGAGGCAGTGGTAGCCTTCTTGATAGATGCAGAACCATCAAAGTCACAAGCAGACTTGCTCTTGTCTTGGTCCAAGTAGTACAAGTTCAAGACAAAGTTCAACTTGTCCTTAGGAGAACATGGTGAGTAAGCACCGTACTTACCGGTGGTGGAGTCTCCGTTGATACCAGAACAGTCGATATTTCCACACACTTCTCCAAACAAGTCACCGTAGTCACTAGAGTCAACACTGCTATCAACAACACACTCCAAAGAATCGGACATACAGTTACAGACCTGGTCATCTGGAGTTGGAGGCAATTCGGTGGAAGCATCCCAGTTACTGGTACTAGTAGGACAGGAAGTGACGGTTGTGGAGCTTACATCCAGCGACTTGGCACTGGAAGGAGAGATGCTGGCCATTTCAGACTTCAAGTAGTTGAAGTCAGCCAATGTGGAAACCGAGTCGCCTTTAACCGACACCAAACCATAGTCGTTTGTTTCTTGGAAGTACATGTACACGATACCACCAGACCAGACGTCAGTCATTTGACTACCGAAAAGGGTACCAACTTCTTGGAACTTTCTTGGTTGAACTTTGTTACATCCGTATTCGGAGAAGAAGATTGGAATACCCAAGTTTTTGTAATCATCAGTGGCATCAGAGTAACCGGAGGTTTTGTAAGAGGAACTTCCACACCATTCGTACATGTTGATACCGAAGAAATCGGCTCTGTCGGAGTAATCTCCACAAGCAAAGTAATCAGCCAAAGAAACTCTGATGTCTTGATCATCATTGGCAGAGTATCCAACAGGAATTGTTCTATAACCTTGAGCCTTGATGTAGGCCTTGGTGTCTCTAACAGCGGCTTTCACATAAGCGGAGGCATTGGTGTTTGACTTTTCATTGGTGACTTCGTTACCAGCAAAGAAACCCAACACATTGGTGTAGTTGTGAAACAAATCGACGACACCGGTGTAACGGTTGTACAACTCGACGTTCCATTGAGGATCGTCTCTGTTGATAGACATATCAGGCTCGGAAAGATCGGCAATCACATAAATATCGTTGTCTTGCAACATTTGCATACAGTCGGTGTGATCCAATGAAACGTTCAAGGCGTAAACTCTGATGACATTGGTGCTCAACTGTTTCAAGTAAGGAATGTCTCTCTTACACGCATCGGCATCGGCCAAAGGATCAACAAAACTCAGTGTATCAGTCGAGTTCAGCACATCTTGTTGGTAGGCAACACCCTTGATGAAAAATTGGGAACCATTGTTGGAGTAAAAAAACTTGTTACCAACGATCTCGATGGCAGGCAAGTCGTCGGCAACAACCATAGACACTGCAGCAGCAGCCACAGCCAAAAGAGACTTAAACAACATCACCAAAGTTTGCTGGAAAAAATTCTCTCGAAACTGGCGCGACAAGGGTGGATTTTAATAGTGGAACGCCAAATCCGCCAAAACGAGGCTTGTGATTACCAAATATAAATAGCCTATTTAGGCGCGGTAGTGCTGCGGTTACAATTGTTTTGAGCAATCAACATACTTGATTTAATCGTTGAAGAAATTTATCAAGATTTATGTAGTCTACATGCTTCATACTGTACACAAATACTCAAATCATCATCGTATTTCGTTCGATTACTTCAGATCAGGGCATCTTTCTTGGCGAGCCCTGACACATTTGTGCGTTAAAAATGGGCGGAAATAAAAAAACCACGCACGTGACTAACCGATCCGGTCCGCGACCTTCTCCTAAATGCGGCAAAAAGTAGCATGGCTCGGCGAAGTTAACGGGGCGTAAAGTTTCGTGTTCCAAATTCAAAAATCCCGCCTCCGGCACGCGACACCGCCCACGGCAACCGCTAACATATGCGGGATCTTGCCGTACAGCCGAGACGCGAAACGCACCCAATCACTTTGCACTTTTAGATATAATGGACCTGCACCCAGTTTCATCTCGGAGCGGCGCCAAAACGTGTTGTGGTCGTGTAGGAGCAGTCGTGTAAATGTGAGCCGGTACGAGTGGGGTCGTCCACGTACCACACCATCCCCACCAGCCCTCCCCACATCTGACTAAGCACTGATTCAGCGACAACTTTTTCGGTGTCGGAATGGCGATTTTTCACTCCCACATTTATCATGTCTGACGAAAAGATCATCGAAGACGTATCGGAGGTCGAGGACTCGGGGCTCATCGAAGCTTACATTCGTTTCAACGATGATGAGGAGAAGGATTATTGTTTTCAGATTAAGGTATCATCAGTGTTTTCTGACTTGAACAAGATTTTCAACAGCCTCCCGATTTCTCTTCGTCCCAGTATTTTCTTTAATTCACGTCCTGTGGGCTATAAGGTGCTGACTTCGCCCGGCTACTTGACCGAGGATGGCGCTTTGCTTTTCAGTTACGAGGTGAGTAAAAAGGAGTTTCAAAAATCAGTATCTCTTAATGATAAAATCAGCGATAAAGTTTGGCCGGGCCAACTTATTCTTCCTGTTTGGGAGTTCAATTACTTTGGATTCTACAGCTTTGTATTGTTCTTGTTGACGTGGCTTTACACCGATCTCCCAGACTTTATTTCTCCCACCCCTGGTATCTGCTTGACCAACCAAATTAGTAGAGTAGTGGGTAATTTACTAATCAGATTCGACCAGCACAAGATTGCAGAGTTGTTTTTGGCTGATCTCGAGACGGAAGTGGGAATTACTGCCCAGATTTTGTTTTTCATCGTTCATGTCGTCAAGTGTTTGGGTATCTTAACTGCACTTTACATTGGAATGTTCAACCCAATTCGGGTGTTCAAGTTTGGCGATACACCACCCAAGGATGTTAGTAAGGAACAATTGATTGACATGGGATGGACTGGTGCGAGAAGAGCTACTCCAGAAGAGTACAAGGACTTTTACCGTGAATACAAAATCAAGCAACATGGAGGCATGATTCCCGCTCATGAAGCCGGTTTATTCAAGAAATTGGAACATTTGGGAGTTTTCTTGGGTAGAGGTGAAGGGTTCGACACTCCATTGGATGATAAATCTACACTCAAAGATCTTTTGGATGAAGATAATCAGAAATTCACTCTCAACTACCAATACTTGGCCAAGTTGGGTCAGTTTTTCGAATCGTACACCGCCGAAAACGACTCGAATATGGTGGAGGCCATTAAACAATTCAGAAGGTACGGCATCTTGCACAGCGACGAAGTGATCTCCAAGATCGTTTCCATCAGAAAGGGCCGTGGAGACTCTCGTATCGAGTAATATTACGTTTATACATAATTTTAATGTCTATATTAGTACAATTCGAATTGACTCGGAACTCTATCTGATGAGATCTTTTCTGACATAATCATAATTTAATTAGTGCTAACGATGATAGAGACTACTACTGATATATCATTTTAAGCTCTATCTCCAATTAACCCATATTAGTCAATCGGATGTGGTATTTGAGGGAGACATCCACGTAAGTGAACGTCCACAATCAGATACTTGTCTTGATTTACGAAGTGTGGTGCAGACGTCCTCACTGGAACATACTTGCACTTACATATTACAACAGTGTGGTCATGCTTTTCAAGTGTTGTTTGGTGACCATTTCTACTTCAGAATCACACTTATTATCGAAACGACATAGTCCCCAATTCTATTAGTCTAGAAACTTTCGATAATACAACCAAGTTTCTTTATATTAGACTCGATCCCACATGCCCAATTGAGTAAGTTGGTCAATTCATCATACACCGAAAACCATTCGAATATGATGGGGGCGATCAAGTATGATGGCGTGATCAAATAATTTAGAAGGTACGAGAGAACGACATGATCTCCATCAATCAGCAAGAACCGGAGACTCTCGTATCAAATATTACCTTCATAAATAATTTGACCAAAAAGTTGTAAGTCTTTTATACTTTATTACTATAATCAATTTATTGACTCTTCATTCACAAGCCTGCCACACCCCGGTACCGGCTTGCAGCCAACGTGTGCATCACGTGCGTTTACAGCATGAAAATTTTCGCGATATAAAGTCGCCGGTCGCCCAATTCGCAGACAAACTAATTGAAATGGTTCAATCGTCAGTATTAGGTTTCCCCCGTATTGGAGGACAAAGAGAGTTGAAGAAGGTCACTGAGGCCTACTGGGGTGGAAAGGTTTCTGTGGATGACTTGTTGGCTAAGGGTAAGGAATTGAGAGCTCACAACTGGAAATTGCAAAAGGACGCTGGTGTCGATGTGATTCCATCTAACGATTTCTCGTTCTACGATCAAGTTTTGGACTTGTCCTTGTTGTTCAATGCCATCCCAGAAAGATACACCAAGTTCAACTTGAGCCCAATTGATGTTTTCTTCGCCATGGGTAGAGGTTTGCAAAGAAAGGCCACCGAATCCACTGCTGCTGTTGATGTTACCGCATTGGAGATGGTTAAATGGTTCGATTCTAACTACCATTACGTCAGACCAACCTTCTCTCACTCCACTGACTTCAAGTTGAACACTTCTGCTGGTGTCAAGCCAGTCGATGAGTACTTGGAGGCTAAGGCTTTGGGAATTGAGACTAGACCAGTGATCCTCGGTCCAGTTTCTTACCTTTACTTGGGTAAGGCTGACAAGGACTCTTTGGACTTGGAACCAATCTCGTTGTTGGAAAAGGTATTGCCAGTTTACAAGGAATTGTTGGCTAAGTTGAAGGAAGCTGGTGCCAATGAGGTTCAAATCGATGAACCTGTCTTGGTGTTGGACTTGCCAGAAGCCGTCAAGTCAAAGTTCCAAACTGCTTACGACGCCCTTGTTGGTGACAACCTCCCACAACTCATCTTGACCACCTACTTTGGTGATGTTAGACCAAACTTGGATGCCATCAAGTCTTTGCCAGTTGCTGGATTCCACTTTGACTTTGTCAGAGTTCCAGAACAAGCCGATGAGGTTGCTTCCATCTTGAACGGTAAGCAAACTTTGTCTGTTGGTATCGTTGATGGTAGAAACATTTGGAAGACCGACTTTGCTAAGGCTACCGCTTTTGTTAATAAGGTTGCCGACAAGGTTGGTAAGGACAAGGTTATTGTCTCTACCTCTTCTTCTTTGTTGCACACTCCTGTCGACCTCGACAACGAGAAAAAATTGGACCCTGTCATCAAGGACTGGTTCTCTTTTGCTACCCAAAAAGTGCAAGAAGTTGTCACCATCGCCAAGAATGTTAGCGGTGAGGATGTTTCCGAGGCTTTGGCTGCTAACGCGAAGTCTATCAAGTCCAGACAAGAATCTTCTATCACCACCAACCCTAAGGTTCAAGAGAGATTGGCTACCGTCAACGAGGCTTTGTCCACCAGAAAGGCTCCTTTCGACGAGAGATTGCCAGCTCAACAAGCCAAGTACAACTTGCCATTGTTCCCAACCACCACCATTGGTTCATTCCCTCAAACCAAGGATATCAGAATCAACAGAAACAAGTTCGTTAAGGGTGAATTGACTGCTCAACAATACGAGGAATTCATCAACAAGGAGATTGAGACTGTTGTTAGATTCCAAGAGGAGATTGGATTGGATGTGTTGGTCCACGGTGAACCAGAGAGAAACGACATGGTTCAATACTTTGGTGAACAATTGGACGGTTTTGCTTTCACCACCAACGGTTGGGTTCAATCTTACGGTTCCAGATACGTCAGACCACCAGTAGTTGTTGGTGACGTTTCTAGACCAAAGGCCATGACTGTTAAGGAGTCCGTGTACGCACAATCTATCACCAAGAAGCCAATGAAGGGTATGTTGACTGGTCCAGTTACCTGTTTGAGATGGTCCTTCCCAAGAGATGATGTCTCTCAAAAGGTTCAAGCTTTGCAATTGGGTTTGGCCTTGAGAGATGAAGTTCAAGACTTGGAAGCTGCTGGTATCACTGTCATCCAAGTGGATGAGCCAGCTATCAGAGAAGGTTTGCCATTGAGAGCCGGTAAGGAAAGATCCGACTACTTGAACTGGGCTGCTCAATCTTTCAGAGTCGCTACTTCTGGTGTTGAGAACGACACTCAAATCCACTCGCACTTCTGTTACTCTGACTTGGATCCAAACCATATCAAGGCTTTGGATGCCGATGTCGTTTCTATTGAGTTTTCCAAGAAGGACGACCCTAACTACATCCAAGAGTTCTCCAACTACCCTAACCACATTGGATTGGGTTTGTTCGATATCCACTCTCCAAGAATTCCTTCTAAGGAAGAATTCGTGGCCAGAATTGAGGAGATCTTGAAGGTCTACCCAGCCAACAAGTTCTGGGTTAACCCTGACTGCGGTTTGAAGACCAGAGGCTGGGAAGAGACTAGAGCTTCGTTGACCAACATGGTGGACGCAGCCAAGCACTTCCGTGCCAAGAACTAAGGATGTTTTTTTGGATAGGACCCCACTACATGAGGTTTGCATTATTCAATTCTTTGTTGATGCTGTATCCTTGATTACATTTATTCAACATTAATGTAATTTACGTTTGCTCTGATGATTGACGAGTTTTTTTTTATATAGTTGTTTTTTATACAGTTGGGGGCAGGGATTTCAACATTCGGTTAATAAAAGTATCGCCGGTTGGCGATGTTTAAATCATGTAGATAACATTTATTTTTGGTCAGTGACTGTATAGTGGGTGTATTGAGGTAGACACCTTAAAGTTCCTGCGTAGCTTTTCTCTTTCTATTGCCACCATGGATACCGAACAAGAGCAATTGATTGATCAATTCATAAATGTGACTGGCTCGTCGCGGAACCTTGCAGAGCAGTATCTTCTGCGTAACAAAAATGACATCATGAATGCCATTGAGGATTATTATGCTTCAAATGACAAGTCTCTGAATCGTCAAACTTCTGGAATTAACACCCTTTCTAGTTTGAGAAAAGATGATGAAGATGATAAGACAGATACAAACTTCTTTACTGGCGGTGAGAAGTCTGCTCTTCAAGTGGAAGATCCCAACAAAGATAAGAAAAAACTGGAAAAGTCCCTTATAGAACAAATCTTTCAAAGAGCTCGCGATCAAATGGAACAGCCAGATGATCGTCCTTCCGCTCAAGACGATGACGAGGACAATTCACGTCCCGGGAGATCATTCGAAGGCACTGGATTCAAATTGGGTGATGGTTTGACTCCATCTCAGCCAATTGAGTCTGCCTCTTCTCACATACAGCCCAAGCGTGAAAAGAAAGTGTCAAGAGAAATTACGTTTTGGCGCCAGGGATTCACTGTGGGTGACGGTCCCTTGAACCGGTATGACGATCCTAATAACGAGGAGGTGCTTCAGGAACTCAATCGTGGCCGGGTGCCAATTGCCATACTTGATGTTGAGTTTGGTCAGGATGTTGATGTGAGCGTATTCAAGAAAACTGACGAAGATTGGACCCCTCCTAAACGAAAGGTTGGTGGCTTCCATGGCCTGGGACACCGTTTAGGCTCCCCTGTACCAGGAGAATCACCAGTGGCTACAGAACAGAATCCAGAACCACAGGCGGCTTCTGTAGACGCATCTAAACCTAAAGACGAAGGAGAGGGCGATTCCGTCGTACAGATCCGGTTTGCCAATGGAAAGAGAGTATCACATAAGTTCAATTCATCCGATACCATAGCTACAATCTACCGGTTTGTTCGTGAACACCCCAACACAGAGACGGCAAGACCATTCGTATTGTCGCATTCATTTCCAGTGAAACCTATTCCAGAATCCGATGAGACTACTGTTGCCGAGGCCAAGCTTAAGAATGCAGTTATAGTCCAGAGATGGAGCTAAGTAGAAATAAAATTAATTCATTCTCTTAAAATAGGCTTGTTCGGCTCAGCTGTATTATCTTGCGCCGACTTTCTTTCACGGTTCAGCGCCGTGGCGCAGTGGAAGCGCGCAGGGCTCATAACCCTGATGTCCCCGGATCGAAACCGGGCGGCGCTATTCTTTTTTTCCTGCACTAACTTTTTTGGTCACGACAGGATTCGCGGCCACGTCGCGAGTTCGTTATCCTGTAGTTTTCTAGTTAAAATGGTATGGCTCTATTTGCAGTGGGCTTTGGCTCATCTTGATCCTTCTCATCCACTCAGATCGGTAGAGGCTTTTGCCGAATATACTCAGTCTTCTCTTGTTTTCTCTTTCCGTTTGAATAGTCTTGTCTCTAATACTAACAGATCAGGCATTGCAGACGCCCAAACAGAAGCAAGCGAACCAAAAGTTCGCCAAGAGAAACACTCGAATTCAAGGAAAGCCCCGGGCCGTAGCAAAGAAAACCGAGTATCCAGTTTCTAGAAGTTGGGTTTTCGTTTTGGTATTCTTAGTATGCGGTGGGGCGGTTCTTGAATTGGTGAGGATGTTCTTTTAACTTCTTTAATTCTTTTATGGAAAATTCTACAGGGTCACTCGTGATAGCATTAATATAAGGTATAAGTTAGATATTTGTAGTTTAAGTCTCCAACCTCTCCACATTTTCCTCGTTGAACACGAGTCCCTCATGGATCTCGTCTGCGAGAACAGTTGCTTCTTGTTCGTCAATTGCATCTTGTTCATGTTTATCGAAATGAATATCTCGAGTAGGAATTTCAGGACCGATCGTCTTGAACAAGCTTTGTAACTGGTCAAAGTCTTCCACACCATCGTTGTCAAAATCATACGTAGCCAACTCCACATTTTTGTTGGAGATGAGATTCAAATATGGTCCACAAGTTTCAATCTCAGACTGCGATAATGGAGCATCAGTAGCCTTATCTGTTTCAGTAGGCAATGCAATTGGCAGCGTTGTCGGAACAGCAGATGAATCAACAGGAACCATAGGAAGTTCATATTTGAACAAATAGCTTCCGTTCAAAGGAGATATCAACTTGAGAGTATTCATATCATCGATCACCGCCATCTGTCCAACCTCATGAGGTGAAGCATTACAGTCTAGCATGTCAGCAGCGTTCGGAACTGTTAGAAACTTTGAGGCATGCTCTGATAGTATCCACGAATCAATAAATGCACTTTTGCTTGTATTTTTTGTAACCTCAGCCCCCGTAGTTCTCAATCTGTTAGGATAGTTATTGTTGGAGTTTCCCAGAAGGTAATTGATGTTGTACCAATGGATAGACCCAGACGACTTTGTAATACATCCAAATCCAGAATTCAACCCCTTGATAAGATTATTTCCATCGTAGTTGTTGATGAACCAGAATATGTTCTTGACACTAGCTGATGTTTTACCTCGAACAAACTTGCCGGTGAGTGATACCTCCTTCGGTAGTTTGAACAAGTCCCACATATAGAATAGATCACCACGGTAACTGGAATGAACCATTTGTAAATCATAAGGGGAAATTGAAAGGTTGGAAACACCTCCAGGCGGTTTGAAAAGACACATAACCTTGTCGCTTTTCAAGTCAACAATCTTGATCAATTGATTGTCGTTGGGAACCAAATGCATTGTACTCTTGTGGATAGTTGCCGCAGTACTGCTTGCTGTAGAATAAAGAAGTTTGCCAAACGATTTTCCTAAAGAATTGAGCTGTTGAACCATGTTTCTTTCTTCTCCACTGGATTGTTCTGGAGGGGTTTTCTCAGAATTAAGATAATCTTTGAGCTTGTTGGAACTGGCCTCTGAAATTTTGAAAAGTCCGTCCAATGCTGTTTTCGATAGCGTCGACAAAACGGTATTGAGTACTGGACCAGGAGGCGGCAACTTTACAGGAGTAAACATGTCAGGGCTAGACAAGAGCACATCTTCACGCGGCATTGCCAAAGGATCAACATCATCGTTTTTCACCACCATTGGCTTATCGCTACTGCTCTTGATGACAGCATTAATGAGGTTATATTCGTACTTTGTTGGAGAATAAACCAACCAATCTCCAACAATATCGAAGAGTGGCTCATCCTCAAAGCAGCTAGTTTGGAAAAACATTTCCTCGTCTATGACTTTCGACAAACCATGCTTGGCGACAAGTGGTTGACAGCAATGTTTTCTGGTTGCCTGCAATTTGAAGTCGTAGTTTCCCATATGGTATTTCGGAGGATTGAAGCTCTCAGATTTGTAGACATAAATGAAGCCCTCTGAGTTACCGAGGAGCATATAGGACTTTCTCACTTTTAGCTTGAATTGAGGAGAAGCATTATTGGTATTCTTTCGTTGCATGAATGGTGGAATTGAGAGGACTTGAAGAACATTGGTACTTACCATGTTTCTTGCTTGCTCATGGATCTCAATACTGTAAGGAAAATCCTTCGTCTCATCCTTAACGATAAAAACAAAAAATGGATCTTTCAGGATTTCACAAAGCACAAACTTCTCAATTGTCCTAGAGGGATTTACCTCTGGCGTATCCATCACTTTACCACCGTTGAACTTATATGTTGGAGGATTTAACGAAGGTGCTTTTACCTTGAATTGATGATGCAAATACACTGCGTCTCCATACTGACCAGTTGTGGTGTGAGGGGTCCAACCCCACACTTCGAGGACATGTTCCTTAGGAAAGAGAATGTATATATCACCCTTGATACCACATTCTACTATCGTTGCTGCCGAGTCCGCTATTCCTTCGATTGCTTCATTATCCTCGTCAGTATTAGCGGGTATATCCAAGTTGGGAGGTGATGCTGAGCCAGAGTTCAGTCGATGGGTCTTGCTATTGGTGTTTACCGTCGCTTGCCGTATTTTTTTCCATGTGGCAGAAGCAGTACCTAGTTTATAACCCTTTTTGGGGTTTGAATGACTGAGTTAATACGAGACAAAAGAAGGTCAAAAAAACAACTTACATTTTGTTGATCTTCACCTGTTCATTCATTGGCTGTGTCATGGCAGCTTGAAGGTGTTTAAGGGCTTAATTGGCGTTTTTATTCAGAAAGACGTGGAACTGAGGATGCTGGTTGAGAAGTTTTATGCGATGAATTCAGCTCTAAAAGTGTCCACAGTACCTCAACAGCTCGGATAACTGTTATGGGAGGTCCAGGAAGTGTAATGGACTGATTTTAAATGGTAAAGCTAGCTTTCAGATTTTGTGGGTCACTGTGTTTCTGTTGTGTCTTATCGGAATTTACGCGAGCAGTTATCAGCGGGATGTGCAGGAAAGTGGGGGTCCTGGTGAGGGAGAGGTAGGAAGGAAGAACCGGGAGCGATCGAGGGCAAAGAATGCAAAGAAATGCACCTTAAAGCGTGTGTATGCTAAAGATGGCGCCAAGAGAGTTGTGTTTGATTTTGGCACATTTTGGTGAGCCCGAAGCCGGAATTGACCACATGGTGTTCAGCGTAACTTGACTCATGGCTGCGACAAGTGGGGGGAGCCCCGCATAAACTCGCAGTGGGGAAGATAACCATGGATCAGATTGAGTTGGATAAAAGAGAGAGCAACTTTGAAGAAGCCAAAAGTTTTGTTTTCAAAAGCGCATCAATTAGGATCACCATGAGCATAATCGACGGTTAACATTAAAAAAATGTAACGTTGCTATTATATTGAGCATTTGCATTATTCTGAGAAAGTGCCAATACTGAACCTTACAATTTCCAGCTTAATTTTTTTTTTCAACTTAAACCCAGAAGATGAAAGTTACTGAACAAGGCTAATTGCATAAGCTTCAGTCCCCACCATTGGACCGTCAAAAAAAAGTTACGATCTATTCTTCTTGTTCATCTTCCTGACAATCTTCAGCATCTCGATTTCGTCATGTCAAAAACAACATGCTAACAGAAAGGACAACCTCCCTAAATTTCATATTCTATTCACATTCGAAAAGCACCATAAAGCATTGACCCACGTTTTTTACCCAAGCATTTACTTAATTTTCACTCGCAGCTAAATACGCTACGGCGATATTCTCAAAGACGCTCGGCGGCTAAATCTGTAAACCTCGGCGATTGCCGTCAGATGGCCAAAAATAGCAATTGTGAATAAACTGCCGTAAAATCATCACACACACAAAATATACACTGTGATTTTGGTACCCATAACCCATTCGCAATTGCACGTAACTTGCCCTGCGGTTATCTATTTATCTGCCGTCCCCATATTTTTTTTGCAATCGCATTCTGAGGCGCACATTGTTCAGCCTCGATTTATGAATCCATGCAGCTATGGATCAACTCGCTTCCTGGCGAGGTTCTCGACCGTATTCTAGCACGTTTGACAGTGGCAGAGGTGTTTGCTTTTGTTGATCCTATCACATTGCACCAAAACCCAGGTATAAGAAAAGCTGTCATCAATCGCGTAAACCATGCTCCATTGCTTGCCCATAATAGATTGCAACAAACCTACTTGGTGATGTACTTGCTTTCGCCAAACTTTCTCGCAAAACTGACCATGGAGCCTATGCATCTTGATAACTTGGAAATGCTTTGGATGATGGAATCCACATGGGGACTCAGGCTCTCCCACCCTGTAACCATGAGTTTTCACATTTGGAACTTACTTGCTGCTACCGATCTTCTCAATCACTTGAAGAGACTCGAAACCAGTAACCTTGAATACAACATCGAGATTGAATTCGATCCTTCTATCCTTCCTAAATTGAGCATGTTTTATCTCATCAATCAGATCGCCCGTTGCGCCGGTACGAAAATACGATCAATTCTGATCCTAAATTACGAAGGGGGCTTCACCTTCGATCCATCTATGATACCCAACCTCAATGCACTCTGGATAGAAAACAGCGACGTGAGTTTTGCTGGTCCATTCTCGCCGCTGCTCAAATGGTTATGTCTTCATCCAAACAAAAACGGTTATGCCCGCAATAGACCGGTGCACATAAATTGTTCGCTTCCCTGCAACGCTTCCTCGATCCTCCTAGGCAACTGTTTGATCGACTCTTCCTCGGACAAGTACCCATTTCCCCACCTGATTCGAACCTTGAGCTTGGAAAACATCAAAGACTTGACTCCGTCGCATTACCTGCGCCGATTGATGGAGGAAAACCAAAATTTGCGGTCTCTTACGATAGTCAATTCGATATCAACGATCGACTTGAAAACACTCGATTCTTTCGGGGTTTCCAACGTGCAAAAACCCAATTGGGATCTTGGCGGTACCTACTTGACGTCGCTTCAAATCAGCCGCAGTGCATTGAGAGACATAGTGTTGCCTGATACTCTACGTGAGTTGAATATATCCAATAATGGCATCGTGGACTTGCAACGCATAAATCTCCCGGAATCCTTGGTCTCATTAAAGGTATCAGACAACCCAATTGATTGGACTGGTGGGGTGTGGTTTCCGCCCCGGCTCAAATACCTTGACTTGGGGAATACTGGCATCAAATCGTTGAAACCATTCGTATTTCCCGACTCAGTGGAAATATTAATCTTGGCAGTTAACAAGATTGAGTCAATTGATGGAATAAAATTCCCAAGCAAACTTCGTCTCTTGGCCATTGGAATGAACAAAATAACACAGGTCGTTAACCCCATATTACCGCGCAACATTCATACTATCCACTTCACCGAAAACCATATTGGCAATTCATTTCGTTTACTCAACGATCAGGATGGAAATCCTCTCAACTTGAAAGTGCTCTTCATCAACCATAACCGTATAACGGACTTTTCTGCAATCAAGTATCCAAGAAGTGTGGAGATCCTTAACCTCGACAATAATAATATTTTAAGCCTCAGAAACGTTGAATTCTCACCTAATATTCAAGATCTCAGCTTCCGAGGATGTGACCTCTCATATATCCGCAATGTCACCTTTGCAGAGAATTCCAAGTTAATCACTTTTATCATGTCCATTAACGACCTCAAAACTATCGACCGAAATACCATCCAATTTCCTCCCTCCGTTCAACTTATCAACTTTGGCGGTTGCGCAATTGACTCGGTTGATCCAGAGACTTTTACACATTTGCATTCCCTTCGACACTTGTCGTTTGCTGGCAACAAGCTTAAGAGTTTAGTGTTGTCACTTCCTAGTTCGGTCCGAGAGTTGGACGTTTGTTGTAACAAGATCAGGCGACTACGATTGAACTTTCCTGCCAATTGTGATAGTTCTTTAGCGGCATTAAATATCTCTCAGAACAAACTCAGCAAGTTTTCTCCCTCGCTAATTGGTCATGGTGTTAACGGCGTCTATCACCAAAACTTGGTTGAGATTGATATCACTAACAACAAAGTTACAGACAATTATATGGCAGCTATACTTGATGACATGCCCAGATCTTTAGTAGCTTGCTTTGTTGGCTACACAGGGACCCAAGACAGTTACGGGTATGATATTGGGCAGAATATACTCGACCACCCTTTATGTCTTGGAAAGAGAATAGATGTCTCTCATTTATGAGTCTGACGACAGCATTGAGGCTTCGAGAAAGTAGTCGATTACGACAGTTTAATATATCCATTATGACACTGGTACGATAACATGACCTTACACCTACAAATACAAAGAATGTAGATCACATAAATAGTCCCATTCAGCCATTACTTAGGGCGAACGGGGTGGAGGCGATCACTATATTATTCCATTTGCAAAAGTGTTCCCGTAAGTCATTTTAAACTGAAAATAAACGAATATAATCAGGACAAACGAGAAGGCTATGCCATGGGTCTACGGCTATCAAATACAAACGATATCCTTATTGTTGGTACTTGGTAATAGATGCGACGAAGCATGTAAAAAATGCATGAAAATTGCATAGAAAAAATGCGACAGAGAAAGCCATGCAGGAAAAATGGTTCTAACTCTGAACACAAAGTGGACCGCATCGGAAGTTTATTTCGAACTGTCGGGACTGCAGATAAACGCGCAAACTCCGAGACCCGAAGACTGAGTGAAGACAAAGATAATCGAATAGCGAATAGCAACCGTATATAGCCGTATAATTAAAAGAGACAGAAACGTTACTATACACTAACACTCAAGTTTTTGGCTTACTTTAAGGAGCTATTCACCGTTTTCATATTCAACGAGTGCCCAGATGCAGTACGCCAACAGTCTAAATGTTGGGGTCTCAACTTTTCGCAGCTGTTGGATTGGGTGCATATAAAAGATATTTCTCTCCCTCTAATACAACTTGGTGCAATTGAACGGTTTCGTATAGATTAAACACATAATTCAACCATAGTTGTTTATAATGAGACCAGAAATTGAACAGGAACTTTCTCATACCCTCTTAACTGAGTTGTTGGCATACCAGTTTGCCTCACCAGTTAGATGGATTGAGACCCAAGATGTGTTTTTACAACAACACAACACTGAAAGAGTAGTGGAGATTGGTCCATCGCCAACGTTGTCCGGTATGGCCTCCAGAACCATCAAGGCCAAATATGAATCGTATGATGCTGCTTTGTCGTTGCAACGTCAAGTGTTATGTTATGCCAAGGATCCTAAGGAAATTTACTACACTCCAGATCCAGCAGAGGCCGCTCCCGCCGCTGAAGAGCCCGCGGCTACCGAGGCTGCTCCAGCTGCTACTCCAGCTGCTGCCCCAGCTGCTGCACCTGCCGCAGCAGCACCTGCTCCATCTGGACCCGCTGCGTCTATTCCTGATGAACCAGTCAAGGCCGGTTTGTTGTTGCACGTTTTGGTTGCCCAGAAATTGAAGAAGCCATTGGATGCTATTCCTATGTCGAAGCCAATCAAGGATTTGGTCAATGGTAAGTCCACCGTGCAGAATGAAATTTTGGGAGATTTGGGTAAAGAATTCGGATCTACTCCTGAAAAGCCAGAAGACACTCCTTTGGAAGAGTTGGCAGACCAATTCCAAGACACTTTCTCTGGTCAATTGGGTAAGACTTCTACTTCTTTGATCGGTAGACTTATCTCTTCCAAGATGCCTGGTGGATTTTCTATCACCATTGCTAGAAAGTATTTGGATACCAGATTCGGTTTTGGTCCAGGTAGACAAGACGCTGTCTTGTTACACGCCTTGACCCAAGAGCCAGCCAGTAGATTGGGATCTGAGGCTGACGCCAAGCAGTTTTTGGACACCGTTGCTACCAAGTATGCTTCTATCGCCGGTATTTCGTTGTCGTCTGCCGAATCTAGTAGCGGTGGAGGTGCTGGAGGTGCTGTGGTCGATAGTGCTGCTTTGGAAGCATTGACTGCCGAAAACAGAACTTTGGCCAAGCACCAATTGGAAGTGTTAGCCCGTTACTTGAAAGTCGACTTGCAGAAAGGAGAAAAGTCTTTTATCAAAGAGAAGGCAGCTGCCAATGTTTTACAACAAGAATTGGACTTGTGGGAGGCAGAGCACGGCGAGTATTATGCCACTGGTATTAAGCCCACTTTCTCGCCTTTGAAGTCCAGAACTTATGATTCGTACTGGAATTGGGCCCGTCAAGATGTGTTGTCGATGTACTTTGACATCATCTTTGGCAAATTGACAGAAGTTGACAGGGAAACCATTAACCAATGTATCCAAATCATGAACAGATCTAATCCTACTTTGGTCAAGTTCATGCAATACCACATTGATCATGTTCCAGAGTACAAGGGAGAGACTTACCAATTGGCAAAGAAGTTGGGTCAACAATTAATCGACAACTGTCAGCAAGTGCTTCAAGTCGACCCAGCTTTCAAGGATGTTGGCAGAATCACTGGTCCAAAGACCACCGTTGACGCCAAGGGTAATATCACTTACTCTGAAGTTGAGAAAGAGTCGGTTCGTAAGTTTGAACAATACGTTTACGAGATGGCCCAAGGTGGTAAGATGACCAAGATTTCTCAGCCAACAATCCAAGAAGATTTGGCTAGAGTCTACAAGGCAATCACCGTTCAACAATCTTTGTCTAAGGGCACCAAGCTCGAAGTGCAAAAATTGTATGAGCAATTGATTGATTTTGTTGAGAAATCAGACGAGATTGAGGTGTCTCGTTCAACCAAGGCTTTCTTGCCTACGGGAGCAAACACTCCTACTGAGGAAGACGAGTTGTCCACCACTTCTGCTTCAGACGATGACGAGATTGCTTCCTTGCCAGACAAGACATCGATTTTGCAACCAGTTTCATCGACCATTCCACCACAGACTATCCCATTCTTGAACTTGCAACGTAAAAACTCCAGTGGTAATTGGGAATACGATGCAAGAAACTCAGCTCTTTACTTGGATGGACTCGAGAGCGGTGCCGTCAACGGTTTGACTTTCAAGGACAAATACGTCTTGCTTACAGGTGCCGGTGCTGGTTCAATTGGTGCAGAGATTTTGCAAGGTTTGATCAGTGGAGGTGCCAAGGTCATTGTTACTACCTCTCGTTTCTCTAAGAAGGTGACTGAGTACTACCAAGCCATGTACTCTAGATACGGTTCCACCGGTTCGACTTTGATTGTTGTTCCATTCAATCAAGGTTCCAAACAAGATGTGGAAGCATTGGTGAACTACATCTACGATGACCCCAAGAAGGGTGGTTTAGGATGGGACTTGGACACCATCATTCCTTTTGCTGCTATCCCAGAAAATGGCAATGGATTGGATAACATTGACTCCAAGTCTGAGCTTGCTCACAGAATCATGTTGACCAACTTGTTGAGAATGCTTGGTGCTGTCAAGTCCAAGAAGACCACTGACACCAGACCTGCTCAATGTATCTTACCACTTTCTCCTAACCATGGTACTTTTGGATTCGATGGTTTGTACTCGGAGTCCAAGATTTCCTTGGAGACTTTGTTCAACAGATGGCATTCGGAGGACTGGGGTATGAAATTGACCGTCTGCGGTGCCATTATCGGATGGACCAGAGGAACAGGTTTGATGAGTGCCAACAACATGATTGCCGAAGGTATCGAGAAATTGGGTGTTAGAACATTCAGTCAAAAAGAGATGGCTTTCAACATCTTGGGTTTGATGACTCCTCAAATGGTCAAGTTGTGCCAAGAGAGTCCCGTTATGGCAGACTTGAACGGTGGCTTGCAATTCCTTGACAACTTGAAGGAATTGACCACCAAGTTGAGAACTGATGTTATGGAGTCGGCTGATGTACGCAGAGCTGTCTCTATCGAATCTTCGATTGAGCAAAAGGTTGTCAATGGTGACGATGTCGATGCCAATTATACCGCAGTTGAGGTGCAACCAAGAGCCAACATGAAGTTTGAGTTCCCTGGATTGAAATCTTACGAAGAAATCAAGGAAGTTTCGCCAAATCTTGAGGGAATGTTAGACTTGGAAAGTACCATTGTTGTCACTGGTTTTGCTGAAGTGGGACCATGGGGTAATGCCAGAACAAGATGGGAAATGGAAGCTAATGGTGAATTCTCTTTGGAAGGTGCCATTGAAATGGCTTGGATCATGGGCTTGATCAAGTACCACAATGGTAACTTGAAGGGTAAACCTTACTCTGGATGGGTTGACGCCAAGACTCAACAACCTGTTGAAGACAAGGATATTAAGGCCAAGTACGAGGAGCAAATTTTGGAGCACTCTGGTATCCGTCTTGTCGAACCAGAATTGTTTGGTGGATACGATCCAAAGAAGAAGAAGTTCATTCAAGAAGTGGTGATTCAGCACGATTTGGAAGAATTTGAAGCTTCCAAAGAAACTGCTGAACAATACAAGCTCCAGCATGGTGATAAGTGTGAGATCTTTGAAATTGATGGCTCTGGTGAGTACACCGTCAAGATCTTGAAGGGTGCTACTTTGTACATTCCTAAGGCTTTGAGATTTGACAGACTTGTTGCTGGTCAAATTCCTACTGGATGGGATGCTCGCCACTACGGTATCCCCGAAGATACCATCAACCAAGTTGATCCAATTACTTTGTACGTATTGGTCTCTACAGTTGAAGCTTTGTTATCGGCTGGTATCACCGACCCTTACGAGTTCTACAAGTATGTCCATGTTTCAGAAGTTGGTAACTGTTCTGGTTCTGGTATGGGTGGTCAATCTGCCATGAGAGGAATGTTCAAAGACAGATATGCCGATAAAGAAATTCAAAACGATATCTTGCAGGAATCTTTCATCAACACCATGGCTGCTTGGGTTAATATGTTGTTGTTGTCTTCTTCAGGTCCTATCAAGACTCCCGTCGGTGCATGTGCCACTGCTGTGGAGTCTGTTGATGTAGGAATGGAGACCATCTTGAGCGGTAAAGCTAAGGTTTGTATTGTTGGTGGATACGATGACTTCCAAGAGGAAGGTTCTTATGAGTTCGCCAACATGAATGCCACATCTAACGCTGTGACTGAGTTTGAACACGGAAGAACTCCAAAGGAAATGTCAAGACCTACGACTACCACAAGATCAGGTTTCATGGAATCGCAAGGTTCTGGTATCCAGATTATTATGACAGCTGATTTGGCTCTCAAGATGGGTGTTCCAATCCATGCCGTTATTGCCATGACTGCAACTGCTACTGATAAAATTGGACGTTCTGTTCCTGCTCCAGGTAAGGGTATTTTGACCACTGCTCGTGAGCACCATGGTAACTTGAAATACCCATCTGCTATGTTGAACATCAAGTACAGATCCAGACAGTTGAAGAAGAGATTGCAAGAGATCAAGAAGTGGGAAGAAGGAGAAATCGACTTTTTGTCTGAGGAGGCTGAATTGGCCAAGGAGGAATACGGTGATCAATTCTCTCTTGAAGAGTTCATGAGAGAACGTACTGAGGAAATCCACCGTGAAGCCAAGCGTCAAACTTCCAACGCTAAGCAACAATGGGGTAACAACTTCTACAAGTCGGACCCTAGAATTGCTCCATTGAGAGGTGCCTTGGCAGCATTTGACTTGACTATTGACGATATTGGTGTTTGCTCTTTCCATGGTACTTCTACCGTGGCCAATGACAAGAACGAGTCTGCCACCATCAATGAAATGATGAGACACTTGGGAAGAAGCGAGGGTAACCCAGTGTTTGGTGTCTTCCAGAAGTACTTGACTGGTCACCCTAAGGGAGCAGCAGGAGCTTGGATGTTGAATGGTGCCATTCAAATTTTGAACTCTGGTCTTGTGCCAGGTAACCGTAACGCTGATAACGTTGATAAGGTCCTTGAGCAATTCGAGTATGTGTTGTATCCATCTAGATCCATTCAGACTGATGGAATCAAGGCCGTTTCGGTTACCTCCTTCGGTTTCGGTCAAAAGGGTGCTCAAGCTGTTGTTGTCAACTCAGACTACTTGTATGCCTCGTTGGACAAACGTACTTACGAAGCTTATGCAACTAAGGTGACTGCTCGTAACAAGAGAACCTACAGATACATGCACAATGCCATCACCAGAAACACCATGTTTGTTGCAAAGGACAAGCCTCCATACAGTGACGAATTGGAACAGCCAGTCTACTTGGACCCATTGGCTCGTCTCGATAGCTCAAAGAAGGAGTTGGTTTTCACCCAGAAATCGGTTCAAAGTGACAAGACATATGTGAGTGCTGTTGCAAACTCAACCGCCAACGCTTTGTCGAGCTTGAACAAGTCTTCAAAGGGCGTCGGTGTGGATGTGGAGTTGATTTCAGCTCTCAACTTGGAAAACTCTACTTTTGTTGAGAGAAACTTCACTGCTGGTGAAGTTGAATATTGCTCCAAAGCCGCCTGCCCACAAGCTTCGTACACTGGAACTTGGTCTGCCAAAGAGGCTACTTTTAAGGCCCTTGGTGTCTCATCGCAAGGTGGAGGTGCTGCCTTGAAGGATATCGAGATCACTCGTGATGCTAAAGGTGCTCCTCAGGTGGTTCTTCATGGATCAGCGCTTGAAGCTGCCAAGAAGGCTGGCGTGAAGGGTGTTAGTGTTTCCATCTCTCACGATGATTTCCAAGCTACTGCAGTGGCACTTAGCGAGTTCTAGTTGTGGTCGTTAGATTACATGATTATTAGCTATTAATTTACAGTTTGTGTTCATTACCTCATTCATTAGCATTCAATTACTTTCCCCTTTTTATAATCAAGCTCGATTCCTCTCAAACTGTGTTGAAGATTTTAGAGCTATAGCCAAAAATTAGCAAAAATAAATCTCATATTTATCTCATATTTCATAGCAAGCTTCCTGAACATATTCGCTTCAATAAAATCTAACCGCGTGATATGATATATTACCCCACGTTTGGTTGATCTTGCGCCTTCATCGTATCATTTTTGTCAGAAACAAAGTCGGGCCGATAGCAGAGTGGCGAGTTCACAAATTGTCTCAATGCCTCGTCGATTCGTTGTCTGGTAAGTTCAGAATACAAATCTTTAATATGCCCGCGACCTTTCCCAAGATACTTCTTGTCGGACCATGACTCGAACAATCTCGCTAAAGTTGTTATTGTATAACGATGAAAAGTACGATAATTTTCCAACACGATCACGGTCTTGTTTTCATCGTCAAACATCTCGCCCTTGTCTTCAAGATATTGATAAAGAATCCTGCGAGTTGATAAGTAATATCGGTCACGAACTGACTTCTGCCAAATGTAGTTCTTTATGATTTTGTATTCATCCATGAGGTCCGGGATGCAACGTGCGTTAAGAACTATCGGAGCTTTCTTCGGAATTCTATTGACCCTCTTGCGTTTGGGCCCATTGCTCAGCTTCGTTATACTTGTTTCTTGAGATACTTCACTAATAGCATGCTTTGCTGAAGAAGGTTCAAATTGATTGCTTTCTTCTTCCGAGCTCAAGTGGTACAGCAGTGTTTCCAGCAGGAACAGTTGTGGTGGAGAAATTGATTCCCTTCTCCTTTGATTTTCCGGATTTGGGGCATTATGATGATTCAGCAAAAGCTGGAGTATGCTTTGCATTCCCATCTTTAGTTCGAAGTAGTCAGCTATCATTTCATCAAATTTCGATTCCAATCTCGATATCAATCCCAGTTCCAGTCTCGCCTCCAACTTCGATTCCATCCTGCTCAAGGCCAACTTCATACTACTCACATCGTTTCGGATATTGTTCTCTTTGACGTTTACCCGACTGAGGAGTAGCGCTTGTCTTTGCCTTTGCTCAGCTATAAGTGCTAGGAATGTGTTCGACATTTTCGTCAACACTTCATCGCCTTCGAACGCGACGGGATCTACTGAGGGCCTATCCGAGTGGTCTGTCATCACTCAAATATTGTATTTAATTCTTTTTAAACACTAACGAAATATGTGGGAATATTTGCCGCACTGGCTGCAAATATTTGGTAAGGTGTGGAAAAAGGAATCCAAACCAGAAACGTCATTAATCAAGCTGCTAAGATAACGTCCCGCCGTATGCGTTCATAAACGGAGATGACTTTGAATTACACGAGGATGTTACAGATGAATCAAAACATATTCAAATTGATCCTGAATGCCAAAGGGGGTAATTTAGATGCAATTTGAGTTTCTCAATAAATCCCTCAGCATCTCATTTAACAGATATAAATATGCGCTTATATGATTGTGGAGCTTCAAGAATTAAACTATTAAGCTTTTAGTAGCTAATCCTTACGAACCCCAGCTTTTATTGTACAAACTTTAATAGTATTCGATTATGTCAGAATCACTGGGGTTTCAATTTAGGCTGCACTGCCTGTGTGTGCGCGCACCAGGGATTATCAACAATCGGCACTCGATCTTAGCAGAAGCAAGAGATCTGTCCTATAGTCGACATGTCTAACGAGGACTTAGCGAGCCGAAATCCAGAACCGGAGAATGACGTGGGACCTGAATTGAGCTCACATCGACATAACGGTGAAGGTGATTACTCTGAATCTCTGAACCGAGATGGATCTGCCGGTGAACAACCGACACAAGTGGCTCCTAATTCGGACCCTGAAGTATCCAACGGCACTCAGACTGTGACCGATGATGCAATTGAGGGGAAATCAGAAGCAGGACTCGAGCCTAGCGAAGTCCAAGTTGAGCATGATGAAGTTTCACCGGCGGGTGAAGAAGGCACTCCAACAGTTGAAGTCAGCTCGCCGCAGATAAACGTCGACGATGTGGATGCGGACGACACGGCCGATGTGACAGCCGAGTCACACAACGAGCCCGCTACGGGTCACGGTACCAGCCATTCCAGACGACATTCAACCCTCTCACTTAGCTCTACTGCCACGGTGGATAATCTGCACATCTTCAAGAATGCGTTTGATTATATCATGAACAGCAAGGAAGTCAAGAAAGATGAAGCGTTCAAAGCCACTATGCAGAAAGCTATGGATTCTTTGAACGATCCACATTCGAGAGATCCTCACATAATCTTCGATGCACTTCAAGCAGCGTGTAAAACACCTAATAACACTATGAAAGCGAAAGCTTTAGACCTTTTCTCAAAGCTATTTGACTATACCGTGTTTGAAGATGCTAAAGATAAGGTACAGCTCACTGATGCATCGGTGGATGTCATTTCGTCGTGTTTTGATGGAGAAGGCACCGACCCAGAAGTCGAACTTCAAGTTGTTCGATCTTTAATGAACAGCGTTCTCCTCATGCCTTGTCATGGTGCTGCTTTGTTAAAAGCGGTTCGTCAGATCTACAACGTGTTCATCTTTTCGTTGACTCCTCGTAATCAAGCTGTGGCTCAGGGAATTCTCACACAGGTGATTAGCTCCATATTTCGAAGAATCAGCGACACCACATTAAAATCGAAAAAGATAGGCAGCAGCACCAATTTCACGTCACCCAAAGACAGCAAAGATGAATTTGATGTTCCAAATGGTGAAGATGAGCCATCAATGACAGGCATGTGAAGCCGGTTCAGAAATTGACCCTAGAGAATCTTGGAGCCGACTCAATAATAGCGCGCTAGACAGCGAAAGGGTCCAGGAGGCGAACCAAGCCCTGGAAGGAGACGAGGACCTATTTGGTAAAGGACGCTTTCTTGATTTTTCGCTCCATGTGTAAACTCTCAGTCAAGCCTATTGATTCTGAAACGACAATTGACATGAAATCACACTCAGTGAGGTCCAAGCTTCTATCATAACACATAGTCCACACTATCCTCAAAGAGCATATTGAGATTTTTCTCAGCAAAGATGTGGTCATTCTTTCCTCGAATTCTAGTGAGCAGACCCGTTTGATCAACGCCGTTAGGCAGTACTTATGCTTGACATTATCGCGCAATGCTGCCTCTCCATTGGCACCTGTTTTCGAATTATCGTTGGAAATCTTCTGGCTCATCATATCGAACTTACGTTCCGAGTTCAAGCAAGAAATTCCTGTTTTCTGGGATGAAATTTATCTTCCTGTTGCTGAAATGAGAACCTCGACAGCGCACCAAAAGCGCTACCTACTTTCAATAATAGAGCGGTTGTGTAATGACTCCCGCTGTATTATCGAATTTTACTTGAATTACGATTGTGACAGTACAATGCCTAGTATATGTGAGAAGATTGTCGATCTTTTGACGAAGCTCTCCTTGAGTAGGATCGAGGTAACTCCCCAACAAAGAGCAGCTTTCTATGATAATCGAAGAAAGGGTATCTCTGTTTACGACATTAGCAAGATCGCCAATCTTACCAGCTCCACTAAGAGCTCAAAACCTCCAGAACCAGATGTATACAACATGTATCCCCTCGAGTTTGCATTGAAGATAAGTGCGTTAAGTTGTAACGTTGCCCTTTTGAGGTCATTATACTCATGGGCTCAGAAAGGAATTACTTTCAAGGAAGAAGCTACTCGGAGCAGTCATGATACTACTGCTCCCACACCACTTCTTGACTCGAGCAAGTCAACTGCCTTCAACTCTCGCAATGCATCCTTCGTTAATGGCTCAGCGTTGGAGATCAGTGACGTTGACGATCCTGAACAATTCGAGAATCTGAAACAAAGAAAGAAAGCATTTTTGGAAGGTGTGAAGCTTTTCAATCAAAAGGCCAAGAAAGGTATTGAGCATTTCTTGCAACATCATTTCATTCCTTCAGATTCACCGAAAGATATTGCCCAAGTTTTTGTTGGAAACTGAAGGTACTTGACAAGGCTGTAATTGGAGAATACATGGGAGAAGGAAACCCGAGCAAAACGTTGCAGTCATGCATGCCTTCGTTGATCAAATGGACTTTGCCGACACCGATTTCGTGCAAGCTATGAGAACATTCTTACAATCATTCAGACTTTCGGTGAGTCCCAGAAGATCGACAGATACATGTTAAAATTTGCAGAACGATATGTTCAAGGCAACCCTTCCGTCTTTGCCAACGCAGAAACGGCGTATGTCCTTTCTTATTCTGTCATTTTGCTCAACACCGATTTGCATTCGCTTCAAATTAAGAATAGGATGACGGTGGAAAGTTTCATCAAGAACAATTCGGGAATTGACAATGATCAGGATTTACCAAGAGAGTTTTTGGAAGATATCTACCGTGAAGTGCAAGAGAATGAGATTGTGCTTGTGTCGGAGCAATATGCTGCGTTGCTTGCTGGTGATATTCAAGTACAACATTCTGGAGGATTGGGGCTCTTCGGTGGCAGAGATTTGAACAAAGAAGCCTACTCACATGCCTCTAAGGAGATGGCTACCAAGACTGAAAAACTAGTCAGGGATTTGGGAAAGAAGCTGAAAGCTGAAGTTTCAAAGGGCGTATTTTATGCTGCATCCAATGTCTATCATGTAAAGTCCATTTTTGACACCATATGGATGTCAATTTTGGCAGGATTGACGCAAATATTCAAAGAGTACGACGACAGTGAAATCTCACGAGTTTGCCTCGAAGGAATCAGACTTTCAATCAAAATCAGTTGCATGTTTGATCTCGATTATGCTCGGAAATCGTTTCTTGGTGCTCTAGTTCAATTTGAGAATTTACACAGCTACGAAGAGATGAAAGAAAAGAATGTGGACGCAATTTACATGATGTTGGATTTGGCGGTAAGCGAAGGAAACTACATGAAGTCAGCATGGATGCAAGTGTTGACTTCTGTATCTCAACTCGAGAGGTTACAGTTGATTGCACAAGGAATTGATCAGAACTCGATCCCTGATGTGTCCACTGCCAAAATGGTCAACAGAACTTCGACTGAGAGTAATCAGTCAGCAGCAACAAGCTTTTTCAGTCTGTTTACCTCACATCCTACTGCATCACAGACTGCTTCCAACAAGTTTCATAACCAAAGGCTCACCCCACATATATCTCAACTCCTTACAAAGACAGAACTCGAGGTTGCAGTTGACAAGGTTTTCACAAATAGTTCCAATCTAAGTGGAGAAGCTATTGCTGAATTCGTCAAAGCATTATCTGACGTATCTTCTGAGGAAATTGACTCTTCTGGTCAAAGCAGTAACCCAAGAATGTTTTCGTTACAAAAGATAGTTGATATCTGTTACTATAACATGGGTCGTATTCGTCTTGAATGGTCGCAACTTTGGGCTATCATTGGAGAGATTTTCAACCGGGTTGGTTGTCATAGTAATCCGGCTATTGTTTTCTTCGCTTTGGATTCTTTGAGGCAGTTGTCGATGAGATTCTTTGAGATTGAAGAATTGTCGCATTTCAAGTTTCAAAAAGAATTTTTGAAACCCTTTGAACATATCGTTCGTCACAATGAGTCTTTGGAAGTCAAGGATATGGTATTGGAGTGTATCAACAATATGATCCTTGCAAGATCAACTAAAATCAAATCTGGATGGAAGACAATTTTTGGTACCTTGAGTGTCACTGCTAAAGAGAACAAAGAAACTTTGGTTAATAAGAGCTTCAAAATGGCCAATTGGATCAATAAAGAATACATTGATACTGTTCGTCAGCAGGAGTCTTTTGCTGATTTGGTAGTTTGTTTCACCGAGTTGGCCAAGAATGAAAGGTTTCAACGCATCAGTTTGCTCTCTTTAGATGTTTTGCGAAAGTTGATAAAAGAAATTCCTGGTTACACTAATACGGATGCTAATGATGTGATTTCAGATAAGAATGACAATCTCGTGAAATTGTGGTTCCCAATTCTTTTTGGCTTTTATGATATAACCATGACTGGTGAGGAGTTGGAAGTCCGGTCTCGAGCACTAAACGCTTTGTTTGATATCTTGCTCGAATATGGTGAGCATTTTGAGAACAATTTCTGGGACCTTGTCTGTCGTCAACTTTTGTTCCCAATATTTGGTGTATTGAGCAACCATTGGGAGTTGAACAATATCGACGACAACGATAAATTGTCGGTTTGGCTTTCAACTACATTAATCCAAGCATTGCGCAATATGGTCACAGTGTTCACCCACTATTTTGACGCATTAAATCGCATGTTGGATGAGTATTTGAACTTATTCATCTCCTGTATCTGTCAAGAAAATGATACCATTGCCAGGATTGGAAGATCGTGCTTACATTCGTTGTTAATCGAAAATGCATCGAAGTTTGATCAAGATCAATGGAATTTGGTAACCAAAGCAATTCATGATTTATACGACTTGACCACGGCGAAAGAATTATTCACTGCTGATCCAATGCATTCAGTCAAGGAGCACCCTTCAATTGACGATAAGGCATATTCCTATATGGCAGACGAGGTGGAGACCGATGATACAGAATCATTAAAGCCTGCTCCTGAAAACCATATCAATGACACTGAAGCCAGGCTCCAACGTTCGCGCGATAAGTCTTCGATTGTGGTCAAGTGTGTGCTTCAATTATTGATGATCGAGACATTGTCAGAGCTTTTCAAAAACGACGATTTCTACGAGGCAGTTCCATATACCAATTTGCTTCAAATGGCTGGGTATTTGAGGTTCAGCTACGACTTTGCTAAAAGGTTTAACGATGACTACGAGTTGCGGGTGCGTATATGGAATGCCGGAGTTATCGAAAGACTCCCCAATTTACTCAAACAAGAATCGTCGTCAGCGGCAGTTTTCATTAATATCATGTTGCAAATGTACTGCGACGATGACAAAACAGACAATGCTGCTAAAGCTATAATAATGAAGCAAATCATTCCGTTATGCAACAACATCATTGACCGTTTCACCGAGTTTGATGAAACCAACCAACAGCGCAACATCACCACCTGGAAGCCAGTAATTATTGAGATTTATCAAGGCTACATTGAATTGGATGAAGAAGACTTTGTCAAGTATTCTCCCGAGATGTACCAGCTAACACTACAATTATTTACCAAAAGCATATCGACAGATCTTCGAGGAGCAATTCGAACATTTCTCACAAGAATTGGCGATACATTCGTTAAGACGAGCTAAAAATATATGTCTCCATTATCTTACCTGTGGCTGTAGTATACCAGTTACTCACGCGCTCCCACCGAGCATGCCCACAATTACGCAAGCCAAAGTTGGGGAAGTTACACAAAGGCGCAAGTGTGTCGACATTCAGTCAGCAAAATTTTCAAGACTGAGACAGAGAGTAAATCGATTGAGAGACATGTCTTTCGAAAATAAGGTAAGTAGACATTTATATGATGTCTAAAGTGGATTATTCATTTCTCATAGACCTCGATATGTTAATATGGTGTGATAGAGATCGTCATTGCCTCAATTGAAGATTCGTCATTCATCTTGTGACCTTTAATAAAGCAACAATAAAAGCTGCTAAAAAGCTCCTCATGAGGAATTGGCAGCACAGGATCATTACACCACCTGAATTGAGCTATGTTACTAACTCAGAACTTGTACCACTTGTTGGGGAACGATGTTGAGGACGACTCAACACCTATTCTTGCAACCAAGGAGGTCGTGAAAAACACCACTTCATCGAAGAAGGCTGATGTACCACCACCTTCTGCCGACCCAGCCAAGGCTAAGAAGAAGTCCAAGGCTACCGGTAACGAAGCCGCATTGAAGAACAAGGCTAACAACAAGGAAGTCAGTGCTCCATCTTCCACCCCATCCAAGCACTACAAAAAACCATTTGACCGTCACTCTAGATCCGGAAAGTCCGATTCCGGAAAGAAGATCAAGCAAAGCTGGGGCCAAAAGAGTGCTGCAGACTTGGAAGTCGAAGCCGAGGCTGAAGGTGCCGCCGATGCCGTTGCTGGTTTAGAAGAAGACGCCGAGTCCGCCGAGCCAGTTGACAACACTCCCAAGAAATCTTTGGCAGACTACATTGCCGAGTTGGAATTGAAGCAAAAGGAATTGGATGGAGCCAAGAAGGTCAGACAAGCCAACCAAGGTGCCGAATCCAAGTGGACCAGTGCTGAAAAAATTGAGAAGGCCGAACAAGGATACGTTGAACCTTCAGTTGTCAAGAAGGCCAAGGCTAAGGCTCCTAAGGAGAAGAAGTTTTTGGAAATTGACGCCAAGTTTGCTGACTCCGAGCCTGCTCCAAGAGGTGACTTTGGTGGCAGAGGTAGAGGAGGAAGAGACGGAAACAGAGGTGGAAACAGGGGCAGAGGTGCTCCTAGAGGCAGAGGTGGAAACAGAGGAGGTGCCCGTGAGGGTGCTGGCTCTGCTAAGCCAACTGTTGACGACAAGAACTTTCCTTCTTTGTAAAGGACAAAGTTAGATGGCCACCATCGTAATCGTAGCTCTGATACTTACGCAATAAGACACAACAAATGATCTCTGTAGACGAAGTGAGGAAGATGAAGAATTAAAGAAAGATAAGAGAACAAATGTGAACGAAAATGAGCAAGTAGTGAACAAGTACAGTGGACAAAATGCAACAAGAAAGTGAATGTGCCTGGTAGGTTATATGCTATCTATGTAAAAGTATACTTATATACAAATGTGACTTGAATACGGTCACAAGATCTTGTCCTTCATACTGTACGATCAACGATAAAATTGTGGGGTCGAATATTTTGGCACCTCCAGCCATTGAGATCGTAGCGTCCACCATAGACTTGGTCCTGGCCACTTCTACTGCAAGCGGTACACCATCTTCAAAACCTACAGCTCCAACAAGCGTATTAGTCTGTTGGTCAATTAGGCAAAGAATTTGAATCTTACTATGATCCTGCTCAGGAAGAAACAGTTTAATGGATTCTACAAGTACACTTAAAGTGCTATCAGGAAGCTTTGGTGCTACTTCCTCCGGCATCAATGATGCAACCACAGCTCAATGCGTTGTAAGACCAAGCACTGTGCCCTAAATAGTGAACTCACCTAATCGCACTTATTATCAAGTCGCACAATTAGCCTAACTTTTCGCACTGCAACTCTAACTGACGACCGCAATGCCACTTGAAACTCGCACACTCAACTTGGCCGCCGCGGGAACGAATCTGGGAGTGTGGGGCCCAAGCCTCATATCCATGACCGGGTCCGTCTGCAGGAAAACCTAAATTTGGTCACGAAATGCTGGCTAACAACTATACTCTTTTGCCTATTCATCATTGTAGACCAAAGCATCCACCACTAACAAAGTAACCAGTGACCTTTATTATTTTATTATGTGCGCTGACCCGCTTTTCGCGTCCCAGTTAGGATAATATTGCCCCACTATGTCGTACCCTGGCAAGCATGGGGGGCATAACACCCATGCACCACACCTGAGTCACGGTGTTTGTTCTGATAGCCACGCGCTGGTTGGGTTCAAATATAACTTGCTTCAATTTAGCCACAAAAACCATCTTTTTCTCGAAAAAAATCGGCAGTTCTTACCGTTTCATACCAAGAACTATTCTGTGACCCTAAGAAACTACTCTCGCTTGTCGATACCTAATATCGTTGATTGTTTGTAACCTGCAGACAAGCTGAAATATCCAAACTGAAATATTAAAAAGAGTGGTTTATTCTTGTTTCACATTTTCAATTGAACGAATTTTAAAGATATCTCGCGTTTTTCAATTATTTTCTGCGTGTTATAACATTCACCGGTCGACCTCAACTGTCAGGATCGAATTTTGGTGAAATTTAACGATCCATTGTTCGGAACAATAACCGTTGCACACAGGTGATAAGAACCGTCGTGTCTCCACACCAACGTTTTATCCAATACGAAGTGCTCCTCCATTCAATCGCTATGTCAAGTCCTCCAAATCGCAATATCCTATCGACTTCTTCTCCAGAAGGCATTCAAGTCGCTTCCAAAATTACTCCTACTCGGCTTGCGAATCTCTTGATACGCCATGGTCCGTTGCCCATTAGACACATAACGGCCCAGTTATCCATTGAGGTGCCTGGCTTCGAATTGCTCTCGTTGTCGAAACAGAGAAGGCTCATAATGGCCGCCATGGAACAGAAGGACCCAACTAATGATGTCGTATTTGAGAAAATTGGTTGGGGACAATGGGCTGTGCGTCATGACGGATCAGACTATATTGTCACGGAAGGGACCGAAGGAGCCGGTGCTGCTCCAGGTAATCCTGCTGGTCCGGAAAAACCACCACTCAGCGTTCAAGACTTGCGTAACCAAACGGGCTTGAAATTAGGCTGGACAAAAAAGCAACTGCTTCGCAGAAAGAGTATCACCAATGCCAAAAGTAACTTGCATAATGTGCGAGTTCCTAACGAAAACATAATGGAATCGTCAGCCATAGCCTCGGACTCCGAGGACGATGACCCTATGGATGGTGTTGAGGATGAAAGTGAAAGCTCCAGCGAGAGTGACAATGAACTCTTCGTTTTCGATAACGATTACGACGCCAAGTTTAAACGGTCACCACCCATCAAGTTTGCTGATAGGGTTCCTCTCAAGGTAACTTCACCACCTCCTGGAGCTGCCAGCCGGCGCAAGTCGTCGTCGGCTGCGGTACACAAGTATCGTCATCCTATATTCAATCGTTCCAGGCTCAATTCGCTTGACAATCTCGACAATTATATTTTGTCCTCGGGCAAGAACTCGACAACCTCATTCAATTCTCCACCACCACTTTCTGCATCACCAATCAACTCACTCGGTCTGAGTTTTGCTCACCACACCATTAACACATCTCCTGAAAGCATTGAAGCTGCCATGTCGGCGGCTGGAAGAAGAAAGTCCTCATTCAATGAATCTCACATACGAAGTACCCTTTCTTCATCATTGCCAAAACCTCTGCATCCTCCAGAGGTAGCTAGAAAGCAGCCTTACGAACACAGTTCTCTTTCTCATTCTACTTCGCTCATATCACCTGTTGCTAACCATGGCGGTCATCATGGAGACGAATCAGATACTGATGAAGAGGACTGGGCTACCATCGGCGCAGAGTCATTACGAAAACCCAATGGGAGTCTGAAGAAACCACAGTCCGAGGAACGAGCTGCGGCCATTGCATTAGTAGATCTTATGTCAGTGTAACACCAGTAAAATACATATTTATCGAAGATGTGACTTCAGAGTACATCTGCTACGTTGCTTGCTAGTTGCTTATAGCTTGATAGTTGCACCTTACCACCAGCAGTGATCGCAACCGCTGAGTTCCTGTACAGTTAATTTTTCCTGTTTCGGTCTAATTTACATCAAACGCGCTGAAAAAACGCCTGTCAAACTTCATCTCATTATCAGTAAAGGATAGCTCAATTATAGCCACGGTCAATCATGTCAACGACCTCGACTGTTCTTCCAGCTATTCAGCTCAATGTGAACTACGAAGACATAAAACTGTCGATTCGTGACTTCTTGACCCATTTTAAAGGTTCCAGTGAAGAAGTCCAAACTGATATCAGCGATGAAATTGAGTACAACGGACCAAAATACTTGGGTCTTTTGCAACGAATTGCAAACAGAGAGCTCTCAACTCTTTATATCGACCTTGAGGATTTGAAAAACTATCATGAAAACCAGTTCTTTGCTGGACCTAATTCTCAAACTCAAAGCTCCACCAGCCCTAATTCACTTATTGGTCATATCATTAAAAATTGTTATAGATACGTGGAACTCTTCAGCAGCGTGGTTGATGAATTGATGCCAGAGCCTACGAAAGACATTTCTTACAAAGATGATGTGCTTGATGTGATCTTACACCAAAGAAAGCTCCGCAATTTGAGATTGCAACAAGATAATAATGAAGAATATAATAGCTTGCGAGATGGATTCGACTCCAACAATGGCGAAGGAGTCCGTCAAGATAACCAACCTGCCGACAATATCTTTCCATCCAAGCTCATTCGTCGATACTGCTTATACTTTAAGCCCACCTCAGATTTTAGTAACTCAAAAGCATTGGCTGTTAGAGACGTCAAAGGCAGCTATGTGGGACAGCTTATTACTGTGCGTGGTATAGTGACGAGAGTTTCAGACGTGAAGCCTTCGGTTCTTGTCAATGCTTATACTTGTGACAAGTGTGGTTTTGAAATTTTTCAAGAGGTATCCTCAAGAGTGTTTACACCTTTATCTGAATGCAATTCGCCCGTTTGTAAGGCAAACAACACAAAGGGCCAATTGTTCATGTCTACTAGAGCATCAAAGTTCTCATCTTTCCAGGAGGTAAAAATTCAAGAATTGGCAAATCAAGTCCCAGTGGGACATATCCCCAGAACCCTTACAGTCCACGTTAACGGTGACTTGGTTAGGACGATGAACCCTGGAGATGTGGTGGATATAGCGGGGATTTTCATGCCTGCACCATATACTGGGTTCCGTGCCCTCAAGGCTGGTTTACTTACTGAGACGTATTTGGAAGCCCAATATGTCAAGCAGCACAAAAAGCAATATGAATCACTTGAATTGACAGAAGAAATCAAGTTAAAAGTTCAAAAATTACACGATGAAGGCGGCATCTACCACCGTTTGGCTCTGTCGATTGCTCCAGAAATTTATGGGCATCTCGATGTCAAGAAGATTCTACTTTTACTATTATGTGGTGGTGTGACCAAGGAAATTGGTGATGGATTAAAAATCCGTGGTGACATCAACGTTTGTCTTATGGGTGATCCCGGTGTGGCCAAGTCCCAATTATTGCGTGCTATAGGAAAGATTGCTCCAAGATCCGTCTACACCACTGGTAGAGGATCTTCTGGTGTTGGTTTGACCGCAGCCGTTATGAGAGACCCCATCACCGACGAGATGGTTTTGGAAGGTGGTGCTTTGGTTTTGGCAGACAGTGGAGTTTGTTGTATCGATGAATTTGATAAGATGGAAGAATCAGATAGAACTGCGATTCATGAGGTTATGGAGCAGCAAACCATATCGATCTCAAAAGCCGGTATCAACACCACTTTAAATGCCAGAACATCAATTCTTGCTGCCGCCAATCCTTTGTATGGAAGATACAACCCCAAATTATCACCACATGAAAACATCAATCTTCCAGCTGCATTATTATCAAGATTTGATATAATGTACTTGATGTTAGATCAGCCTACGAGAGACTCTGATGAACGACTCGCCCAGCACGTTGCCTACGTTCATATGCATAACAAACAACCTGAAAGCGAAATCGTCCCATTGGACTCTGCTACCATCCGTCAGTACATTTCCTTGGCTCGCACTTACAGACCAGTCGTTCCCAAAGAAGTTGGAGATTATATTGGCAATTCCTACATCAGTATGCGTAAAGAGTCCAAGAGAAACGAAGGTTCGGTCAAAAAGTTCTCGCATATCACACCAAGAACCGTGTTGGGTATTTTAAGAATGGCTCAGGCGCTTGCAAGAATCAGATTTGATAACACTGTTACGATTGAAGATGTCGAGGAGGCTTTAAGATTGATGCAAGTTTCGAAATCGTCGTTGTATGTTGACGATGATGGACCACCTGAAGACACATCGTACCTTACAACAATCTTCCAATTGATCAGGAATATTTCCATAAGAGAAGGACGTTCGTTGCCAATGGACGACCTTAAAAACCGAGTTCTTGGACGTTCGTTTACCGCGGACCAGTTCCAGGAATGTATAAAATTGTATGAGGACGCGAATGTGTGGCAGGTGAACGACAATGGTGCAACTTTGTTCTTTATTAGCACAGATAGCGACCTGGAGATGTCTGACTAGCGGTTGAGCCTTTAATTCTATGTGTATTAGTATAAATCTGTCGGTATGCAAGTCACGTGCGCGCACAACCAATTAGGTAGTCATAACCCCGGCTTATCAGGCTTCTAATTGTATTTATTTATGGAGTTGCCTCGCGCGAACAGCGCTATGAGAATTAGGCGACCGCCCGAACAGACCAGAGAAGAAAATGTGCTGGCTGTGCCTACCCAAAGTGAAGAAGTTGGGGAGAAGAAATCAAGAACCATGGCTGAAAAATGTAGGGATCTGATAAACTATTCCTCGCTTCTTCTCGAAAATAAAGGGCCTGTAGCACGAGATCATGTATGTATGTTCTATGGCGTGCAATTGCAAATACTAACGGTAGATGGCTAACGAAAGAACGTTTCTCGCATGGACTCGAACGGCAATTGGCTTCTTAACATTTGGTGTTGCATTTCATCAATTTTATCGACTCGATATGAAATCGGTATCAGTAACGTTCACAGACGGAAGCACTCATGTAATTGACGATAATAAGGTCTCGGTAATGCTGAGACTAGGCGCCCCGCTTGGACCTCTTTGCATCTTTTTGGGCTTAGTGACAGCTTGCTTAGGTCTTACTCGATACTTTCAGATCCAAATGCTGTTGCAAAAAGACTTCTATCCAGCGTCTCGGATTGCAGTTGTGGTAATATTGTCAGTACTAGTGGCGATTGTCATAGTTCTACTAGTGCTTTGCATAGAGCTCGCAGTCTAGTATTGACAAAATTACAGGGCTATAAAGGCAGAAAATGGAACATTAACGAAGAACTACTGGAGCCTGAAAGAGAAAAGCAAGCACAGTGTTCTACTGCCTTTAACTTTGATAATCTTTTTACTTCTTCTAGCTTATCGTGCTTATGTAATCGGACTATGGTGCTAATTCACAACGCACTTCGACATCCAACAACAACACAACCATGAGTGATTACTCGTCGCAAACTGTAGCCAGCTTGAAGGAGGTTTTGAAATCTCGTGGATTGGCTGTTGATGGTAAGAAAGCTGACTTGGTTCAGCGATTGACCGAACATGACGCTCAGAATGGCGGTGAAAATTCCACGGCTGGTGATAATGAAGCAACCAAACCTGAAGAAGAACTCAAAGAAGAAGATGTAGCGGATGAAGCTGCTGCTGAGCCTGCTAAGGAGAACACTGCTATCGAGGAAGAGGAACAAAAGGAGAGCAAACCCGAGAAAAAAGTCTTGTCACCAGAAGAGAGGAAGAAATTAGCAGTGGAATTGTTACAAAAAAAGATCAAACGAGCTGAAAAATTCGGTGACGAAGCAGCAGCCGAAGCTTCTCGAAATGACTTGGCTAGAATAGAGAAGTTTGGCGTGGAGGCTGGCACCGCCGTGTCGCGTGAAATTGGACTTGGAGACAGAAGTTTGTCTGACAGTATAAAGTTCAACAAGAAGCACTCCCAGAAGAAGGGATTCAAGAACAGAAACAAAAAGAACAAGAAAGGAGGAAAGTAGTCCTTTGTATCTATTGTAATATATGTACAAAGTCGAGGAAGCGTGCGGATGACGAACATCGAGGGACCAAGTACCTTTTATTGATTAATGCAAACTGTCGTGTAATTTCAACTCAAGTTGAAAACCGAAAGCCACCAATTTCACGAAATAGTTATTAGGCTCATATTTATACCATAAGTATTGCCATATTAAAGTTTAACGATGAGAATGCACCTATAGAAGTTAATGTACAGCGAAGTTTTCTAGCTAGCCCACAGCACTACTCGGAGTCAACTTCATACTCATCGACAACCGTTTCTTTGGTTACTAGCCCATTGTTGTTCTTGATCCAGATGAAGTATAGCAAAGCTACCGATCCGTAAACCTCAAGCAAAAGCGACCAGACCATAGACTTGTAGATTTTGGAATCAAGCGCTGCATACTCCATTAGACGAACGAGTTCACCTGAATTTTCTATCCTACCATCTTGTCCAAAGGAGAAATTCAAACTTGACTTTCGTAAAAGTCCCACCACTAACACAATGGAAGTCATAGTGAACACAAATATAGGCATGACAAATATAACCAAGATGGACATCTTAAAACATTTGGATGTTTTCGAAGAGGCGATCTCACGCTCTCCGACATCATTTCCATTGCCGGGAAAGTTAGCAATTAGTTTTTGGGTTTTGAAATAGTGGCTCAAAGATACTATGAGCCATACTATTGGAAATACTCCATTAAGAAGCAGCAAAATCTCAGGAATGAGCTTGAAAGAACCACCCTCCATAGGTCCCATTGCAAGCTCAGCAAATTGTACCTTGTCATACTGTATGATTCCGGAGGCACGGAATACGAAATTCAATGTGAGAGCCACCAAATTACCAACGAACAACACCTTGGCTAACCTCCATGAGCTATATGGGATCTTGTTATAGCTGCTTGAGCCCTTTCCAATGCTGTATATCACACCATAGCCCATGGCAAATAATAAAATGCAAAAGTTAATATAGATATTAAAACATGCATCAGCCCATAATAATAAGCCATCGAAAAATGCAAGAAGTTTGTGCTCCGATGGAGAATAGTGATTACTCACAAAGAAGAAGAACCACCGGACAATCAACAATACTTGGAGTGGAATCAACACCCGAAAAATGATTCCTTTTGAGATTAAGGATACCGAGTTCAAGTTCTGAAAGTTGCTTCCCACTTTAAACCGAAGAATATAGTATATCAAGTATGCCACGAGAGCCAGACCCACCAAAATACCATAGATCAACTGCTTGTAGACAACCCAACCAGCAAAGTCCAACAATCCATGGGAGTTCACAGAATTGATAACAACCTTCAAATTGGAAAGTCCGCTATTTTCTGGAACGGCAATGAGGGCACAGTAGATTCCTGATTCGGGAACATCAAATATTATGTCGACATGTTCATGAGCTTTACCATCTCTTGGGTCTGCCACCATATAGTCATTGAGGAGACGAGATTGGTCAATCTTAGGCGCATCTTTCTTGGTTTCGAGTTTGAAAGTGGTAGTCTTATCATCAATGAGCTTTTCATATGGCGGTTTTTCTCCTTCAAATACGTAATCCAAAGTGAAGTTGTCTGTATCTGAAGCACGCATTATCAAGATGGGGATCTTTATCTTTTCAATCTCAGAAGTAGAATCGATTTTATCAATGTAGAGATGCATTGTTGCAGTACCAGAAGTGTCTTTACTGATGAGCCTGCAAGCTTCGTGATTGTCAAGAGTCAAGTCTGACATTAAATATGACTGAAGCATGAATGCACCATCAGAACTGACACTAGCCAATGCTCCGAATGCACATAGTAGGAATATAAGGATGTTCATGGTTACAGAAATAATCGCCCCTTGTTTGGATGTCTGGTGGTGCGAAATTGCGAATGATGCAGTGTATGTTGAAGATATAAGTCAACGATAACGTAATGTCAAGTGTAGGTATGAAGTCAATGGCTATAGTTTAGATACTACAAGATAGAGAAATTACAGGCACCCCATTTAGAGACAACACTACAAAATGTGGGAGCTCATTGCGTTTCTCGCTTATACTGAGGTCAAACGACAATACGATAAGGGATTTCTGCAGATATAACTGAAGTGCTGACGGCGATGAGCTCCTAGCAATGTGGCCACTGGTATTTGTTTACTGGTGACAAATCAGCTTACGAAATACGAAATGGTCAAGCCACCGGCCGTGAAGAGCAGACAGACGACAATAGAGTTTCTGCCTGACAACAGAACTCCGAAGCTATAGCCTCTTGAAGCTTTCTATGTCGGAGTTTTTGATACAAATGACTCAATTGCTGCTCTTCACAAAACTGTGATATTGTTAAGGCAAATTTGAAGGAAATCTTTCTTCAATGATAAAGTGCTTCGACAATAAAGCACTAGATGCGAAGGTTTGTTGTTTTGAAGCAATTGATTGAAAAGTATCCACTGTAGTTACTCAATTGGATGTAATGTAACTAGGACCTGAAGTCGGATGAACGTCGATTTTTGACGACCTGTACTTCTCAGTTCCTTACAATAGTCAAGAGATCAACAGTATCGCCAATGCGCCAATGGTATCATAGTTCAATAATTAATTGAAGCGAACACCTTGTAAGACTCCAGCAAAGTTCAGGTTGATCACTGACATACTTTTAGGCAAAAATCTATAAAATATAGGAAAGATAACCACAGTTAATCACATACAATCAATTCTCTACGTTTTGCAACTTTCTCATTTTTGTCTAACAATGCCAATTTGCAGCCTTCCACCCCACTTTTGGTGCCGTTCGACTGCGAAATTTTTATTCCCTCACTTAATCACTAAGAAATGTCATACTATGAAGCTTTGCCTACGGGTTTAAAGCCAATTCATTATGACTTGTTGATTAGTGACATTGATTTAGACAACGATACATTCAAAGGATCCACAAATGTTCATCTCATTGCTAAGGAGGAGACTTCAGAAGTGTATTTGAATTATAGAGAATTGCTGATCTCCGAATCCGAAATCCATGTTGAGGTAGATGGAAGTAGAGTGAGCGTTTCTGGAGTTGAGTTTAATGAAAAGAAAGAATACTTTGTTGTCAAACTTTCTCAATCTATACCCAAAGATGCTGAAGTTGTCGTTACTGTCGTGTACCATGGAGTGCTTCAAACTAATATGACTGGTCTCTACAGATCAACATATGTTTTAAATGGGGAGAAAAAGGTCATGATTTCTACTCAGTTTGAGGCTACGGATGCCAGAAAAGCTTTCCCTTGTATGGACGAACCAGCATTGAAGGCTACATTCACCGTTGATTTGATAATATTTGACGAGTGGATGGCTTTGGGAAATATGCCAGTAGACAAAGAACTGACAACCGAAGGTTCAGGATCCAGGCGAGTGAAGTTTCAGAAGACTCCTATAATGTCAACCTATTTGCTTGCTTGGGCGTGTGGTGAGTTTGAGTATATTGAATCTTTCACTTCCGATCTCTATCACGACGACAAACCCTTACCAGTTCGGATTTATACCACTAAAGGCTATAAGAAAGAGGCTGAGTATGCTTCCATCATTACTCCAAAGATTGTTGACTACTTTTCCCGCATTTTTGAGGTCAAATATCCACTTCCAAAACTTGATTTGATTGCCGTTCATTCGTATTCACACAATGCCATGGAAAACTGGGGATTAATCACCTACAGATCAACAGCCTTATTATACTCTGAGGAAAAGTCAGACCCATCTTACAAGAAGAAGGTCACTTATGTCGTTGCGCACGAATTAGCCCACCAGTGGTTTGGTAACCTTGTCACAATGCAATGGTGGGATGAATTATGGCTCAACGAGGGCTTCGCAACATGGGTTGGTTACAATGCGGTTGATTACTTGTTCCCAGAATGGAGCATTTTTAACGACTTTGTTTCTGAATCCTTGCAGCAAGCTCTTGACCTTGATGGTTTGAGAAATTCACATCCAATCCAGGTGCCTGTCGTCGATGCCTTAGACATTGATGCCTTATTCGATAAAATCTCATACCAGAAGGGTGCGTCTACAATCCTTATGATATCCAACTTCTTGGGTGAAAGCACGTTTTTGAAAGGAGTTGCAGCCTATTTGAACAATAACAAGTTCAGTAATGCCACATCTGATGATCTCTGGAATGCAATCGAGAAAGTCTCTGGGAAACCAGTGAAGAAGATGATGGATAACTGGATCAAGAAAATTGGTTTTCCAGTTATCAATGTTGACGTTGACACGAATACTGGTTCGTTGATTCTTAAACAGTCTAGGTTTTTGAATGGTGGAGATGTGAAGGCTGAAGAAGATCAAACTACCTGGTGGATACCTCTTAATATTGTGGGTTCTGTGGATTCAGGTGCTTCAGACTTCTCCGGAAGAAATTTCACGATCAATAAATTCAGCCCTGGCCACGGAGCTTTCAAGCTCAACAGAAACACTACTGGTGTTTACCGTGTCAACTACTCTCCCTCTGTTTTGGAAACCAACATCTTACCGCATTTTGACAAGTTTTCAGCAACGGACAAGGTGGGTATTATCGCTGATACCGTATCCATCGCTATTTCTGGCGACAAGTATACGACCACTGTTACGTTTCTTCAACTCATAAAGTCTGTTGTGGAAGCCGACCAATTTGGGGAAGATTTTGTTGTGTGGCTGGAACTTGGTGTTAGATTGCAAAGCTTGAGTATTGTCTTTCCTTCATTAAGTTATTCGTGGGCGGCTTTTGCAAGAAGCATTTACACTAAGTTGGCGCTTAAACTCTTGAACTCTCTGATTGATGCTTCCGAGTTTTTGAAACTGAAACTCAAAACGTTGATTTTAACCGCCTCGGGTGTTTCTGGTGTCAAGGAGGTTGAAGACTATGCGTTCGAATTATTTGAACAGTGGAAAGCTGGCAAACAATTGGATCCTTCTCTTAGATCATTTGTGTGGTCTACGGTATGTGCTTCATCGAAAGTCAACGAGGAGATTTTCGAAACCATAATGAAAGAAGTCAGGAGCCCTTCATCCTTGGACTCCAGAGAGATAGCTCTTGGGTCGCTTGGTAATTTGAGTAGTGTCGAGCTTGCCAACCGGGTGATGAATTTTGTCTTAGATCCGGAAACCATCCCCACAATGGATGCTCAATTTTTGTGCCAATCTCTTTCGGTCAATCCCAAGACGAAGGACATATTCTTGACCTTTTTCAAGAACAACTACGATGCTCTTTACGGCCTTTTGTCAACAAACATGGTCTTTTTGAATGGATTTGTCAAAACCACCTTGAGCAATTACCTGACGACCGAACAATTGTCGGAAATCGAGCTGATCTTCATTGGAAGGTCTGTTCATGGATTTGACAGATCATTAGAGCAGGTGCGTGATAATGTCAAGATCAATATTACGTGGGTAGAACGGGACGAACAGCCAGTGGCCAACTGGCTTACGAGCAATGGCTATTAGAAATTAGACCAATAATTTATTACATTGTAGTAAAAGTAGCTAGGTTTGTTGCTCAATTATGTACAAAAGTCCACGAGCATTACTAATCTATTCAACCTTGGCTTCATGAATGTTGGCGTATCTTCCTGATGGGTCTGCGTGACATCCCCATTCAGCCTTTGGAATCCATCTCATGACAGTGGTGGCTGCAATGGCAGATTTTTCCTTGAAGATATCGTCGAATTTGCATCTATACCAGTAGGCTTCCTTTGTGGTTGGAATGTCATCGCCCCATTCTGGTTTAGGTGTGGCAAGCTCTTCGTCACTGACAGCAGCTTCTGCGGCATCCTTCAAGCCATCAATCCACGAGTAACCAACACCGTCTGAAAATTGTTCTTTTTGTCTCCACAAAATCTCTTCTGGCAAGTAAGGTTTGACGTCTGGCTCGGAAGAAGTATCAAATGCCTTTCTCAAGGCGTATTTTTCGATCTTGCCCTCCTTAGGTTTTATCAACTTATCCTCAGGGTTGATGTTCATGCAAACCTCGAGGAATTGCTTGTCCAAAAATGGCACTCTAGCCTCCACACCCCAAGCCATAGTAGACTTGTTAGCACGCAAGCAATCAGCGTAATGTAAGTTCTTCACACGCTTAACACATTCCTGGTGAAAATCGCTGGCGTTTGGAGCATTGGCAAAGTAAAGGTATCCGCCAAAAATCTCATCAGATCCTTCTCCAGATAACACCATCTTGACACCTTGAGCCTTGATCTTTCTCGACAACAAGTACATAGGAGTAGATGCTCTGATGGTGGTCACATCGTAGGTTTCAAGGTGGAGAATCACATCGTTAAGAGCGTCCAAACCTTCTTGAAGAGTGAAGGTATGAGAGTGGTGAATGGTACCAATAAAATGAGCCACCTTTTCAGCAGCAATTAAATCCGGAGCACCGGGCAAACCAATGGCAAAAGAGTGCAATCTGTTCCATCCGCTGCTGTGCAAAGAACCAGACTCATCAACACCCGATAATTCCTTGTTGGCGTCGATTCCGTGGCTACTGAAAGACTTGGCTGCCTTTTCAGTTTCACGAGCAGCGATAGAGGCAATCAACGATGAGTCCAAACCACCAGACAAGAGAACTCCATAAGGTACCTCTGCCATCAATCTCTTTCTGACGGCCATTTCAAGAGTTTCTCTGACTTCTTTGTAGTCTACATTCTTTTGTGGCACCTTGGTTTCATCCCACCAAGTTGGTTCAAAGTATCTGGTGAGCTTGTCGGTGTCAGAGTCATAAACATGACCAGGGGGGAAGGCAACAACTTCATCACAGTCTTGCAAGAGACATTTGAGCTCGGAGGCAAAGTATCTGGTTTTTGGGTTTTTGGAGCTTTTACCCATGTACAAGGTGGTGATACCAATAGGGTCTCTAGCAGCCACGATTCTATCCTTCTTCTTGTCGTAGAGCACCCACGCAAACATACCGTCCAAGTACTTTGGAGCATCCACATCGTACTTTTCAAACAAAGGAATGATAGGTTCACAGTCAGATAACGAGTGGAATTTGTAGTCTTTAAATTGATCTCTTAACTGAATATGGTTGTAGATCTCACCATTGACGGCCAAGAAGTAGTTGTCGTCGTCAGACTTGATAGGTTGGGCACCAGAATCCAAACCAACAATAGCCAAACGTTCATGGCAAAGAATGGTGGAGTTTCTAATGACGTTACCAGACCAGTCAGGACCACGATGACGAATCATCTTGGAGTTGCTGAGAGCAGTCTCTTTGTACTTGTCCACTTCGGGCTGCCTGAAAGCAGCGAAAATTCCACACATGTCTTCTGCAAGCTTTTTGGTGGTGGAAAACTTTTATAGCCAAGAAATGAGTCTTTATGGATTATAAATTTTTCAATGAGTCAACGAGCGCGGAAGCTGCAGGCGAGATAAGATCGGAAGACCGGACTGCAGGCAGGAGCAACCGAAATGGGCTGGACAATAAAAGTGTCAAGTGACCATACTGATATAATAAAGAGAGTATGATGTTTCTTATACAGTTCTAGAGATGATCAATTTGTCAAATTGTTCGAATGTCCCATTTTTCGTCCCCTTCACTCCAACCTCTCTGGTCTCTTTGCACCCATTGCACCCAATCCTACCTTTTGTCGCCACAGAGTACACCACCAGTCTAAACTAGACACCATCGTCATGTCATTACAGAAACTTACTGCCGAGCTCTACCAGCTGTATGACCAAGAGGAGTACGAAAAGTGTCAAAAGATCTTAACTCCCATCAAATTGGAATTGATAAAACACAACTTGCTTCTTCCAACTGTCGCTAACAGTGACTCCAAAGACAAGATCAATGACCTCAAGATTGCCGAAAGGATCCTTGAAATCGGCGCGTTGTCGTCGTTGTTGAGCAACAACTACCGCGGCTTTGAAAACTATGTGGCTCAACTCCGTCCGTTTTACTCCAATAAGCAAATCCACGCTAAGCCAGAAAAAAACACCGACCAAACCAAAATCATATCGCTCTACTTGTTGTACTTGTTGTCGCAGGGACTAGTATCCAAGTTCCACGTGGAGTTGGAGCTCATCTATAACTCGAAACAGTACAATGTCGAACAGGATCAATACTTGCTGTTCCCGGTCAACTTGGAGAAACACTTGATGGAAGGCAATTATATCAAGATTTGGAAAGTGCTCAAGAATGACACTAATTTACCATGCAAGGAGTACGGCCATTTTCTTGATACCCTTGTGAATGCTTTGCGCTTCGAGATCGCCAAGTCATTGGAACAAACCTATGAAACCATTCCTATCTCCAACTGTAAAGGTCTTTTATACTTCCCTCAGGAGCAGTCTGACGCCACATTTGAGTCAATAATAAAAGATGACCTCAAGATGACAGGATGGACATTCAAAGATGGTTCCATCACTTTCAAAAACGACGACGACTCCCATAAAGGTAACGTCAATCCAAACTCAATCAACCTTATCAGCAACGTGTTGTCTTACGCAGAAAGAATAGAGTCTATTGTATAGGATAAGAATAGGCATTTTACACTAAATTACTCTAACGATGTAAAGAACCCTTTGTATGCTGTGTCCAAGTCTTCCAAGAATGTGTCTACATCTTGCTGCGACAACTCCTCTGATTCCAGCAAGTTGTTTAATTTTATGAGCCAAGTCACAAGCTTGGACTTCCCTGGAAATTCAATCGTACTTCCGCCGTTTTCGGGCGAATTATGAAGTTCGTTCAAACTGATTACAAGATTGCTCAATAGTGGATGCAATTGATACTTTGTCCTATAGTTGAGCTTTAATGCATCCATGCATGTAATAAAATTGCCAGTGGCCTGAGCAACCATCTTGCCGCCTGCTCTGGTGGGGGTGTTTCTTCCGCTTGTGGATTGCTGTTGCAAGACTGGATTTTTCAGGTGTTCGATTGTAGCTGGCAATCCTACCTTGAGTCGTTTCACTGCCAAAGCGGCATGTAGATCGTATTTGGTGGTAAATGCATCCAAAAATTGGCCATCTTCGGAATCCAATTGTAAATTGGGACGGTTGAAGTGAGTGGATAGAAACTCCTTTTTTTGTCCATCTTCGTCAAAATCCCGTATTATGATTTGAAATTGACTTATAAGTCGTAATGCAGTGCTAGTATATTTCTCCCTATCAGTGATATAATCCTTTAAAAACGAGGTTTCCAAAACTTGCAACGCAGCAATTATGGAGTAAATCTCTGAAAGTGATTCATACACAGTTTTGTGTAGAGCAGACTTGATAAGCGAGTTTCTCGTCACCTCCTGGTGAAACTGGTTGGCATTACGCGCCCCTGGGGTATACGAAGTAGTCGAAGTGGGTGCATACGACGGCAAACTCATATATATTGAACTTTCAAATCAGCCGCGAATTGCAGTCTTGTGCGATAAAGTGTGGAGTCATTGGTCATAAAATTAGTCTATGTAATCTAGTATAATCTTGCCCGTTCTCGAGGCAAATGCTTCTCCATTGTAGCCCAACCGTACCCAGTCTTGCTTTCGGTACCTGTACACGATCGGAGGTGGGGTGAATGGTACTAAAATGTCTATCATCGAACCATAATTAGGACAATTGATTAAAGAGTTGACAACATTAGAACCAAACTTGCGACGGGCTTCGGAGCATTGCTTCATTATCCACTGTAGTAGGTAGTCACTGGAGGCTCGGTCATAGGGACTGACTGTGAGCGGAACCCTCATGTCAAAGTCTTTGCACCCAACAAGCTTCACCTTAAGAACAACTTCAAACCTAATAGAAAAGAGTTTGCCAATCGTGGTGAATCCTTGGATGTGCGTGATAGGTATACCCTCGTCTACTTTACCGATTTCCACCTCTTTCACGAGTTTTGATGTAGCAACGTCTCGTTTAGCTAAAAGTTCATCCAAGTCGTAAGGTTTATATAAGGACAAAAAAGAGCTTTCGACGGGGAAATCTACTTTGAACTGGGTAGGAGTGCCGGTAGAATTTAATATTCCACGATCTTCTTCATCGAAGGTCTTGGTGGTGGTGTACAACTTCATTTCTCTCCTAGGGAGGAAGGCCACCTTCGTGGCATTCCAAGACTTCCTTGATCTGGAACGTAAGCTGTTTCAACTTGATTTTCCTGCGTAGCCTATTATGCAGTTGATTGGTGGAAACCCTGGTGTTCATTATAAACGTATCTTCTGGACCTACCGCTGTATTCGTAAGCTTGATCTCCGCCACCACTTGGTTACCATTAGACGCCTGCGTTTCTGTGAGAGGCTCGTTAAACTGCCGATATATAGGCAATGTGTCATATAATTTTATTGATATTGGAAACGATTCGATAAACGTTACTTCTTTGGCCAGAGTAATGCCACATGCAACCTTGGCCACGAGATAATGCAGAGTCGCAGCTTGGCAATTGGGGAACGCTCCGGATGATACTATGTCTCGTGGAAGTGGGAAGAGTATGGGTACGTCTAAACCCAAAAGACGCTGGCTGAACTCTCCAACTGGTGGACGAAATGCAAACGGATTGTTGTATATTGTGTACTCCTGTTGAGTATCTGTGGAGCCTAGTTTGGCAGGGATTGTGACTTTTTGTACTGTTTTGAGCTCAATTCCCACAGATCTAATGGTGAATGGTACCCCGGCAATCGGTCGGAGTTCTAACACAGTTTCTACGCGAGGCTAGGTTAGCAGAAATTTGACCAATGTCTGGGTTAAATAACTTACAATACTTCTGGGTACTCCAGGGCATCCATGGACCACGCTAGCGTAATCTGCGCGTAAGCTGGCCACCACAGGAGGCGTTGAGGGCTTTGTGGGGGCCATGTCAATACGCTAGACGTTTAATTATCTGCAGGCGACTTCAAAAATAGTTGTACCGCAGTGTCTCTTATGCAGGCAGAAGCTACCTTTTAAACCAATCTAGGTACAATGCTCCATTTCGCCTTATACTCGGTTCCGAAACGTTTATAGTACTCGTGAGACTCTCTTGAGCTGATGGATAGGTTTACCGCGACGAAAAGAGCCGCAAGACCGAAATTGACATCGACAAGATTTGGTTGGTTCTTCAATGCTAATGCAGCGACGATAGTATAAATTACAATTTCGTCAAGGTAATGAGCACATGCCACCATCAGAAACAACCCTCTGGTGGGCATGGAGTATTTTTTTAACAGTGCCAAATGCTTGTGATTCAAAAACTGGTCGTAAGCTGTGATTATGTAGACTGTGATGAGAATCGTATCCAGCACTGAAAATTGCAAACCTTTTGAAACTGTCAGGCCCAAGTAGCAGTTGATTGACATAAGACTGTAGAAAACTAGTCCTAAAGTGTAATGAGCGATGTTCATTCGTGAAAGTTGGTTTGGTTTTAAAACGTAGATCGATTCATACAACCGTCGCAATGCTTGAGCAAGTAGTATACATGTGATTATAGTGTAGTTGTTGTGTTTTGCAAGGCTATAGTGGCTGTTCCTTCGAGGAAAGCTCACTATTAGTAGCATGGAAGCACTGAAAAGCACATAAAAGTGCCAGAAAAAGTACTTTGGGACTGTCAAATGCAAGAAACGTTGAAGAAACCAGTTCTCGTTTGCAATAGCTTTTGAGTTATAGCACTTGCCATATTTGAGAAAGTTGTTGAGCGGGGTTACAAACTTGACGATAAGAACCCCACATATTAAACCAACGTAAGCTACCGATATAGCCAATGCTAGCAATTGTAACATAGATTTGTGCGAAGAATAAGAAATTAGAACCGAGGCAGATTTATCAAAAATTTAAATAGAAACTATATTACAATATCGCTATGAGAAATGAAAGTCTATGATACCAGTTTTAACGACCAATGTATTTCTTCTCAAACGGCCTCACGACGTTGAAAGCAATAAATGAGAAGGCAAATGCCAATTCAAACCCAATATCACCACCAAAGTCTCCAATCTTCTTGGCTATAGGACCAGCGTACCACACTTGGTTCATTCCCACCACAGCACCAGCGACACCGCAACAGAAACCAAATACTCCAGCAATTCCAACTGGGTAAGAGGTTTTAAGATGAAAGTTCTCGTAATCATAGCGAGCAAAGTTACCCTTGTTGTGAATAAAGTGCTCCGACAAAGACATAGCCTCGTATATGGCAAGGTAGTAACCGATCAAGTTCATAAAGTTGTCCATAACTTCTTCAAAGTTATAGTAGGCAGGAATACAGATTGCAAGGGTAACAAAGTTACCAGCGATGGTCCAAAGAACTCTTGGAATTTTCGCAAGAGGCGACCACAAAGCCTGGGCAGACAACGCAATGGTGTACATATTAGGAATGTTGTTAGCCACAGTAGAGAGAGCCAACAATACACACAAGAATTGACCGAATCCATGAAGTGAGTTCTCCACGAGAATAGCATACACCAAACCTCCGATAGCCTTGTCTTGGTATAATTCGTCCCACTTCTTGTTGGTAATGGTTCCAGTAGCACAAGCAGCCCCCAAAATCATGGTAAAAAGCAAAGGAAGCAAGAGACCGACAAGAATACTGGCAAAGATCTTAAGTGAGTTGGCATTTCTCTTTTGGTAGACGGTGTAATCACTTGCGTAGGTAGTCCATCCGGTAGCGAAACCATAGACGGCACCACCAAAAGATAACACATTACCTGCGGTTGTTTGTCCACCAGGCATGGTTCCACCAAACTTTGCCTCACTTGTAAATGTGCCAGCTTTGGCCATACGAACAATAATTGCAATAAAGCAAACAATATTGGGAACCCAAGACCATTTCTCGTACATGTGAATAACATGGTAACCAAAGAAAGTAACGAGAATAGTGCAAACGACCAAAATCAAGCATCCTGCCCATGGAGGACAAGCACCATTGTTAACGATGTTTAACAATTGGGCGGAAACCATAATGTTGACAGCACCCCATCCAACACAAGCAATCATATTGATAAAAGCGAAAATACGCATGGCATAATCACCCACCAAAAACTTGGACAAAATCATTTGACGCAATCCCAACTTTGGACCAAACACAGAGAAGAATGCCACGGGAAGGGCACCAAGCAAAGAAAAGAAAATGATCACAAGAACTGCTTGCCAGAATGAAAGTGTAAACACAGTGATACCAAGAGCACCCAAAGAAAACGTGGCAATCACCATATTGGCAGAAAGCCACATGGTAGCAGCATTAGAAATGGAATTTTCTGTCTTTTCTTCATCGGTAACCATTTCAATACCCTTAGTTTCAGCATTAAGCTGAGCAGCAAGTCTATTAAAGATACTGAGTTTCTTAGCAGTTAACTCCGCTTCACCAACAGACGAATCTGTGGTGTCGACGGTATAAGGAACCTTGTCCGCAGCAGCGGATTTCTCTAAATCAGACATCACTCCGAAATCAAACCCTTGGAACGTCGCTGTAATATAGTCAAATTTTCACGCAAGCGGCGTTCACTGCGGCGCTGCATCGCTGCAGCTTATCTACTTTACCCAAACGAGACCGCGGAGCGCCGCGGGGCGCCGCGGATAATTTTTGAAAACGAACAATGGGCTTCGAAAGTGCGGTCCAATTGATGGCAGGAGTATATGCCGCGTCTTAGGTTGTGCCACTCAATTCGAGTCCGGAACCGTTTACGAATACAAATCAGAACTAGCATTGTTAGCCAAAATTTCATGAGCCGTACATCCCTACATCACGATCAAGGCGGCAGTGCGGCGCCGGCGATGAAGCGAAGCCTCTCATATTCGACGGCCAAAGATCAGGACGATAAGCAATGCTCAGTCGGATTGTGCCGATACCCCGCATATTCGATACGAGAGAATTGCCCGGCCGGTGATTTGGGCGGAGGATAAGGATGGATGGTTCTGTGCACCGATATGAGTCTTGACGTATCAGGAGCGCGGCATGTTGCCGTGTAGTGGTGCAGGAGAGGGAAATGTGCAGGTGAAACGACAGAGATAGATGTAGGAACTGGAACCAGGCAAGTAGAGGAGCACAAGGCAAGTGGAGCACGATAACGAGGCACAATGACAACTTTTAATCTGGAGGTATAGTAGTATTATAGTCTATTTAGTGCCGAAGTAAGCGCCGAGAATGACTGCAATAATAATCACAATAATAAGACAAATGATAAAACACCAGAGCCTCTTTCTTCTAGCCTTTTTAGCACTGACCACCGCCTTGTTGGTGTGGCCCACACCCTGCTCAATATCGTGCTGGGCGGCTCCGATCTGCTCGTCAATTTGTTGAATAGGCTGGTCCTGTTCGATAACCAACTCCTCCATGTCATGGAATAACTGGGTCAATTCGGCCATGGTACGTTCCAATTTCAATAATTCACGATGTCTAATTTGCACCTCGTTCAACACAGTTCTTGCCTCTCCACGTCTGTTGGATTGCATCAACGCCTGCTGGAAATACTGCTGACCATTTCCATCTTCCACCACAGCCTTTACCTCGGCATCCGAAGCTTCAGGTTTAACAATACGGTATTGACGTTCTGCCTGGACCTTGGTTTGCTCACGGTTGTTTGCCTCTGTCATACGGTAATCCTGAATAAGCTCCAAAAACCGCTTTCGGCACGTCTCCGCCTGGTCCATCTTGGTTTGGTCTCGAGCAGTGGCCGCCTGGGTCTGCACGTTTTTTATACGGTTTTTCAAATCTAACTGCAAAGATTGAGCCTCGGAGATTAACGCGTCGATCTGCTGCGAGCTGTAATCGCTGTCCTCTTCATTCAAGTCCAATTCTTGGAGGAGGTTTCTTTGTTTGTTGGAAATTAAATTGATTAAGTTACCATATTGGTCTAACGAGTTGTTGATATCCTGAATTTCGTTCATAAACGACACAAAGTCATCGTCCCCGGAAGACGAGTACTTGTTGACGTTCTGCAACTCATAAGAGTTGTAGGGGTTGCTCATACTAAAACCCTCCGTACGTTCCTCGCGCTGTCAAACACAAATGGAAAAATGGCAGTGCGGGTTACGTGCAGGTGACGAGATTTAAAAGTGTCGCCTCGTGTAAGCCTCTGGGGTTGTCTGCAGGTGCACTTTTGCTCATTGATGCCACTGGAATCTGTGATACAAGCAGCAGGTCACGATGGATGTGAAGTTTCGGGGGCTGTGTTTATAAAATCGACGACAGAACAGGAAGTGCAGTTTTACCGAGATGCTTTAGTAGGAGATTCCCAATTGGATGGTACAATACTCCTGCACTGGATGCCAGTAATGATGGGGACTTTGACTCCGGGAAATTTGCATGGAATTGAAGGAGCCGAGAAGCCGGTATTAGGTCTGGATGTGACAGATCATATCAATTCAAGCGTTAGCAATGAAAAAGTCAAAATTGTGTTACAAAATCTTTACCATGGATTCTCGCATCCTAGCATATTAGATATCAAGCTCGGCAAGGTTCTTACAGATAATACTGTTACCCCAGAAAAGGCACATCGACTAGCAAAGGTCAGCAGTACCACCACGAGCGGTAGCTTGGGATTTAGGATCTGTGGGATGAAATTGTGGGGAAAAGATGTTGAGGAGTTACCGCAGATATACCCTAATATGAAGGACCATATCACCAATGATAACGATTATTTGTCTTTTGACAAGTTTTTTGGCCGCTCACTAACCGATTCGACTATGGAGCAGGCAATGCATGTCTTTTTTTCTGCTATTCCGGCAAAGCATAGACTGAAAGTCATCAATCGATTTCATCAAAGACTACAACTCCTATACAATTGTTTGCTAGATGCAGAGGTGAGAATCTTTTCTGGTTCATTGCTATTCATATACGAAAGTGATCCTCATCGCTGGACTTTGGTTGAAAATTATGATGAAGCAGACCCTCTTTTGTATGGTCTTCCTGATGACAGCGACGAAGAAGACACTTCGGAGCAAAATGATGCACCGCTCAGTAAGCTCAACATGATAGATTTTGCCCATGCTACGCACACAAAAGGTAAGGGCTACGACGAAAACATAGTGGATGCTGTGGAAAACTTAATAGATTTATTCGATCGCATATTGCAATAAGCTACTTTACATTCAATTCAAGATCTTGGTGATCTTACCAATGGCAATCGTAGTACCTTGGTCTCTCAATGTGAATCTTCCCAACTGGTTGTAGTCAACATAAGTCTCCGCACATACAGGCTCGTTGGTTTCCAACACAGCAATGATCTTCATTCCTTTCTTGGCAAATGCTGGTGGCTTTTTCGACTTTCTATTAGTACCCTTCTCCAATTTGTGTTTCAATTCGACAAACTTAACCTCCTCAATGGCTGTATGCAAGTGCATCACACATGAAAAACCGTTGGAGAGAATCGATTTTAACTCCACAATGGCAATTTGTGCTTCGAATTTGGTAACTGTCTTGACGGGGTTATTTGGGGAAGTCAACACATATCCTTGTGCCAAATCTTCTTCTTCAACACCCTTGATTCTGAGTCTCACTTGTTCACCACAGTAAGCAGCGTCACATTCCAGTTCGGTTTCATTATAGATCGTAACCACTTCTACCGATGTCTTGTTAGGCATCAATAACAAGCTTTCATTTTTCTTGATATGACCAGATTCAATCTTACCTTCAACCACAGTTCCCAAATCTTTCATCTTACCTGAAATAGGAAGCATGAATGGGCCGTTTATACGACGATCAGCCGTCTTCATGTTGTCCAAGTATTCCAACAACGATGGTCCAGTATACCATGGACAATCCTTCAGGTTGACACGATCTTTCAAGCCTGCTCCCGTGTATCCAGAAACTGGCATGAAAACAATGTCTTCCTTGCTGTAGCCTATTCCCTTCAAGAAAGCACCCAATTTGGTAGTACAGTCTTTATAACGGTCTTCAGACCAGCCGACGGTAGGATCGTCCATCTTATTAACGACAACAACAATCTTGTTCACACCTTGAGTCTTTGCTAAGAGAGCATGCTCTCTAGTTTGACCACCCTTTTCGAATCCGGTTTCGTACTCACCCTTTCTGGCAGAAATAACCAAAATACCAACGTCAGCTTGAGAAGCACCACCAATCATTTCGGAAACGTACAGCTTATGGCCGGGAGCATCCAAGATGGTATATCTTCTCTTTTCGGTCTCAAAATATGCTTTTCCCACTTCGATCGTCTTACCATCGTTTCTTTCTTCTTTGTTGGTGTCCATAACCCACGACAAGTACCAACCTTGTCTACCAGCGTCCTTGGCTTCTCTCTCATACTTTTCCACAGTTCTCTTGTCAACAGAGCCAGTCAAGTAAAGAATGTTACCTCCCATGGTGGATTTACCTGCGTCCACATGTCCCATAAAGATAATTGAAAGATGCTCTTTTCCACCGAATAAGTCTTTAACGACATCGGCATCGATATGCAGTTCCTGCTGTTTAGCAAGAGCGTCAGCACTGGCAGCGGCAGCGGCAGCAGCCTCTCTGGCTACTTTGGCCTCTTTGACCTTGGTAGCTGGTTTGCTTTCTGGAACAGGCGTAGACTCTTTAGACTTTGAAGCAGCAGCTGCAACTGGTGCAGCAGCTACGGCAGCAGCTACAGCTGGAGCAGATGCGGTTTCGTCTTTCTTGGGTTCCTCCTTCTTAGATTCTTCTTTCTTGGGCTCTTCCTTTTCCTCTTTCACGAGTTCATCCTTCTTTTCAGGTGCTTTCTTGGCGTTGGCCAACTTGATTCCGGACGATGAAGCCAACTTTAATGTACGCTTTGGCTTGTTCAAGGAAGCTTGAGAAGCTTGGCTTTGTTTTTGAAAATCAGCCAAAGACATTCCTTGTGGTTGAGCAGGCTGCTGAGCTGAATAACTGGCATACTGGTCGTACTGGTTGTAGCCACTGTTAGCCTGATTATAGTATCCCTGTCCTTGGGCACTATTGTATCCCTGATAACCTTGGTATCCCTGGTACCCCTGGTATCCTTGTGCTTGGTATCCGCCTTGAGCCTGATATCCTTGGTACCCTTGAGGTTGGTATTGTTGGTAGCCTTGAGGTACGAATGATGATGCGCCAGCATTGAAAGAATTCTGGGCATTTTGGCGTCTATCTGCTCCTCCCTGGCCACCAAGGGATGTGTTCTGAAGGTCTTGCGACAATTTATCTTGGTCGTAGTTCTGTTGATCGGCCATAATGATCCTTCTTTGATGGAAGCAAAACCGCACGAGTTCTCTACAAAAATTTTCATATGGTGTACCGATGTGTTGATACAACATCAAAATAGAGGACATAAAGTATCTAGTTATTTGAGTGTAGGGAGGTCCAATGCAGTAGACATTCACTCTGCAGCATCTGTACTGCTTTCATTTGCAGGGGCCCAAATTTGTAGGCTTTTTGGTGGATATTAGCATCACAAGTGCACCTATTGGCGATATAAGTGTCTGGGGAAGATGGGCAATTGAAAACGCCATACATGGGCGATATTATGGGGAGATCCATAAATCTGACTTGTTCACTTGGTAAGAAGAGCGAAACTGCTGCTGTTTTGATAGCAGCTTCTCGCCATGTCTCATAATACATACCCTTGAGCAGATCAATGTGGTTGAAAAAATGCTTGTACTGTGGAGATTGAAAGAAATCAACACTAACAATCTCCGACTCGGCATCGAAATTGCATGATTTATAAATCCATTCGTTGTTTTCGGTGACTTCGCCGGATTCAATGAGAAAGTTAAAGTTGTTCTTACTTGGAGATGGTTGCATTTCATTGTCTGGATTCTCCACGTATTTCTGGACTTCGTGCAAAAACGAAGGATGCATAGCCATGTTGTCCTTCTGAATCAACAGAAAACCGTATTTGATGTTGTTGTCTTCCATATACTGAAAGACATCGTAATTGACGTCGCATCCTAATTTGGAGCCAACAGGAACCCGCCAATAATACTCGTACGACAGCCAAATGTTATCTAGGTTAAAGAAGTGGCCAGCAGAAAACCTTGTAAAGTGACGGGAGTAGACAGAATTGTATAATCGTCGCCATGGGCTTTTAAGTGGTGTACTATTCCGAAGCTTACGCACTTTCGTCGTATCTGTTCCCTCTGGATACTTGAGAAAATCACCCAAATACTTGAGATCCACAAACATTACCGTGGAACCTCGCACGATTTCCCTAATTGTTTCTCTGTGATTCCGAATTACACTTCTGTAGCTGATTATAACCCAGTCGTTGTTGTACTTTTCATTGAAACGTTCCTGATAACTATGGATGGTTGAAAGGACATAAGGAACCTCAGATCGAGCGGTTACCAACATCACCATGGCACCAGCAGCGGAAACCGTCCATGGTAGCCATACAAAAATTGTAGTAAGATGCCATAGTAAACGCATGAATAAGTATTCGCATCGGTAAACCTCGATTTACGCAGTACCCCAGCCGCGCGATAAGATCTTGCGGTCACTTTCCACTAAAATGCCCCTTTTTGAGGCACACAATTATACGGCCATAACGGTCAAAATCAACCAGCTCTCAGAGGCAAACCGCAATGACGAGATCGATAATCTGATAGAACTTTATATGTCTGACCTCATTGACCTCATAAAGTTGCAGGGCAATGTTGGAGCCTCCGAAGCAGCTAGAGCCATTCGAAAGAATATCAAGTATGGAAAGGACCAGGACACTCAATTGCGTTCTTTGTACATCTTGGAGTTGTTAGTTTTGAATTCGGGCCATAAAATAGGTGCCATCATTGCTCGTGACGACAAGTTGTTGGATGTACTCAAGGGGATATTAAACCACCTGGGCACCACAGGTTCAGGTTCCCATTATTCCAAGGATATCACAGACAAAGTGACAGCACTAGCGCTTGGGTGGAGGACAGAAGTGGCAGAATTGGACGGTTACAAATATTTGGCATCGCTCTACAAGTTCATCCCCAAGTACCTGAAACTGCGTAGCCATCGTACTCACCGTCGTACGGGAAGCAGCAATATATTTGAAACTGCTGAGGACAATGCTGTGCTGTCTCCACGTTCTTCAGGTCGTCAGCGGTCAGTGAGTCCTCCCTCTAGACCTTCAACTCCTCCGCCAAGATTTAAATCACCCCCTCCGCCACGTCCCAAGACATCATCGCCCTATACTGAGGTTGAAGGCTCATCGAAAAAGAAGAAGAAGGAGAAGAAGAAAAGAACAAGAAGAACCAGAAATGGGGTGCGATACGCCGATGCAGAGTACCAGATCCCTCAGATTAACTACAAAGCCGAAGCTCCTAAAATTCGCCAGGTGATTGCTGACTGTCACACTCATACCACGGCGCTCGGCAATATTTTGCTCACTTTGACAGTGTCGCCTCTTGATGATGAGAGGGCAAAATCCGAATTTGACAAGTGCCGTAAAATTCGTCATAAGGTGCTTCGGTACCTTCAATACGTTGGAGCTGGAAGCGAAGAGACGAAAACGAAGGAGGTTCGTGCGATGGATGAGGAGTTCTTGGGAAGTTTGATTATGGCCAATGAACAATTGGTCGATGTGTTTAAAAAGTACGATACTGCTTGTGGTTACACTGAAGAAAACCCTGCACCTCAGGTTCAAGACGATGACTCTGATTCCTTGGAATCCTACTACACTGAAAGCTCAGAAGAGGAAGATGATGATTTGGGTGAAACTTCTTCGACTCAATTTGCTCAATTGAGTTTGTCACTGGAACCATCTGCTTCTCCCCTACAAAGCACTCCAAAAGCTCCACCTCCCAGACCAGCCAAGCCATCCAAGCTCAAATCTTTGGACCGTGTCAGCACAAATGATACCGTTGCTACGACCTCGAGCGATCCGTTTGGTGACAAACACGGCATGTAATACTTTGTCCTATTATAACTACTGTGTAGATTTTACCGCGAAAACTTTCCCCGGAATCAGTGTAGAAAACTATTGGCCCATACATTTGTTGTTGTTGTGCCATGTCGGTGACAGCACACGATACTGCCTCGAATGGTCACCTGGACAGGCGACGTGAGGTCAGAAATGGGCGGTCAAATCGCAATTCTTCCAAAAATAAGAGCTCCAAATATGCACCCATCATCGACCCCAGCGTACCACAAATACCGCCAATCGATGACTTCAAGCTATATAACATCGTGCAGAGTCATACTCAAGAGGAGACTACTGAAGTGGTCGATGCGGTTCTCAACGTCACAAAAAATTTCCAGCAAGACTTGCGAGATGAAATCAGAAAGAAGCTATCCATCGAACAAAGAATACAATACAAGAACATTGAACTTGCCAAACTAGTCCATGCGGTGAAAAAAGCGTCGCTGATGAAACTGCAACGGAACTTTGAAACCTTAGATACCCTGAAGATGCAACATGAAGTTGAACTGCTAGTGACCACTGCGGCCGAGACTTCTCAAAAAGCTCGAAACTTGATCTCCACAGTCAAGAAGCTTCAAACTAAAAGTAGCAAGTATTCTGTCAGTGAGCAAAAGTACCCAAATTTGTACAGACTTGTACATTCAGAGACAAAACAGACACATATACCAACAAAGCAGACCAAGGTTGATAAGAAGGAAAGTCAGAACCAAGACAAAAGTAAAAACCAAGAAGTTCAGGAGCTAAGTGACGGTATCCCAGAGTATCCTGGAGCCTCCATTATCAATGGAACTTCAATGCCTCCAAGGTCTCCCAGTCCCTCACCTTCAGATATGTCTGCCGAGCTGTTTGAACAGTTTCTTTCTCTGAGCATTGCAAAGTATCGAGAACGGCAGCGTAATAGACAGAGGGCCAATGCACTTATCAACAATGAGCTTGACGAGCTTAGTAACGTAAGAGAGGCTTCAAGTTTATCCATCAATCCGGTCAAGCTTCTCTATTCCTCGATATTAGAAAGAGATTCTGGCAACACCACTTTTGGAATCAAATCAACTGCTACATCTGCCCTGACATTTCAGACTTCTCATTTCAAGAAACTCAGAATCAACGGGTCACCTATCACTTCTGCGACATACAAAAATATGACTGTGAAGCCTAAATGTGATTGCGAAAGTAGTGACGGTTCCCCCGCCAAAGCGGCTCTAGAGTCGTTGAGTATTTCGGACGCAGATGCTGGTCATAGCGTGGAATACTCAAGCTCAGATGTAATCTCTGAATCTTCTGACGATGTTTCGGTGAGCAGTGACGAATTTGCATCGCCCACCACTATAAATACCAACCAGTATTATTTGAATCTCAAAAGCGATCTCAGGCGAAAACAGTCGAAACAGTCACTCAGAAAGAGAGCGTCCACGCGGTCTTTTATTCGTGAAAGTACGTCTCCTACCCCTCGTCACAAACCATCGCATCGGACTCTCAAACCTAAAAATTCCATACTCAAGACCAAGTCGAAACCGCAAAAGCCACTGAAAAGGACTCCCAAGCGTTCTATGGGCCCAATTGTACCACCTCATACCGATGAGGGCATCATATCTCTCAACACTGATACAGTTCAAGGCACCATTCTTCAGCTAGAACCAGAAACGAGCGACGACGAGAACGAGGTCCGCACATATCGTGGAATTGACGACACAGATAACCATAGCAGTCGATCCATAGAACGATTACGAGAATACTTGATAATGGAAGAAGGTATTATTGACTCTAGTACAAACTAGTTGATATTACTTCTACAGATGCAAGCGTACCCGACGCTGGAACGGGACTAGAAGATCCAAACATAGAAAAACCACAAGAAGACCAACGCGAAGAACAACAACCACACCCGCCAACTTATTCCTGCTCGTTGGCTCATCACAATCATTTGATTAAACGTGTTTTTCAACGTCACCTTACCCTTCTCCATCGAATTGGTTATATCGTCATTCAACGCAATTCCCTTGTTGATCTCCGAACCCATCCGCACCCCCAAGTTGCGAAGGGCAGCCACTTTTTGTGACATTGATCCCAACTCGTCGTCGTTTTGAGATTCCAACGTCAGCATCATCGACTCATTATATTTGGCAGAGTTTGAAACTGTTTTGTCATAAGGCAGTCCCGACCGCAACGGCGGACTCCCCGTGTTTCTATTTGTCGGCTGCGAGAACAACTGTGTTCTGAGCTCCCGCTGATGTGCTCCGTTCGTCGAATATCGGGAACTCATGTTTGCTAGATGTTGTTCCTGACGCACCATCTTGCATGGTGGCATTGTACGACCTGCATAATCACACCAATGCACCCAGCCTAACCCCAGAGGCTTGCATTTTGGCACAATTGAAGGTGCATTACTAACTGCAATATGACTTCTGAAGGTCAGGTACCACGGTCGCTTTCGAACGTGCGACACATATTGCTCGTACTTTCGGGGAAGGGTGGTGTAGGCAAGTCGTCTGTGACGACGCAAACAGCCATGGCTCTTGTCAACAAGGGTTTCAACGTTGGGGTCTTGGATATCGATTTGACAGGTCCGTCATTGCCTCGAATGTTTGGCGTGGAACTGCATCAGATCCATCAGTCCAGAGCTGGTTGGGTTCCTGTGACTGTCTATCCTCGAACAGAAACGAGAGGATCGCTTTCGCTCATCTCTTTAGGATTTCTTCTCGGTAGTCGCAGCAGTTCTGTGGTATGGAGAGGACCGAAAAAAACAGCCATGATTCGCCAGTTTCTCTCTGATGTTGTTTGGACGGGAACTCTTGACTATTTGATCATAGACACCCCTCCAGGAACTTCGGATGAGCATATCGCCATTGCCGAAGAACTTCGGTGGGCCCAACCTTTAGATGGAGCTATAATAGTAACCACCCCACAGCAGGTTGCAACTGCCGATGTTCGCAAAGAAATCAATTTCTGCAAAAAAGTAGGATTCGAGATTGTTGGTGTGGTGGAAAATATGAGTGGATTTATATGTCCTCATTGCGCAGAATGTACCAATATTTTTCTGTCCGGTGGTGGAGAAGCCCTCAGTAAGCAGTTGGATCTTCCCTACTTGGGCAACATACCTATAGATCCACGGTTTGTGGAGATGGTGGAAACACAATCCGATGAAAATAAGCTCATCGACTTGTATGAGAAATGTGAGTTGAAGCCCATCGTGGAAGGTATGGTGACCAAGGTGTTGGAGCAAAATAAACCGGCCAGAATATAAAGTGCTGTACGAGTTGACGAATTAATAGACGTATATAGATATTCATACTATGAGGTTAAGTTTCTTCCATTGGGTTATTCTTCTTCTCAAATCACCAGCGCTCTGTTGGTAAACGTTGAGTTTCTTGTCCCATTTCATTTTTTCATAATCATCACCATACTTCTCATACAATTTCTGTAGCCACTGGCTTTCTTGCTCTGATGGTTTGCGTTCCTTTTTGATCTTGGCATTCTTTTGGGCGGTTTCTTCGAGCTGCTTAACAACTGTGCTTACTTCTGGTGTGTCTTCGGTCAGCTTTTTCTTCATCGTACCATAGATCACCTGGGTGACCTCGTTTGTCTCTGGGTCTCTGATCAACCGTGCTTCTCCCTCAGGGATCTTTGAAGGATCGGTTGTGTTCTCTATCTCACTCACAGGCACATGTTGTTCCTCCTGTTTCTGGCTGGCCTTGATGACTGGTTTTTCCTGACCACCAACCATCGTCCCGAGTTTAGCTCTTAAACCAAGACGCTTATAATTTTGTTGAAGTGTAAGTGATTTGTCCCAATTTGCAGCAATGATGGGATTGGAATGTATATTAATTTTTGCCTGTCTGTCCTTGAGCCTCCTGGTGTTCTTGCGGACACTCAGGCGGGCCATTTTTCTCTTTCTGACTGAAACCATGTTGCTGAAGAGTGAACCAGTTTGGTGGAAATTTATGAGATGAGGTGTATCTGCAGGAAATTGTGTGTGGGGACGATTTCAAGCAAAATACATTAGGGCCAGGATTGCACAAGCTAGGGTATGCCAAAAGGCTATCGCTGTTGATGCTTTTCGATTTCAGTTACTTTGAGTCGAATGGAAAAGATGTTCGAAAATTTGAAGATTTTCACTTTCGTACAAGATACTACTTTTGCTTTCTCCACTCTTTGGGGGTTCCACTCTTTGGTACTTTGAGACACCATTTTCTGGTAATTACCCTCTTTCGGTATTTGAATCTCCTGGAAAATCACCTCGGCCACCACGACCACCTCGTCCACGTCCCCTTCCTCTACCTCTGCCTCGTCTTCCACGGCCACCACGTTTGCGGAAACCTGGTAAGTTGATCCTCTTTGGACTTATCCTTAATTCTCTTTCATTGAACTTTTTGCCGTGCAATTCCTCGATGGCTCTTTCGGCGGCTTCCGTGGTGTCAAATTCAATGTATGCAAAACCTTTTGACAAACCAGAATACCTATCAAAGAGTATGGTGACTCTTTCTACTGTGCCGACAGCACTGAAAAATTCTTCCAATTGTCCAGGAGTGGAAAGGTATTCAACGTTTCCGACGTAAATGGATCTTTGATCTATTTCTTCTTGCTTTGGCAAATGTTCTCCTCGTCCTTGTTCGGTCCCTTGAGTATTATCTATTGGATGCGACACCTCTTGGTGGCTGAATTGTTCTTGTTCACTCATTATTTACTAAAGGATCAATGTAATGTCTATTCACCAAGCCGGTATGACCAGGTCTAGCTTGGTGCAGGTCACTTCATCAAATTTTCCTGCACAGGCCGCAAGCTAGCTGTGTATTATACCTCTACAAATGCTCTGTAAGTGGTGAACTCGGGCTCGGAAGAGTGAAGATCAACTTCAGCCCCTGGGCCGATAAAGTAAACGTAACCCTTTTTGACTTCTTGCTTGGAACCTTGCACCACAATCGAACCCAGGCCCTTGGTTGCAATGAGAATCGATGGGCCGTTAAACTTATCAAAGTGTTGCAACTGGTTAGCTTCAGTGAACAAGGTTTGTAACACGGCAAACTCTTCAATTGGTGGGTCGTAGAGCACTGACTTAGCATCACCGGAAGACTTGGCAAATGGAAGTAATGGCATTTTCTGTTTCTCGACCGAGTCGTACGAGTAGGTCAACATATCCACCAAATTTTTCACGTCTTTGAATTTGGGGGTAAATCCAGCACGTACCACGTTGTCCGAAGCAGCCATACATTCGATTATATCTCCGTTGATGTATGCGTGGGGGTCCTTTGCTTGCAAGAACATGGCTTCACCTGGTGCAAGAATAACATGGTTCAACAAAAGGCATCCGCAAAAGAGACCGATATCGTTGGGAAACTGCTTATTGAGGCGCTGTATCAATTCTGGCAACTTTGGAGAAATCGCAGTGAACACCTCAGGCTGGGACTTGGTGCGTTCGACCAATTCGGCAGCGCGAGCATTGATGGTGGCATCGTCAGTGTTCATCAATTTGCCAAACACTTTTTGAAGAAGCTTACGGTTCTCTACGTCCTCTTGAGATCCAGCGGTTGCATCTGGGGTAATACCATTGCAAAATTCCTCAACCAACAAATCGCCAATCACAGAAGTCAATTCAGGCACGGTTTTCAATGTCTTGGCGAGCTCGGAAAGTGGCTTGAAACCACAGAAACCTTCGAACAGAGTCACGGCAATGGCCATTTCCGGCTTGTGGTTGTCGTCAGGGTAGTTCTTGGGGTCGTTGGTGTGAAGCTGTTTGGCCAACTGCTTATCAGGATGAGCTTGAATCGATAATACCTTTTCGATTGACAACACCTTGAACAAAAATGGAAGTTGAGCACCAAATTTCTTTACAATTGAGGCATGAAGGTGCTTCGAAGGATCTTCGGTAACCAAGTCCCGCAAAGTCTGGCCGGACTTGCCGCCAGACACAACGGTTGAAGGAACCGATGGATGGGTACCCATCCACAATTCAGCATATGGCTTTTTCTCGTCAATGGTGATAGAAGGGTCTGAGGTGCTTGCAAATTGAGCCACAGCAGAGCTGGAGCCGACTTTGCCCCAATCGTAGTTCTGATATCCACAGTTTATTCTGAAAACTGACATAGCTAGCGAATGATACACAACACGTTGTCAGCGGAGCGCGTTGTCGCGAACTCCGAAAAAAAGGCACCATACAGGAACTCTTACATGCATTCCAATTGTCCTATCTAGCTTAATCTGCCTTAGCACCGATTATGGCACCCAAGGTAGAATTTCCGGCTCTTCTTGCTGATCTCTTTCTCCGTCGTAACGTGTGGATCATACCAAATACGGCAAATAGTACCAAGTATCCTACTATGCCATGCATATGAACATAGTCCATAAACCTCATAATCTTTGGATATGGGCTTCCCACAAGCTTTGTAGTCATTTGAGCCTTAACCTTGACCAATGCAGGGTCTAAAAAGTATCTCAAAGTCTCACTCATGCTTTCTGGGTCCATGTTCATTGGTTGTCCACCGACAAGTTGATCCCAATAGTAGCGTCCATCTCTTTGAACCACGATGGCATGGCCGGGACTATATGAGCGCCCGTTAATGTCTAATCCCAACTTGCGGGCAAAGTCTTTGTTTACGGCGAGGTCGATGAATGTAAAGAGAACATCATCGTCGTCAAAGTATCGAGGTATTTCTCGCTTCATGTCCTTGACCATTTCAAGACTGTCAGCAGAACGTTGCTTCAAACGGTTACTAACGTCGTATTCGTCCTTGTGTGCCTGTTTCATTTTCTCGAAAAAATATTCCTTCTTGGTATGGTGATACTCGTGTGCCATTAAGGACATGGCATAAAGGTAATTGGCGGTAGCACTGGCATCCTCAGAATTGATAAACCCAATAACAACTTTTTGAGTGCCTTTTACGCGCTCATAGGTGGTATTGAAGTAACTGGGTACTAATTCGGGTGTCAATTCTTGGTATAATGGAAATTGATTCCGAGCAACGAATTCTTCAACCTTGGCATAATCTTTCATATCCTCAAGTTGCAAATTTTGATATATGCTGGTTACCAAGGAGTTATCTTTGAAGATGAGAATCGTTGGCTTGGCGGTGAGTGTTGTCGCTAAAAAGTTTGGCTCGTCAAATGAACGTTCGCTGGAGGAAACAACATTGTTGATAAATTGTACAAGGTTCTTACCTTGGTCGTTCACTTGTTGCTCGTAAAGTTTCTTAGGGGAAACTTTTCCAGTGTAAAGGTGTACGTTGAACTTTGAGTCCGTGACGTATTGAAGTAGTTTTGGTAAAATTGTTTTGTCTTCTTCTGTTACAGTGTTCTTATCGTAGTAGAAAACCACTGAGACAACATTGGCCAACGGGTAGTACAGACCCAAAGGTTTGGCAGGAAGGTTACTGCGAAGCTCCATTACGTCGCCAAGTTTGGGAACCGTAAGTATTTCGTACTGAGAGTTCTCAAAAAGACGAGTAGAGAACTTCTTCATAGCTTCAATGGTGAGTTCGCCAGAGTAGTCAAACCTAACAATGCCTGCGGTTTCTGGAAGAAACATGGCAAAATGAGGACGAGCAGACGCTCCACGCTTGGAGAATTCCTTGAGTCCAATTTGTTCACAGAGATCCGGATGGCTCCTGCAATTAAAGTTGGCAGTTCTAACGGTACTTTGAACCAAGTTCAGGAGCCGATCCCACAACTGTTTCCACTCCAAGCACTGAACACACTCACGAGGAAAGAGGTTTTTGCCGGACTTTTCATGCGCATCCCATTCCTTGTCAGTTGTTGGAAAGAAGCCAACAAACACAGCCAGGTCAATAGATCCAGACACAATCTTGATAAGTTCGTCCATCGATACTGTCTTGGATACACTAGGCAAGTCTATTGCTCCAGCGTTATACTCCGCCACGCTATTCTTCATGTATTTTAAGAAATTCTCCTTCGTTCTCATAATTGAACGAGGGAAAGAACCAACGAATTTCAGCTTCCCAGGAATTAATTTACCGTTCTTATCCTTTGCTGGTGTGTAAAGACGCAAGTTGGGGTAGTAAACCACATCTTCACGCTCACACAAGTCACCAGACTCAATACAGTTCACCTGGCGCATTTGGATCTTAAGGTCTTTCATTTCGGCTTGATATTCTTCAACGGTAGCCTCCCAAGTAGGGGCCAATTGCTTACAATGGAGGCAGTACGGTGAGAAAAATTCCACGAAAGAAAGCTGCTTGCTGGTGACGCTATCAAAGTCTTGCATGGTGAGAAGCGGAGGCATCTCGAACCCTTTATGACCCAGCGATGATTCGTCATACTCAACAACGTCAGCCTTAGCATTCCGTTGAGGCTTCTTAGCAGCTTTGGGTGCCTTCTTCGGTGCAGACTTGGCTTTTTCGCCAGCCTGTTTCAGATCCTTCGACACTTTTCCAGGCTTGGCATCTTTTGAAGTATCTTCATCTTTGGGTCTTGCTGGTGCATTCTTTGTATTCTTCGTAGATTTTTCACCAGAAACCTTTTTTGTACTGTCTTCAGCTTTGGAGTCGTCCTTTACGGTTTTCTTAGGTTTTTTGGCGTCTGTTTTTCTAGCTTTGTCAAGTTCATCCGCGGCACCCAAGTCGATGTATTTTTCGTCAGGCGTCTCAGCAGCCTTTTCTAATTGATTCTTTACCGAGGCAGGCGTTGCTATAACTAGAGTAGCCAAGAGAAACGAGAGAAACAAGAGGAGTTGTGGAGAACATAACCTCCGTACTCTCATGATAAGTGTTGATCCTCACGTAATTTAAAATCGCTTTTTCGCGCCGAGAAAAGATTAGGCGCCGCGAATCTGGGGAACTGAAAAATTACGGAATATATTCTATATGCTATTATACAAGTGCTCTAAAAGTGGCCAGTAACTTCAAGTAAGTATGTTTTGAAGTATTCGAAACTGACAAGGGTCACAGCACTGGCAGGGACAGTACGGGCCAAGTTGATGGTGTATCCGGCGTAAAACCCTCGTAAGCCTTCCTTCTTGTAGATGCGGGTCATGATATGTAACAATTTGCTCTTTTTAACTTGACCTGGCTCTTTTTTGGCTTTGGAGCTCTGGATTTGCATTCTGGTACGAAGGATCTCGTGTGGATAAGTGACAGTGCTGGCAATCATTTTACTGACGGACGATGCGACTATAAGTCTCCATAACAACAGGGAATCTCCATTTTGATGCTGGGGCGTGAGGTTGCAATCGAGTGCTTGCTTGAGTTTCTCATACACCGGAAAATGAATACCAACATGCAAAAGGCCAAAGAGAGATGGAATGAGTCCACTGTAGAACACACCTAAACCCTCCTCTTTGTACATCGTTGTGAATGCATCAGTAGTACCTTTGTAGTGGGTGACGCGCTTTCCGTCACCATAGATATTGCTCTCTTTGCCCGTTTGAATCATAAGCCGTGTCTTTACTACCCATATTGGGTTTACAAGTACAGACGACGCAGAGCCCGCGGTCAATGCTGATAAAAAATGCGAAACAGTAGCCGATTCCGTATCGGCAAAATGCTCTCGAATGAATTTAGGATAGAATACCTTTGCCCGTTCATAAACGGTAAAATAAATGGTCCATGTTGGCAAGTAACCAATAGTGATGGGAACAAGTCCTCGATACAAGCCACGAACTCCCTCTTCACGAAGTATAGTTTTAAATGCACCGATGAAGCCTGAATACTTGGGCACCTGACGAGGAGACTTTGGGTTTCGTTCTCTATAACCAGCTCCTTGTGCTTGGAGCCTCGTCTTGACTACATCGAGCGGGCAAACAACAACACCCGCTAAGAAGCCCGAGGCAGCTCCTGCCAACGTGACAAGCTGGTTGGGCGAGAGCACAGTGAGAAGTTTTGGTGGCAGTGACACGGATAAAGCGGGTATTTTCGTGACATTGAAGTTGCGATGCGGTGATTCTCGGAACTCCATATCTTCACCCTGCACGAAATCAGAGAAGTCTCTCGAGTTGGGACTCATGTGCGATGATAATGTGATAAAATATGACGGTTTGTGGTTTTTGAGCCAATTTTATGGAGTATTTAGCAAACTTTTTGGTTTGTAGACGGCACAAAAATGTGCCTGTGGACGACGGCTCGGGTTCTAGGGACACTTATTTGTGAAATTATGGTCCAAGAAGAGATGTAATTTCGAAGAACTCGGAGGAAAACCGTGATACTTGTCGACTTGAAAATAATGTTACCTTTAACACATCAAATCGCATCCGTTAATCGGTCTTGATTTCTCACAAAGGTCGTGCGCGACAAAATGGAGATAAGTAAAGAGGGGAGTTGAAAGGCACTTAATGGCGAAGAATTGGTAGTCGAGACAGACTGGGTACAGTATTAGCTTAAATTCGCGGGCCGACGTTCCAAAGTCGCAGATTCGGCATTGTCAATTCGTCGTTCTCAAGTCATAAATTTACGTGCACATCTCTAAAGTCGCTTGCAAGGATTATAAGGTCGCCATTTAAAATTCGTCCTCTGAATTTTTGAAACTCGTTCACGATAAGAGCCAAATTCTTGTGAAGAATTTCACGGACTCCAAATTTGTCAATCTCGTCTACACTGATCAATAGTGCAGTACTAATTAAAGTTCGATGTCGCCTCACAGGACTTTCGAAGGCGGTTATCAAATCTAGAATATGATGTCATGGTCACTTTTCGGTACCCGCTTCTACATGTCTCACGATTATGTTTCACTAAGATAATTTTTTAAAAGCAATAGCGAAAGTTGTATATTAACCAAGATTGTTTGCGGCACCTTTCATCAGACAGGTGATCGGCGCTGGTTTAACTGAAGCGTCATAGTCGTGGGAATGGTGCTTTAGATTTCAAACTGGAAGTTGAAGAAGGCTGTTTATGGTATGAAATAGGCCGGATTCGAATGGTTTGTTTGCCTTACCGATGTTCTTATCGAAGCGGCTGCAAAGTTTGGTTTTGATGTGCTGAGTGCTTTTGTCATCTTTGCCAACTATGAGTAAATCGTCACATAGAGACTAAGAATGACGAAATAGGAGGCAAACGGATGTACAATCTTACGAGAAGCGAGATCTGTATTCAGCACGGAACGAAATAGGATTGATATCAGGGCGAATTTCGGATGTTTGCCTGCGATTTCACTTCATCTTGTTTGCTTATGACTCTCTTTTGAAGCAATTGCCTACAAGGTCAAGAGAGTCCTGTTTTGATACCATTCAATTGGTATCCATGCAACTCTTCACCTCTGTCACTCTCGGAGTTTCATTAGGTTTTACTGGAGTTTGATACTACATGCTCCTACTTGTTTGTGCACTTGTCAATTTATTGCTCTTATTCACACGTTAGAAGTTCGAAGTGCCTTTTGCTACTTTTATGAGTCGTCCATCCTGCATCCATTGGGGCCTCTTGCCTGATATCTTTGACAGTATTGCAAGCCATAAGCGCCATTACGGTCCGAATTTTGTCATGAATGATATTCAATGCAATGCATACTCCTTTCTCTCCATTATGAGCAAGACCACAAAGATGAATCCGATCTACCCAACAATGTTCAGTACCCAAGGCAAGTGCCTTGAAAAAAGTCACTGCCACGTCTTAGTCCCCCATAAATGTGAAAGGGAACTCTTCCTTTGACTGCTTCAACAATCAGAGGCAACGCATCCCAAGGTGGACATTGCGCTGTCGACTTTTCGGCCACCATGGTTAGAAACGAGAAACCCATCGGCACCAGCTTCAACAGCTCTTTGGCGGCATTCTCCCTTGTGAGAATACCTTTGAGCCAAAATTACACCTTTGTCTTCTTCTTGATCTCCTGAACGTATTTCCAGAGGCAAGAGAAGCTCGTAGTGGGTACGTTCGTCGATACTGTTCATGTTGGATCTATTTGTCCATGGGTAACTAGGAAAGTTGAGATGGTGCGTCAGGAAATTCGTTTTTCATTTCTCCCAATTCACTACCAAGCCATGGACAATCCACACCGATGTAAAGTGCTTTATAGCCACAAGTCTGCATTTAACATAAGAGGATTTGTTTTCCAAGGTCTTGTGCTCCATTAAACCACCATTGATAGAAGCCTTTCGTTTGCAGCTACTTCCAAGTCAGCTATGCAGTGAATTTTCTGGTCGTAGGTTGAGCCCGATTCATTGTTACGTGACTAAATCAATCAGAATTGCTAAAGATATATACATCAGAGGAATTCCATTGCTTCGGCATTTCTTCGGCATTTTGCCGAGCACCAAATCTGGTTTCGTATTTGATATCACAATGCCGAAGCATATCTTGCATATCAATTGCGGGGTGAGATAAGACCGTCGGAAATACCATCTACTGCGAGATAGTTCTTGTACATATATACCAGCTTGGTAGCCGCCTTTTGCGGTATCAAGTTACAGACGGCAGATTCATCCATGGTAAGTGAATCAAAAATAAGCCCCAGTATAGTTGTCTCACCCCAAATCAGTCACTATAGTGAGTTTGATACCGGTGAACATGATGTGTTTGTCGTTACTGAGGAAGGTCCAGATTTCCGTGGAGTATCTACGCTAGGTGCAGCGGTTCTTATTGCAAAGTCACAAATGGGACTCGGAATTCTTGGAATTCCCCAGACTTTTCAATCTTTGGGATTTGTTCCTGGTCTTATAAGTCTAGTTGCACTCTGTGCGTTAAGTACATGGACAGGATTTATAGTGGGAAAGTTTCGCCTTCGCCATCCTTCAGTATATAGCATTGGTGATGCTGCAGAAATGATGTTTGGCACTATGGGTCGTGAAATTATGGGAGGTGCATTTTGGCTTTTCTACACTCTTTGCTATGGTGCTTCACTTTTGACCTTTTCTATATCCTTGAATACGTTGAGTGATCATTCCAGATGTACTATGGCTTGGATCGGAATTGGTGCTGCTATATCATTGGTGTTGGGACTGGGAATTCGTACCATGAAAGTCATGTCTTGGTGCGGTTATGTTGCTCTTAGCTGTATCATGATCAGTGTATGGATTGTAGCCATAGCATGTTTGGCCCAGAAAAAACCGGCAGATGCCGCTAAAGGCTTGCCCATTGACAAGGGAATTGTTGCAGTTTCGTCCAATGTGCCATTTTCCTCCATTGCTAGTGCAACTGCTACGCAAGTGTTGTCACTATGTGGTACAGCTTCTTTTTTTACAATTCATTCTGAAATGAGAGACCAAAAAAAGTACGTGAAATCACTTCTTCTCGGACAAGGGTTTGTTTGCTTCAATTACATTGTTATTTCCTGTTTCATTTACGCAAAGGTTGGCAATTATGTTACCTCGCCTGCTTTAGGATCGGCTGGTTCACTTTTCAAAAAAATAGGCTACGGCATAGCCATTCCAGGATTATTGTTTTCGTGTTTTTTCCAAGCACATCTTGCCGGAAAGTATTCCTTTGTTCGTATTCTTAGAGATACGACACATCTACAGCTGAACACGGTCATTCATTGGGTTACCTGGACAATACTGATGGTGGTTGTGATTTGCGTGGGTTTTGTAGTTGCAGGTGGTATTCCTTTCTTTAATGATTTGTTAGCATTGATAGGTGCTTTGATCGGAACAAGTTTTACATTGATAATTCCAGGGTTCTTGGCTTTATACGACCTTGGGAGATATGTGCCTAAAGAAGGCGATGGCCTGTTTCAATGGATCGTTCAGTCAAAAAAGAAGTGGGGTTTGAACAACAGAAACATCATAACTGCAAGTGTTGCGATTTTTTCAATTGTGTTTGGCAGTTATATCGCTGTTTCCGGGATTTACGGTTCTCTCAAATCTATTATTGATGGATACCGGAATGGTTTGGTTCCGTCTGCTTTTTCATGTGCCGATAATAGTACTTAACAAAATTCAAAGTACCAATGGGTGAATCTGGTATTATGTGGCAGTAGACAACGTCGAAATAGTAAAATTTATGGTTTAGTCTTGTTCTAATGCCCCAACAGGCGAAGGAGTGACATAAAAAAACACTACAATCTCTCCAAAAGAACACTCGATCAAATATATTATTATTCGATATAACCCGCAAGAAACGCCTTGTAATAGATGGGTAAACCGTCAATTAGCGACGGCTTGCTAGGATGCCACCCAAGAATGGAGCGAGCAAATGTTCCTCTAACAATGCTTGTTGCCGCTAAAGCGACTTCGAAATTGGATTTGGGTTCTTTGTAAGAATACGATAGAACACCTGTAAGAGCCACTAGATGTGATAATAGCGTATCAACGCTTTCGGTAGTAGTGTTGCTTCCCTCGATTTTGAGCCCCTTCACCAAAGGGTATTTCTCAACAGCAAGACGATATAACTCGCCTAAATCATCAACATGCACTGTGGCATATCGACCACCGGGAATCCCTGGCCATTCAATTTTTCCGCTAGCGGCTATCTGACTGAAAAGGATACCAACAACGTTTGACTGCCTTCCATAAACTAGTCCAGGACGAATAACCACTCCGTCAACTAATTTACTCGCAACTAGGTAGTTTTCCACTTCTGGTCGCCATGCAACTTTCTTAGGCGGATGAGTTGCTTCAGAGCCATCTGTCACAAACTCAAAGCGATTATCACCATGTAACCAAACACCAGAAGTCCATACGTATGCCAATTTTGCAGCTGTGGCATCCCGCTCGGCATTTTCAGCTTTTTTGATAAATTTAATACTCAATTCACTGAGTGAAGCACCTCCAAGACAATCAACTACAACATCAATTGATTGTAGGTCTTTTAACCATTTATCATCAGAAACAGGGTCACATTCCAATACTTCTAATTCATTCCGCTCAAATAATTTACCCCATTTACCAGCATCTCGAGTTTGTCCAATAACTTGGTGACCAGCACGTACCAATGATCCAGCAACACTAGAGCCGATATATCCACTGGCACCAAGAACGAGCACCTTCATATCAAATAAAGCTTGACCGGAATTAGTTAATAAATGAGCCTTTCATATCCCCTTTTCTTTCTGGCATTGCGGCAACTTTCCGAAACGGCCAAGTTCTCACTCGGTAGAAGTCCGATAATCAGTTATATGCCGGATATAGTTGAGATCAGTGGTCGAAATACACTATGACTGACGCAGATGTTCGGAACATCGCCGAATACCGGCATGTCAACGATATCGTCTATAGATAACCAAGTGCCACTTATCAAGTACCCTCCTGTTATCTTGTGTGAAAGCAGGAGTAGAATGACTACCAAGATACTAAAAAGATCGTTGGCAAGGAGCTACGTTTGGTCAATGACAGGCGATAGACGTGTGACTCTAGAGAAAGAAGAATCTGTATCTGAGGCTGCAAATGGTAAGGGAAGTAGGACTGAAGCGTCGAAAAGGTACGACTGAATCAGCTAAAGAGATCCAAGAACGCGGCGGTGAACAATTACGATCACATATCGGACTGGAGATAAGAAATTGATGAAGATGTTCATTCTTATCAAACAGCTTCCGTCAGGAAGTGCAAGTCACCGCATCATGACGTCCAAGGTTCTCCCAGCTCATCAATTCATGGAGGAGATGACACTTTTGGGTGAAGGATTTGCTAGTGAAATGCCGATACTCCAATTCCTCTGAGCCAGAAAGTATAAGTTTAGAATTCATTGGAAAAGAAAATTGGGCTCTTGCCAAACTAGGAAGAGATTCTTTCAAGGTTGCCCGTAAAAATATGCTGGAAAAGCGAACACCCGATTTCACTGCGTATGACTCTTCTGTTTTGCGCCGAGTCTCGAAACGCTACTTTACATGGATGAACAGTACCTGCTCTGTATTGCACATGAACTGAGACTATGAGGTATTGGAAAAATGCCAAACGAACGACAAGCACGCTACGAAATTTAAAATATTCAAATTGAAGACAGTCGTTGCAATTTCCTTATTATGGCCGTCTCCCAATCGACCGAATTACATGTAGCCTTTCATTCGGTTGAAGAAGCCATAAATTTGGTTAGTTATGCATCGAGACCACTCAGTTGTGTTTTTCCGGCAAACTGTTCAAAATTTGTTCATATGTAGATGAGATTCATCAAATTTGAAAGAACTTATGCCCTATGTATTTCGTTCATGGACGTTATACTACATATACAAACTTGCACTTCAGCACCTGAAACTCTTGCAACTTTAGTGAGAGGAGATCATGAGAAATTTTACGGAAAATTTTTGAAGTTGCCTAAAAGCTTCGAAATTGCAAGATCCTGGTCATAAAGGAGGTTGCTGTGTATGGGATCTTCGTGCTAAGTCAGATGAATTGATCTCGAACGATCTCGAATAGATCTCGAATGAATCTTGGTGAGATTCTCTCGCATGATTGCTCTCGTGACTCTCGATTAGAATACATTATTTAGCTACATCCTCTTCTGGCATTTCTCGTGCGTTGCATCTCTCGGTTATGACGTATCACCGAATCCCTACGAAAATTTCTACATTTTGAGTCAACTCGGGCCAACTCATTTTGACTCACTCGGCCGAAATTAGTTCGCGCGATGGGCGAACTCCACATAAAAGGAGCACATTCAGCAAACACATTATTATGGTTCTTTTTTATCTTAAAGTCAAGGCCGAGATGGCCAATGTGACAGATCTTGTACCAATGAATACTCCTGAGGATCCCTTTGAATTCCAATTTACTGTGACTTGCACCAAGTGTCGTCAACAGCACAATAAGCCAGTTACAATCAACACTTTTGAACAATACGACATTACGGGATCACGAGGAGAAGCCAGTTTCGTGTATCGGTGCAAAGAGTGTAAGAGTGAACACTCTGCAAGCATAAAAACCACCGGTAAAGCGTTGGTGGCAGATAATAATGATTGGGTGCGTATACTTGAAATAGATGCTAGAGGAGTTGATTTCAACGACTTTATACCAGATGGTAAATTTGCATGCGTGGGAGCGGAATCCGGAACCAAATTTACCGAGGTGGACTTGAGTGACAATGAATGGTATGATTACGACGACAAAGCTGGTGAAGAAGTGAGCATCACCGACATCCAATGGTCTGTTGCTAGAAACTGAACAATGAGCCATTGAGCCACCAGCTCGAGTCTTTGAGTAGTTTGAGAATAACTGGATTCTTACTTATGTATTCTGGGACATTAGAGCATTACTGCATCACTATTTATCCGAATCGTACTCTATGCGAGTCGGCAATCTCAGTGAAAACAAAATAGTGAAAATTATGCTTTGAATAAATACCCTAGCCCAAGCACCTTGGTGGTACCTTGGCGGTACCCCGTATTCACCGTCTACGTCTTCCCCGACCCAGTACGCCACTTCCACATCCCCATTGTACATCTCCCATTCTACTCCGAGCCGAGCCCCCACTACACCAGGCTTATCGGCTGTATCGGCACAGCAACCAAGTCCCTGCAGAAATAACCCTCCCTGACATTTGCGCTCTTTTGGTCTTGCATCAATTTCTCTTTCTATAGATAACATGCCTGTGGATTCAATTACCCAACCAATTGCTGATAAGGTCAAGTCCATTGGTAAGAGTGCCCTGGACTCGATCCCCGATAAGCCTAAAGGTGGAATTACCCTTTTTTCACCCGAGTATTATGCTGCTTGTACTCTTGGTGGAATTATTGCTTGTGGACCTACCCACTCGGCAGTGACTCCGTTGGATTTGGTCAAGTGTCGTCGTCAGGTGGACTCGTCAATCTACAAGTCCAATGTCCAAGGTTGGTCCAAGATTATGAAGACCTCAGGAGATTCCATTTTCACTGGTGTTGGTGCTACTTTCATTGGATATTCGTTTCAGGGTGCCGGAAAGTACGGGTTTTATGAATTTTTCAAGAAGACTTATTCTGATGCTGTTGGTCCCGAGTACGCTAACAAGTACAAGACGGGAGTCTTTTTGGCTGCTTCGGCATCGGCTGAATTTCTTGCAGACTTGGCATTATGTCCATTTGAGATGATCAAGGTGAAGACCCAGACGACAATTCCTCCTTATGCAACGTCGGTATTTGACGGTTGGAAGAAATTGGTGGCTGCGGAAGGTTATGGTGGTCTTTACAAGGGTTTGGTTCCACTTTGGTTTAGACAAGTGCCATATACCATGGTCAAATTTGCTTCGTTTGAAAAAACCGTCGAGCAAATCTACAAGTATTTGGGCAAACCAGCATCGAGCTACACTCCTATTCAACAGACTGGAGTATCATTTTTGGGTGGTTACATTGCCGGTATTTTCTGTGCTATAGTGTCGCACCCAGCTGATGTGATGGTGTCCAAGATCAACGCAGACAAGAAGCCTGATGAAAGTGTTGGCAAGGCATTGGGTCGGATTTACAACAAGATTGGATTTGCCGGGGTTTGGAACGGATTGCCTGTCAGAATTGTTATGATCGGTACTTTGACCGGATTCCAATGGCTCATCTATGATTCGTTCAAGGTGTACATTGGACTTCCAACCACCGGTGGTCACTAGCATAGATATACTTAGTGAATAATAAGGCAAAATTGGATTGTTATTACGTGGTGAGTGAAGTTTTTGACATGATATTAAAATGACGAAATTAGCCTATTGCTTCCACACGTTGCGGAACAAATCTTCGTCGAGAGCATTGTTCAATGCTGCTGCCCCTGATGTCGCAGGAGTCTGTTTCCATGTAGTGTCAGCCCAATCATTACCCCATCCAGCCTGGGATTGGGACTGTTGTGGCTGTTGCGATTGAGTTTTGGGGGTCTCGGAGTACACCAAACTGGACGAACTGGAGGTTGTAGCCCGAGGCTGTGATGGTGAAGCGCCTAAATTGAGTCCACTTAACGAGTTTGACAACGAGTATGGCTGTTTTCCAGTTAACGTTGGAGTTGAGTTGGATGGTGATGAATAGAGGGAAAGAATCGATTTTTTCAAGTCGGGACGCCCGTTAGAATTACTCCTTTCAGGTGGAGTCAGCATGGGAGAAGGCACAGCGTTATGGGAAGGAAGGGCGACAGGGGCCAGAGCTGCCAGGTTAACCCTTTGTACGGGCGGTTCCAGAGTTCCCTTCAGAGCCGTCGTTGCCGGCTTATTGCTGGTCACAAACGAGCCAAAGTCGTCCAAGAGAGATGCAGTGTGCGAGCTATCAGAGCCAGATGCGGATTTAGTGGCAAGTGGGGTGTCTAGAACACTCTTTTGATGGTTTTCATTGACCGATATCTGCTTGTTCACCGGCCCCATTTTGAGCGGATCGGGCACTTGTGGAGAAGAAGTCCATTTGCGTAGGTCATATTTGGTGCGAATGAAATTATCAATCTTCAGTTGGTCAGGAATATACCCTTCAGGTAGCTTGGCTTCCCAGTACATGTTGCATTTGGCATTACCCCATTTCACCATCAGCTCCACCTGTTCATCCGTCCAAGCATCCAAGTCGACAGATTTGACCTTGGATATGTGTGTACCCATCGATCTATGGATACCCGAACACCGTATACAAACAAAACATCCTAAATTCCACGACGCCCATCTAGGGTGAGCGGCAGTTTTGCAATCTGCACAAGTCTTATTAGCCGTTTCTTTAGAGAGCTGGCGTAGGATCTGCTTGTGGCGCTCGGAATGTGTCTTTTTGGACGACGGCAACGCGTGGTTCCTGCTGGAGCTCATGGATGATGGGAAATGGATCGTGATTCAGCGTTTGCTGGATTTCGACATATGGACTGCACGCAGCCGCGCGGCACGTGACGAAACCCTTCTTGGTTGGGATTTTCATTTTGTTCCAGGAAACTTTAAACATATCCTATATTGTGGTTAGTGGACTCTTTTTGGTTGATTGCTGGTTATTATGATGTCTGTTAGTTCTGGAAGCGAAAGACATCGATCACATCGTCTCCTTGACATCAGAGCTCATGATACACCCGATGACTTGTGGATGGTTATTCACAATAAAGTTTATAATGTAAGTTCTTTTGTTCTGGAACACCCTGGAGGTGTGGAAGTGTTGTTTGATTGCGGTGGCGTAGACGCAACCGAAGGATTTGACGATGTGGGTCACTCTGAACGAGCAGTGATGATGCTAGAACCGTACTATATTGGTGATGTTGCACCCGAAGATCAAAAACGAGGGTCTAGTTTAAGGAGCTCAGCACAGTCAAGGGAGCCGCTGGAAGGTACCGAAAAGACTGTAGGAAAGCAAATTAAGGAGAACGTTCATAATTTTGTGGGACCAAATCTTGCACTTTTATTGTTTGCGGCATTGGCAATTTCCTCCCTTGTATTATATTTGGGATTGCAAAGAACAAAGTTACCGAGGTGACAAGTTCCAAATGATGGACTCAACAGGTCTCTGGCCTAACTGGATGCATGTGTTCGCTGGATGCGAACTAGTATTTATTATAGACATTAAAATAATGAGCAAAAAATTAAGTGAGAGCTAAAAATTTTTAATTCAGGAAGCAGCTTGGTGATTCCTTCTTGAATCAACTTGCTTTGCAATCATTAAAAGTTGCAATTACCTAAATTGAAAAAAATAATCGTAGCCCGACGCGGGGGTCGAACCCGCAGCCTTTTGATCGCTTCTCTTGTATAAGAGTCAAACGCTCTACCGATTGAGCTAGCCAGGCCCGCTCTTGACAGAAAGGTGTTGCTAGTTCTTATGATCACACGATCTCAGTATATCTGAGAAGAAGTTGCTTGATTAGATACATATACTCTTACTGAAGAACTTCCATTTACCATTTATTTATGTATTAATGCTCAAGTAATGCTTTTAATTCGTTTTCGTCAAAAAGACTTCCTCCCGACTGCAATGTCTTGGCCAAGAGTACCAATGACTTGTCGGTGAAATCAGGTTTCTTACGAAGTTCGTCCAAATCCTCGCTAAAGCTGGACGCCATGAATTTCAAATACTCGTTCTCAAGGGTCTCTCTATCAGAGTTGATAGTTGACTTCGCAGCTTCCATGTCAATATTGCGATTATTTATTCCCTGGGTAGGGGCGGTGGTTGTGAGTTTGATCCTTTGAAGATGACGCTGTTGCTCTAAGGTTAATGGTTCAGGAGCTGTCGATTTCTTTGCGTCGTAAGTTGGTTCCTCAATGGTTTCTATTGCGGCTTCGGTTTCATTCTCATCGTTTTGTTTGGACTCATCCATATGAGTATCCTCGTCTGACAGTGAAGAAGAAGAAGATGAGGAGTCGGAAAAATCCTCTGTTCTTCTCTTCTTCCGTCTTCGCCTACCCTTCTTTTCCTTTATTTGTTCATTTGTGACCTGGGGAGCTGCCATTGCCAAGGTAATTTTTGTCGCGAATTCGCGATGAGATGCTCATAGTGGTGATGTATTGATTTTATGTAGAGACCCAATTGCACGCAAATTACTTCTTGGGCTTCTTTTTCTTGACCATTCCACTCAAGTCGTTAACAGCAGTCCGCTTGGCCTTGTTTGGGTCGGACTTCTCGCCTGTTTCGGAGGCTTCTCCAAGAATACCTTTGATTATATCCAATTTTTGTTCATCAAACTCTTCGGCTGGATCCTTGCGAAGATCCGCATATCTCTCTTTGAGCTCGTTCAAGAGCTCCAAGTTGTCCTTTTTCTTGGCTTCGTTCTTCTCTGTCTCATTTCGGCGCTCCACAGAAGCTATAGCAAGGCGCATCTGCTCGGCAGATTTAGCCCTCAGGTTTGGGTCTTCGACACAAAACTCCAAAGCCAACGAGAGCTTGTAGTGTGATTCAGACACCAATGCAGATAGTTGGGAGTCGTACAACTGCTCGCGCAACTCCAAACTCTTTTGTAAATCTGCCGCTGCCTGGGGGAAATTCTCAGATTCGAGCGACACCTCACCTAGTAAATCGTAGACTTCAGATAACTTTTTGGTTATTGTAACGTACTTGTTTTGTGGCTCTTCGCTATCCGTTGCAAGATATGGGGTTTTACTCGGTTTATCCAGGCATTTTTCAAGCTGCTGCTCAAAGAGCGATCTGGCAAGGTCCAAAATCTCCCACGCAACTTCAAAGTCACTCTGGTCTTCTTCTGGCTCGTTTTCCTTGTCTTCATTATCCGAGGTCTCTTGTTCCTCGTGGCCAATTGGCGCCGACGCGTCGTTGGTATCATCTTCTTCGGCCAATGGCGCGTCATCATGGAACTGAAAATTGCCTGCCTCGTCATTATCTTCTTTCTTTGGCTCGTCTTGCTGAGCTCCAACTCCACCGAACACCTCAGACCTCAGAACAGCGTTTTGGAACAATGCCTTGCCGTATAAATTCAAGAGATCAGCATCCTCTGCGCCATACTCAGAACTGTACGATTCACAGGCCTCACCATACTTCAAGGCCGCTTCCTCGAAATCTTTCTGAGCATATAGCTTGTTTGCATCTGCCACCAAGGCGTTTATCGTGCTTGAATATGCCATAATGAACAGAATGAACCAACGCGCAAGAGAGTAGGATAGTTCGCGCGGCTCTCCAGCTACTCGTATGCACTTTAACGGTCCGCGCTCGGTGGTGCGCCGTTATATAAGCATTATCTCATCAATCGATAAACACTATTGTTACAAGAATCAACACCAAAGCCAAAAATTAGCACAATTTGGCCGCTTTCCAATCCACAACTATACTGTCCATCCTTCCTTTGCTCATATCAGATTATATCATTACTCGCTTTACTCATTACCTAAACTGCTTGGGCTTTTGCTATGCCGCCAAAAAAATCGCTAAGAAGAAAACCACCACCAGACGTCGATGATTTGTACACCAAACAGCCTGCGGTGCCATTGCTGCCTCCGACTCTATACTCGAAGCCAAACAATGATCGTTGCGGTCCCATTGACCAAAAGTATACACACAGACTAGGTTACCCTACTGTGGATACATCAGTTTCATTTAATGCTGGAGATGATGATAGCTTTGACGAACTGATCATATGGGATAGCCCGAAACCAATGGGTCCTAAAGAACTCCCTGAATTCCTCGACGATTCAGAAGTTGATTCCTCACAACGATATTTGTCCTCCCACCAGAGACACCATGAACGGCCCCAACTTCCATACCCCATAGAAGACATACGACTAACAGAATCGTTTGACGAACCCATAGATCCATATTCCAGAACTTCGCAGATTATAGCTGACAGTTTGAATACACCTTCGAAGATTCCTCGGCTTCACGCTTCAGACTCGCTTCAGCGACCGACTTACGATTATTCAGTGGAAAGTACCCCCACGACATCCAGTGGCATGCTGGCACCTCAGAACATACTCACTCCTCAATCATCGTCTCGAAATTTGGGAGGCTCACCAACAACGCGATACGATCGCTCCCCATCTCCTAATCAAGTCTATGCTCGGTCACCATCATTGTTGTACAAGTATGAGGAAACTACACCTGGGTCTGATGGAACCGATCTGAATCTTTGGGAGGATTATGAAGTTGAAGGTGGCGAAGAGCTTACTTTGCACGATCGCACTTCTGCTTGGAGCTCTGTGGAAACCGATGGTCTTGGTTCTTCATTGATACAAGACTATTACTATGACGATGAATTTGATGACTTATACGACGATCCCGATACCCCTGCTACTAATTACTTTGACTACTCCATATTGCCCGACCTTCCAACGCCATCGCTGTCACCAACTAGTTCCCATCTTCGAAAACTGCCTACAAGACGTACTCTTGCCAAGAAAGATTCTCAATTTTCAATATCCCGCAAAAGGTTGGAAGAAGACTTACCTCCGGTTCCTCTTGATCTCCCAAGACTTCCATTCTCGTCGTCTTCTTTGGTAGCGCAACATCTTTCTCAATGTTCATCTGTTTGGTCGTTGAGTAGTGTTCACGAATGGTGTTTAAAATTGGAGACTTGGCTACACGATGAGTTCATTTCCAAAAAAGAGTTCAAAAAAGCACTTATCAAGTTGATTGTCTTTCATCGTCGCAACATTTCTTTAGACGTCGTTGGACGAAACGTCGACCAAATTATAACCGATTTCATATCTTCTGGGGCTGTCACCTTGGTAGCAAAAGATGGCTCTAGTGGCCCGAATGAGATGGGAGTAGTCATGCAACGTGGAGTGGCAGTCGGAGGGGTCTTGACGCAGCTTACAGATTGCTATTGCAGAGATAGAGATCACACGATTGATCCTCGAAGTAACAAAGATATATCTTCGGCTCCCAAGCTCAGGTGCTACTCATCAAAATGCCACTTGAACAATATAATTGCCCAAGAAACACTAATGAGAAATACCAAACTTGAAGACGTGGTACTAGAGCTTGATTGGGCTTCGCATTGGAAGTTGACAGCGGATGATCTTCGTTCCTTGGACAAATCGACAGCAAAGCGACAATCGCTCATTTTTGACCTATTAAGATACGAGCAAACATTCATTTTACGTGGTTTATGTTTCGTGGAAATCGTTGCACCTGAGTTTCTCAAAGCGACTAGGGTTCTACTTGGTGCCAACCGCTCAATAGTAGACAAGTTCCACGAGGAAGTCATCGCTCCTGGCTGGGAGGTAGTTCGCATACATAAAGAGGTCTTGTTTCAGCCATTGCTACGCATTTTGGTTGCGGAAGGTCGCTTCATCAAGAGCATTGATGAGATTTCTGCCATTTACAATGAGTGGGCAATAGCAGTAAAGAAGAGTTTGTTGCAGTACATGAGTGCATTGCCTATGATTGAGGACTTGATGCGGTACGAACCTATCAAACGATGGGTCGACGTGGAAGTTCGTAAGTTACCTCGTGTTCAAGATTTGCAAGTCAATGGACCTCTTTTATTCATCAGTACATTCAACTCACGGTACCAGCAACTTCCTTTGCAACTCAGTGATATCAAACTGTTGTATGACGAACAAGACTCGGAGTTCATTGCTTTGACTCAAGCTATTGAATCGGTGAAATTATTAGGTGCCAAAATCAATGATATGAAGATACATGCGGATAACATACATGCCCTTAAAAGGCTAAAAGTGGATCTACTTTGGAGGAAGGATGTCAAACAAGTGAACATCAATTTGAGTTCAGAAAACAGGCGTCTCATTCGCCGTGGAGATATTCAAAGAAGAGGGGAATTGAAGTTTAGTACTTCCACCAGTCACTTGATTTTGTTGGACAACTACCTATTTGTCACTGAACGGTCTAACCTGAAGGCGGGCATCAAATACAAAATTTCTGATAGCCCAATTCCAATCGAGTTACTTTTGTTCGAGACCAAAGAGAAAGACATAGACAAAAGTCGGAGAAACTCTCCTGTCCAGAATACGTTACAGGGTACCTCCCCCACCAATGAAGCAGAGGAGGATGCTTCCACTTATGCCTTTAAGGTTAGGTTTGCTGGAAGAAAGTATTCCACTTTCACCTTCATCGCTCGAAGTGAAGCAGAAAGAATGTTGTGGATAAATTCTTTCACTGAAGCCAAGTCCAATCTTTGCAGACGTCTCAGTCAATCTGCACCCTTTGAATTGATTCCAGTAGACATATCGAGTTTTAGCTATGACTCTGCAAAAAAGGTGACAAAATTGCAAGTTTGTGCTCCCGCTGATCCCTTGTATGATATGAGTCAGAAATCTCTTTCTCTCATACTGGGACAAGGACAAGAAGTAGGGTTTGGTGTGTCAGGGCAGATTCAGTGTTATACCAGCTTTCAACTTGGAAAGAGTTCCTTCAAATTGGCGGGTCTTTCGACTGGGCTTTATTACGCAGACAACGGTAATAGATGGAAGAGAATAATTTATGAGGACGTCACTGCTATATCTTGCATTCCCGAACTAAGAATTGTGATATTAATGGCAAACAAAATGTTAAAATACTATACCATGGATCTGATTTTATCGGTCTACTATGAACTGAGCAATAAGCTACCTTGTATTCAGCTTTCAAACGACACTGTTCAGTTCTTCGAAGTGGGAAAACATCGTGGTATGATTATGGTGTTTTATGCTAAGAAGAAGACCAGTTCCTCGAGCTCGACTAATTTCAAAGCGGTAATTCCTGAGATTGACAATGATGGTGTGTTCACTGGGTTTAAAGTGTTCAAAAGATTCTATGTCCAAGCCGAGTGTTTTGGTCTCTCAATATTCAACACCTCATTGGCAGTGCATACAAACAAGGGATTTGAAGTCTTGGAACTAGACAAGTTGCACCCACGTTCAGTGCCCGATATTCCAGGTACAGATGCAAGAAAAATAGACGGCTATAGCCGGCGATTGACGTCTAGTGCCCTGAGCATTGGCAGTAACGGTACCAATCATAGTATGGAGGTGATTAGAAAACACGTCACCTCGAGTTCCGCAAAGCCAATGGGAATGTTCAAGCTCAATAATAACTCTGAGTTTCTACTAGTGTACAACGATGGAGCCGTCTTCACCAATAAGCATGGCAAGATCTCACGTCCAGGAATGTTGCATTTCGACTTCAAAGCTCAGTCTGTGATGTTTTTCGACAACAACTTATTTTTAATTACTAGCGAGGTAGTTGAAGTTTGGTCGATAAGCGATTTTGTTCTGGGTTCAAATCGGTTAATTCAGGTTGTTACCGGCAAGGATGTGCGCTTAGTGGGCAAGGACCCTTACTGCGTATGTGCGGTGGCAAATCCTTTGGTACCCGGTATGCAATTGATGTTTGAACTCGAGCCGAAAGAGACTTTCATAGGTTAAGGTTGCAAGTCTAAGCCGCAGGGGGACCCTTATGGAGGAAATGGATTTCCTGCCGAGGTAGACTGCACAGCGGCCCCCGTCGGCATATAAATTGTGGGGTAGGCCGTGATTTGAAAATCATTCCTCCTCTTCAATTATGGTCGACTTCAACGTAAATGGTAAAGTAGCGGTCGTAACAGGCGGAACCCGTGGGTTGGGATTCTATTGCGCTGAGGCACTTGTTGAGAATGGCGCAGACACCGTTGTGATCACTTCTCGGAAAGCCGATGCCTGCGAACAAGCTAAAAAGGAATTGGAAAAATTAGCCGAATCAAAGGGTAAGAAGTGTAAGATCATTGCAATTCCATCGGATCTTGCTGACGAAAAGTCTTGTACCCACTTTTTTGAGGAAACTACCAAGCAAGTGTCTAAGGTAGACATCCTCATTGCCAATGCAGGTGCCAGTTGGGGTGCTCCCTTGGATGAACACCCAGTTTCCGCGGTAAAGAAAGTGTTACACTTGAATGTGGTTGCTGTTTTCCAAACGATTCAATTGTTCGCTCCATTGTTGGAAAAGAGTGGAACTGTCGAGGATCCTTCTCGAGTGCTCATTATGTCTTCTGTGGTGTCTTTGGTTGCTTCAGAGCCGGTGGGAACTTACGGTTACTTGGCTTCTAAAGCTGGTGTTTCTCACTTGGGTAAGAACTTGGCCGTTCAGCTCGGTCCTAAAAACATTCTCGTTAATTCTATGGCCCCTGGTTTCTTCCCATCCAAAATGTCCAACGGAATGCTTGAAATGGCAGGCGATATGATGATCGAGTCGAACCCCAGAAGAAGATTAGGGGTCAAGGAAGACATTAAGAGTGCTTGTATTTTCCTTTGTTCGAAGCAGTCAAACTACGTAAATGGTATTGTCTTGCCCATTGATGGTGGAGCACACTTGGCTGGTTTACCCAAGTTTTAGAGTATTGGAAATTACGTTTTTATCTTCTCTTTGTAGTCCCGTAAAAATTAATCGTTACGCTGAAAATTTTATATTATTATCTTTTGATACGATCGAGTCTTTATCGCTTTGGTTTTGACATCGATGTATGATTGCTTCAACCATTGAAATGCGTTGTGTTCACTTGCTAGAATAATAAACCTACAACCATTCAAGAAATCAATAATGTAGTCAATGCCCAACCTTCTGAAGTATCAATGTATTAATTTAGAAGAATTTGCAGATTTTTGAAATTTCATGCAAATGTTAGCTACAAAACGCAATTAGCAAATTAATTCAGATATATCTTCTACATCCAAATTCAAGTTGCTCAGGGCTTTCCAGTACATTCAGTGCACTAAAATAAAGTCAATTGTTTCGACTCGTTCATATCGAGTATTCAATATATTGAACATCGATTTCGGGTTCTGTGACCCCAGAAGTACCGGAAAGTCAGCAGCTGCTTCCGACATAAATCCGGAGATGGCATCCTTAGTTTGCATCCATTATGGAGAAATCATCCTATCTCGGTTAATGTCAACACCGCGTGCAAATTGGAATCATCGTAATCTTGACTTATCTATCAAGTGCAACTTTAGGATACCTTGCTAACAGATAAGATTTATGACTTTTCACCCAAGGAATACTGGATGTAAGCTAAACTAGGTGCATGCTTGATCGTTCGTTGTAATTTATAGATTTGAACAACCGGACAGTGATGAAGGTCTACGAATCGTTGCAAAACTTTAGTCTCAAAACGGGTGCATTGTTAAACTTTCTTATCGCTCCTTCTTGAATATGCAATGTAGTTCCAATTCCAGTCGAACCGAGCTTGGTCGCTTCTCAGTTTTGAAGGTCAGGGTCTTTCGGCGCGAATTTGGTCACTCGTCTGAGCGAAAATTCTGTGAACACAGTATCACTTTCTCACTTGTACCTTGATCCTGTGCAGTCCATCTCTATTCTAAATCTTGTCTCCTTCAGTATGGGCCAGGCGTCATCTCATGTGTTAGATAGCCTTATGGAGGGCACGAACTTCGACCGTGACGAGATAGATCGTCTACGGAAACGGTTTATGAAGCTTGATAGCGATGGTTCTGGCACCATAGACAAGCAAGAATTTTTGGCAATTCCAGGAATCCTGTCAAATCCTTTGGCATCAAGATTAATGGATGTGTTCGATGAAGATGGAAGCGGGACAATCGACTTTCAAGAGTTCATAACAGGGCTTTCTGCATTCAGCGGAAAAACGTCCAAAGTTGATAAGCTCAAATTTGCTTTCAAGATTTACGATATTGACCGTGATGGTTTTATTGGCAATGGAGAGTTGTTTATTGTGATGAAGATGATGGTGGGTAAAAACCTACAGGACGAAGAGCTTCAGCAAATAGTTGACAAGACTATCATGGAAGCAGATGAAGATGGTGACGGACGTCTTGATTTTGAAGAATTCAAGAAGGCAGTTGATTCTAAGTCAGTGGCTTCTGCATTGACACTCAACATGTTTTAAGTTGCCAAACTAAATTGGCTGAACACCAGCACCTGAACAGTGGCAGCCTGCAAGACAGAGGTCTTGGAGCACGAAAAAGACGCCTTTAAATTTTTATATTTGATGGTCGTTACGGACGCAGAATATGGAAGCCAGATACTTTACTAATCTAATTTACTTTCTTTCTTAAAGACTTCTTCGATACCTCCATAACGCTATAGTCATATAATATTACCTCTCGCTTGACCTCTTCTCGCCTCATCTAAGTCGTCATGCGATAAGAATGCGAAATAATTTCTTATCGTCTTTTAATGTTATGCGACCAGGGGCGTCCAATATCTTCGAATCAGTTAACCTAGCGTCTACTCTAGGGAGTATAAAGACTCCTATACATTCCCGTATTCCTGAATCTACATCCGGTACGTCTGAGGAAGATGAGTTGGATCCGGAAGATTTCCTTTCTCCACAGTCACCACAAGTTCGTCGAATGGAACTGTTTCCGAAAGATAATGGCCACACCGAAGAAATACCGTCCAAAGGGGCCAAAACCAATGTGAATGATATTTCTCAATCAAGCTCGAAATTTGAATCTAGCTTTTTCTCCCCAACTGCTTCGTTTAGTCTGGGAAATCTCACCATCTCTACCAATACTATAAGGGAAGACTCACCATCTGAACACATCCTAAGAAATAACGCACTAATTACGAGAGAGCTACACAAGAACATAAAACATCATAAAAGAGCTTTAATTAAGGGTGACACTAATCTTAATCGAATTCGAGAGTCAATCGCCCACAATTTTAAGCAGCTCTCAGAAAACCATTATGCATTATTAGAGATTTATACAAAGGAGAACTCTCGCCTTGAAAAACTCCTAGAAACGTTTTTAACTTGGGATCAGCGTCGTTCGGTCATTCTTGAGAAGATACAAAGTATAAAGGGCAGCGATAGCAGCGATGGCAGCAAACTCACGGTACTTTTGGATGAAAGCGCCTCAATTGACGAACAAATCTTACAGTTGGAGGCCCACATTGCAAAATTGAAAAGTAAAAAACAGGTTATTGCCTCCGAAATAGACATGACTACGTCTGTGCTAGAAAGCAAAACGTCAGTCCACGTTCAAGAGTTTCGCAATCTAGAAGCGGAAGTTCAAAAAGGAATATCAGAGGTTCTAACGGTAGATGGCCTTTCCGAATCGGCCCTCTCTTCTTTGGTTAAATTTGTACCTGTTGATGTCACCTTCTCGAAGTCATATAACCCTAGACCCAAGGTTCCCAACCCTATTATTGTCGAAAGAATACCAGCAGAGCTCAACGAAATAACCAAAAATACCACTAATGGAAATGGAGAACAAAGAACTCCACTTCACGGGAAACCGGAAGGAGATCATTCTATTTTAAATCATGAACATGGGCCAACTCCGTTTCAACGAGGATACTTCAAAGGAAGTAATCTGTCTGGACATATCAAGGCACAGTTGCAAAAGTTATTAGCTACCTGGGCATCTGAACGAAAAGAACCTACTCCAAATACCGAATCATGGGTCAGAATTGACGATTCCTCGAATACTATAAGTGAAAAGGTCGATTTAGGGCCCATCAAAGCACTTTTAGAATCGAAAATTGCCTCGTTCGAAGTTCAACGACAGTCTCATTCCTCGCAAGCCACAACATTCCATCATCACCACACTTTGTGGAGAGACTGCCTTGAGATATTGAGGGCACATGAGAAGAAATTGGAGTTGCAAATTCTGGAATCAACGAGTACCAACTTTGGCGAAAAGCAATTTGTTGGCATCATGACTTCGGCTTTGAACAGGGTGAACTCTGCAGTTGACTATACGTACAAGGAACATCCTGAAATTTTCACATCGAATGACCGCAAGCGAGGCTACGTGATTAGATGCCTACAGCATGAAGTTGAAGCAATCGTATCGGCACTCACGGTTGTTGATCTGCAAAATGACTACTCTCGGTTCCTCAATATGTTTAGAGGTTTGACTCTAGCAGATATGTCTAGCACGATCACTTCTACATCATCTTAACATACTCAAGTACTTCTTTGTAAGTGCTACTATATATTAATGAAAAGGTCCAGTCAGGCAATGCAGACGTTACTTGCGCCTCTTCCGATTATTAATAAATATACTTGGTGCTTGTTTGGGCTTAGGCTTAGGTAAAACTCCTGATGTTGTTGGTTTGATGTTTGAAGCGTTTCTTTCATCGCTCTGTATCAAATTTTCATTCTCTTTTGGGGGAGGGGGTTTAGAAACTGCAACGTATGGTTTCTTGATCGCGTTCATTGGGTCGCCTTGCATGGCTTCGGAACTATTTTTCTGCTTCTCTTGATTTTGATTGAAAATACTGCTTTTTAATTTCGGCTCTTGATTTGTATCGTGGGTCTTCGAAGTGATGGAGCTATCCATAACTGCTTTGTTCTTATCTACTATCGCTGTCGCCATTTGGTTCAGCAGCGGGTGAGCTGCTTTGACTTGCAGACTAGGTTCGGAGATCACGTCAGATTCAGAACGGTCGTTTGAAGATAACGTATTAGTTTTTGATGTATGTTGCCGTTGCGCTTTTTTTATTCCATTCACGCCGTGTTTCAAAAAGCCAGGTTGAGCCTTCGAGACAAGTCCCCTGTCTGAGGCGTCCTGCAAAAGGCGTGACCACACTTTATTCCTCATCAAGGACTTTTGGTTACCCAAAATCCATAATGTTGTCCGAGCTCTCGTTAAAGCAACATTCATTCTTCGCACATCACTCAAGAATCCAACATTTCCTGTTTCGCTAGCTCTCACACATGACATTATGATGATTTCTTTCTCTTGGCCCTGATAGCCATCCACTGTATTAAAATCAACTTCGTTCCAAATTTGTCGGCCGTACTTCTTTGCGAATATATCTTTGAGGGTTCTGATCTGCTCTTTATATGGTGATATAACTCCAATGCGGCCCCTAAACTCTTTAGGAGGTAACATGTACATAAGGTGATCAACCATTTCCAATACAACTTGAGCCTCGGCTCTGTTGTACAATGATCGTGAAGATTCATGTTGCTGATGCTTTCCCACAATATCAAAGAATCTGTAAGGGCTGAAAGGTACTTCAGAGTGCCAAGGACGAGTGTTCTTTTCGAGCATCCCGGCACCATCGTGCAATCTTGAACGATAAAATTCGGCACTTGGAAATCTCGAAATATCGGGGTGCATTCTATACTGGACATCTAATAGATAGGCACTGTCTGGAAACTGCTCTTGCATACGAACAAACAAACTTTTATCATAGTTCAATGATGCCGCTGTTTGAGATAGTACGGTAGGAGGTAATTGTTTGGGATCTCCAACCATGATACACTTGGTGCATCCATACCGCAAAGGTATTATGGCAGAAAGCTCAACACACTGACATGCTTCATCAATGATAACTTTTTCAAAGGTAATGCCCAAGCTTGCAAGAAAGTCGTGAGCGGAACCCGATAGGGTAGAACATATGATTTGTGAAGTGTTCAAAATCTTAGCCTGCAATTGCCTGCGCTCTAATTCACGAGATCTATAAGCTACTGCAGCATTTTCTCTTTGTTCGTCCAACTTCTTAGCGAGTTCGTTCCTCTTCTTATTAACTTCTCTGAGTCTCAGTTCCATTTGAGTGAATTCTTCGTCCAGTAGAGTTGTACTTTGTAACGATTGACGCAACGAGTCTCGTTCTTTGACTAATTTGGTGTGCTCCGCTCTCACTTCGGGGTCTCTCGCTACATGCTGAACAGTGGTCTGTAATTGCTTGTCGACCAATTCCTCCAATGTAAGGTCTCTAACAGCCGAATTCACAGCATCACTGCGGCCCAACCTCACCACAGAGGGGGTGATACGTTCGCCCTTAAAGTTAAAAACTCCATCACGAAGACGGACGACCAATTCATCAACAGCTGCGTTACTGGGCGCACATACTAGAATCTTGGAACTAGTTTGGGGCTTGCCCTGTTGACCGTCGACTTCAATTAATCCCAGAGGAACGTCTTGTGACAAATTGTATCCCACTATTCCAAGAATTGTTTTCGTTTTACCTGTTCCTGGCGGTCCTTGAATAAGAGAAAATCCACTTCGATTGTGCGTGCTTATTATTGCATTGGCCTGAGACTCGTTCACCTTATAATTGTTCATTACATCATTAAGCTTTTGCTTTGGAACCTCAATTGGTCCTGTGGGAAATGCACGAAGGATTGCTGGGCACAAATTATAGTACTCGAGACCTCTGAGAGACAGATACTCTCTTTCGATCGTTATCATTTGCATGACTTTCATTCCGATTACAACCGATTTTGGTGTAAGGACACCCATCATCGTACCTTGAGGAAAGACTCTTAATGTCACATCTGCGTAATCAGCATTTGCTGATTTTATTTCTCTCACCTTTGCAAGACAAGTGGTAGACTTGGAGCTTTTTATATGAGTGGCGAGCTCCTTCTCGGATCTTTGTAATGCGTTGTCCATGTAACTTAAGACAAGGAGATCGGAATCGGTAATTTTTCGATCATTTAAAACTTTCTTCTCGATTGAAGCGTACACATCAAAGAAACCGTCAACACTGGTTCTACTTCCCACTAACATCGGGAAAGGCAGTTCTTGACTTGTTTCCTTAGATGAAATTATACCCTGCCAGCACTCAAGCATCAAAAGTGGCTCCATCGCCTTCACATAGTCTTTGACATCCTCGTATTTGCCTTTGGTTTCCTTGTACCTTTCTGTGTCAGCGGTGGGGTATATATCAGATGATCCGAAGTTCCACTTCAATATCGTGGAATATAAAGGTTTGAGGTTCACGTTAAGACGCATTCTCATATTGTCTTCCTCTTTTCTCTTTTGGTCTACCTTGCTTAATTGAGAAGGTTTGACAACAGGTCGGCCATTGATATCTAGCTCCACTATCTTAGCCTTTTTCTTCTTTTCAACAAACAAATCAGAAACATCAACATCGTCATCATCGTCTCCGTCATCCTCGCTATCAGAATCTTTCTTTCTCTTGAGCGAGTTTAAAGACCTTCCAACCACTGGTTGTACCTTTCGAGGATTGAAACCTGCTTGACGGGGAGGGGCTACCACAGTAGGTTTTGAATTATGTGGCCTAACTTGCTGTGTTCTGTTTTCCAGCAAATCCTGGCGAATTGCTTCAAGACTTGCTGATTTGAATTGCGTTTGTGGAGGAGGTGGAGCAACAGGAGGCTGGGATGTAATGACCCCAAATTTGGTCAAAGACTGCTGTTTGGGGCCATTCATTTGGTAACCATATCTTGTTGGCACCTGAACACTCTCGGGGGTCGGAGAAGCCAGTGGTGTTTTTGACTTTAGTGGATTACCTTCCTTGCTTCTTTGCTTCTGTACATCAACTATAATAGATTCAACAAGATCATAGTTGAATTCTTTGGCTGTTGAAAGAATCTTTAAACGCTGTTGGTCACTGAGCTTGTTATTAAACTTTTTTGCTTTGGCTCCATATCTAGCAAAACTTTCAATAAAAGCGTCGTCAATAGAATATTGCAAATCTTTTGCTAATGCAAAGCCTTTGAAAACCAACTCAACACAAGAATTAAGAAGTGCCGGGTCACCAAGTCGTAACCACACTATCATGGAGTTAAAGGCATTAAAGAACACGGAAAACAAAGAGTTTCCCATTGACTCATTAATCGATTGAAGAACAAGCCTAAACGAGTCTAAAATTATGTGACTCAAGTCTAATGTGTCTCTTGCAAACTCAATGAGTTGATCCAAATGGTAAAAGTTTGCCCAGGCTAAGGTACGCTTGTATATCATTTCCAAAAAGAGCCAAGATGAGCTCCACAACTTACGGATATCACTGGCCCCACCTTCCTTCCCACCAGGATGGTTTGAAAAACTAAGGAGGTCGTTGAGAGGGTCAGTGAGAGCCTTGAATACGTCCATTAGTATTCTGACAGTCTTAGGACACGACTCAAAAGCTTCAAGCTGCGCTAGCTTGCTTAAGTTGGTCGAAACGGCATTCAAAGTCTGTGAAATACTACATGTTAAAAGGGCTTGAATGGCTTCAAAGCGACCTCCCACACCCACGTCAAAACATCTCGTATAGGATATTAACAGCAGATGCTGACAACAGAGACGAGAAAAGGCAGGACCAGAAACCTGCTTGAGCATTCGTGTTGTTGAATATGGCACGTAGTTCATTCTGATCAGCCAAACTTGCCGTTTCGAGAAACCTGCGTACGTAGGAATTATACTCTTCCACCTGATTATTATGCTTGTGTCTGAAAGCCAAGAACTCTTTGTTTCTTGTGTTCTCTTGTTTCTTTTCCTCAAAACGTACAATCTGACAGGTATTGTTAAAGGCTCCAAGCCACGCGCCTATTAATTCAGGATGCAAATAGATTTTTCTTTCGACGGCCAGTCTGATCACTTCCATAAACGAGTCCGAATAAGTCGGGGTCTGCTGCAGTTGAATCAATTTACTGTTAACTGACAAACGACGACAATCATAAGATATAGAATCAAAAACCAATTGACGAGGAATAGAGTGGATCTTGCCATCAAATGCATCCCCTAGTACAATGACAGACAAGCGTGTGATTGTGTTAGCGTGCTCATCAATTGCAGCTCTAACGTCTCGTCTTTTGACTAAGTCTGCTGTAGCTAAGTCTAGTTTCAGCTGCGAAGGAGTACTTGCGCCCTTGAGATTCTCGCGTAGAATATAACATGCCATGAAGGGAAGTAATATTGAGCTAGGATTTATGCTCACTTCTGGCCTCCATGTTAAAATGTCCGGTGAATGTTTGAATAAGAACTTGCTTAGTCTTATTGATGCAGTTTGATATTGTATGCCTGTTAATGAATCCAAGAAAGGAAGAAGCCAGTTGACAGCCAGTCCCGATACTCTATTTTCCGTTGTATCAAACAGTACTGGCTGAGAACCAAGGTATTCAATGTAGTGAGGATTGACCAAGAGGGTATCAAGAATATTGATGAAAATGTATGGTTTGATACTCTCCCAAAACTCACATTTGAGCATGGATAATAGTTGCAGGAAAACCTTTAGAAGTATTGGAATAGGTTCATTGAGTTGTGCAAGTAAGTTGTTAGTGAACACTCGAAGTAATGGATAGAGTCGTATGTTTATGTGCTGACTCATGACTTCAATATCGTAAGGCGTGTTCCATTCAAGTAGTAATGATGATGGAGACAAGATGGGGATAAGTGCCAGACATAGCATCCAAAACTGAACGCAAAACTTTGGTGTGAAGTATTTTGCATCTTGTATCTTGTACAAATGCTTGCTGAATTCTCCAACAACCAAGCGACTCAACAGGTCTTCTGTATAAATGCGGCACTCTTTGGTTTTTAAAGATTCTAGCCATTCAAATGCCCACTTCTGTTCAAGCTCGGTGCCTTCTAATGCCAAGAATATAGTTCCAGACAACAAATGAGATGGAAAGTCCAAAATGTCATGATCCTGTAAATGCTGGAAAAGTTTCAGAAAATTCTGCTTCAAGCTTTGGTGAGATCTTATAAGATCAGGGCATATGAGACACTCAGATATCCCATTGAATGGAAGGTCCAGGACAATAGTGTCTTTAAAAAAGAAAGTGATTTTGTCCTCTAGAGTCTTAGCCCGCCACGATAGTATCACATCAAGAAAGTGATGGACTTGCTTTACAGAAATAGCCCTTTTAATTAAAAAATCATGTCTCAATTGACTGATCCCTTCGTAAAATGCCACAGCACATTTCTCACATGAGGTTATGTATTCGGAGAACTTTGGCTTCAACCACTGAAGAACATTATTGTCTGTGAATGAGAATAAGATAAGGGCGTGAACTGCCATACGGTTCATATGGGGATCACAAAACCAATGTACGTTGTCTTGGTTGGTATATAAGTAGTTTACACAAGCTTTCAAAACGTTCTCTTGAAGAGCGCTGTTGGTAGCATCTTTATGAGAGTTTTCGATTTGATCTACCAACCCATCATAGCCCTCAGGCTTAGTGGAGTCATGCATGAGTGCTGGTGCACAAATTACTGAGAATAAAGTCTTCGCGCGTCTTCTGCTACTAATCGAAACTCCTATATGGAGGACGCAAAAGTTGCAAAAAACTAAAACTTTTACTATGTAGGTTCAGGAACAAAGTAGATAGACAACGTTGCCGAAATCTATAACAATGTAAGGTCTATATCTAAGTCCTTGGATGCTTGCATCCACGTATCTCCCGTTTCCCAGCAACGGTTCATTATCTGAAGACTTTTCGCTGCGTTGGTATTCCCTGTCTTTGCCATGTTCGTAAACCTCGTCTCAAACATATTTCGTGCTTGTGGATCCAAGGTGTCACATGCTGCACAAAAGAAACAGAAGATGGAGCAAGTTTCGGCAGTGGACCTGGGTTCGATTTTTTCGTCCAAGATTATGGCAATACTTCCCGTTAGCTTTTGTATTATCGTGGATTTTCGAGGAATCAATAATGCCCGCCGGTAAAGATTGAGCAACGCCATTTCACAGAACACCTTGTTTGTGCAACGGAGAATCATATGTTGATCTATAAGCTTTTTGATTGTTTTGAGATGTCGTTTGTTGCTCTTGTCGTCATCGTTATCCTTGATTATATCTATGGTGACATCTCTTCTTCTTTCTCCAACCTCGTACGATCTCAATATTCTGTCTCGCAACTCAGATGCTCTTGTAATGATCAGGATGGGTAGATTGCCTTCCCCATTTTCTTGAACGTAAGACTCGGTCTCTCTAATAAGTAAAACAACATCTGAAAAAAGTGGAAGGAATTTGACGTCAAATCCAAGAAGATGGTCTATGTCTCGCTTGGGATCCAACGGGATGTGGTCTGTATCCTCCTCAGTTTCGTCAGCAAGTCTTGTCCCGTCGTCCATATAATTTCTCGTGGTGAGGTAGTTGTGGGAATTTTTTGTGGCAGATAATGCACCAATAACATCCAAGTATACGAACCATCTCATCAAGAAAAATGCAATGTCACTTTCTTGGCCAACTACCAGTCCTGGAGAATCTGCACTTGAATCAGATTCTGGGCTGCTACCTTCTTCGATTCGTGGTAAAATAAGTCTGCGAGCCTTAACAATCTGTCTGGCCCCAACAGTGTGAGCTCTGGAACGCTCAAAATTAATTGAGTTGAAGGCTTCATAACTCGAAAGCATCAATACCGTAGCAAGGGTGCCGTCAGAAGTGGCCTCCTTCTTGTCCTTTAACAGCTTTAAGAGCTCATTGCATGAGCGAGCCAAAAGTTGATCTATAATAACCTGCGGCACATCTCGAATTCCAGTTAACAGTGCCTTTGCAGATGCTGAAAATGCTAAAAGAGTGGTGAGAATTGCGGGATACTCCATGGCCATTTGAGGAAGAATAACTTTGAATGGATTGTCCAAATAGACATGGGATGGTGCAGGGACCAAATGCAGTGAAGCAAAATGAACCCAAAAATGCATAAGGCTTCTGTAAAATGGCACTTGAAGTAGCAATTCGGGAAATGGAGTCAAGGGAGGTGGGACCTGTGAAAATACTTCAGCTGGGGTGAAAGCGTGCGCTAGCAGAAGAGACTCATTTCCTTGGTTGAATTCATCTAGAGGGTACAGAGAGCCGTCCAATTCTTCGATCTTATCCTCTGTATCATCGTAGGCTCTTTTCCGAGTTCCTCCACGGAGAATGGTTCTCAATTCTCCCAGAAAGTCTGGAGTAAAGTTGGACGGTGACTTGGGTATGAATGCTTCGATTTTGGCCAAGTCCTGGGAGTAGCTATTGAAATCGTATGCCTCGATTTGTTCTGTATTGCTGATGCCTGAGTCTGTTGGGTCAGTATCAGAAATGCCAGGTGTGGGACTTCTCTCTTCGAAGTTTTGAATGTAGTTATTGAGCATGCTGGAGTGACGAATGTTAAATTGGTGACTACGTCCGGATATTCGGTTAAGCGCATTGCTCAAAACTTCAACTCCATCTGAAATTTCCGGAAGTGATTCCACGAGAGACGACAGTATCGACATGGGAAAGTCACTAACTTGCAGCGTGATAGAGTTTGTGGTCTGCATTTCTTGGTAGATGTTGTTGTGATCACTGAGTGCTTGGTCACTACCAGACATGTTTTGTTGAAGGGTGGACTCATCAAATTGTTTGAACAAGTTGTCGTCCCCAGTACCACCCATTGACGATTCGGGAAAGAAAGGAGGAAGTTCTCGAGTTTCTTTCTTGATTTTCTGTTGCTTGGCAGGAGGTGGAGGCAAAACATGGGGCCCTACGGTGTCCCTCGTGGCCAGTTCCTGAGGTGAATAGGTTGTAAATGGCAGTGAATCGACCGGGCTTCGGTAGTCCATAATTTTGAACGGATCATATCGGCCCTTCGGAGTATTTCCAAAGTCTTTTAAGCTGGTGGACGAATCAGATACACTTTCAAACTGAGGACTTCCATCATAGGTCTGTGAGTTTCCGATATGTAGACCATTGGTAGTTTGGAAGTTTTGAGTCTGGGATTGAGGCTCTGTTTTGATTGTCGTTTTTTTCTTTTCAGACTTGAACGGACGCCCGCCCCAAGTCAATTTCAATGAATAGTCACAGGTAACTTTCGATTTGGCACAATTGGAGCATTTTGGTTTTTCTTCATCACACTTGATCTTGAGCCTTTTGCAGTTATGACATCCTTTTCTGGATCGTGTGATTTTTTTCGTTTCCTTAGCACGCATTTTTAAATCAAGTAATTAGCATCAATATCCCTGAGACGAATCATACTCTTCAGTGCTTCGGTGGTGATGGAAGGCACCTCTGAGTGCCCGTTGATAAGGGTTATATGTAGGAAACGCTGCATGCGGCGACGCACCCACCTTCCTAAATAGGCATTGCCGCAGGTCTACAACGATACACGAACCCGCTTAAATATTTAAAGTATAGCTAATAGTCTCGGTCAAGTAACCCTCCTTCCTTACGCTCTGTGTCCTTGGTCGCATACTTTTTGCCAAAAAGTATTTTTAGCAATTTTTCATAAAGACGGAATAGGTATCCCGCGACGATAAATACCCCACCGATAATGGTAGCGAGGCGAGCCACAAACAGGGTGAACGGTATCCGTTTATCCGACACTATCAATTTTATAGCCTCGAACTCGTATTTGAAAAAAATTCCTGGCACGCCTTGGATACGACCGTTGGTGTTGAGCTCATATTTGCGGTGCAGCTCGGTGATGGAATATTGGTTGGTATCTACTTGTAATCCCATACGTTCGTAAAGTGTAGGCACCACCTTTGCGTAGTACTTGTACGCTTGAAAGTGGTCGTCAGTGGTTTTTCCGGTGAAATCAAGAGGATTTTTGATCAATGGGTAGAATTCACCAAACGAAAACTCCGCTATAATATGGGAAAAATTGAGAGCTTGCGGATCTACATGTGCCCGATCTCGGTATCCCATGCCCTTAGCGGTAATATGAAAGTCTCCACTGACTTGGTTGACAGGAATTGAGCCAAAAATATGGCATGCAGGCGCCGACTCGGCTTCATGATAACCTTCTCTATCGAATTCATACCGACCTGCTTCTAGCATTATTTCTTCCAATTCTGGTGTTTCGTAATCGGTGGTTGCGTCGTTCATACGGATTAAATCCGGCACGAAAAAATAACTTCCTTGAAAATTCAACACTTCGCTTGCAAGAAATCGGTCATCGGTGATGTCCATGACATTGGTATGAAGAAATTCACACGGCATCGCCACCTTCATATCCAAATTTATACGCAAGTCTGAACGAACTTGGTCGTCTACGACGAACTGATGGTCAACATAGCCGCCAAGAAAGCCTCCTATTTGCACCCACATCACGAATAAAATGAAGACTACGGTCATGATTGTGGATAGCCCACCTCTTTGAGACCGAACAGCATGCTGTGAGTTGAGCTTCGGAAACGCGTCAAACGTTTTTACCCTAGTCGAGAAGGCGTCCATGTCAATTCGTCCAGTTTCGCTCCGAAATCTGCTGTGCTGTTTTCGCAGGAATTTGAGCTGGTGAGAATGTTCCTGCATGCCTACAGTGATCTGGAGAAATTCATCCTTGCTCCACATCGCCATGAATAATGACACCCATCGATGCATTTTCGGAAGACGAAAACATCCAGGAGCTTCAGTCATTGGTAGCAATATACCCTAGCACCAAGATCGATTTTGGTCAAAAGCTGGGCTCTCTAGAGATTCCTATCCAGTGTGATGATGAGGTTCAAGTTCAAGTAAAGGTCTTGGCCTCAAACCAAACTGTCCGCACAGCTGAAGTGAAGCACTTACCTGCTGTGATATTTCTGTTCAGTCTTCCTGAAACTTATCCTCATGAACTGCCCCCGAAATTCCTGGTCACTTGCTCGACTCTCTCATCTGACATATTACAAATGCTTCTGACAGAACTATACAATTTATGGGAGATGTACCATGACCAGGTTATTTACAGTATGATTGATCTTTTGAACTCCAAACTCGACTCTCAACTAGATATCATGATTCCAGAGCTCAAAATTGACTGTGGGACCGACGAACAACGTTATCATGAATTCGAAGAATATAACCGATTGAAAAGCATGGATGTATTCAATTCGAACACATATTTGTGCCAGATTTGTCAAAATGACATCAAAGGAATCAACTGCTCGAGGTTTGACGACTGTAACCATATATTTTGTAATGCTTGTCTTGAGGACTTTTTCAAGAGTCTCATTCTTGAGGGTGCAATTGAAAAAGTACACTGTCCGGATTTCAGGTGCACTAGCAAGTCCGTCAAAGACCGAGACCAGCTCTTACGGCTTGACTCTCCGTTCAGCTCCAATTTTGAAATTTTCAAGAACAAAGTTCTTAAACCTCCAATATCAATTGAACAACTTTCTCGCATATTGAATTCCGATGCATTGACATCACGATATCAAGAACTATTTACCAAGCATCAATACGACGTCATAACCAAGCTATTTCCGAAAAGACTCATCCAGTGCCCAAGAACTGGCTGCTCAGAGCAGATATTCAGAGAAAACGTTAGTGACCCACTAGTAAGGTGTAAGCGATGCAAATACGCTTTTTGCAGCGACTGTCAGCATTCTTGGCATGGATCCTACAAAAGTTGCTCTTCGAAAGTTGTTGGAAAGTACGCTGGAATTCCAGTTGAGGCGCTAGATCAATGGCTCGAAATGTCAGACGATTCAATTGGTAAACGTAAGTTGGGATACCAATACGGCCGTGCCCTAATGAAAAAAACAGCAGATGAATACTTGATGGACCGCTTGTTAGATGACATGATAAATGACGGGTCTCTGGGCCTTCATCGCTGTCCAACTTGTGGCTTGATCATTGAACGATTAGACGGTTGCAACAAAATGTGCTGCTCTTCATGTAGAACCTTCTTCTGCAACTTGTGCGGATGTTATCTAGATCATGGTGATCCGTATGGTCATTTTCGTGATCCTCGGAGCTCTTGCTACCGAAAGTTGTTCGAGGGAATGCCTGGAGTGGACTAAAACTTCATTCTCGAAGTAGACATTTACTTGTGCGATATGAAAAATAAATAACGAAAAGTTAGATCTAGTCATGTTTTGGTTGCCTGGGTGGGCGAGAGTATCGGAAACACTCTCTGGTAAGTCTTCGTCTTCTGAAATCGAATTGCTCATCCTTGTTTTCAATCATATCTTCGTTGTCGTACATCCACCCTTCATCTTCATCCTCTTTGATCACAAACATATTCAATTTATCCCACGACCTTTCTTTTAAGAAGTTTTGAGGTTCTTTGTCAACATGCCAGTTATCAGCATAACTCATATCAAATTTCCAGTCTGGAGGAGGAAGTATTTTGTATAAGTGGTTTACGCCTTGAGGCTTCTTGCCAGCACTTCTAGTGGAATTCTTGACGTCGAAAGCGCTGCTGGTGAAACAATAAAAGGACCATTCATTCTTTGTCAAACTCTTCACTTGTAGCTCGAAAATTTCACAGATTCTCACTTCAGGAGCATCGTCTATGATGATATCATTCCTGTCATATACTGCGGGCCCATCTTCATCTTTCTCTTCTTTCACTTTTTTCGGTTTAGCTGCTGCTTTTCTCTTCTTGTTCTCGCTCAAAGCCTTCAAATACTTTTTACTTCGTGGGTGACAAACTAGCACAATTGCCCAGCCCGACTGGATGAAGATGAGTCTCCAAGGAATAAACGTTCCTAAGAACAATATAATTGAAGTGGCCAAAATAACTCCATAGAACATGAATGTCGACAACCTCTCGTCCTTGAATCCTGCCGTTTGGTACCAAAATACTTCGGCAGCATCAAAACCTTGGAGTAAATCTGTGGTGAGATTTTGCAAGTCTCTCATATTCATCAAAAGCTTCATCTGAGACTTGACGTACCGAGCCTTCTCATCTTTTTTCACCTTTTCGTTGACATCGCTCGAAGAAGTCGAGAGAGCGGACGCAGATATTGGTGCCTGGGTAAATGCTGAAGAGGTGTCAGACGACCTTGAGCTGACTGGATCAAGATCGTTTTCTGCGCTTCGAAGAGTGCGGTCTTCAACTATATCGTCAACGATACTGGTCTCGTCCGAGGAAGAAAGAAACTCGAGAAGAGACTGACCCCGTTTTCTTACCTTGATCAACTCTGGAGTTTGCATAGGGTGACGATGAATGTAGCCCGGAATCATGATACCAAACAACAAGAATAGAAGAGGATAAGCAAGGACGAGATGAGGCCATAAGCATGTAGCCGTGTAGAATACAAGAAACGTGAGTGTTTTGGAAGGGTGTCTCCAAGTGATTATATGGATCAATCCATATTGGACGGTAAAGAACCCTGTCATCCGGCCACTAAGTGCTTTGAAATTGCCAGCAATTACCAGTATTGACAAGCCGGGACGGTTCTTTCGATCAGGATCATTCACTCGTTGCAGCAAAAGTTCACTGTCTGGGGTGTCCATGGCAATATTATTCTTGAGTAATCGTTCCATCAACTTGTCCACAAAATGGCCCAGACCTCTCTTTCCTTTCGAGTCTTCCGACGCAGAAGATGCCAATTCCTTGAGATTATCGAGCTCTTCTTCCGTATAAGGCACTCCTTCGGTGCTGTTCTCAGGAACTTTACCATCCTTTAATCGCTCCAATCCGACTTCGAGCATAGCAGCGGCTGTGGTGGCAGCAACACCTCGATTTTGTCCTGGATGCTTTTCTGCTATACTGTTGGTATAGTCGTACATCTTGGAAAGCATCCGTGAAGTTTTTTCACGATAGTAGCTTTCTTTCTCCATTTTGAATAATTAGGAACAGCAATCGGATGAAATGTCAAAATGTGGGGGAGTGCGAACATGTGAAGAGGAGGCAGGAAAGCGAACAGTGGAAAGAAATTTAGTCAGTAGTAGATACAAGTATATATATGGAAGGAACGATGGATAAGAAAACGAAATATGCATTGGCGAGCTTTATTCACATATATCTCAAAAACTATATCCTTTGATGCAATTGTAAGAAGTCGTCTTCAACCAACTGATTGGCATCTGCTCGTTCTTTTGGATCCCAGTTGAAGATTCGTTTCAAGAATTTTATAAAATGGTGTGCTTGCCTTCTTTCTGTAGTGGAATTGAGCTTCAATTGGACATCCAAATTCTTTGAACTAGGTCGAACATTCTTCTTAACACCATGGTTATTTGCAGCCACTTGGAGCCTCATGTTAAGAAATTGTAGATTCAATCTTCCATCTGTATCAAACAAGGTGAAGAGCAAGCTCTTGGAGATTGTAGAGTCGCTAGCAAGGGTACTCGTTGGACGTCGGTTGCTATGCTTTTTTTTTGCAACCACTTGCAATTGCTGGATATATTTCCTACCCGGGGTTCCCAACGTCTCTACAATCAATGCAAATTGTTCCAACTCGTTCTTTCCCAGAAAGAGTGGTGCTCCAGTATAAAGCTCAACTGCAACACAACCAAACGACCAGAGATCAATCAGGGTAGAATATTCAGCCCCCATGATCACTTCTGGGGCCCGATAATAACGCGATTGTATGTAGGTATGCGATACTTCATTATGGTAGCATGAAGAGCCAAAATCAATGATCTTTACGCAAAGATCATCTTTTGTAACTGGGCGATCAGGGTCAAAATCGAATGGTAGCTTCATCATGATGTTCTCGGGCTTGATATCACAATGAATGATTTTCTGCAGATGGATGAAAGCCAAACCACTGGCGATCTTCAGTGAAATCATGCTGACAAGATCAAGCGACATTCCTGCAAAATTGATCATTTCTAGTAAAGAAAACAAGTTGAGCGAAAGAATTTCACTGACGATACACATGTGGCCCCTGAAGTGGAAGTGGTCAAAGTATTGGAGTATGTTATCGGAAGGTTTGTTTTTGTTCAAGTTTTTCAAGATTTTAATCTCACAAACTGCCTGCAAAGTCCATTCGAGGCTGTTTTTTATGACCTTGATGGCAACTTGTTTAGGAGCCTTGCCGGCATATTTGTGATCTTTGCATAGCACCACATTACCAAACGAGCCTGTTCCCAACACCTTGCCGACTTCGTATCGGTAATTGATATGATCACCTTCATGAAGGTTATAATTACCCTGTTTATCATCAAACCCAAAGTTCTCTTTTCCATTGCGAATATTGAACTGCTTTTCTTTTGAGGTTGGTGCAATATAGTAGACAGAACTCTGCCTCAATATCTCGCCTTTCTCATAGATTCCCAATTCCGCAGCAATCGTTTGGACCTGAAGAGGTGCTTGCTCTGTATACTCAGGCTCATCGCTGGCAGCAAACAATTGGGGATTCTTATGGTAGATATTGTGGTATAGTTCTGTTAGATCTTTGAGTTTTGGTTTCGGTAGGGAAGTCTGATCGGGAATGGATGAGTGCCTTGAGGAGGATCTGGGAATATACAGCTTCAAAGGGGTCGATGAAGAACGAGATCTGGGCAACGTTCGTGGAAGTTTATGCTGTTGTGTGCTGTCTCTCGTGAAAGAGACTTTGGTAGTTTCCATTGGCAGATTGATGCTGAATTTGGAGGTTGGCACTGGAATGTGGTAATTGGTGATATCCGCAGGCGGCATCAGTTTTCCAGAAACTACTCTTTTGCGAAGTCGTGAGTCCTGCGAGCGCCTGGCTCCAAACGGTATTCGTTTCTTATGCTGGACTTGTAGCTGTGGTTTCGTTTCCATAGATGGGGTAGGCGATGCTGATTTGAAGGTTTGCGAAGCTTTGAATGCATTGGAAGTGGATAATACGTTTCTTTTCATTGCAGAGGACGAAGTTTCTTTCATGAAAGAAAACAGATGAAAATCCTCGTTCTGTTTGGTTTTCTCTCCTGGAGTATGTCCCGTTTCAGATACCTTCATAGTGGGTCTGGATGGAGTATTGGCAGACCCAGGCTTGCTAGGTGTCAATGGTGCAAGTGAAGCATTCTTGCTTCGACCTGATGTACTTCTGGCTTCAGCACGCTTGGCTGTGGAGAGAAATGGTTCTTTGGAAGGGGTTAGTTGACGTGCTGGTGTAACATGAGGTTGTGTATACGGTGGTAGTTTTTTCTTTGGTGATCGTCGAGCTATAGGAGTCAGAAATGGAGTTGGTTTTCGTAATTGCAGATTGTTTCCCAACCCGATATCGATCTTCGCTAGCCTCTCTTCAAGGTTGGGAGACGACTTTGGCATAGTGATACAAGGTGGGTATGATAGAACTCACGGTGCTCGGATGTGGAGATCCAAAGAAAAATATTTGGTGTTTGGATATTTCAATGCGGTGATTTTCATTGTCGGTCGTCAAAGCAGAGCCATGGATTACAAGGACGCATCCAAATACGGGCTTCGGGACTTGCTCTTGGTGCTCCAATTGTTACACTCGAATGGGTTTCTTGACTTAGAACAAATGAAAGCCAGTCCAGAAAAAGTAGCGGCACTCGGCCAAGAGTGGTTCAACCATAAAAGTACGAGGCTCTCGGTCGTACAAGAGGGAAGACAGTATAAACGGCCACCTACGAGTGAAGAACTTATCGCACTTTACGAGCAATTGCTTCAGAAATACGAAGATTGCACCAATACCACTGAGCTCGCCTATGCGGTCTATTATGCCCGTATGGAACAACTAGAAAAAACCATTCAAGACCGCCAACAGGAAGCGGCTCATATACTCGCTGATATTGGCGGATGAAGCACCAATTGGCAATTTTGGTGGGTCAGATCTCCAGCTCCTGTACCTGGAGATGCTCCGTTTTCCTGTACTTGGAAATGTTCGCTGGGGTGGTTGTCTGCAGTATGTTCCTCGGTTCCCCACATCATTAATTTACCGGCGCACAGCGAATACAACTACCGATCGTCCACTGGTTTCGGAGTGGCGTTTTTGGCTCATATTTCACAACAAAGCTGTGTCATCATGTCAGGTCCACCTCAGAACTCTATAGCGTTATCCATGTACAATGTGTACAGGAGTAACAGGTCACTTGTGTTGAACTCATCCTATATCATTTTGATCACGGCGGCGTTTTCCGGTGCTACCAACACAGGCGGTAGAAATAAACGCAAATCAAATGCTCCAGAGGAGGTGAATTTGTCCAAAAAGCCTCCTAAGATTTCACGAGAAGCTGCTCGCCGTCTTTTCAAATCGGCTATACCCTCTTATACAGATACAGCGATGCAATACCTTTACGTTCATTTGGTGTTATTGGTTGTTAGGGCGTTCTTAACGATCAAAGTTGCCAGTTTGGATGGTATGTTGGTTGGTGCCTTGGTTTCAAAACGTTTAAAACGGTTTGGTCAATTGCTTGCGTACTGGATGTTGCTCGGGATTCCAGCGTCGGTGGTCAATTCCATGTTATCTTGGACGAAGGATAACTTTCGCAAGAATTTGCGTATCAACATGACGAATAGCATAGTTGAGGACTACCTTCCAGATAACCTTGACCCAAACTACTATTCGCTCATCCAATTATCCGATAACAAGATAAAGGACCCAGATCAGCGTATTTCGACCGACGTTTCTCGCTTGGCAGCAGCTCTTGCTTCGTTGCCAGGACAGCTTTTGAAACCTACTTTGGACATGCTTCTCTGTGCCAGAGAGTTATCAAAAAGCGGTGTCGGTTCCGGTGAAGGTACTCTTGCCTTGGGTATTTTGACTCACTTTTCTACCATTATTTTGCGGTTCTTTTCTCCACCATTTGCCAAATTGGCAGCAGAAAGGGCTAATTTGGAAGGTCAGCTCCGTTCTGCACATTCCAAGATTGTCACCAACAACGAAGAAATTGCACTTTTGCGGGGTCATTCTCGTGAGTTGGACTACATTGATTTCTGCTACTATCAATTGGAAAGGTTCCTGAAAATGGAATATTGGAAGAAAGCGGTGCATGAAATTGCACAAACATTCATCGTGAAGTACTTCTGGGGAGCAGCCGGTTTGGTCCTCTGTTCAGCACCTGTTTTCATCAACAAATACATGGGGAAAGAGCCTGATGTGAATGCTTCGGCAGACTTCATCACCAACAGAAGATTATTGATGAGTGCTTCAGACTCTCTCGATAGGTTGATATACTCAAGAAGGTATCTTTTGCAAATAGTTGGACATGCAACCAGAGTTTCCGATTTCCAAGATGTGCTACATGAGATAAAAGTTAAGAAGAGCGGTGTTAGTGGAGACCTTACCAATGCCAAAAATGTTCAATTCGGCGACGAAATCACATTCAAGGATGTGAGGTTGGTTACTCCCGCAGATGTCACCTTAATTGAGAGACTTAACTTCAGTATCAAGCATGGACAACACTTGTTGATTGCAGGACCAAATGGTTCTGGAAAATCATCATTGTTCAGAATGCTTGGAGGTTTATGGCCTTGTAAGGAAGGTGAGATCACAATTCCCACTTCAGAGAACATGTTTTACTTGCCTCAAAGGGCATACATGTGCAATGGAAATCTTCTCGAACAGATCATATACCCACACACGGTTGAGCAGTATACCGCAGCTCAAGAGAAGGGCGGCAAGGATGATGGTGACTTGGAAGAAATACTTCAGATTTTGGAGTTGGATGAGTTGCTCAATGGTTTGCGTCCATTATATGCTTCGAGAAATTGGGAAGAAGAGTTGTCTGTCGGGGCACAGCAGAGATTGGCAATGGCAAGATTATACTACCATCAGCCCAAGTTTGCTGTTTTGGACGAGTGTACTTCTGCAGTGTCGCCAAAGATGGAACAATTCATGTACAAACACGCACAAGAAATGGGTATTTCACTCTTGTCGGTTGCTCATAGACCAGCATTGTGGCATTTCCATAATTACTTGCTCAAGTTTGACGGAAAAGGTGGGTACTTTTTCGGCGAATTGGATGCCACCCGTAGACTCAAATTTGAGGAGGAGCGGTTGGTATTGGAGAAAAACTTGAGAGATGTTCCTACATTGAGGGATCGTTTGCATGAGTTGAAGAAGGTTAGTAACGCACAACATTTGCGTTATGACAATTCGCACAAGAATTTGACTGATTTAGCGAAGCCTCAGTTAACCTCGAAGTAGGTAGCTTATTTATATCGCTATAGAAGTTTCATAGTTATACGTTATTATGACAGCGAGAGTTAAGCAGGGTATTTTCAGTAAATCTATTTTGTGCGAGCTGCGAAAAAAAGAATGTACATTTGCAAGGTTTCAAGCTATGGAAAAGTAATACGAATTGGCTACAGGCTACTCTCCACCCGATCTGGCGGCGTTCTAGTAGTCTCTATTGGAAACCCAGAACCCCAATACAAGGATACAAGGCATAACGTTGGTCATTGGATAATTAATGAATTGCATAGAAATAATGTTCCAATTGAATACGGGCCGTGGGCAGATGACAAGACATTCGGTGGAGAGATTAGCACTTCTAGTGATGGGAATGTCGTCTTGGCAAGGTCAATTGGTTCTTATATGAATACCCAAGGAAAACCAGTTTCTAAAATAACTCAACGATATGGAAAAGACAAGACCTTGTTGGTTGTACACGATGAGCTACAAAAAGATCTTGGAAAATTACAGCTTCGTGGACCAGGTACAAGTGCTAGAGGACACAATGGGCTAAAGTCAATTGATAGTGCCATGGGGAACAAATATACCAAACTCTCAGTGGGTATTGGACGACCAAATAAAGGTCAAAAGGAGGTATCAGACTACGTATTGTCAAAGTTTACCACAAGTGAAAGAGCTGAGCTCGAAAAAGTCTTAGAGAAGGCTTCTGTGCTTGTCAGCCAAGTGATAAACGATAGCATAAATCACAAGTGAAAGGTCGAGAGGTGGACTTTGTTATAGAAAGGATGCTCTAATCTGAGTAAATGTGGAAAAATCACAATAGTATGCCTTGTAGATAGCACTGATTGTATTTTCGTCATATTCTTACCGCTTTTCATGTAACTGACTCTAAGTCATGTTCAGCCTTAGCCTTCCCCATATTGCTTGTCTGCAGGTAGATAAGATCAGCCCAACAGTCACAAACACGCTAATATATCTATGCATTTCCTGTTGCAGATGACGGCGGACCGATCGGTGGTCAGGGAGTCACTAAAGGGTAAGTTATATAGTTAGATATCCTGCTTTCGTTTACTAACTTTTAGGAGTACTTTGGACCATCTTTTTCCATCGTTTATTTGGACCCATAGTTCCCACTAGTCACGAGTTTCTAGATATATCATATCCCATGGCCGAGGGTCTTCCAGAACTAGATGGAATGATGGATGAAAAGATCAATGAGTTAGTCAAAAGCCTAAAGCCGGAAACATCTACAAGACTACCGACAATAGTGGTGCTGTTTCTTGATAAGGACCCCTTCAAATCCAAGAAAAAGTCGGGACTGGTTTGGTCAAACCAAATCCCACAGGAAGACTTAAAGCTATGGGAGCAATGGACCAATCAAGCGTAAACTGTGTGTTCAACGACCGTGATAGTCCAAATACCTAAACCACTCGCAATTGACTGGAACCTCAAGACTTGAAAGTATCCGAGCCAATCCATTTGAGTCCACATTGACCAAAATTATAGACTATGTGGATACCAACAAGCATCATATACCCCCAATAACCTCACTTGAGAGTTGCCCCTTTCCTTATACTATAGAAGTGTGGCCCAATGGTGACCAGGAGTCCACCGACCCACATCAACCACCACATCACCCTGACGATACATGGGGAAATTACATCAAGAAAATGCTTGACTAATCTGTAAGTAGCATGTACAATCTTAAAGTACGTAAAATAAATCATAAGTTAGCACTATAAAGGCCCTCCTCTCCTCTGACCAAGATACATTCGTCCTCATATACAACCCTGTCGAACAAGCCGATCTGTTCACTAACAGCTATCACCTCTCTGTCGTAGCTTCCCGGTTGGAACCATAATCCTTTTATGGCATTTTTGTATCCTTCCACAGTTGAAAGTTGCTTGAGGGTACTAGCTGTGACCGAAGGTGGGGTCAAGAAAGAAATACTTACTCCGTCAACTTGTGATAATTTATGCTCACCAACATCTTTTGCCTCAATCACCAGCTTGAGAACCTCCTCTGCCGATGGGATCACTTCTTTTCCGAGGATCTCTTTCTCTTTTGGGTTCACTGGAATGACAGGAAGATCATGAGCAACGTACCACAGGGTAATTTTGAACCCAAATTTGCTAGGGTTGTTGGAGGCACCCGATACTACATACTGTCTGGCTGCTCCAAAGAAGTTTTTGATTCTGGGTTTCATAGACATGGTACGCTTAGTGATCGCATGTGGAATCCGGGGAATACGTCGTATGCAGTCGAATGCATATGCAGAAATGCAAATGATTCGCCTATCTGAACAATGGTATCAAAAAAAGAAGACAAAAAAAGGTGATGCAATCAGTTTGCTCAGAGAAATCGAGTCTTCACCTACTGAATCTTTACCTACTGATTCCTGGTTGTAGCATTCTTTGTCCGTTTTCCTCCGGTATTATTCCTGCACATGGCCTCATCTCAGATACGGCGCCCAAGCGCTCAATGACGTTTTCGAAGCCACCACAACGAGATTACTGTGGACGGTAACCAGTCACCAAAATGGCTAAGGAGAAACGCACCAAGCCATGTGCCAGCTGCAAAAAGTCTAAAGTCAAATGTATATATGATCGAACGCTTCCGTGTGAACGGTGCATAAAAAATGGCCATGCCTATAATTGTCAATTTACCCCAAAACTTCCCTCGTTAAAATTACCACTGATTGCTCCTCCTCCCACCGCACTGACCTCCAATGGTATCCCGTCTTATAATCAGTACCGAAACATTCAACCTGCCCCACAAGATGTGCGTTTCATGTTATCACCACCATTCGTAAATGGACAAGTTCCAGTAATGACGAACAACAACAGCTCGTTTGGTCAGCAGCCTAATCAGACTCCACAAGCGCTGGTCCAGCCACAGACTCACAACAACCATCTTAACCAAAATGATGTACATTTACCGGCACGACCCATGGGCCAAATAGAGAGCCAAATAAACCAGAGCCAAATAAACCAAAGCCAGGTAAACCAAGGCCAGTGGAATAATCAAGTCGAAGGCCGAATAGACTCATTGGACTCGAAACTCAGTGACTTGGTTGATATAATGAAGTCAAACCAGCGGCTATTGCTCGAAAACCAAGCTCAATACCATACCCTTAGTTCCAATTTAGAGCATCAGAGACGTCAAAATGATGATGAGCTACAGCGCAGACAAATAAAGAGCCTGCAAAAGAAACGAGCTTTGGAAAATGTACCCCAAGACATAAAAAAGCCTCGCTTAGAAGTTCCAGATGATTTTAGAGGCGGATATCTCACTTTAGACAACGCCAGGGACCTATTCAGCTTCTTCGACGCCCATATATCGCAACAGCTATTTGGTTTCGAGATCTCGAAATTCCAGGTAGATAATATCTGGGAAACATCGCCGATCCTTGTATGCGCAATATGTACAATAGCCTCCATGCATCATCCTAATGAGAGCCTATCCAAGAAGCTGGCTCAACTTCAAGTTTATCTCCGACAGCTTTGCAGTGACTCCTTTTTCAGAGCTAAATCAGGTAACGAGATGGATATTTTCAATACCATTGTTGCCTTGGTGCTCTGTAGCTTCTGGCTTTCAGAGTCACAAATGTTTACTGGCCTCGCATTGCAACTCGCAAAGGAAATACAATTGGATTCACCGGTGGCTAGAAAATCCTCTTCAAACCTGATGCTAGGAGAAAATGACAGAATCAAGCTTTGGTACTTGTTATATGTCCTTGATGGACAGCAAAGTTTGACTTTCAATCGTCAACCGATTGTGAATGCTCAAGAATATTCGCTCAAAAATAGTAGGAAAATATTACTCGAGCCCAAGAAAGCTATTAAAGCGTCACTAAAGTCGATCAAAGACAGTGATGTCAGAGAAGAGTCACAGGAAGTGCATTCCCTGTTCACAGACCTAAGGCTTGTTTCCCAGGTGGAATACAACCAAGCCCTCAATGAAGCCTTCAGAGGTTCTGCATGGGATCTTCTTGCACCGTCATCTTTTGGTATACCGTCCAAAAGCAATTTAGAATTGGACAAGTGGATGGTTTCGTGGACAGTGCTCTTGTCTCCTGCAAATCATGGCTCTGTGTGGTCATCGAAGTCCACTCTTATATACTACAATTTTGCCAAGATGCACATAAACTCTCTTTCGGAGAAAAATCTTAAGGTGGATGCGGGAGATTCAAGGCAAATGCTTCCAAAATGGGTGGGTTCGCTACAAACTGGAAGAAATTTCAAAAAAATTACACCGGTTCAGTCTACTGGAACAGATGACTCTTCAGACGATAGCGAAGACGAAGAGTTCATCTCCAACAAAGGATTTGTGTCTGAAGACGAAGCGGCGGTCAGTCGAAGTATTGCTATGAATGCGGCACAGACGGTATTGAATTTAGTGTTGAACGACAAAGATATTCATGAGAACCTCAAATATGTGCCAGTGCATATTCATATCATGCTTTATTATGCGGCTCTATTGTTGTTGAGTCCAGAGATGGAGAGTTCCTCTGCTGCCACGAATTCCGAAGAATCTTTTGCCAAGACTATCGCAAACTTGCGGACGGTGCGATCTTTACAACGCAAGATATACCAAAACTTGCCCACGGATAAGGTGTTTGGCGACCGTATAGTAAAGAGTTTGGAAGACATATTTACCGAAAAGTCGACCAGCCTTTCTCAAAAGATACTTGAAGAATCAGACCTTTCTCAAGAAATCAAAGAAAATTTAAAAATGCAGTTGTCACAATTAAATGAGCTGAGTTCAAATTCCACGGCAATACCAGATGTATATGACACATCAAGTAGTGCTGGGTCGAGCCCAGCTCCAGAAAAGATATCTGCTTGGCCTGGCTCGCATCATGGCCATCCATAGCATTTCATTATAATGTAAAATTTAGACAATTTGCAAAATTATGTAATTTCACATTAGTGAGACCCAATTTGGAATTTTGCACCCATTTGTACTCACAATCAACTACTGTATTTTTCACCCCAAAAAAAATGGATTTGGGACTGATCTCTTCATTGATAGAGCTGTTGCGGAAAGCAGAATCTCCGGTAAAGAGCTCGATCTGTGCCATTGGTACCAAGGCGGCACTTCAATTCAAAAAAAAGTGGGTTGAAGATGCAATTATCGATGAAGAATATGATGATTTGAAACTAAGAATCAACTGTATGGAGAAAAATTTGAAAGAATTGGTCAGACACATTGATGCGTATTGTATCAATTTCGACGAATTGTTGCAAACATCGAGGAAGATAGGTGAATCAGCTAAAGCTGTGTTTGATCCGTATCACAGTTTGTCCAAGTCAACTCTAACTAAACTAGGTGAATATCAGTCTATCGAGAGGTCCTCCCTCTTTCTGTCTCAAACTAAGTGCCTTCAATTTGGCAATGGATATGCCCTGTGGGCCCGCTCTTCTGATCTTGCTGATATTAGTGAGCGAATCCACAAACGTAATCAAAAAGAACTTGATTTTGTTCGGGAAGTTGTTACTACTAAAGCACTGGAAGCACAAAAATATATTGACAGCATAGGCAAAACCATGAAAAACCGCCAGTCAATTCTCACTCAGTACAGTAGAACCACATTTGAATTGAATGACTTGCTTAAGAAGAAGGAGGCCAACCAGCTCAGTCTAAAGCAATCGCAACAGCTTTTCAGTCAAGAAAGGAAAGCTGAAATGCTACTTCAAGACTACGAGGCTGTCAACTTCACCCTAAAGTCGACAATGCCAAAACTTCTTCAGCTTAATGATGAGCTTACGACAACATTGCAACAAATGGTATATTATCTTCAGTTGACTATCTTCTATCAAGTCGATTTGCAGTTGACAAGCCTAGAAGAAGTGTTCAAGGTTACAAACGGCGACAGTGATCCGCAGGTTGGTCTCTCCACATTGACAAGGGAAATTGATGGTTTTAAAATTGTCAATCGATATCTGAATGCAAAATCTTCGGCGTCTCCAGATAAGAAAGATCAATCAACGGAAGTATGCATTGCACTCTATGATTTTGAGGCTCAACAAGATGGTGATCTTACAATCAAGAAGGGCGACCGAGTCAAGCTCCTTGACAAGGGTAAGGGATGGTGGAAAGGAGAGCTTGATGGTAAAGTTGGACTTTTTCCTCATAATTACGTGAAGCTCGTCGCCAGCTCCTGAAGGATATCACGAATCGTTCGACAACTCTAGGTATGAAGATTCCCACTTTCTAGCACACATTCCACTGCAAAATTCACGCTTTATTGGAATGTCTTTATTTTGCAAGATATCCCACCATTCATATGCTTCAGCCGCAGGATCGACCACTATCAAATCACATTCACTACATGTTTCCTCATACTGTCCCCTCGATATAGCCTTAGTAAGTAATGAATGATGTATATGAGGAGTATTCTTTTTCCATACTTTGGTCTCATGGTAAGACACATCGTACTTGGCGATGGTATTTAAGCAAAAAGTTCTCAAAGTAGGAATCAGCGATTTGTTCTTGAGGTAACGCACTGGTGTGACGTACTTGATCATCTTGACGGGGTTAAGGGTAGAAGTAGTTATGGAAATAGCATCCTCGGGTATTTTGATATATGGATTTGGGCCAGCACGAAATGTGTGTAGGTTTTCGAGCTCCAATATTTGTCGAGGGAGGAAAGATAGTCTGTTGGTACCGAGGTATAAGTCAGTGAGGTTCTTGAGTCGTTTCACCAATGGGGGAATGCTATGTATCTTGTTTTGACGTAGACCGAGGACATTAAGCCTACGAAAGTCAAATAATGCTGGGGGTAGGAACGTTATTGAGTTGTTTGTGAGGTAAAGCTGAAATGAGATTTGTGTGGTGGGTTCGGAATTAAAGATAACCAAGTTATCAAAGTCTTTGATTTCCTCAGGTATATCAACAAGATTCATACTTTCGAGATTTATTGTGGTATTGATGTCTTCGAAGCAAGCCATTATGATGTCGCGTGCCCTATCATGGGAGTTCCTTCTCAATTCTAGTGCTGCTTCGTCTGCTTCACTTGATTGGAACTGTTGAATTGAAGGGTTTTTGAACCTATTGAAGCGATCAATACCAAAATCGGCATCCGAACTGAGGTTTCGTGCTTTCAGTGGTGACTGGCTCATTCTCGCCCAATACTGATCATCTCGGTGCTCCCTACTGGGTGAGCTAGGAAGAATGGGATCGGTACCTGTGGTCATATCCAAGTCGGAACCAAAGTTATCAAGGGGCTCAATTGGAGGGCTACTTGGAAGAAATGTGGATGGAACCTTTGTTGGGCGCTTGAAAACTCTTTTTGGAACCTGGTTCCCTTCCAGATATTCATCTATCTCGTCCACCATAGTTGTTTCGCTCCCTTCCATTTCTTCCAGATCATTTATATCCCGTCTTTTCACATCATCCTTTTCATTGAAACTGGCTCCCATCTTTCTTTTCAACATTGGGATCGAAACATGCTCGGGAAGTTCCCGCCTCACCCTGTTACTTGTTCTTGTGTGATACATACTCGTGGCATTTTCGTCAATTATGGCCCTATCTCGTGGTTCTGTATTGAGTGGTACCTCCTCAGAAACCGAGGAAGTGTATGCAAAAGGAAGGAGTGACCTTTGGCTCATAAGGTGTGGAAGCAAGTAATATCGAAGACGTGTTTTTCACCAAGCCCGGATCGGCCGCACAAGACTTAAAAAAAATAGGTCGTACCCGGATTCGAACCGGGGTTGTTCGGATCAAAACCGAAAGTGATAACCACTACACTATACAACCGAATTGTGTTTACTCTACTGGACCTGGTATTCAAGAGCGATCATTTGGGACCACCGCAGTTGTGCTCAACTTGATGAACTGATGTAGGCAACCTTTGTTGAAATATGTATTATGATTGAGCGTACTCTGACTTACTCTTAAATTTCCTATATTACACTTGTTGGCTACTTTTTCTTTTTTGCAACCATTTCCAACTCTTTTGAAGAGTAGTAATGTGGGGCTGCTTCCCGGAGCCATTCGTCATCGATGGTCATGCAGTTTCTCATGAACTCCTTACTGGTCAAGACAAGTTCATGGTATAATATAAGCTTGGGAGGTGGCTTTAGCTTGTATACAACGGATGAGGGATGTATACTTACCGTTTGATTCTTTTTTATAGTCTTGAAAGAATCTCCCATTTTTGACAAACGAGCAACATTTGTGAAAAATCCAGAAACTATAGCCTTTTGGATACGTAATGTTTGCTCTTCTGGTGCTAGATCCACAGGCTCGTCAGACTCGTCGAACATCCCGGCATGATAGCATAAACGCTCTAATTGTTCTCTGACTTCTTTTGTTCTTTTGAGAGTTTTGTATTGCACAAAGTTGTCCTGACACCATTGATTAGAGTATCCAGTATCTTTCCATTGATTCCACAAATTAAGCAACATCAAATGATCCCCTTGGGGCTCCGCAAAACTTTCCTTTCTTGAATCAGCCTGCTCCTTTTTGTCTTTTGGCCTATAAAAAAGGTTAGAGCTTTCGCCCAAGATGGCCACCACCGAGAGTATCTGGCTAATTACCTTGAGATCTGAGCCAGTTATGAGACTCTTGGTAAACTTGGGACTTATAGGAAACTTTGCCATTAATCTTCCTGTCTTAGTTAAAGAGCCAGAGGAATTGAGAGCTCCAAGTGCATACAACAATTCAAGCGACTTGATAAGTGCATTCGAACTGGGAGGGTCCATGAAATCAAAGTTGACTAGATCGGTAATTCCCAACGACAAGAGCAAAAGAACGATTTGAGTCAAGTCTGCTCTTAAAATCTCCGGCGTGGGGTTTAGTTGAAGCTCATTATCAAACGACCATTTGGTGTAAAGCCGAAAGCATTTTCCAGGCCCTACTCTTCCAGCTCTACCAGCTCGTTGGTTTGCCGAAGCGCGAGAACATGGAACAACCACCAACGACTCCATACCTGTAGCAGGATTGAATACGTTTTCCTTGACATATCCGGGATCTATGACGTACGAAATACCATCGATGGTAATGGAAGTTTCGGCAATATTCGTTGCAAGAACCACTTTACGGCAGTCTGGAGGGGTGGGCTCAAAGATCTTGCTTTGGAGCTCAGAGGGTAAGTTGGCATAAATGGGACAGACAATTAATTTTTTTATCAGCGAGCCTAGTCGCTCGCATGCTTCATCGATGCTCTCTTGCATAGTTTCAATCTCATCTTGGCCCGTCAAAAACACAAGAATATCACCAGGACCCTGTGTTGTGTGGATCTGGAACACAGTTGTCATGGCCGCTTGGATATAATTTGCTTCTGGGCTCTTTGTAAAGTGGATATCCACGGGGAAGCGACGACCAGGAACATTAAAAATAGGCGCATTGTCGAAGAATTGGGAAAACTTTTCGGCATTAATTGTAGCAGAAGCCACAATGACTTTGAGATTTTTTCTGACTTTTGTTATATCTTTCAACAAACTCAAAATCACCTCAGTGGAAATTGTTCTTTCGTGGGCTTCATCGATCATCAACGCACTATAAGAAGAAAGCTCAGGATCCGTCATAAACTCACGTAGGAGCATACCATCTGTCAAGTACTGAAGTACTGTTTTCTCACTTGTAAGAGCTTCAAATCTCATACTGTAACCAACCTCTTCTCCAAGACGAGCACCCATTTCCTCAGCCACTCTTTTGGCAACAGACATAGCTGCAACTCTTCTTGGTTGAGTACACCCAACTTTCAATATCTTTCCATCTTTCAGCGTATAACCTGCTTCATGAAGATACTGTGGGAGCTGGGTTGTTTTACCCGAACCTGTCTCTCCAACAACAACTATAATTTGATTAGCTTCCACGAGATCGAGAAACTCTTTTCTATAACGATATACTGGTAAGGATTTGCGGACCTCCAGAATGGTATCTGGTACACCACTTGGTTCAGAAACCTCGTCAGAACCAGGATCGTCAACTTCTATATCACCAAAATCGACATGCTGAGAACGATCAAATACGTATTCATAATTGTCATTGTCTGCAACTTGAATTGAATCGCCAGCTCCCACCATTTGCTGCGCTCTCTCTAGTTGTTTAGACTCCCATTCGTTGTCGTATTTGTTACGTTTCTGAGGATGAACATACGATTCATCGTAGCCAGACTTGGCATGCAATGCTTCGTTGGTTCGCTTTGCGTCTAGTCGTCCATTATCGTCAATGTAGCTTGCTGGCATGTTATAAGCCTGAACCGGCTCGGCATCATCAAGCTCTAGTAATATTTCAAGGGTACGTTTCTTCTTCTTGTATTCTTTCTCTTCGTAAGCTGAAAGGCGTTTCGTTTCATAAATCTCAATTTCCTGCTTGAGCTCTTCAATTTTGGCAGCACGTCTCTGAACAAGATAGCGGCGCCTGGAAGCTTCACGTTGCAGTGCTGACTTTGGTTCACTTTGAAAAGTCACTCCAGGATTTGGTTTCGATGAAGTATCTTGTTCCTCGTTATTCTTCTCTAAACTATCTTGTTCCTCATTAGTCTTCCCTGAACTATCTTGCTCCTCTTTATTCCTCTCCTCATCTTCCCAGCTTCCTCGTTTCCTCCTCGTCGCCTGCCCCGTCTGTATATTATCCATAGCTACACTCGAGTTGTCGCGCTCATCTCATCACCGGTCGTGCGTCTCTTATCTCACCTCTTCGCATCTTGCACAATCATCTCGAGATGGCCTCTAAGATCCCCTCTAGAATCATTCCTCTGAAGAACGATTCCTTCTTCAGTCCAGGACCCGAGGAAAGAGAAAAGGGAGCGTACATTCCTCCATGGACAGAACCGTACATTATTGGCGTGGCAGGTAATTCAGGCTCGGGAAAGACATCGGTGTCACAACGAATCATTCAGGAATTGAACCAGCCTTGGACTGTGATTCTCTCCTTTGACAACTTCTACAAGGATTTGAATCCCGAGGAACGTGAAAGAGCATTTAAAAACCAATATGACTTCGATGAGCCAGCATCGTTCGATCTCGATTCTTTGGTAGAGACGGTGAAGTCACTCAGAGCCGGCAAAAAGACACAGATTCCGGTGTATTCGTTCAAAAACCATGCAAGAACAAAGAAGGTGACGACAATCTACGGTGCAAATGTCATTATCATCGAAGGTATAATGGCTCTTTACGATTCTCGACTCACCGATCTTATGGATCTTAAAGTGTATGTCGATACCGATTTGGATGTTTGCCTAGCGCGGCGGCTCACGAGAGATACATTGTTTCGTGGGAGAGACCCTAGTGGAGTCATGGATCAATGGGAAGGTTTTGTCAAGCCCAATGCAGTTAGATATGTCAACCCTACCATGAACCAAGCCGATATAATTATTCCAAGAGGATTGGAAAATACAAAGGCAATTGATCTCATGATTCAGCATGTTCAGAAACAGCTTGGAAAGAAATCTGTGTTGCATTTGCAGCGGTTGACGGAGTTGGGAATCAAGCAAGAATTTAACCTTGAAAAACACCCAAATGTCAAATTGATACCAAATAATAACCACACCTTGGGTATCAATTCCATTTTATTTAATGTTGAAACAGAGAGAACAGACTTTATTTTCTACTTTGAACGAATTTCCATCCTCATCATCGAAGCTGCGTTGGATGACTTGACTGCTTATGAACCAAAGGAAGTCACCACTGCTACCAACTACAAATTCAATGGAATCAAGCACATTGGTGAGGTGGTAGCCGTCAACATTATTCGACTGGGGGACTGTTTTATGACTGCTATCAAAAAGACATTTCCCGAAATTTCCATTGGAAAATTGTTAATTCAGTCTGATTCTCTTACAGGAGAACCTCAATTGCATACGGAATCATTACCTAAAGACCTATACAAGATAAGCAATGGCCGGGTATTATTGTGTGATGCCCAGGTGATTAGTGGGGCAGCAGCGATTATGGCAATTCAAGTACTTATTGACCACCAGGTACCTCAAGAAAACATTATTCTTTGTACCTACTTGTGTACTGAGTTAGGAATGCGGAGAATATTACGAGTTTTCCCCGGAATTAACATGGTAATTGGCAAATTGAGTGAATTGGATATGGGTGAAACACCAAAGGATTATAATCCAGAAGGATTCAAGGATATCCATAGACCATTCAGAAAGAGATGGATCGACAAGGTTTATTTTGGAACATGAAGGTATTACGTGCTTCTCGGTGGAGAAAATCGAAGAGCCACTGAGTGTCGCCTTTGGTGATGATTGTGTTGAGGAGACAAACGGTTGCAATCAGGAGGTGAGTTGAACCCGTCAAACTCACATATGGAATATCTTCGCTGGTGTTCATTACTTTGGTCTTTTGCAGAGTGTTCTTCGTGGTCTTGTACACTAAGTGAAGGGCATGAAGAACGTCGATATATAGTGGTATTCAACTGAATATTTTCAGCTTTTGGAGATGATTCAGAAGAGTCGACTAAGAAGGCATTGGCAGGACATTTAGGGTCACTGGGTTCATCTATTTCCACTGCGAGACTGAATTTGCGAGACATAATATTTAAGGTGTGAAAATCTTGTAGAGTATAATTTGAAAAAATATCCACATTTTATAATCCTGCAACGTAAAGTATTAGGAGGATTAATTGCGCCCTGCAGGGGGCGTATCATCTCCGCATCAAAATCATGTTATCACTGTAGAGGCATGCAGGCTAAGTACGTTTTGAGCGACGCGATGTGCAGCATTCCCTTTGCCATGATTGCTGAACGCGAAAATTTAACGTACTGGGGATGACGTTGGAGCAATCTAGCATGAAAGATAAACAAACACCAAGTCGTCATGATTCTTGCGTTGCTGCTCTAAGAACAAAATTTTCATTGTTGACTAATAACTCTGCTTGCTGCAAATCTTGCTGCGAAAACGTTGCTGCATGATCAAAATAATGCAAATATGCAGCAAATATGCAGCAAGAATGCAAACGAGGATGCAGCAACAATTAAATGATGCAACAACAGATCATTCCACACAAATGGCTGCAAATCCCATCTTTTCATGCGCAAATCATGGTGTCGATCTCACACTCCTATTTTTTCGATTATAAATCTGGGGTAACTCCGCATGCGCCTCTTTGCTTTAAACGGCATCATACTGCAAATAGTATGTAATCGTGTCATCACATACCGAAAAAGTAACCATGCCATTCACACTCATTAGAAAACTCATTCACCCCACATTCATCACATATCTTCGCACACTTCTGCCTACACGGCGCTCTTGACTCTGTTCGCTGCCGCACCCCAAACCTCTCCGGCATTTAATTCCCGTTCGCGAACTTAAAGATAACAGCTGAGTCGGCATTTAGGGTAATGAGAACTGTTCGTGGAGCTACGAATCTAGTAACCAAAGTTTTCCAGAGATGCATTTCGTTCAAACCGGCACCTCCACTTCATGCTAAGGATTTGAACCAGCTGACTTTGGAAGCGAAATATGCCGTTCGTGGAAAGATTCCCATTCGTGCCGATGAACTTCGGTCCAAATTGGAACAGGATCCTCAGAGCTTTACGTTTGATCGTATAATTAGTGCTAACATCGGTAATCCACAACAGCTAGACCAAAAACCATTGACGTGGTACCGCCAAGTATTGTCTATTCTTCAATATCCTAAATTGCTCGAAGTGGACAACTTCTTCCCCGCAGATGTTGTTGAGAGGGCTAAGTCGATTCTCAACAGTGTGGGTTCTGTGGGAGCATATTCTCACTCACAAGGTGACCCCCATATTCGTGAATCAGTCGCCGAGTTTATTTCCAAGCGGGATGGCTTCAAATCTAATCCCGATAACATCTTCTTGACCGCCGGTGCGTCAGCGGCTGTATCTTATTTACTCGACATCTTGTCTACGAGTGAAAAATCGGGATTTTTGATTCCAATTCCTCAGTATCCGCTTTATACTGCTACCATTGCCTTGAATAATGCGGTTCCTGTGGGATACTTTCTTAATGAAGACCAGAATTGGGCCACTGATCCGGCTCAAATTAGAGACTTGATTCAACAAAACAAGGAAAAAGGTATACACATAAAAGCATTGGTGGTGATCAACCCGGGAAATCCAACCGGTGCCATACTCTCCAAAGAAGATATTTCTGAACTCATCAATATTGCTGCTGAACATGGCATCGTTTTGATTGCCGATGAAGTGTACCAAAATAATGTCTTTGAGAGAGAATTCATATCTGTCAGAAAGGTGCTCTACGAAATGCGTCAATCTAATCCTGAATTGTACGAAAATGTTCAAGTTGCTTCTTTACACTCCACTTCTAAAGGTGTTAGTGGTGAGTGTGGTCAAAGAGGAGGATACATGGAACTTGTTGGATTTACCAAGGAAGTTAAAGATGTCGTTTTCAAGTTGGCTTCCATCAACTTGTGTTCTGTCGTTTCAGGTCAGGCTTTAGTAGAACTTATGGTCAATCCTCCAAAGAAAGGTGACCCATCTTACGAACTTTACCACAAGGAAACCTCTGGAATCCACAACGACTTGAGAGAAAGATCGCAAAAATTGCATGCTGCCTTCAACAACATGGAAGACATCACTTGTAACAAACCAATGGGAGCAATGTATCTTTTCCCAAAGTTGAACTTTAGCCAAGAGAAGTATGAAAAGCTTTTTCAAAAAGCTCACGAAATGGAGCTTACAGTGGATGAACTTTACTGCACAGCATTGTTAGAGAAGACTGGAATTTGCTGCATTCCAGGAAATGGCTTTGGACAAGTCCAGGGCACGTATCACCTCAGAACTACATTTTTGGCACCAGGAAACGACTGGATAGAAAATTGGTCCAAATTTCATAAAGAGTTCGTAAAGACTTACAGCCAGTAAAGGTGCTGTTATTTATATGTATGGGGTGTAGATAATGCAACTATTCCTCTTTTTTTGTTCTGGTAACTTCAGGTTCGAAACGACCAAATGTAGCTGTAAGTGAGATTCCCAACCACACGCAGAACCACCCCAAAATGAACACATACCATGTCCAGCATTGCAAAGTGTGCCACGAAGTTAACAATCCAGTCATGATGTCAACGGGACTCACTCCTAATCCAAGAATCTCGCCAGCAACGTAGATAAGGAAAAAAGGGTTGGAAAGTATTGAACATAAGCAGATTTTCAACTCTGACTTGATAGATTTTTCCCTGGCATTAACCTTGGTGGAGATGATTGGGTATATGAAAGTCAATGGAAGACACAACACACCCAAAGCTAATGCAAGTGCAAAGTGAACGATTAACAAAGCTGTCACGAGCATGGCAATAAAGAAAAGACACAACGCTATCATAGCCGATGATGTTGTTCTATCAAGTAATTTGATGTTGCGAGAACGGGTAAGGATGGGCCCCAAGGCGATCACCGCACTTAAAAAAGATAATACTTGAAGAATCACCCCGGCAGCTTCCTCTTTATCGGACGCTTGTCTCAACAAAAACGGTAAACCCTCGCAAAGAGAATAGCACACAACTTGCAAACTCGTGAATAAAGAAAGGGTGTAGCCAATGTTGTGCAAATATTTGGTTGCTGTGATTCCACTCGACAAAAGACAACCAAGAGAACTCAAGGCATATGCAACAGCAAACATTATCGCAGACGGAAGGTAAGTACCAATGGAGACAAAGTTTGTTGGTGAAAGAAGAAGATAGAAAAAGAACGACTGGTGGAACTTTTCCAACAAGTTGTTAACTGATCTGAAAGTTGAGTCGACAATTCTCCCAAATTGTGTCACATCATGGCGGCCCGACTCACCCTTGGCTTTGAGGGTAACCGCCTGAATCTGCCATCCGGAAAACGCCTCACAACCGGGGCTATTTGGGGTGATTCCAGCAAGCGTCATACTGACTATACTTTTCAACATGGTACGCAAACGAGACGAGTAATTATTGGTACCTAATTGACTCAATGATGCTTCCTGTAAAGAGCAGCCAATCGCCTCTCCACTTGCAACGGTCACAATTGTGTTAATGAGGTCCAAGTTGGGTAACTGGCCATTGAGACCCTCGTAGTGGATTTCATAGTAGTCAAAGTGATCAGAACTACTAGCAAACTCCATCACTATGGCAGCATCTATTGAGCCAGCAGTATTGTCCAAAGACGTATGATAAGCTTCCACCCACGAACGAAGCGATTCATGGCCATCAGGAGAAAACACAACGATAATATTTTTTGACCAGATCGACATGCGACTAAAGTAACGACTCAATGCCATACCCAAAGCAGCTCCTCCCACGTTATACTTTCCATCCGACGTCTGCCAAGGTATGGAAAGCACCATTGCCTCGGTGTCGTCGCCTCGTGGCGCATGCATTATAGCATACAACGTGTCATCTCCATCTTGGTTTACATGGTAAGCACTCTTGAGGCCAATATCTGCCAACCACGTTTCCACAATTGCATTTCTTTCACTTACAGACATGAGTTCCATGCCCAAGATCTCGCCTCTGTATCCACGAACAATGTTCCACTCACTTTCTCGGAAATACGATGTAACTTGTGCTGGCATTAACGCGTTCTCTGAAATGTAGGTGTTTCTGTAGTTTCCATCCATGGGTAAACTAGCAAGCCAAGCGGCACTGGCAATTGCTAAACCAAGAGAGATCACAGGTAGTAGCCTGACAATCTTGGGAAAAAGTCCATACTTGTGCACTTTGCGTAGAAGTGCTTCAGCAAGTGCCATGGTGGTAACGTGGAGAAAGAATAAACTGAATAAAAGTTTCGCAGTCTAAAAAAGATATTCTTGTAGATACACCAAAGTTAAGCATACCCCTTTTAAAATGCACAATGCCAAGGTGGTAGAAACCTATAAGCATATCATAACAAAGGTACGACGATTACCTCTTGATTTGAGAAGCTTGGGCTTGTTGAAAGGAGTGGTGAAGCAACAATTTCAAAACAAAGTCAGACCACATCGAAGTGGTGTTGATTCTCGTTCTGTCACCAAGGCAGTCAGCATTTTGGATCGAATATTGAATGATATGGACTTGGAAAGCATGGAGCATGTGTGGGACTATTTATACAAGCGACAAGAACAAGCCTGGATACCTCAATTCACTAAGACCAAGTATTCTGTGTTTCGAGAAATTTGGCCCCAAGTTCATTTGATGGAGGAAGTGGCGCCTAATCTGAAACAGCTGCGTGAGTACCAGAGATACCTCTCCAAAGACTTGAATGAGGATTTTTCTGTGCTGAAATTTATGGGAATAAATCTGTCTGAACCTGGGTTGCAAATGTTACCACGCAGGTCATCTTCACAAGTTGAAGATCTCTCCCAAATGTTGCACCATGTATTCCAATTTCATCACTTCGTGGCCACTAACCGGTCCAAAATAACCCACCTTAAAATCCAGCCATTTGAGGTGATCTACCCAACAAACAAATATGCCCAGCCAGTCCATGTTTCGGTACGAGATAGACTACTCAAGAAGAAGGTCAACTATATGAAAGATCTATGCAAGCTCTATAAACCGATGGCAAAAGGTGACTTGGAACACCTAATCAATGTAGCTACGACTGCTGACGTCACTAGTTTCGATCTTGAAATTAATGCTGCCTATTTTAGGTATATGGAAAGAAATCGGCTTTCGGAAGTTGAGAACAAGAACCCAGCGGTGCTTCAGTTGCGGAACAAAAAGTTGATTCCTAATGAAAACAATATTCGGAAAATATTGCGCCTGTATGTCATGAAACAGTTTTATATGGAAGACGGCTCATACCAGATGAGCTGGATGCAAAACTTTTACGAGGACCCCACTGCGGTCTCATGCAACCGAAACAACGCATAGGAGCGTCTATTTTGGTCCAAAATGCATCCCAAAGTAAAGTCATCGTTAATGGCTATGTGACGTGGATTTTGAAAGTCGTGATGAATATCTGCACATTTCAAGCAGGATATTGCATCTTGATGCAGAAGCGAGATTGCTTGATGATTGCTTGACCTGAAAGCTTCGAGCCAGTCATATATGTAAACACTGGAGCTTGTGAGTAAGACCAAACGAGCCGCCTTGATCTCGGCACTGATGACGGTTTCTGGAAGTGTTATTGATACCTTCAGGATTTGCAGGCCAGTATCGGGAGACACTTTGATGAGGTGAATTGTTGAGTCGGAAATAGTTTTCACGATTAAGCTACCATCTTGTGAGGTTAACGAAGCTCCTTCGCAAGATTCCAGAACTTGAAGCTCTTGTCCTACCTTTACTGAATCTTTGACGCAAGAAACAACTTTCACTATAAGCTCGTTATTGAGCTCATCAACAAAGTTGTTGAATTGCGTTTCGATATCCTTGGGGGCTTCCAGTTGTAATAGAACTTCCAAGTCGAGTCTCAAGTTAAAATATTGAAGGACGCTACTACTGAAAAGGTAGTTGTTGAGATACTCGAGTATATCCGCGTGTTTATAACTGCGCAGTTCAATTGCAGCAAAGTACGTTTCGGGATCATCTTCTGTCGCAAGCTTGTCAATGATGTACAGCTTTACCCAATTTGTAAATATAACGAAAAGCTTTTGTTCTTCGTTGACTGCCCACATTAGTTCATGAATAGACCTGATAATGCCCTTGGCCAGCTCTAAGAGCCGCTCGAGCGACGAAGACAAGAGCCCCAAATTACTTTGCTCTTCGTCAGTCTCCAACCACTGACTTATGCCATTCAAACTTGTTAACAAAATAATTATTCTCTCCATTGCAGCTACCACCAGTGCAAAGCATTGCTTTCGAATCAGGTCGTAAGCACTAGACCCCAGCTTAGCAAGCCTTTTTATTCCTCTCTCTCCAAGCTGATTTAGCCAGTAATCTTTTAAAGACTCGGGGATTATGCCCGTTAGAAGTATATCGTACAAACTATTGCACAACTTAAGTTGAGACTCTTGGGGAGTAGGAAAGTGAGTGGTAAGATCTGTATCGCCGTATAATGCGTCATTGAGGTTGGAAATATACCTGTCAAAGAGCTGAAAGTGAGACTTGAGTTCTTCTTTGAGGGTGGAAAGAACTTCTTTAATCATGTTAACGAGTGACAATATTTGACATAATTGTCTAATAATACTCATATGATACTCTCGAAGCTCCATTGGTATGTCGAAAAGTAAGTCAATGAGTTGTAAATGCTGAGAGTCGGAGCATGCTAAGAACGTGTGGTTCCATAAGGAGGACAGAGCATGACCAAGGTATTTTTTTTCTGGCGGTAAATTGATGCCTGGAACATGAAGAATGTTATTGAACGATAAAGCGAGTTCACCTAAACCACAAACCTCCAAGAGATATTCACTGGTATTCTCTTTTGGAACAGGTAACTCATGTACAAGCTGGGGCATCAGATCAAGAACATTGATCTTGAACAAATTGCCAAACTTTAGTTCAGAATTGTGACTGTAACCGCACCAGTTTGCAAGCATTATTTCATGATTCAGTTGTCCAATTGTGCTCAAAAGCACACCAGAGTTTGCATCATACACCTTACAGAGCATATCTGCTCCATTTAAACAAAACTTCTTGCCATCAGGACTCCAAATAAGTTGTTTAATTGGACTTTTGTTATTCACAGAATAGATTCTTTCACCATCGAGTCGATACACCCAGATAGACGTCCTGTTCATAGAAACCGCCAAGAGGTTCATAGACGGACAGAAACTGAGAACCGTTCCATCGGCAATACCGATGAACTTATTGGCTGCTATGTGCTCAATTGACACAGGCATAAAACCTGAATTCAAGTAGTGATTCTACTTCAAACAAGGCGGCCGCACCCAGTACACCTATAATCATGACGTCTACTATATACATATTTAGTTTCCGAACTATGGCTTAAAGTTGATCACCATTGATGGTCCCATGGTGGAACTAAGTACCGCTTGGCCAATCAAGTTTGGTTTCTTCGTTCCTGGGGGTTGGGCGCCGTAAACGGCTTCCGATGCAGCCTTCAAATTGGCGATGATTTCAGCATCACTAAAGTCACACCGTCCAATTGGCATCAGGAGATGTTGATCTTTTTGCTTAAATGGAAGAGCTCCCAAGTTGTCTTGGATTAATTGTATGATATTTTCAGAAACAGTGTTTCTTTTTGGGGTTGGCATCAACCCTTTGGGTCCAAGAGCACGTGCTATCGGCTTTAAATCCTTCACGATATCTGGAGTGGCATAACATTGAGTGAAACCGTCGAGTTTCAAATTGCCGCTTTTGATTTGCTCTATTAAATCAAGTCCGCCGGCGGCTTTAGCACCCAATTTTTTAGCTTCTTCAATAACTTGTTCATCCAAACTAAAAACCATTACCGAATTATCCTTTATAGGTTTGGGGAAAAATACAGACCCACTAATAGGCTTTGAACCCTTGTCAGGTATGACTGTAATTTGAACACTAACGGTGGTTCTGGGAGCAGGATTTCCCACTTCTGCTGCTCTCAAGTACTTCATAGCTGTAGGAACCTCCATGTACAACGGATGCACTTCTGGAGCCTGTTTATTCCTTGCTTTGACAAGTTGAGCTCGTTTAAGTTTTCTCTTTATTTCCATTTGTTGATCTTTCTTGTCAGAAACGGCATTCGAAGCAGCAAAGCTAGTGGAGAACAATTTCTTGCCCCAGAACAGCGACATAGGAGCCAACAGCGGGCGCATGTTGCGTCCTGCCGCCTTTATTATTTGCTCCATTGGACGAGTACGATTCTACTAGTTCACAAATTTTTCAATCACTATTATACATCCTTACACCAACACAATTTCCCAAGTTCCCAATTTTCCCAATAAGACTAAAAAAAACACCCTGACACCGGGCCAGGTATAACCAAGAAGTTAGTGTATATCTCCATCAGTATGACGTTGTTTCATGCTTGGACGTCTCTTCATCGAGAAGGTTCGCTTGAAAAAGCTTTCACGCAGGCCATTAGATCCGTTTCTCGTTTCCCGTTTTGGTAATTCAATATCTGGTACCTTGTTTGCAGCCAATTCGGGCGTCAGAACATATGGCAGTGTAAATATATTCATGAAACTTTTTCGCTTTTGCTGTTTCGTAGTCTGATCACGAAGCTGAGGGACCTGGTCAAGCGATACACTATTGCTGCCCACGATAGGAACCGGTAGATGCCTCAGTTGAGGAGCTTCTGTTAAGGGTTCAGAGGTTGATTTGCTGCGGCTAAAGTAGTCGATAGAAAACCGTTTGGACACTGGGCTCGTATAGGAATCAAACAAGAAGCTAAAACGATTTTGTTTCTTCTTGTATTCTTCCATGTTTGGAGTCTCTTCTTTTAAAGGTGATGTGTTGCCAGTAAAAGGACTTGGAATGGAATCCGTCGACGACGCAGAGGATATAGGAGACGTCACTGACTCTTCTGATAATTTTGTGATGATGGATGTGCTCGATTCGAGGGTATAAAGGGGTATGTTTTCAATAAATGTGGGGTAGTCCTCAATAATGATCTGCAAAATATTTTGGAGCTCAGGCATGAGTTCGAGCAGGTCAGAGTTTAACAAATATGGCTGGAAAATGATCGACAAGTTTGTGCTGGACATCTTGGTCTTTTCTTGCTCGGAAAGAAGGCGATGGAGTTGACAAACAACAAAAATGAAGACGTGAAGCCTAGTTTGGGACCACTTGGAGCACACCATAACGGCAAACAAACGGTAAAAGTTCACATCAAGGACCAGCACCATCGATTCTACATCGGAAGGCAGCATCGTCTCGGCTGTAAGATATACAACTTCAGGCGACGAGAGGTCAGCAGAAGAAGCAAATGCCTCGTTCAGTGAAATTTTGGGAGTTTCAGTTGGGGCGGTAGCAAATTCAGAATCAGTCTCGTCAGAGGCACCTTCGTCTCGAGGTTCCGCACTGTTTGTTTCAGTCTTCTCTTCAGGCTCAGTAGCCTTTTCTTCGGATTTAGAGCTTTTTTCGTTGGATTCAGTAACCTCTTCAATGTTACTAGGTGCAAACGTTTCCCCGTTGTCAACCTTTACTTTGTTCGTTTCGGCGTTTTCTTCGTCACATTCCACCGTCTCTGGTTGCTCGAGCTGTATATCTTGCTTTTCTCCTGCTTCGCCTTTGAGCTTTTCTGAGGTTCTCCACTTTCTAAACTCGTTAACAAGCTCGTGGAACGCGATTTGGCCCTGTATATCATGATTATCAAAGTTACGAAGGCTTCGTTTCAAAACTCCACTAATGTCGTGTGGCAAAGGGTATGGTTCATGAAACCACGTCAGGGATCCACATTCATACAACTTGTTGATTCGCTTTACAGAACCACTTATACGAAGAATACCTTCCACCAAGCCATGGGTCTGTATAAATTTGAAACTATCGACCATTAAAGTCGGGACGCGAAGGGCTACTGGCACCTCTGGAAGTTCCACAGTAACCTTATTCGATCGCGAAGACTGGTACGGGAAGTCCATGGTGGTACCAACTTAATAAGACTGTTGAAGTTTTGACGTTGACTTAACCAAATAAAAACAAATAAAAAAAAATCGATACCCGACAAAAAGTAAATGAGAAGTCAAAAACCAATTAATTTACTCACTAAGTAATATAGTCAGTGATGCATTCGCTTGCGCGTCCCAGCCGCTGCCAACCCCGCCAAATTTTAACACGCGTCGTTGTTGTCGCCGCACGGTAAAACGGTCTAGACCGCATTGTGCAGCGGGCACTATAGGTGTAGCGGATGTGACACATAGCCGAAAACGACAATGATAGCGAGGCTTAGCAGGCTGTGGTGGCTGGGGGTGGCAGAAATAGAGTTGCGACTAGGACGAGCGTTAGAGTTGGGTTTATATTTAGCATATTATTAATGTAGAGAACGATTGGCGAGTTATTTATAGAGAGATTGTTACTTAAAAGTTGAAGTCCACAGAGAATGAATTAACAAATAGATAACTGCAATGCATTAATGGTCCAAGAAACTCGCCCTTGGCAGCATCTGTCAAACCGCTTTTTCGCATTATTTTCAGGTGAGAGTCAAACCTTAAAAAACTTCTCTGCATTGACATATTATGTGCAGTGCATCATCTTCAATTCCATACTATTGAATTACACCAATTACAAGTCTAATGACATATATAACACCGACAAATCCCTTAACTCATTGTTTGAACGTTTTTGCCCTGATTCCATTGTAACTATTTCGTTTGTGATTCCGATTTCCTGCAGACAGCCCGGATGACGTACTTTCGGATGTACCACCAAACACCAGCACTCCATTCTTCACCGGTCACAGCAACATCTTCCCTACGTTTTTGCAATATGCGGCTGCAGCGATTCGGCAGCCAGTTCACCCCATCCACTCCGCTGCCACTTTCTCTAGATGTAAGCTCCAAGTGGCGACCGCAGCATGACGATAAACCCCGAAAAAAGTCAAAGCCTACTGATGATATCGAGCGCAAAACTTCCTCCGAGTTCAAGTCCGACCACATGCCTCCAGTAGAAGTGCAGGACGCTAGCAAGGAGCAGAGGGACGGTAATACCACTCAGGAGCGAATAGATGGCAAAGTAACGACGGAAAGTAATGGTACGGCCAATAGTGAGAAAGTCAAGGTTAACGAAGGAACAATTAAACACACAAACGACATCAACAACGATATAACACGAGATTTACGTGTGAGTCCGAGTCCTTCTCCAGAACCGGAAACAGATCGCAGTCCCAGTCCATCACTCGCCAACTCAGTACCGCCAGAGTTTCTCACCATCTTGGCAACTTTTCCTCTATTTAAACAAGCCCCCACGTCATTTTACACCAAGGTAGCTTCAAAGCTCACTCTCATGCAATACCACCCGCTGGATCCCATTATCAAGAAGGGCGACCCTTCCAAAAGTATGTACTGGATATTACGTGGAACAGTAGGAGTGACCTCCACCGATGGTGAATCACTGTACGCTGAATTGGTAGCGGGAAATTTCTTTGGAGAAATAGGCATTCTCTTTAACCGTCCTCGTACTGCATCAGTGATTGCTCGCACCAAAGTATTGTTAGGAGTACTTACCCTGGATGCCTTGAGTCAAGTCCTTCGTTCGTATCCTCTCATTGAGCGTCGAATTCGTGACGAGGCCCAAGAAAGACTTGCAATGCAGGACAAGAAGAGTAAAGCGGAGATTCCGCTGATCAAAGGCGTTCATTCTCAAACCAGAAGGCTCCTGCCTATGATAGAACTGCCCATTCCCATGTCGGCAGTATTCGCAAGCTCTCTCGCTACCGCCGCTATCCCCGTCCCTGGCCCAGCACTCCCGCCAGCGACTCATACATCTCCATTGCAATTCAATACTCCAGCACAAGACAATGTTGATTCCACCATCTCAATCCAAAGCTTCATCATGAACATTCCCATATTTTCCAACCTCCCTCCAGACATTATACATCAACTAGCATTGGGAGTTGAACCTGTAACATTCAACTCGTTCGAATTTATTTTTCACAAAGGAGACGAAGGTTCCGACATCTATTTCATCGTGAATGGTGAGATCGAAGTATTCGATTACGTCAACAACAATACCAAGATTGAAAATATCTTGGGACGCTTGGGCGCCGGTAGCTACTTTGGTGAAATGTCGTTCCTCCACAGTCTCCTGAACCACGAGGATAAGTTACTTAGGAGCGCCTGTATTCGTTCGGTGACACCGGTCGAACTTATCGTCATTAGAAGTGACCTTTTAGAGAACCTCTGTTCAAGATACCCATTCATAGTTGATCACATGAGGCAAACTGCTAATGAGAGAAATGCTTTGAACACCACTTCCACAAAGTTATCACTCAATATGACAACCCCTATACAGTCACCAAGAAGACTCTCTTTAGTTCAAGGAGAGAAAACTCCCGCATTAGCCATTGCTGCCCCTCGTCCACCAACTCCTGGGATGGATTTCCCTTTCTCTTCTGATTGGAATTTTTCCTTTGCGAGCCAGACTGGAAAGCACTCAAGGTCGATCTCTCCTGTGTCAGCTGATGGACCAGAAACCGCAGCAACGTCAACCTCCACTTTCACGAAAAATGACAATTCAAATGGCGTTACGCCTGTCTCAAGACTTTCCTCAGAAACATTAACCCAGGATTTAAGGAAGAGAAAGTCACTGCCCATTGAATACGCAGTGCCACTCACTCTTCCTCCTCCTAACCCGGTCCTTCCTTCCATTAACAGCTTTCAATCTATGAGCAACATAGGAAAGAACAATTTTCAGTATATGCCTCATAACAAGCGGTTGCGAATGGCTAGCATTTCCAATGGAAGAAGAAGGTCTTCTGTGTTGAGCAACAATGGTTCACTTCCCGACAAAATCTTGCTCAAAGTCTTCGAGTTCCTCCCTTTACCAAAATTGATGAAATTGCGCGTCATTAGTAGAAGATGGCGCCAATTGCTTCATCTTTCTCCAAATCTTGTGAATACTTTGGATTTGCGACCATGGAATACCTCAATTGACGACAAGGCATTAATATCAATTACTGATTTCGTTGGATCGAGACCCACTGTAATAGATTTATCCAACTGTTTCCACGTCACCGATGAAGGTTTCAGCTACATGGTCAACGAAATAGGTATGTCAGGGAAGTTAAAAGTGTTGCGTATGAAATCAAACTGGGAGATCAGCGCAATGGCTATAATGGATCTTACGGTACCCAGTGTTGGCCGTTACCTTGAAGAAATTGATCTTTCCAATTGTCGTAAAGTCCGTGACGGCGTGATAGAGAGGTTGATTGGCTGGTCCAATCAATCTGCCGTAGGCGAGGAATTGCGGTCTCTTGACGATTACACAGGCGATGATATTGGCTGCAAAAACTTGAAGGTTCTCAACGTTGGATATTGCAAGCATGTCACGGATAATGTAATGTACCATATTGCAGAAAATGCTGCAGAGAGACTTGAAAGTCTTGATTTAACAAGATGTACCACTATCACGGACAAAGGGTTTCAAAGCTGGACCTGCAAGAGCTTTCCCAACTTGAGATCACTTTCATTGAAAGATTGTACATTTTTATCTGATAAATCGCTCATCGCGCTTGCTAATTCTGCGACAAATTTGGAAACACTCAACTTGGGGTTCTGTTGTGCATTGACAGATCTTGCAGTTGAAGTATTGTGTCTTGGATGTCCCAAATTGATCGATTTGGATATGTCGTTCTGTGGATCAGCAGTCAGTGATTCTTCTTTGGTAGGAATCTCATTACACCTCAAAAATCTTCAACGTTTAGTTCTCCGTGGTTGTGTCAGAGTCACCAGAGCAGGGGTGGATGCATTATTAAGCGGATGTTCTCCTCTTAGCCATATCGATATCACCCAGTGCCGAAATGCTCATTTTTATCCAGGACGTATCCCAGCGCAAAAGTTGAACGTTAACCCAGAGACCAAATCTGCCTTTGTAACCGCTGGACCATTTCAGAATGTCATAGAGATTCTTCTCTAATTCACCTGCGTGAAAGTGACTGAATGTCACATACATTTCTTCTTTTCAACCTTTGTATTATTGCGTGTATTTAGCATGAAGTTACAGGCACCAACTTAAGTCTACTTCTTCTTTTTTTTCTTAGTTTTATCCTCCACATCAATGAAACTCACTGGTATACCTTTATCTTTATTGAGCAAATCCGTTATAAGTTTTGCATGTGGTCCTTGCACAGTAACCTCAGTGATGCTAGGGTTCTGGATACTTTGTCCAATAGTAGACGATCCTGAACATTTTGTTCGAAGTTCCTCTGCAAGAACATGAGGCTTAATGAAATAATGCTCGAAATTTTGAACTCTTGTGACTACTTTGCGTCCAAGTCTCATTTCGGTAATGATTGCGATTTTTGGTGGCTCGCCCTTGAACATCGCTCCTTTAGGTTCACCCGGTTTAACTATTGAATGGTTAACTGCGAAACTGGTTAAAAACGAAGAGTATAATTTGTCTCGTGGACAACTTTCTTTGAGTCTAGTTGCAGCAGATAATTCATCATCAAGGCGCACAACTTTGGGATTCTTCTTATCCACTAAATCTGCAGCCTTAATGTAGTCATCGAGAACACGTCTAACTTCAACTGAAGTGTAGAAGTTATCAAATTCCTTATCAATTCGATTGAATATAGGGCGCAATTTGGATGTTGGCTTATAGAGATAAACCACATTGAGCTCATGGTCTTTCTTTTTCTTTGTGGGTGGCTTGCTGGGGTTTGAAGTTGATTGCACAGTCTTGTGAGTAACAAAGTTTTGTATGGTTGGATTCTCTTTCGAAATAAGACTTGTTACAGTGACATCATCGCCTTTACCTTTAGTGGTGAGATATCCCAACTTTTCAAGAGACTTGAGAAATTTGGCAGTCTTTTTCCACGATGTCTTTTTCACATTGCAATAGGAGGAATCCATAGCCGGTAAATTCTTTAAGACATGTGAAGACATGAAGGTGGAAGATGATACTGGAAGGTCAATGTTATCAACCTTAATTGCTTGAAGGGTCGCACGAATGAACAAATGATCCAAATCCTCTGTGGATATTCCAAATTCGATGTCGTCTTTATTTGTCTCCAGAGCCGACTCTTGAGTGGGCTCTTCTTCGGCATGAGAGTCGGAGGTAGCTTCTGTGACTGTTTCTGAGAAATCCGAGTTTTCAACGTTCTCTTCATTACCTTCGAGAGTTTCGTCTTTATTACCGTTGTCTTGCTCGACAACTTTATCCAACGGATTATCCACATTGTCCGGTACTGCTATGTCCACCAACTTGTTGAGAGCCACAAGTTCGTCACTCATATGATGCAAAATTTCAACAGCGGTTCCTGTTCTTCCAACTACACTGGAAAACTGGGTAAGGTTGAGATTACATACTCCCACCGCTTTAATGACACTTGGATGCTTTGAATCCACAACACCCACCACTGTACCTTTGGAGCATCGAGAATCAAAAGGCGGTATGGTTCCCGGAAGCATTAAATCAGCACCATTTTGGAGAACATCGATGACATGAGGATGAGTCATTACCGTAGGTAATAGCGGAAATTTCCACAATGTGAATACAGAGGGATGAATCTTGCCTCCTCGGGGACGAAACCATGTCGGCGTCTCGTTTTCATCTCGGTATATGGTTCCACTAATGCCTTGAGGGCTTTTGAAAGTCGCTTGCTTCGTTGTCATAGGCAAAAATTTGCACCTCCACATCCTTCAGAATGTTTTGTGGTTCGAGACCATAAGTACTACATATCTCCTGATATAGCTTGCGGCGCTCAGAGGATTTAATGTTGGCTGAAGCCTTTGGTTGGGGGTTCTTTTTAAACATATAATTACCACAGACCTGGGCTTCGCAGCACCACCGGCTGCAAACTATGGGTGCACCGGTGAAAACTCACAACTCCAATTTCCTTCGCAGTCAGAACACGTCTGGGAAGTGCAGTCAATATGAAGTCCAGTGAAGCTTCCGGAGTCAAGGAGGCCCGAAAAGGTCTTATTTTGTACGTGTTGGTGTTCGTGTTGTCCTTGGGGCTTCCATTGTACTTTGGGACCACCACAGTACATCGTGCCGATTTGCCAATTGATGAAATCAACACTCTATCGGACCACTTGTTCGACAAGATAGGTATAAATATACCCGTATACATTACCTCTGAATATGAAGCAGTGTCTGACTCATTCTTGGATCGGTTAAATGGAGATATCAGGTCAGAGTTGACGGCTAAACATCCCGTGTTGAATAACCTTTGGAGTCTCAACTTGAAACTCGATGCTCCAGATTCTGATTCAGAGGGCTACAGGGTGAACATCAAGAAGAAAACTGGCGACGAAAAGTTTCATATTCATGCCGATAAAAAGGAAATTGACATACATTCGACAGACTTGGAATCGAGTGCTGAAATCGTTGAAGACGTTTTGCTTGGGGAAGTATTCCAATCTGAGATAGAAGAGGTCAGCAGAATCGTCTCTGGAAGCGGAAAAAGTGCTCATACTGCTCTTCCACATTCAGACGTGACTAATATCGTATTCTCTTTATTGGTTGAGGATGGAAAACCCGTTGCATGGGAAGTTGAAAACGTGATAAAAAGATTTGATTCAGTACTCAAAAGTTTGGGTCATATTACAGAATTTCAAGTCAGCACCCAGATCCAGTACTATTCATCATTAACGCATAAACCGTTGTCCCTTATCAACGACCAAACCAAGTATATCATTGCTGAAGATGATCTCTCAACCTTCATTAATTATGGTGATTGGAATATCAACAACTACGATGTTCATCCTACTATCAATTTTTTGATTTATTTCCCCACTTGCAATTACGAGAATAAGCGTCTCTTGGTGCAGAACTCGGTGACAAACAGTTTCTTGGTTCCTCAATGGGGAGGTGTTCACATTTTTAACAAGAACTTCCCCATTTTGAGAAGGGAAGACCCAATCACAATTACCGAGTCAGAACTCGCACCAGTGTTTGAAATCTTTACCGTGCAGCTTTTAAGGTTATTGGGAGCTCCTGAAAAGCCACACGCTCCAGTTATCAACATTGATGTCCTCACACGGCTTACTACGTTACAAAACTTGAAACGATCATTAGAGAACTTGAAATCACTTGTTAAAGTTACGGACTCATTAAGTGAGATCTCCATTCCTGACCAAACAAAACATTACGTTGCAGAATGTATCACCGAAATAGAGCGAGCAATTGAAAACGCTAATGCCAATCTTAATGAAATAGCCGTCGAGGCGTCTACAAGGGCATTGTTACTTTCTGATTCAGCATTTTTTGACAAAGAGATGGTGCAACAGGCATACTTCCCAAGCGAGCATAAATTGGCGGTTTTTCTCCCATTGTTGGGACCAGTTGCATCAATAATCTTCTTGAGTCTTGTTAGGCTTTTTAAAGATTGGAAACAACAACGGAAAACGAATAAAAAAGAGACCTAGTTTGGCATGCTCCACATGCTAGGTGTGCGGATGCTCAACGCGGTGGATTTTTTTCCATTGATTTGCATCACCACGGACCAATGGGAAAGCTTTTGGTTAACACTCTCGGCCTTGGGGGTATAGGCATTGCATCATATTTTTGGGGCAAAAGCTCAGTACCTAATACACAGCTTCCCCTGCCACCCGCGAGTCCCAATTCCAGTTCCTCCAATTTACCAGCGCCTTATAAAGGTGGTAGAGAAGTAGGCAATTTTGACCCTGCAAGCATTAGGCCGCAAGATTTCTACAAATATGGGTTTCCTGGACCAATTCATGACTTGGAAAATCGCCAGGAATTTATCAGCTGCTATAACAGAGCTACAAGAAACCCATATTGGGTCATCGAACACATCACCAAAGACTCGATTAAGTCTGTTGATGGAGTGAATAGAAAGCGGTCGATTTTCAAAGAAGACGAGAACATCCCATTCAAGTTTCGGAACAAATTGAGAGATTTTTTCAGAAGTGGGTACGATCGAGGACACCAGGCCCCAGCAGCGGATGCCAAATACTCCCAAAATGCCATGGATGAAACCTTTTACCTCAGCAACATATCACCACAAGTCGGAGACGGGTTTAACCGGGATTACTGGGCACATTTCGAAGATTTTACCAGAAGACTTACTCAACGTTACGATAACGTTCGCATAATGACTGGTCCCTTATTTTTGCCAAAGCAAGATGAAGATGGTAAATTCAGAGTCACATACGAGGTCATCGGCTCACCTCCTAATATTGCAGTGCCAACTCATTTCTTCAAGCTTGTTGTTTGCGAAAATGAAAAGGACCCAAACATTCGCGTTGGAGCATTTGTTCTACCTAACACCCCCATAGATAACTCGGAACCGCTTACGAAGTTTCAGGTGCCTGTTGAAGCACTTGAAAGAGCCAGTGGGCTTGATCTCTTGCACAAGATTCCACCATTTCAACAAAAGGACTTATGCCGTGAGACCAAGTGTGAAATCATTGTCAGAGAATTTCCTCCCCGGAACGAAGTACCAGCTTTACCAGGGAAGTAATTGTAAATAAAACTACGATTGCAAATGCATTGCCAAAAACTTAGCTTAGATAATAAAACCGCACTCTCATAGATAAGATAAATGTAACATTTGTCAAAACCACGTTTAAGTTTGTACCTTTTCAAGGTGGTCTGATTGCAGCCCAAACCTTATTTGAATCAACAGCTGGTCGTGCACCCACACCAATCGGCGTTTAAACCTGCATTGTTGGGAGAAACTTACATAACTCGGAGTTTCTGAGACGCTCGGCCGCGCGATGGACCAAGACGCACGATTACCTAATATATGATGAATTGTCCCAACATCTTTTTTGTTGCAAATACCCAAAACTATTTTCCCATCAATTGGCTTCCAACACCCATTGAGTATATATACGCACAAGGGTCGCTACATTGTTTAGATTAATTTTTCTCTTTTTGCATTAGGATATACTATCATAGGTGTATTCGTTGTTTCCCACGTTTTTGCCAGATCCACTTTCCGTACCACATTGTTAAGTGTTGAGCAGCTTTAAACTCAAAAAGTGAAAATTAATTTTATCAATTCATTGCAAACTTGAGCCAAAATTAATACCGAATTGGACCTATAACCTCAATAATAGACACAAACATCTAAAATGGCCACATCGCTTCGTCCTTTTTCGTTAACTCACGGAGCTATAGAACATACCTGTTTGGTACCTACAAACCTTTTTTTCAGCTTTTCCCAGCTTAAAGAGCAGTTTGTAAAGGTGCTTCCCGAAGCTACTGAGGGTAATGCCGGCGACAATGAACCAGCATCTCCTGCGGAGTTATTCGCCAAGTTTTTGGGTTACACTGCCTCCTTGGTGGATCCCGCATCCCCTGGTCAATTTGATCAAGTCTTAAAATTGTCACTTCAGGATTTTGAGTCGAGATTCTTGTCCAATAATTCTGATGTGCATTCCTTGGCTGCCCAATTGCTTGCAGATGACGTCAATTACCCAACTACCACCGCCAAAGTGAAGGATGTGATCACCAACTATTATACTGCAGTGATCAATTCCAATACTTCTATCCCAAAGTCTGAGTCCGACTTGTTGAGACACTCCATTAATAACAAATCCAACACCTCCGCTCAAAAGGCAGAGATCATCGCTTTGTTTGGTGGACAGGGAAATACCGATGAGTATTTCGAGGAGTTGAGAGACTTGTACCGTATGTACAACGGATTGGTCAAGGAATTGCTCGACAAAGTCGCTACCAGATTGAACAAATTGGTCAAATCCACCGAGAATGTCGACAAAATCTATACCCAAGGTTTCGATGTTTTAAAATGGTTGCTGAAACCAGAGCAAACTCCTGATCAAGATTACTTGTTGTCTGTCCCAGTGTCGTGTCCATTGATCTGTGTCATTCAGTTGTGTCACTACACGGTGACATGTAAGACTTTGGGTTTGACCCCAGGAGACCTTAGACAATACTTGTCAGGTACCACTGGTCACTCGCAAGGTTTGGTTACTTCGTTGGCCTTGGCTTCCTCCGATTCTTGGGAATCATTCTATGATAATGCCTTGAAGGCCGTATCTATATTGTTCTTCATTGGAACGAGATCGTTGATGGCCTACCCAAGAACTACCTTACCACCAACAATGTTGCAAGACTCTCTTGAAAACGGCGAAGGAAGACCATCTCCTATGTTGTCTGTTAGAGACTTGTCTATCGAAGAAGTCGAATCTTTCATTGGTCAAACCAACAAGCACTTGCCTCAAGAGAAGCATGTTGGTATCTCCTTGATCAATGGTGCTAGAAATCTCGTGGTGTCCGGTCCCCCAGAGTCTTTGTATGGATTGAACTTGACTTTGAGATCGAAGAAGGCTCCAGCAGGTTTGGAACAAGCTAGAGTGCCATTTTCTGAAAGAAAATTGAAATTTTCCAACAGATTCTTGCCAATCTTTTCTCCATTCCACTCTCATCTTTTGGCTGATGCAACTGAGGTTATTTTGGATGACTTGGAAGCTAACGGTGTCTCGTTGAAGAAGAGCGATTTGCAGATTCCTGTCTATGATACATTCAGTGGTCAAAATCTTCAAGACTTTGATGAGTCCTCTGGTGAAACCGTTGTGGCTCGTGTGATCAGATGCATCACCGAATTGAAGGTCAACTGGGAAAGTGCCACCAACTTTAAGTCTACCCACTTGTTAGACTTTGGTCCTGGTGGTGTTTCTGGATTGGGTGTTTTGACCCACCGTAACAAAGACGGAACCGGATCCAGAATTATCATTGCAGGTACTTTGGAGACCAACTCGCCCGATGATGAATACGGATTCAAGCAAGAAATTTTCTGCAAAGCTGAGAACTCTATCAAATGGGCTCCCAACTGGTTGAAGGAATTCAAGCCAAAGTTGACCAAGACCAAGAACGGTAAGGTCTTCGTCGATACCAAATTCTCCAGACTTTTAGGAAGACCTCCTCTCATGGTTCCAGGTATGACTCCCACTACCGTCAATCCTGATATCGTGGCTGCTACGATCAATGCTGGTTACCACATTGAGATTGCAGGTGGAGGTTACTTTAGTGCTGGTCATATGGAAGGCGCTCTCAAACAGGTTGAAGCAAAGATTGCTCCAGGCTCTGGTATTGGTATCAACTTGATTTACGTAAACCCTAGAATGCTTCAATGGGGTATTCCATTGATCAAGGAATTGAGAGAGAAAGGCTTCCCAATTCAATCCATGTCTATTGGTGCTGGTGTTCCTTCTTTGGAAGTTGCTACAGAGTACATTGAGACGTTGGGATTGACTCATTTGGGATTGAAGCCAGGATCCATTGACGCAATCTCCCAATGTATCACTATTGCTAAGGCTCATCCTGAATTCCCTATCGTTGTGCAATGGACTGGTGGTAGAGGTGGTGGCCATCACTCTTATGAGGATTTCCATCAACCTATCTTGCAAATGTACTCCAAGATTAGAAAATGTTCCAACATTATCTTGGTCGCCGGCTCAGGTTTCGGTTCCGACGAGGATACTTATCCATACTTGACTGGTTCTTGGTCCGAACATTTCAACTACCCACCAATGCCTTATGATGGTGTTTTGTTTGGTTCTAGAATGATGACCGCTAAGGAAGCTCATACTTCTTTGGACGCCAAGAAGGCTATCGCTGCCTGTACCGGTGTTCCAGATGGTGAATGGGAGAAGTCCTACAAGAAGCCAACTGGAGGTATCATCACTGTTAGATCGGAAATGGGCGAACCAATCCACAAGATTGCCACCAGGGGTGTTTTGTTCTGGAAGGAGATGGATGACTCCATCTTCAATCTTCCAAAGAACAAAATGCTTGAAGCTTTGACAAAGAAGAAAGACTATATCATCAGCAAGTTGAACAAAGACTACCAAAAGCCATGGTTTGGTGTGAATGCGGAGGGTGTTTGTGATTTGCAAGACATGACATACCAGGAAGTCGCCAACAGATTGGTTGAGTTGATGTACATCAAAAAGTCTAAGAGATGGATTGATATTTCGTTGAGAAACTTCTATGGAGACATCTTGAGACGTATTGAGGAGCGTTTCACCTCTGAGCCCAGCAAAAAGTCAGTTATCCAAAACTACGCACAGCTTCAAGAAGATCCTCAAGCTTTCACCGACAAGTTCTTTGAGTACTACCCAATGGCCAAGAACCAATTGATCAATGAAGAGGACTGTGATTACTTCTTGATTTGTTGCCAGCGTCCTACTCAAAAGCCTGCACCATTTGTGCCAGTTCTTGATGAAAGATTCGAGTTTTTCTTCAAGAAGGATTCTTTGTGGCAATCTGAAGATTTGGAAGCTGTTGTGGATGAAGACGTTCAACGTACTTGTATTTTGCATGGCCCTGTTGCTGCTCAGTTCACCACCAAGGTTAATGAACCTGTGAAGGAGATTTTGGATTCGATTCATGAGGGACACATTAGAAGGTTGATTGCGGACGATTACGCCAACGATGAGTCCAAGATTCCTGTTGTGGAGTACTTTGGTGGAAAGAATGCTGTTCCTTACAAACCAATTCCAGGAGTTGTCAGAGAGGTTTCCGGATCGAAGATCACCTTCAAGGTGACTAGTCCAATTACCAGCAAAAATGATTGGTTGCAAGCTATTGCTGGTGAGAAATTGAACTGGCTTCACGCCTTTATCACAACCGACAGGGTTGTTCAGGGCCTGAACCATGTCAAGAACTCATTCCACGATATCTTGATTCCTCCAGTGAACCTGGTGGTTGAGATTGAAAATGAGTCGAGTGACAAGATCAAGCTCACCCTCCTCGAGTCTATCCGTGACGACTTGAAGCCTGTTGTCGAAATCAAGCTTGTTGAGAATGGTCTTATTCAAAGCTCTTTGATTGAACACAGAACTGCCGATGGAAAGCCCGCTTACTTGAACTTCCTCTACAAGTTCAATCCACGCGATGGTTTTGCTCCTATCTCGGAGGTTATGGATGGTCGCAACGATAGAATCAAGAACTTCTACTGGCAATTGTGGTTTGGCTCGCAGATTAGTCCCGATTTCAACATTGATGTTGAGAAGATCATCCCTGGTGACAAGACCACTATTTCCGGCAAGCTCATCTCGGAGTTCACCCATGCTATCGGAAACAAGTGTGATGCCTTTGTATCCAGACCAGGCAAACCTACTTTGGCTCCAATGGATTTTGCAATTGTTATTGGATGGAAGGCTATCATGAAAGCGATTTTCCCCAAGACAATCGATGGTGATTTGTTGCGTTTGGTTCACATGTCCAATGGTTACAAGATGATTCCAGGTGCTTCTCCTTTGCAGAAGGACGACGTGGTATCGTCCAGTGCCGAGATCAAGGCTGTCGTCAATCAGCCATCTGGAAAGATGGTGGAAGTCGTTGGTACTATCACTAGAGATGGTAAGCCAGTGATGGAAGTCACTTCCCAGTTCTTGTACCGTGGTGAGTATGTTGATTTTGAGAACACTTTCCAGAAGACCACCGAGACTCCAATGCAAGTCTCTTACAAGTCTGCTAAGGACGTTGCCATTCTTACTTCTAAGGAGTGGTTCCACTTGGAGAAGGAGGTCAATTTGATGGGTCAAGATTTGACTTTCCGTTGTGAATCTGTCTACAAGTTCAAATCCGCAAATGTGTACTCTTCAATTCGTACAACTGGTCAAGTGTACTTGGAACTTCCCTCAAAGGAGGTTATTCAAATTGGTTCAGTCGATTATGAAGCCGGTAAGTCTTACGGTAACCCAGTTACCGACTATTTGTCGAGAAACGGAAACTCAATCGAACAGGCCGTCAAGTTCGAGAATGCTATCCCAATTTCCTCCGGTGAAGAGTTGACCTCAAAGGCTCCAAGTACCAATGAACCTTATGCTAAGGTATCTGGTGATTACAATCCAATCCATGTTTCAAGAGTGTTTGCCTCCTACGCCAATTTGCCTGGAACTATCACTCACGGTATGTACTCCTCGGCTTCTATCAGAGCTTTGGTCGAAGAGTGGGCTGCTAATAACATTGCCTCCAGAGTTAGAGCTTTCAAGAGTGACTTTGTCGGAATGGTCCTTCCTAACGACACCTTGCAAACTACTTTGGAACATATCGGTATGATCAATGGTCGTAAGATCATCAAGGTTGAGACAAGAAATGTTGATGCTGATATGACTGTCTTGATCGGAGAGGCTGAAATTGAACAACCAATTACCACTTACGTTTTCACAGGACAAGGATCCCAAGAGCAAGGTATGGGTATGGACTTGTACAACTCTTCAGCTGTTGCCAGAGAAGTATGGGACAGAGCTGATCGTCACTTTGTTGATAACTATGGATTCTCCATTCTCAACATTGTGAAGAATAACCCTAACGAGTTGACAATTCACTTTGGTGGTCCAAAGGGTAGAAAGATCAGAGACAACTACATTGGAATGATGTTCGAGACCATTGCTGAAGACGGGTCAATTAAATCTGAGAAGATTTTCAAAGACATTGACCACAACACAACCTCGCATACTTTTGTTTCGCCAACTGGTTTGTTGTCTGCTACACAGTTCACCCAACCTGCTTTGACCTTGATGGAGAAGGCTTCTTATGAAGATATCAAGTCGAAGGGATTGGTACCAGAAAACATCATGTTTGCTGGTCACTCCTTGGGTGAATATTCTGCTTTGTCCTCTTTGGCAAATGTCATGCCTATTGAGTCATTGGTGGATGTTGTGTTCTACCGTGGTATGACCATGCAAGTCGCAGTTCCAAGAGACGAATTTGGAAGATCCAACTATGGTATGTGTGCTGTGAATCCTTCCAGAATTGACCCCACTTTCAATGATGCTGCGTTGCGTTTCGTTGTTGAAGAAGTTGCTTCTACTACTGGATGGCTCTTGGAAATTGTGAATTACAACGTCGAGAACACCCAATATGTCACTGCTGGTGACTTGAGAGCCTTGGATACCTTGACAAACGTGCTCAATGTCTTGAAATTGAACAAGATCAACATCGTCAAGTTGCAAGAAACCTTGAGTATTGAAGAAGTCAAGAAACACTTGAAGGATATCATTGACGAGGTTTCAGCTAAATCCAGTGCAAAGCCTCAGCCAATTGACTTGGAAAGAGGGTTCGCTGTCATCCCATTGAAGGGTATCTCTGTTCCTTTCCACTCATCCTACTTGATGTCTGGAGTGAAGCCATTCCAAAGATTCTTGTGCAAGAAGATTCCCAAATCTTCTGTCAAGCCTAATGACTTGATCAACAAGTACATTCCTAACTTGACCGCTAAACCATTTGAGATCACCAAGGAGTACTTCCAAGAAGTTTACGAATTGACTAAATCCCAAAAGATCAAGGCTATCATCGATAACTGGGAGCAGTATGAGAAAGCCTGAATTACGCATTATCAGATTGATTTGAGTAGATTTTCAGTGGGAGTAGATACGTGGTACTATCTGCTCTCGCTAATTAGTACAAATATATATTTATTGAAATATTAGTATTATCCAAGCCCCGATGTAAGAGGACTCGATATATTAACAGGTGTAAACTTTTTTGGTAAGGAGACACGAGTGAAGCGAGACTTCAATCTTTGGGTTACCAAATCAATGTCCAAATGTCTGGTTAAACTTATCCGTGGAATGCAGCCAATATAGTGGTCATCATCAAGCTGGACGTCAAGAGGATCTTGTGTATGGCAGCCGGGAGAGAGAGACAAACGAATTGAGTGCTTCTTACCCGAAGCGCTATTGGGGTCGTCGGCTTCGTATAACTCAAAAACAATTTGAGATAAGTAGTCAAGCTCTGGCAATGCATTTCTGGCAATCTTCATTGGAATTTGAGACTCATAGAGAACATTGAGGAGAGTGTAAATGTGTGACTCCTTTGTGAAATAATTCACCACTGCTGCACTTTCATGACCACGCATGTTCCTAATATCAGAAACAATTTGTTTAGCAAGAGGCAAAGATGTAAGCAATCCAATATCGAGCTTTTCTTCGTCTTTGATTCCATATTCCTGAGGACAGATGAAGTCGAATAAAACCTTCGACAATCTGTACAACTCCCTCAATCGAGCAAAAGTTGGATGGTCAAAGGGATTATCTTCTGCATTAGGACTTGACCCGTGCTTCTTTGTGTTAGATTCGTTATTGGAGCAAGAGTCATTGATAGTTGCAGTGGCTCCCTTAAGTACCCAACCCAAAGACCCCGCCGATGCTGGTGCATTGGAAGATGTGATGTTCAACAAGTTATTGCTTGAATTCGAATTCGAATTTGCCGTACTAGTGACGCCTGATACGGTACCATTATGCTCGCTTGGGAGCCTGAAATTGTTCATGGCAAGAATGTTAATAGGATATTCACTGACCAAGCCGGAAGAGTTGATTGTATCAGCGCAAGTTTCTTTCAAGCGATTCAAAAGGTCCTGATCATTGGGATCAAACGAAAAAATCTTTTGCAAAAAATGTCTGTTGTGTAAGGCGTCGTACTTCATGGTGTCGTATAGTTCAGATATCTTGGAAGGATGGGTCTTCTCTACCGTTAAGAATTCCTGGAATAATTTGTCCCACCTTTCGCGGAACAACGAAGGGTCTTCTCCACAGCACCAGTTGTCTTGAAACTCATCAACGTTATACTTTTCAAAATTGTACAGCATGATCTGTCTATGGAAGTTCATCAATTCACACACTCTCTTGATGACCACAAAAGGTTGTGGCATTTTTGGTGGCCAAGTAAATTGAGGTGGAGCCTCCGCACCCTGACGAAGAAGAGGCTTCAACTTCTTTTTCACCTTATCCATCAAATCTTTAGCAGCATTTGAATCATCCAATAAATCTTTCCGAATGATTAAAAGATCATCAGGCAAACTTTCATCCTTGTTGTACCCCAAGAGTGCCAATGTTGAGAGATGGGCACTAGCTATTACTCTTCTTTCTGAAGAGGTGAAGACCTTAACATCCTTCAACGCTTCAGCATTCAACAACTTGATGTTCTGACGAAGTTGCTCTCCTACGTCTGTGGCCTGATATCTTGCAGAATGGGTGGGTTCACCTCCCCATTTCAAAATCAATTGCACCTTTTCAACAACATCTGCGTTTTCCCCTCCTAAAGATGGCTTTATTTGAATCTTCGTTCCGGGGAAGTTCATCTTCTTTTCTAAAGCCCCTCTCAATTGTGCTAATTTATTGAGATCTTCCAATTCTTTCTCCTCCGCGATTTTGACAGTCTCTAAGACCACTTGCAAGTCAGGAACTGCTCGAATGATAACCTCTTCCTTATGTCCCTTCAAAAGAGAGATAAAGAGTGGGGACCGAAAAGAATACTTGAATTTTTGCTTTGGCGTACGGTCTGCGTGACGAATAACAGATACCATTCCTTTGAACACCCACTTCTGCTCTTTTTCCTCAAACTGACTCTTGTGGAGCAATTTAGACAGAGGTGGAATACGGGTCTTCAATAAATCACGGGATTTCTTGGCTTGAATGAAAAGATCTCTCAAAATCGATGAACATGAATCATAGTAGTCATTATTATCCTTCACAAACGAGAAGCCGTTTACATCAATAACATATGACTTGCCATCAACGCGAAGCAAGTCAAAGCCACAAATAGTTTGTTGGAATATAGTGCTGACATTTCTAGCCATTAACTTTTCTTCTTTCGAGAGCTCGGTGATGTACCTTATTTCCTTACCGTGGGTATTACGCCTTACAATACCATCTACCACAGGTGACTTTCTCGTTTCAGCATGACAAAAGTCCTTACCTACGGTATATGCCTTGACGTCTTCGAAGTTATCAGTATCCATGAAACGCTCGTAGATGAAGGATCCCTCAGTACGGGGAGTATTCAAGTCAGGATCGAATTCTGAGGACTTGTTTCCAATCTTACGGAAAAGCCTTCTACCTCCTCCGCCAGTAGACTTGGGGTAGTATATATAGACATTGTGGTCTTCTCCGTCAACGGGCTTTTCCACAAAAGGCTTCTTCATAATCTTGTCACCCACCTTGAGAGTATCGTCGTCAACCATCTCCCACTTAGGCTCTTCTTGGTGAGTCATGTCATGAATTACCGACTCACTGAAACCAACCTCTTTCAATTTTTCAGCTAAAATTGCGTCGATTCTAGGACCCCCGTCTCTGCTGATCTCAAGTCTTTCTGGGGTTGGAACCTTGGCATGATTCAAAATCGTGAGAACCAATCTTCTATCCCACAAAGTCTTTTGCAAAATGAGATCATTGATAATATAGGGCTTTCTGTATTTGGCGTACTCGATTGCCTTGTCTAAGGGGAACCCAGTAGAGAAGAAACTGATGAGGAAATCACACGTGGGCCAGTTTTCGATAGATTCATCAAGGATTACCTTGTCTCCGAAGATGATGGTCTCAAATTCGCCGTTCTCAATAAGGCGATTCAAGATCCTTCTACAAGGTTTTGACATGACTTTAGAATCCATGGCACAAACGCCGATTTTTCCCACTTTAGTGAGTTTGGGACCCTCGGGTTCTCGATGTACAGAGACCGATTTCCTCGAGGTGTTGGACGAATTGGAAATGGAAGGCGTGATTCTGGGAAGTCCATCGAACAGCGTGCCCGTAGAGGCTGTGGAATTTTTGCGAGATGCATGGCGAGACTTGAGAGTTTCAGCAAATGCCAAATTGTCGGCTGTGAGTTTATCGTTGGTCTCAATCGGCGACGAAGATTGTACAGAGCTGCTGAGTTTGGATGACACTCCATCCTCGTTCTCTTGGGCGCTTGTCTTCGGCTTGAAACTTTCTAACATTGGCGCAATAGATGCCATGGCTTTTTCAGTTGGTGCGTGGTCATCGCTGGGAGACGGTGAGCCCAAGAATTCAGTTGGCGCTTCCTGAGAAGACAATGACAATGGTGATACGGGTGCTGGTACGGCTCCGTCTCGCGAGACCGCGTCAGTTCCTGGCACAGGAATGGGCGTCGAAGACCTTGTCATGATGCAATTGCAAGTTGGCGATGAATCTTCGCACATGGTATACTAGGTACAGGAACAGTACTGATAAAGATAAGCTAGAGGCAGGGTACTGAACTGAATAAATAGAGAAAAAGAAAAGTAACACGGAAGAATAAAATCGTAGCTTACAGTGTAAAAAACAAAAGAGTTTTACAAATGTACCTTGAAAGCTGAGGATACCTTCCACTTGTTAGGCTCCTTTCAGCATCAAGAGGATATATTCCAACGCTCCGTTAGTCCTCGTCTTGTAGATCAAAACGTGGCCTGCAACCCAGTGGTTGCATCGTTGGGTATCTACAATGGTGGTTTCCACCAGATACCAAATAGGGTTTATTCGATAGCAGTAAGCGAGTCAAATAAAACAGAAATAGACTCACCAAAGTGGTCTCTGCGAATACACTCGGCGAAAATTGGCGAAACATCAATGACCGACAACTTCTTGTTGGCATTGATACGTTCACGTCCAATTGGGTAGGTGTTGGTGACAACGATCCTGTCAATACACTTGGAGGCATTCAATGCTTCCAAGCAATTGTCGGTGAAGACTCCATGGGTACCAAGTACGTAAACAGCCTTGGCCCCACAATTGAGACGCAAATGCTCAGCAGCCGAAATGAACGAGTTTGGCTTATCGATCATGTCATCAAGAATGATAGCTGCCTTATCGTTAACGTCGCCTACCAATGTAATAAGCTTTTCTTCAGCAAGCGACGTTGGTTCGTCTTCATCGTCACTATTGTTTGCATCGTAAGATCCTCCCAAGGCATCCAGGTCCAATACACTGGAACGCTCCAAATGATCGGTGGGAATAGATCCATTGGTGATTGGAGTTTGTGGAGGATAGTCGTCATCAACGACATGGCCCTTAACTATACGAGCTGTCTGCATCTCCGAAACTATATTGTCAGCGGTCTCAGAGTCACCATCTGCAGAAGACTTTAATGCCTTACGTTTAGACGAATAATTATCCATGGTTCTGCGTCTGTCTGTGTGAATCATGGCAAAGTTAATTTTAAGCGAGTCTGCCAATGCGGTTACTCTCTTTGTTCCCCCAGGGTTTTTAGAAACTACCACGGCGTTTTCCCAGTCAGGAACATTGTGACGAATCCACCTTGCCAAGGTAGGTGCACCAAAAAGATTATCTACCGGTTTGGTGAAAAACCCTTGCATCTGAGAAGCATGTAAGTCCATCAGCACCACGTGGTCGGCACCAGCCATGACCAAAAGGTTGGCCAACATGCGAGCGGTGATGGCACCACGATGTTTTTTCATTTTCAGCTGCTTCAGGTATGGAAACTGAGGAATAACTGCCGTAATCTTGGAAGCAGAACCACCGCGGCATGCTGAAATCAAGATTAAAAGTTCCATTATATGGTCATTGATGTTGGGTGAGCCCAGCTGGATAATGTAGACGTCCTCATCACGAACAGACACTCCGATCTGAACCGAAGTTTCACCGTTGGAGAACTTTTTGAGGGTGCAAGGAGCAGGCTCGACACCCAAGCGCTCACATACAAGTTGTCCTAGCTCCTGATGGGAGGAACCGACGAAGACTTTGCACTTTCTCATTAATGACGCCGTCAGGGACACTTTGAAGGCTCACGCTTGTGAGAAGGCGAATTTCAAGGGGACGAGTATCACGAACTGAGTCTCCTCGCAAATTCACAGCCAATAAATTTTGCGATGGGCAGACTGCATGGTGCACGGGCCTACTCTGGGGTAGCTATAGTTAATGGTTAGCAGTCGTAGATGGAAAAGATAGTGGATCGAATCAATGTGGCGGAACAAGATATCGGCAAAGCTGAACTCTTACTGATCATAGTTCTGGAATTAGAAGACTTGGATATCTCGCACATAATATGTCTAGCATTGGGGTCGCCGGAGCTGAGTTCGGCTGCAAGGTACCAATTAGCATTGTTGAAAAAATTAGTTGAAGCGTTCAAAATAAGCCCTAGCAAGGTGTTTTTGTATGATCCAGTGTTCACAGATACAGACAAACAGGTAATAACCTCATTGGGGTATCTTTTAGAGTCACTTGAACTGGCTGTGAAACTGTGCCTGGAAGAACCATCAACAAGCAACGAACAATCCGAAAAAACTGAAATCAACGCCAAGGATAAAACTACACTGAGAACACTCTACTTTTTACCACATGCGTCTTTAGAGCTTACAGAAGAAGTTCTTTCTCGTTATCATGCGCGCTATCTTCTTGCCAATGATGCCATCGCTCACACTGATCGACTAACCACTCGAAAATTATACGATAACTACCGCACCCTTTCCTACCTTGTCCTGTTGACTGAACAGTCTTCTGTCGATACCCAATTCCAGACCGTCAAGAAAAAACGCCGACAAAAAGCAAATGTCTTTGTAGAGCCCAAATTAGACTTTTCAGCTGACAACATGTATTTCAACTCCACCACAATCAAAAGACTCCCCACAGAAGGTCCGTGGGGCAATGCGTTCACCGACTTGGCATTACATAAACTTGATTATAAATAAAATCTATTGCTATAGTACATACTTTACAACTATTGTAACCGAGGCTTCTTGGTCACCGACTCTTCACCATCGGGAAGGATCAAACTCTGCTGAGCCGGTCCTTGTATTCCCGCTAGCTGCCGCATATTCGAAGAAACTGGCGTTGAAGCATCGGGAGCCAACAAATACTTGCTCAAAATCGAGTAGAGATCATCTTTGGTGAATGGCTTCGCCAATATATCCGACATACCATTTTGAAGGTACGTCACCAAATCGTTATCTTCGATATTTCCGGTCATAGCTATAATTGGAGTTTTTGTGTCGAAATTACGAATGACGCTGGTGGCCGTGGCACCATCTAGATTAGGCATGACAATGTCCATTAACACAAGGTCATATTTGGTGTGCTCCACGGTTGATATGGCATTTAAACCATCAGTGACAACCGTAACCTGGCATCCGTACTTCACAAGGAACTTGCGGCACAATTGTATGCATACGTTATCGTCTTCAACGAGAAGAACGTGGTACTTTGGATTAGGAAGATTGGTGGTGGAGACTATTGGCACTTCTCCATTATGATCTCCGGCTGTGGTGGCTGGTGGTGGTGGATGGGTTGCAATTGCATTACCCACGGAGTTGACACTTCCAGGTATATTCGGAGACCCAGCAGCAGACACAAGCGTTTGTGGCAGCCGCGGGCTCACATCTTCAGTGGGAGTTCTTGAAAGCGATGGTTGTTGGGAAGTGTGTTGCGGACGATGTTGAGGGCGGTGTGGATGCAATGGTGGGGCCTGAACAGGTTGTTGATACATGGACTGGTCGAAAACTTTTGGTTGTTGTAAGTTGGAAAGGGTAGGGTTTGGGAAGTCGAGGGGAGGTAATTTGATCCCAGATTGTACTAAGGTGTTTATGAGAGCGCCCATAGACCGATAGTTGCGTTCACTAACATTTTGAAGACCAACAAGTCCTTCAACTACCGTTCTGTACTTGGTTTGCAAAACCAGCATGTCCACTATCAACGACTTGTGGGTTCTGCGCATCATTTCGAGCTCCTCACGGATTGAAGCAAGCTCTCCAGAGGCAGAGGATAGGCCCTCGTTGGAATTTTGGGAGTTCCCATACATGGAAGATGGAGATATTTTCTTTGCTGTAGGACCCTTTCTTTTGATATTTTCAAGGGAATCTCGATCGTTGATCCTAAAGTCAGGATGCCGAAATTCCCATGCATCTTCACCATATTGATAATGTTGTTTTTCTTCATTCAGTATTTTAACCTTGTGGAAATCGTACTTGTTTAGTTGACGAACAAAACTGGCAAAGTTGGAATGTTTGAAATGGCGAGGAAGAATATCTTTGGTAAAATCGTTGGTATTTATCACCACAAAACTATCTCCTGAATCTGTCCATTTGACGATATCCTTGTAATTTTCATCTTGAAGCATCTGGAATAACTTTTTAACAAAGTCATTAGACCCACTGGTATTGGAGGACGCAGTAGTAGCAGGCTCTTCCTTTACCTTCATCGTGGTAACGTAAAAATCTCAGCACAAATGAAAGGTTCTTATGTAAGAGTGAAGGAGAAGTAGCTAAAAAAAGTTGAACTTGAGTTACAACAACAGATGCACCTGACTCGAGGTGCCAAAATATCCTGTCGCTGCTACGATGTAACTGTACAGGAGAGGGGGGAATGTGACAGCGCGCACCCACACCCCGCGCACTTATTTATAGTGATAATAATATTGGGCGGGAAATGGCACCAACACAAATTTTCGTAAGTCCCGAATTCTACGGAGTGTATATACTACAGTCTGAGCCTAGCCCCAGGTCATTTTACATAGGGTCGACTCCCGATCCAATTCGTAGATTAAGACAGCATAACGGCGACTTGAAACAAGGCGCATTCCGCACTCGACGAACGAGTCGCCGACCTTGGAAAATGATAGCGATTACCCACAATTTTCCCTCGCGAGTCGCAGCCTTGCAATTCGAGCACGCACTACAGCACCCGAAAACGTCGCGGCACATGGCGGGCGGCGGCGGCAGTGTGACTGCCACTGCGGAAACCGCCAAATCCGCACCGGTAGCCGGTAAATCTGATGCGACTTCGCCGGCGAAAAATCGCCGCAATGCCGCGCCAGTTGCCCGGTCTGGGCGTACGCATCTTCGTAATGTTGCCCGGCTCCTTGAAAGCCCCTATTTCAGCCGCATGGGTCTCAAAGTAACCATCTTTGATCCAAGCCTTTTCGATATGGATCTCTTACCGGCACAGTTGCAACTGTTTGCAGCCTTTAGTGGTGCTCGCACCGCCGCATGCAGTGACTATTTTTCCGTAGCCAAAAAAGCCGCTCTCACGACGGCACATTGCTGCTTGTGCAGCGACGCAATAGACTATGTTCCGGAAATGCTACCCGAGTCCATTAAAGATGTGTTGCTAGTGTTACCCCTCATTGCCGTTTGTCCATCATGTGCCGTTATTTGTCATCTTCGTTGCTTGGCAGCTTCATGGTACCAGTCACTGGAAATCAATGCCGCACTCATTCCAAGTGATGTTTCATGTTCACAATGCGGCGCTCAAACATCTTGGCGGTTGGTAGCAGATATGGCCACCAAGTTAAGACAGTATGCATTAAGTTCCTAGCTCGTCTACAATCCGAGGTCACAACTCATCATGGGTTAATTTTGTCGCAAACTTTATTTTCCACTCCGCTGCAACACTCATGCCGGCATTCCGGATTTCCCCATCCACTATCTGGACCTGCCACAGCTTTTCGCCCTGGGTCACAAGCGCTTGGTCATCATTGCCGTGGCCCAATAAAATAATTTTCTCGATTTTTATTTTTTGCATGGCTTTGACATAAGTGGGGTCGGGAACAGTTTCAAATTGAGCTGTTATACCCTTGGAATCCGCGTAAAACTGCAAGTTGATTTCTTGTCCTTCCTTGTAGCCATATGACTCGCCGTCATCAATGTGGAGCTTGCCAGTGGCTTTGCCTTGGTTATCAAAAGCCACCACCAAAGTGTAGGGGTCATTTTGCATGAGCTTGGTCGACCTCCTATACCTATCTTTCCTGGCTACAATGCTTCCTCCTTTCAAGAACATTGGGATGTCAGCCAACTCGACATCAAGGTCAACAGTTTTGGGGCCCTTGTATGCTTTTCCTGGAACTCCACTTGTAAACTCATAGTATACCTCGTTGTCTGGAAGATAGACATCAACACTCGTAGCTCCTTCACTCGTTACTGGCTTCACCATCAAACCAGAATTGCCCAAGAAGAACTGGTCGTCGATTTCATAGGCATCGACGTTGTGAGGACATTCGTAGAATATTGGTTTCATGACGGGTAATCCACTTTGACTCAGGTCGTAGAAACATGTATAGAACGTTGGAAGCAACGCATATCTAAGCCTGATAGCGTCACGAATAATGCTTGTGAATGGTTCTCCTGGAACCCATGGCTCTCTGCGTCTCGAATCGATATGTGCATGTGCTCTGAAAAATGGGTACCATATTCCTGTTTGATACCACCTGGTTAAAAGCTCCTTAGAAGGGTTTCCAAAGAACCCACCGACATCAGCTCCCGCAAAAGGCATACCAGCAATTCCAGAAGACAATACCATTGGAATAGAAGCTTCAAGATATTCCCATTTTGCCATGTTGTCTCCCGTCCACATAGCCGATGTCCGCTGTGATCCGGCGTAGAAAGAACGGGTCAAAATGAAAGGTCTTTGTCTCGTCGACAGCTCAAGACGCTTTGTCAACGATTCGAACGTAGCTTCATGGAAAGTCAAACCATAAATGTTGTGAACAGACCTATGTTCCCATCCATCGTAAAAGATGTTATCTCTTGGAGCAGAGGTCTCGGGTCCATCAAACACAGAAGGCTCATTCATGTCGTTCCACACATAAATGTTCGTGGACATTCCGCCCATGACCTTGTTGGTTTCAGACCTTACAAAAAGTGAATCCCAATACTCCTGGGAACCAGGATTAAACGTATCAATCCACACCGATTCTCCGGGCCAACAATGGCCATGGAACGTCTCGTTTTTGGAATTTTTCATCGCAAGATCTCTCTTGCGAACCTCGTCACTAACATAATAACCAACTTTCAAATGAGGGTCGATGATCAATACCAAATTTCTTCCTGTTCTATCCAACGCTTTGAGCATGCGTTCGGGGTCAGGAAACGCATCAATGTCCCAAGTAAAGTACTTTTTGGCATCAGCGTACTCGACATCCAACCAAATTGTGTCATATGGCACTAATGTCTCATCCATTTTCGAAGTGATATCAAGCACATCTTTTTCGTCATTGTAGTTCCACCGGCATTGATGGTATCCCAAAGAGAACATAGGTGGTAACGGAGCATAGCCAGTAAGGCGTCCGTACTTTGAGTTTATTTCCGCTGGAGTTTCTCCAAGGATCACAAGAAAGTCCATTACACCATTTTCCGAAATCCAGTGAGTCTTGACATCATTGGATTTATGTATATCGATAAATGTGTCGGCGGCATTTAACCAGAAGACCGCTGTCGACATTTTGGGTTTTGTTGCCAACATGAGAGGAATTGACCCATACATTGGCATTCTGGAATCAGTATCGTACTCAAAAATGTCCACATTGAATAGACGATATGGCCAGTTTGATTCTGATGTATCTTTGAGCGACATGGAGTCTGCGTGTTCAGGAATACCATAAACATGCTTGTAGCCTGCAAAAGTAAAATCCAAGCCGATGGACTCAGGACCGAGCGGTATCGAATCTTCAGAAGCTGTATTATGGCTGTCTTTGAACAGATCAAAGTCAGACTCAAAAGGTAGCAAATGCTTATCGTTCTCATCCCGTTTTCTGTAGTGCTCGATGTTGAAAAAATTACGTTCATTGACCACAAGCTGCAATTGACCCTTGTAGTAGATCTTAATCGTCATATCTTTTACATCGAACTCTGCTTTGGTATCGTTGGGTCCAAAGCTTATCGTCACCAATTGATCAGTCGACTCGACATTAACGGGATATTTGCTTTCGTATGGAACGTCAGGGTCCTGGAAAGCCCATTTTGCTGCCTCGTTATACCTATTTCCACGAATCATCCCACCACTTGTTTCTGGGCGCATTTCATCGGCCTTGAAACGAAGAATTGAACCCTCAAGAATTGAGATCTCAAAAGGAAATTGGCGAGTCTCATCCAATTGAGGAATAGATTTCGTTATTACTCCGGTTAAAGAGTTCTGTGCTGTATTGCTTACAACTAACGAAGGCTGAGAGACAGCATACGGAGACTCATTCTCAGCAATATTTTTGGCATACAACCTATTTCTCTGACAAAAACCAGAATTGTCACAGTCCTTGAAGAGATAATCCTTCACCCCACAAACATTGTGAAGGAGGATCAAGAAGATCACTATACCCTTCATGGTGATTCTCTGTGTCGCAGCATCGTCTGTCGCAGTCCTTGGCACTATATGCACGGCATGGAGGTGCGGAGAAGCAAGGTACTTCGAGCACTGCAGGACAAATGTAGAAGAAGCAACGGGGAAAGGAAACAACCTTTAGAAGTTTTAAAATTGATTAGTATGTTGGAAGCATGATCAACAAGTTCAATAACGAGGTATGTGGATCGACTTTGATTCATCAAGGCACTTTGAAACCACATTGGTAAGCTCCGTGAAAAACTTTGAATCTACTCCGAAAATGAAAAAATGGACATTAATGGATCAATATCAACTCAATGGCTTCTGCAGTATAATATGGACCTAACTCTGACAACCCTGAGCCATTTGGTCCCTTCCCCTTGTCAGCTGTCTTATAGTGGGGGAGTCCGTAGTGTACTCACCAAAAACAGAAAAATCAACTATCTTACGGTTGAGAATTTACACTAACGGAAACTTTTCAGCTTGAACCATTTCTTCAGAGTTGTATATAATCTTTGGTAAATTTGGTTGATATGGCTGAAAAGAGGGCTGGGGATGACCCAGCGGAGAGTCCGGCCCAGGCAAAACGATTGAAGCCGATGGATGAACTCAGCGAAGATGGTCCTCTAACTCAACGCGATGTCGTTTATTTTAAGAAGGAGGCCATCTGGGAGACAGATGAGGGCGTATAAGACAAAGTGCAACGCATTGATGGCCGATATGGACCGGCTTCAGAGGCAATATCACGATAGTGAGACGAAGGTCAACATACTCGATGCTTGGTATGAGCAGATAATCAATCAGTTAGACTTCGCTGCGGAGAAATCTGAGGACTTAAACGAGACCTTACTCATAAAATCAACAAACCAAAAACCCGACTTACTCGACGGCGTATTGGCGAAACGCAGAGAGCATTTATTACGAATACTTGAACCAGCATTAAAGAACACCGCATCGCTGCCAGATCATCAGGACTTGGTATCTAAACTAGAGCTGCTAAATAATGACTTGACTTCTGCCCGGGTGGAAAATGAGACCTTGACAAAACTGAAGTTGGAGCTCTCGGCAAAAGTAGATGAGCTTGAGCAGAGCCTTCTCTCGGTTCATAAACAGAAAGAAAGAGAAGATTCAAAGACCTTGAATAGAGTCAATGGTATGGCCGTTGCCAAGAAAGAGAAGGAGGAAGAAGTACCTGAAACAACTTCAAAAACAGAGGAGGCTCATATAGATTCCGAGGAGCTTGAGAGGTTGTCACTGGAGCTCCAACAAGTCACGAGCCATAACAACTCATTAGAAGAACAGTTGAAAGATGTGTCCTCGAAGTATGCTGCTTTGGTTCAAGAAAATGCTCAATTGCAATTAAGACTCAATAACTTGAGTGATAGAGATTTAGTCAATTCGTCTCTGTTTCAAGAATTGTCATTGCATAACAAGCAGCTTCAGGAAAAGATAGCAGGATTGCAAAAGGTGAATGACAAAACAGTGGCACGACTTAACGAGCTTGAAGCCATCCATGAAGATGCGAAGGCTTTCGCCAACAAGGAATTAACAGAGGAAAACGAGGCTCTTAAACTGCAATTATCCAAGTGTGAAAATGATTTGGTGAGAATAAGAACTACTCGAGACGAATTGTTATCCAAAAACAGCATTCTCAAGTCTGAAGTCAACGACAAGGATACAAATGAAGCACTCAAGCAGATGAATTCAGTTCTTGAGCAGCGCGTGAAGAAGCTTGAGCTGGCTCATGCTGATGATGCAGCTGAACTTTCTAACGCCGACAAATTGGCTGAATCTTCTAAAGACGAATTGCTCAAAAGAATAGCAGTACTTACTACCGAGTTGAAGGAGATCGAGGTAGCATTTCAGCAAACACGAGAAATTTCCCTCAAAAAGTTGAACAGTGCTGTTGACCAAGAAGGCTTGTTACGGAAACTTAGCGTTGAAAAGACGAAAGCTGACCAGAAGTACTTTGCTTCGATGCGCGTGAATGATTCGTTGACGGCCGAAAACAAGATTTTGAAGGCACAGATCTCCAAGTCACAAGAAGTCATCAGCAAATTTGGAGAAATGGAACGGAGCTTTGCTAATAAATTTGAGATTTTGAAGAAGGCGAATGATGATTTCAAGGCCATTAAAGAGACATCTATTCAAGAAACGAGTAAATTACAAGACCTTGTCAAAGCCTTGAATCAGAAAAAGTCAATGGTTGAGAAGGAGATTAAAAACTTGAAAGATATCATTTCCAAACAGGCCAAGGACAATGCGGAATTGGTGCTGGAATTACAGACAGCTAAAGACAACTCGGCCAAAATGGAAAGTAATTTAAAGACTACCGAGTCATTACTACAAAAGTATAAGACCAACAATACTTCATCCATCCTTCAAGAAGACGAACGACAACTTGAGGCCTTGAGATCCATTGCCAAGTGCTCATTGTGTTCCAAAAACTGGAAAGATACCGCCATTACCGTTTGCGGCCATGTCTTTTGTCATAGTTGCACTCAAGAACGTTTGGCAGCACGGCTTCGGAGGTGTCCTTCGTGTAATAAGGGATTCTCAGCCAACGACTTATTGTCAGTGCACTTGTAAACTAGAATAACCTGATCAAGCTATGTAACGATAATTAATTTTGCTACATTTTTGCAGCCGATATACCTGGTGTGGTGGGTGTGGCGCCTGGACCAGCGGATTGAACCGCGGTGTTCCGGTCTGGTTTCGGGGCTTTCGGGTCGGCCGGGTAATGTGCGTTCGTGTGGTCATGCGCGCGTATATTCAGTAACGCCAACAGCCAGGTCAGCAACACCGACGCAAGACGAGGCGATGCGACCGACGTTTACCAAAAAAGTTAAGACAAGGCCCCGCACTTGAAATTGATATATGTGTACCCATGCATGATCAACAATAGTACTGTAGCTTTTTTCTCCTTGCATCATGCATTTTGAAGAGCTGCTGGCTCTCGATGGCAACATGATTTTCCCCTTTTAGGTCGTGCGCGGACCGCTGGCAATTTTTTCTCGCATGCGCGATTAGTATAAATGAACTGAATTTCCGGATTTTCATTCTGGTGCCAAGTTAGTCGCAAATTGCACAAAATCTCGGTTGGGTTTACTGGTGCGGACTGATAATACATTTACACCCAAACACCTACAATAACACTTTGCATCATCTATCGGTGATCCAGAGGGAGGTCTATAGTCACACGATTGGTTCTCATGTTCGGCACAGAAGTTGCTACCACCCCTGTACAAACACCATCGTCAGATAACTTTTACCCACAAGAAACAGGTATGGAAAAAGCGGTTCAGTCAAAGACTGTTGAAGAACCTGAAAAGCCATTGTCGCCACCCAACCCTTCCCCATCACCTGAAAAGCATGAAGTCGAACCCGAAGCATCAGAGGCAGCCCCTCTTCCATCTACACAAACTTCCATGGAGCCTGCTCCAAAACCACCTTCAGAACCAGACATGAATAACTTACCAGCTACCCCAATTCCTAAGCATCAAGCGAAGTTTGCCTTAAACTCAATCAAAACCATCAAGCGCCTTCGTGATGCTGCGCCATTCACTGTTCCTGTTGACACTGTCAAGTTGAACATTCCCCTCTACTACAACTATATAAAGCGACCCATGGATTTGTCCACCATCGAGAGGAAGATCAACTTGAATGCATATGCCGATGTGTCTGAAATTGTTGATGATTTCACCCTTATGGTAGACAACTGTTGCAGATTCAATGGCCGAAGACTCCCGCTATATCACAAATGGCTAAGAATATCAAGGGCCATTTCGAAAAGCATATGCTAAACATGCCTCCTAAAGTCTTGCCCAATAATGGTTCGACAACCCCAACTGCTAATGCTGGCTCTAGAAGGCGTACCGGATCAAACCCTGCCAGCACTCTGGAAAGGAGAGAGTCGGTAGCTGCTCATAGACCAAGAGAACTATCCATTCCTCCTAAGTCCAAGAGCT